ACTACGAAGCTCAGACGGGCCGAAACATTGCTTCCGAAGCGTTAAGGGCAGGAGATAGACGGCCTCCTTAAAAGGGAGGAGAGACCTTTTGTGACAGTCTTGGGCTTTGCCCAGTCTGTGTGTTGTGGCCTTGCGGCCTAAGGCAGAAGGGATGGGTAGACCGTTTGCCCACAGATGTAAATAGCAGATCGCAGTGAGAGAGATCTTCTCCTTCTCTCTTTAGCAATTCAACAGCGTTACCAGCTTACCAAATCCTTCGTGGTTTGGGCCCTTGACAGTTGTCATACAAATTGTCATACAAGTGGTTTCTTCCACCTGCGGATAGCCGTGTAGTGCATGAGTTGAGGAATGAGTCTTCCCACTCTGGGAGATATAAAGAAGTATATAATCTACCTTCAATCCTGGAAGATAGGGAGAGGTATAAAATCGTGGCCACAGGGAAGGTGATGACAAGTATAAAGTTGGCTATAGTCAATTCCAGAGGCTATAATGGCGTGAGAGTTTCTACATGGACACGACTGAAAATCCGGCCATATGTAAGTAAAGAGTGAGAGGTATAACGGCCAGAGGAGAGCATTCTCAATATATTTTGGCATGGCCGGCTGACCGACCGACCATGTTTGGGTATGGTCAAAAGTTGGTCTATATATAGACGTAGCCGACCGACCGACAGACCATGTTTTGAATATGGTCAAAAGTCGGCTGATATTTGGACAGGGTCGAAAGGCAGGCCCCGGTGCAAGCAAAGAGTGCGAGAGATTCAATTTACAACTAGGACAGAACCCTCTATATATTTGGACACGGCTGAAAGGTCGGCCAGCTGGAGATGGGGTTGGAGGAGGGGTTGGTGGTTGAGTTGGAGATCGGGATAGAGATGGGAGTAGGAAGGAGAAACGACGATTCGTCCATGTCTGCTGGTAGGAGATGGGAATAACAACGAAAGACGACGGTTCATCCATGTCGTCACCCCCTAGATGGTGTTGGTCAATAGTTTCTTTCTCTGAGTCCAACAAATTAGTGATCAGACTTACTGAGTGTCTCGGGCAAGCCAGACAGTGGAAATGATTCCCAATCCAAGCTTGCTAGGATATGGGAGAGGGAAGGATAAAGCATTCGTCATCAGGTGCCGTTGACATAGTCTAAGCTATAAAACAATGCAATGAGGGTTTCATCATGATAGAAAAGTAAAACAAAAGAAGGAAGTTTGGAATGAAAAGAGCAGAACATATAGGCGTCGAGGTGCACAAGGTGGGGCTGAATGATGCTGCTGATTAAACTAAACGCCAATGACGGCCTTTGCGTCACTACCACAGCAAACGACGGCACGGTATTATACTTCGGGATCAAGTAATTCAGTGGTGGCGAAGTGAGAGCGGAGTGAAAGCACTATTGTGTATAGGAGACTCGGATAGAAGGAATATGCAGGACAGAGCTACTATTTGATATTGGCTTGACGATTCAGTACTTAGAAAACAAATATCGCCTATTTACACCATGTATAGACAAATCTAGAGTACGCTTTGTGCGCTTAGCAGAAAATACAAGACGAGTTCTGGAAGTCCAATGTTGAATGTTGAATCGGAAGGGGGAAGGGACGTCGCTCAAATCCAGGGGTTACCCCTATTTGCAGCACGGCGTCCGTTTTACACGGAGTACCGCTCGCGCCGCTTTAGCAATTCTGAAAAGCCGAATTTTAGCCGAAGTCACGCGCATATTTCTACGTGACTTGCATATGATTGCCGCTTGTCCAACCGGAATCGCCAAACTTCATCGAATTGATAATCCTCAATTGGTCCATAAATGAGATTTCCGCGTTTTGTTGGCTGTGCTACGAGACCCGTTGTGGCACGTTGAGGCTCCAGTCTTTTCACGTGAATCTGTGCAGAAATCACAAGCAAGCAGTGAGACCTGTCGGCAGAGCAAGGTTGCCTGTTCAGAACCTCGAATGTGGGCATATCGAATTGAACCTTCGTGCGCAGCAGGAAGTTACAGCGCCTTGCCTTTGTTGGGCACAGCAGATGGGGGTGGAAAGTGGCACGCCGTTAGGGTCGCTTGTGTTCAAATTTTGTGAAGCATAACAGCTTCCTAAGCTGGTACTATAAATCCGCCCTTTCTACGACGCCCTCGCGTCATCATGGCCTTAATCGTCGTCCGACATTTGTTACTATTTACCAGCAATCGAGCAGTGTTTTCCACTTTTATAACGGCGGTTATACTGGTCATCGTCATGTATATGAACTGGTTTGGGGGTTTATCGCTCCTTTGCGTTACGTCAATCCAGTCAGCCTCGTTCTCAATGCCTTCGTCCAGCGATCTAATCCCCTTTGTTTTCGACCCGTTACCCTTAGGATCCATTAAGCCCGCAGGATGGCTTCATTCCGAACTGCAGACCATGGCAGCTGGACTACCAGGGCACGAATATGACTTCTATCGCTTCGTTAAATACTCGCCTTGGCTTGGAGGAGACCAGGAGTACGCATTGTTGAACGAAGGGTTCCCATACTGGTTTAATGGAATTGTGCCTCTTGCATACTCGCTTGACGATGAGAGATTAAAAATCCAGATACACGGAGCGGTGTCCTTTATTACTGCCCATCAAGCAGCAGACGGCTGGCTTGGTCCCGAAACCGGCACCAGACGGAATTTTTGGGCCCGTTTTCCCGTTCTCCTTGGGATGATCGGCCTACTCCAAGCTGATTATGGAGCGTACAGCGGCAAAGTCCTGCCGTCCATCCAAAAGTTTGTTGGTCTGATGCACACCATGCTTGAGAATGATTTTGAAGGCTACCTATATCACGAAGGCAGCGCACTGAGTGAATTCGACCACACCTGGGCCAGGGTCCGCATGGCTGACTGCATGATCTCGCTTCAATGGCTGCTGGAGCATGAGCCTGCGGTGCAGAAAGAGAGCATTATAAGAGTCATGGAACTCTTAGTTCAAGGATCGATAGACTGGGCCACTTGGTTTCAAGAAGGAACATTTGTAAAATTGGATCCCAATGATCTTCCGGATGGCGGAAGAGAGCTTGAAAACCAATATTTACCATACATGCATGGTGTGAACCTTGGACAAGGTACTATCAATTGAATGCCATACATTCCCATTGTCGTTAACACGATCTCCAGGTCTAAAATCCGGTGCCGTTGTCCGTCGGCTTACGCGGAATGAGACCCTTCTGCAAACTACTCGCCGCGGTGTTCAATGGACCTTTGAATTTCACGGCGCTGCATCTGGGACTATCCTAGCCGACGAACGGATCGCAGGGCTCGAACCTTACTATGGCTCGGAGCTCTGCACCACAGTGGAAGCTCTGTACTCACTCGCCTATCTCTACTCCGCATTGGGTGATCCTGATTCCGCATCTCGAGCGGAATTGATTGCGTACAATGCACTTCCAGCTATAACAACCCCCGATCACTGGGCACATCAATACGTTTCCCAGCCAAATCAACCGTTCGCAAAACCTTTGGCAGCTGCTGCCCTAGACAGACTTGCTAGTACCGAACAAGAGGCATTACCTCCAAGCGACCATGGCCACATCCATAAGAATGCAGACCCAGCAAGAGGAAATCCGTTCTGGAACGTGGGAGCATACGGCCAAACATTCGGCCTCGAGCTGAACTATCCGTGCTGCACAGTCAACCAGGGCCAAGGTTGGCCGAAATTTGTGGCTAACAGTTGGATGAGATATGGTGAAGACGGCATCGTTCATGCCTTGCTTGGTCCAAGTCGCGTTCGAACATCGCTCAGGAACGCCGATGTATCCATCGAGTGCAAAACGGCATACCCGTTTGATCTCACTCTTCGCTACGAGATCGAGTGCGCTGGTCCGTTCACGTTTTACTTCCGAGTCCCGGAGTGGGCACAACCCGGATCCACGTTGGAGATCTCAAGCATCGAACGATCCTCCGTATCCAGTTCTGGAGGCTTGGGTCAGGCCAGGCGTCGAAGGATTGCCCCAGGTTCTACGGATATCCCTGGCGGACTTCACGCCGTTCCCGTACTGTCAGCCGGCAAGCATATCGGGGCGGTCAAATTGATTGCAGCGCCGCGCACCGAACCGAGAATGAACGACACCGTTGCTGTGTTCTACGGGCCACTGCTCTACTCCCTTCACATCGACGTCGAATCGACCTCTCACAACCCCGTAAAGTTCGATGGTCGCACGCCGTTTGATCCGTCTGAGATCCCACCCGAAGCGAAAGATTGGTCGATGACACCATCGTCACCGTGGGCGGTTGCTATTGACCCGAGCACGCTCTCCGTCCATAATGCCGGTGTGCCGGAGGACGGTTCGCTACCGAACCCCGTCTGGGCACCAGGAGTGCCTCCAATAAGCATAACGGTGAAAGGGTGCGAGATTGAGTGGCCATTATATGGTGGGAAGACAGGGCACGTCCGTGATGGACGAATACCGGATTTGCCGCCTTCGAAGGAATTGAGAAAGTGCATCGGACCCGTTCAAGAGTGGAAGCTAGTGCCGCACGGCAGCGCGAAGATTCACATGTCGGATCTACCTGTAATCGATTTATCAGAGTCTTGAATGCTAGTTACGTGGAAGCATAAGATAGTCTATCGCATGATAGGTATACAAGCACTACTTCATATCCAATCCAGGGGCCCTTGCATAGTTGCATTGGACCTGAACCTAGGTGAATGCTCCATTTAAGCACCAATTTGCACGCCTTCCATCGTATCATCACCACCATTTTCAACGGCCGCCGCAGCTCCTTCCACCGCATTCCCTCGTCCTCTTCCAGCAAGTAGCTCTCTTCTGACTTCCGGACCGATTCCCCGATGGCCCTTGGCCAGCAGCAGATCCAGCAGCGCTTCTCGCTGGTCCTCGGTGATGTCATCCCGATATCTCTGCGCGAAGGCAAGCAGACTCTGATGCCACAGCAGCGGCAGCGACTCTTCCCTCGACAGGTTCTTGCGGCTCACACCTGCAATAGACCTGGTATCGCTCATATTGATGTCGTCTCCTGAACCAACCCCACGATATCGCAAGAAATGAAACACGAGGGCGTCGATAACACGATAAGGAAGGGCGTAGCGCTTCTCGATCAGAATTTTGATACACCAGTTGACTGGACCAGCGCCACCTGCGTCTCCACCCTTAGTATTCCACGATCCTAAAGTGCTGTCCGCTGCGATCTCCGTCAAGCGGAGAAGTGCGGCTGCAGAATGGAGAACAGGTATCGAAACGCGCGCAATGACGGATGCGATGATATGCGCTTCTCGCATCGATGGCATCGATTCCAAGAGCGGGAACAGCAGACCCTTGAAAAATGCGGATGGTTTATATAGTGCCTTCTTCAGCGCGCGGTACAACGTTTGGTGCAGCTTGTGCTGGGCGTGATCGTCTATCCTTTCGCGGACCAACGGTAGGAGAGCCTCGGTCAGGAACATCTGCGCGGATGCAGGCGTGCCGGAGATAAACAGCTTCGTGGCCGTGTACGCGGCGTGCGGTGTCCAGTTGAGCGGCTCGGTTAGGGAGAGGAGCGTGGCTTGGGTAGGCAGGGGAAGAGTAGGAATAATCGTGAATGGTTTGGGGGGTTTGCCCGTCGTCATGCGGGAGAGGAGTGGTCCTATCGTTGTGTAGACTTGGAGAACCTTCGGGGGAATCTCCTCGGAGGGGGCTTCATCTTCTTCGTCGGCATTGCCGCTTTGAAGGGCTTCGTGAGCGGCTATCTTGGAAAGGATCAGATCCGCAAGATTCGTCCCGCCTTTTGATTCTGAGAGGGTCGGTTGGTCTCCGGGCCAGTGTAGCTCCGGGTCGGTTGAAGGGTTAAATTTATTGAAGAGATCCAAATCGTTCGGGTCCACTTCCTGCGAGGGATATCAGATCGGGTCTATCCTGGAGTCAACGGACATGCATACCACTTCTTCAACCACTTCATCTTCATCTCCCCAGGCGTCCTCATCATCATATGCGCCTTCATCCTCTTCCGGCTCGGCGGCTGGAAATCTTGACTCGAACTGGAAAGCGACGTTCTCCTCCTGTACATATCGACCTCGCTGCTCGGCTGCTTCCTCCTCTTCCAGGTCCTGGCCTATGCGCAAAATCTTCCGAGATGCGGCGGTATCAACGAATCGTTCCTCTTCGTCTCCGTCATGGCGCGACTTCCTCCGCTTGGCGACTTTATTTTTGAATGGCTGGACGGGGTCATACTCGTCGGCGAGAGGGTTGTGGCGGCGCTGTTGCCGGCTGTCCGACGAAATTTGCGCGGTCTTCGGCATGTTCGAATATCTGCCCCGTGAAATCACACGCGATTTAGGATATATAATTCGTTGGGTTTCTAGATGGACGTCTGGACCATTAGGGCATGGAATTGGCAATTCTGCACCAGTGAAGCGGAACGAGAAATTTGAGTGGGTTCGGGGTTTTCGTTCCACGCGGAGATAAGATGCTTGGCGGACGTTAGATGTTGACGCCTCAGGCAGAAAGGCATTCAACTCCCAAGCTGCTCGAGTAATAATATCTGGATTCTGGTGATCTCTCACTCCACCTCGAAAGTTGGTAGTTCTTTGTGAACATCTCTAGGGATTCCCAGAAGCAAAGCGGACGTAGATGTTCTCCTTGCCAATATCTCTTATCCTCTGATTATCAGGCTTTGCCTCGGGGTCTTGTCTGGTGCCATGACCCTGCGACGTCCCTGATACTTGTCTTTGTCTATTCAATGAACCCGTCATGGCGTCGTCTCGCTGTACGCCACATCAAGGACGCCAGTCAGTCAAAAAAAAGACCAGCACCTTACAAGGCGCCACCCGCTCCTAAGAAGCCCGCCCCAGCCGAACCCGAACCTCCACCGGTCCCGAAGCAGACGGATACACCAGAACCGGTTCCACGGAGCCGGCGATTCTTCCCATCTCTACGCGAAATTCCGCAAAGATTTCGCGACCATGGCCCACAAGCCTGGCGCCTGGCATTCTGGGCTCCTCAACTGTTCATATGGCTCCATTTCGGCATATACCTGGTTGGAACCATAAAGGACACGGGTGGCCCATCGATGCTCCCCCTTCTCCCGGTGTCGGACAGTGCGGTTTGGATCTCGAGGAAATATCGAAGGGGGAGAGGCATTCAAGTTGGCGATGTTATCAGCTTCGCCCACCCGATAGGCGACTACAATGCGATTAAACGTGTTGTCGGGATGCCTGGCGATTTCGTTCTGCGAGATACGCCTGGGGAAGGAGAGGGTATGATGATTCAGGTATATCGAGAGTCCATATCCAAAGCTACAACTCGGAAGTCTCCTCCGCTCACTCATTTTCAAGGTGCCTCGTGGCCATTGTTACGTTGTCGGGGACAACCTACCGTGGTCAAGGGATTCGCGCATGCTCGGTCCGATCCCTCTAGCACTAATTCAAGGGAAAGTCAATGCTACACTCTGGCCGTTTACAAGAATCGGTCGCGTCGAAAATGGATTAGCTCCTGCTTTAATTCAAGAGGAATTTCAAGAAGAAATTCATTGAGCACTCGGTCCCCAAAATTACCTTTGGAGTGATCTATCTCTGCGCCTACAGTAAGACCTCCCATCTCTCCACCTCGGGTGATTGCCACTGATCACATTGCGAAGTACGTCTGGTGATAACTATTCCTGAGGCTCATTCCCGATAGCACGTCTGTTTATGACCATCGTCATATGCCCCGTGTGCCTACTCGTCCTCTTGAGCATAAGCTTCTTCCTGAAGCCTTGCGTCATTATCATACTGCAGCCATTCCAATGGAAATTGGTCCCCACTCGCGTCGCACTCTTCGTCAGCTAGTGCTGCTGAGTACGACCATATGCATACTGTGACAGCCGCCGCAGTTGCGAACGAGCAGAATGCGAGGAGCACGGTGGTGCCGGAGCCACTGTGATTGTATCCATCTGGCAGATCTCCCAGGGAGGATACAGAGGATGAGCCGCTGGATACTTTCGATATGATGATAGAGTTTGCGAACGTTAATAACGCAACGGACTTGAACCTTTGAAGTCAGCCCTGATCAGTGGACATACCATTGGAGCGCTCGGCCTTACTATGGTAGCAATCTTGAATACAATACCGCCACAAGCATGACCAATCCTCTGATTATTCATTTCCCAACCAAATATGCCAGTCAATAACGGCGTAAGCGTTGAAAAATCTGCGAACAATGCCACCCTTTGACGGCCAACATTTTGTTTTCTTAGGCATCTCAAAAGTTGACACATTATATTTGTCCTATACACTGTCGTCTCCGATGACTTAAGCGCGGTCGAGATCTCCCCGCCCTTGCCTTCAACCACCGCGATAGCGTCAGCCACGGAGATGGGTTGGGACGCCGGGTGACACTATTATGGAGCTAAAGCAATGCGTCAGTGGACAGCTTACATATTCAAGTCTCAACGAGTTCATCCTCAAAAGTGCTCCGACATAGCTAAAGTAGCTATAAGCTGAACCATTGAAGACTACTACATCTCTCGCACTGAGTGTGACTGACGGCCGGTATGTTTGAAACATTTCAATTGCCACTCAGACTGATGGACTCCTATTTCTGATATATGATTATACTGCAATAAATACATTCCAAATCCCAATACTATGTTATACTAATAGTATATCATGGCCCCAGCCCCCCGACGGGGGTATGGTTTCTCCTTTAGGAGACATAAATGAAGGAGATATAAGCCTTGAAACGGAGCTGGACGTGATTAAATTTACGCTAACGTTCTCGCCCCTTCAAGTCCAGTAGTTCTTTCGGCCGGGAAATCCTTGTCAGCCATCATAATCTCCCCCGTATTGATCCTGACCATATTAATCCCCTGATTGTGTGTTCTAACGATATAATCAGTAGAGTACCAGGCCGCTCGACCGTGTGGGTGGGGACATACCTTTGCTATGAACACACTCGGCAAAAATCCAACTGTTTGGCCTCCAGTCAGGAGGAACATCGCTAATAAGCTCGGTATCAGGAAGAGTACACAGCCGGCACCTACTACTCATTTGCGTGCTTCAAGAGGCATGTGCTAGAGCAGGGCTGAGGTTCTTAGTTCTTTGCAGTTGATAATGATCAGTGCGAAGTCCTTTGCAGGGGTAATCGACTTAAAAGCCTCGAGGGGCATCCGTCTTATAGTTGACTGAGCTCATCTCCACAACCATTCGCTCATATTTGCGATATTTGGTGATGTGAATGAATGCTTGAACGACAAGTCTAGATACATCTTGCCTCGAATCCTCACCAGCAAAAAGCACAAATGACTGTAGAGGATTAGTTCACTCGATGCCTCCAAAGGGAGGGATGAGAACCTGAACCGCACGCCACTATAGAATATACTCACCAGGATGTGGGCCTTCGGACAGTGTCTTTCGTAATGCAGTGAACTTGCGTCCCCAAAATCCGCTACAAGATTGCAATTGGGGTTCGTCATCTCGGAACTTTCTCCTCGGGCGTCCTCATATCAGTGGCCCTTCACAGTGGACAGATTTCGTGATCAGATACGCATACATAAGGTATTCAGACTAACACTTATTCGACTATCTTGAGCCAAATTACTCTTTTAAACAAAAAGACGGCAGATTGACCTCCGTTTTTGGAGGTTTGTGACGCCGTTTTCGCAGGTAAATCTGCCATGCTCCAGCGCCAATGAGAACTCCCCTTACTCTCCGACATGGATCTCACTGATAGATCGGCAGGCAGTAATGCCTAAACCGAGCACGCCAAACTAGAAGAAGACACCGCCAAACCCGAAGTAGAGGCGCTAAACCGAAGCGAGCCAGGTGTCATGGGCCCAAACCACGAAGGATTTGGTAAGCTGGTAACGCTGATGAATTGCTAAAGAGAGAAGGAGAAGATCTCTCTCGCTGCGATCTGCTATTTACATCTGTGGGCAAACGGTCTACCCATCCCTTCTGCCTTAGGCCGCAAGGCCACAACACACAGACTGGGCGAAGCCCAAGACTGTCACATACGTTATCCATAACTACTACGTATACCAACTGAGATGTAATTTAAGCTAGCCCATGTACGCAATCATCTTTGCCAAGTCAGTAGCTCTATTTATAGTTTAATAGCGCCACCATATCAATCCTCACGTCTTTATGGGGCTGCTGTTAAGGTCTTAACTGTCATCTAATTCATCCCCATTCGTATTTGTTAGGAAATAGTAGAAAACACGTACTGGACGCAGTTTCACTGTCTATTAACTGATACTCTAGCAAGACGATATCTTCCGCCTTCCAGTCAGCTCTAGCATGTCGACAGCGCCCACCGGTGACAGAGAGCTGAACGAGCAGCCCCCCATCTTACGTCTGTCGGACGAGCTCCTCGAGTTAATCCTCAAGTACGCTTCTATTGGATATGGCGCGTCGACATTCACTGTACCAGATGCTAAGGTGATCCATTCCATCACGGGCGAGGAAATAAAGCAGAAGAGTGACGATGGTCTACGAAGATGCCCGCACCCGAACGTTCGGGCGTCCCATGAAGCCTCCTGGATGCCCTTGGTTTGCCGTCACTTTCGTTCGATCTTTCAACCTCTGTTTTACCGTCACCTCGAGCTCTGGATAGGCCCCCCATGCTGTCGATACCGGAATCGGCTCCCCAGTTTACATGCCACGCTCCGAGGTAACCCAGCGCTTGCTCGACGCTGCCACACCTTAATGATTGAACAGTACTCCCTGGAGTCATTGACTGCCGAACAATATATCAAAGTCTTCCATGAAATTTTGTCGTTGACAACGAACCTCCGATGTCTTAAGCTCGTAAGCTTTCCTATCGACGTCCTATCAGAGAGCGATACGGACGGTGCTGGCCCATTCGCCTGTGTTTGGGAGCGGCTTACGTCCATCAATCATGTCATGCTGATTGATGTCCTGCATGAAGAGGAGGGATACGGCCTTGGCCGTAACATGATGCGCTCTAGATCGAACCGCTGTAACCGAGCGCTCCAGATCTACGGCTTCGTATCACTGTCGAGATCCGACGTCGCTTTTCTTAAAGTTAGTTAAGATCGATCTTTACTCCCCCCTTCTTCCCCGTTCAACCTCCCATTAAACCCTCCGCTGTTAATGTAATGCTCCCTTGCTAACAACTCCGCTTATTAGGAGGGCACCGCGCCGTTTACTACGGTAGACATCGGCGATTTTAACAATGACGAGCTGGTCCTCCCGACGATTGTTAACTGGTGCAAGACCATCGAGCACTTCGCCTATATGGATTACTTTAAGGACTGTTACGTCCCTTCCCCACCGGACGACGACCAGACTTTCTTCCACTGGCTTCTCGCGCGCCACCGTTCGACCGTGCGTTCCCTCGCCATTGGATATTTCCATCGGATGCCCGGTCGTCCCCTCGACGTCACTGGCCTGCCCGCGCTAGAAACCCTCACAATCCTCTGGACGACCTTCACCGCCAATCCCCATTGCCGGATCGACGATCTCGATGCCACCGACGCCGCGAACGCGCTGCTCGCACCGAAACTACGGAACCTCACGCTGGTTATGGAGACGTTCAACCGGTTCTCCGACCGGTTCTCGGCCTGTCCCCGGGGCACGCATGGGACGGAATTGGACCAATGGCTGGGGCAATTTATGGAGATCGCGAGGCAGCGGCACTCGCCGTTGCAACGGATCCGGATCGTGTACGACGGCCGCCGCGAAGGCTGTGTAGGTGGTTGCAATTTCCCAGAGAATGTTATGAATCCTCTGTTCGAAGCGGCCAAGCGATTGGATTTTACCTTGGTGTTTGAGGAGGAGACCATTGATAGTTGGCATTAATACCCACGTAGAATAGAAGACGCTGCTCCGAGGCCTTTCGGGAGATATTTAACATCTAGCGGAGGGACAGGAGTCAAAGCACCCAGTTTCCGGCCACCACAAACAATCCATTTGATCAACATATTGCCCTAGAGTTACACAAATAGAACAGCTACTATATATATTTCTATAAAGGAGAGATCTACTCTCTCCGCCCTAGAACTCCTTACCGGGACTGTACAGACGGCGTGGCACTCAAAGAAGTCAGTAGTATCCGTACTTGGGCTTGACCTTGCCGGAGCTTTTGATAACGTCTCTTACCCCCGGCTGCTCTGGGTCCTCCGTCGGATGGGATACCCCGAATGGATTGTCCAGATGATCGCATTGTTCTTAACCGGACGGCGAACAAGGATCCTCTTCTCGGACTTTAAGAGCCGCTGGTTCGACACGGAGACTGGGATCCCGCAAGGATCTACCCTATCACCCGCGCTGTTTATCCTATTTATATCTGACCTATTAAAACAGTTCAAAGAGGTTCAGGGTAACGTGCTTGGGTTCGGATTCGTTGATGATACTACACTTATTACCTGGGGAGACACGGCTAAGTACCAGATTATCCACTTCACCAAGAAACGTAATTCTTCCGCTGATCTCCGGTCTACGATCCAGATACAGGGACACCAAGCTGAACTGGTTACATCCCTCCGGGTGCTAGGGGTCTGGCTCGACCCGTCTCTCTCATGGAAGGACCATATCCTCCGGGCAACACAGAGGGGACTTAGGGCCTTTGACTCCCTAGCGAGGGTAACCTCGTCGGTATGGGGACCATCTGTCCGGAAATCGAGGCTACTTTATACAGCAGTTGCACGGCCCATTATGACATACGGCGCCCCAATCTGGGGAGTCGATCAGCAGGGTGAGCCAATCTCTGAAGGCAAAATGAAGGACCTGGCCAAGGTTCAGAACAAGTGCCTTCGAAAGATTCTAGGGGCGTACAAACGGACACCAATCGCCGCGCTTGAGAAAGAGGTGGACGTTCCCCCAATCGAGCTCTACGTCCAAGAACGGGCCGCTCAAAGAGCAGCATCGGCGAACTCCCATAAGGTCACTACCCAGATTGAAGGAGCCCTGACGCAAGTCTGGGATGCTGCGTCTGCTCCCCCGAGACGAACAGTCTAAACCTGAACCCGCAATGTGTACGCTCCGGACCCAGTATGATAGACTCCTGTTCCCCCGGCCCGAACCAGCTAGGGGATATCGAACACAACAGCGAAAAGGCCCGCACCGGATGATCCAGGACGAGTATCGGGCGAAATGGAGGGAAAGATGGCAAGCCGAAGCGGCCAGACCAGGAAGGAGAGCAAGGACATAGAAGGACCCGTGGGAAACTCAGTGCCTTAACCGGTACGATGGCCCTCAGAAACACGAGGCCTCGGCGCTTATGGCACTTCGGACTGAGGTAGTTGGAGTTAAGGGATGGCTCGCGAAAATTGGTGTCCCTGGAATCCACCCAGCGTGTGAGTGTGGTGCCCCCCGACAGTCTCTCTACCATCTCCTTGCGTTTTGCCCGCAGCGGACCGACCAGAGGATTGCGCTCCTCCAACGAGCTGGAACAACGGACTTTAAGAGGATTTTGCATGACAGGGACAAGGTGCGCCACGCAGCAAGGTGGCTGATCGATGCGGGAGGCCTAGAGCAATACCGGGTAGCCAAGGAAGTTGAGAAGGAGGTAATAGAGGACTGGAAACCGTTCCAGGTCCTCCACGACGTGCCAGAATAAGCTCTCCGCGTAGGCGGAAACACCGACTCGTGCGGAATGATAAAAATGATTGAGATACTCTACCAAGGGGAGAAGGTGGGATTTTATGTACCCGCAGCCTCATGGCTACGGGGAAACTTTTGCCCGCGATAGACCAGATAGAATGCCGTGCTCATAGACCCGAAAGGGATCCAGATAGTACGTTAAATTGATTCTTATTATTATATATAGTAGCCTATTATGCTGGAAATGTGCGCCAATTAACCTAATCGTACCCCGATATATGCCAAGAAACCAAACCCATCTGGCGGTTGGGGTTGGCTGCACCCGCCGAAAAACCAAACCCGCGGGTCCCCCGCGGTTTTTGGCAGCGGTTGCGGTTGGGTTTTACAGACAGACCCCCCCAACCCCAACCGCAACCGCCGGATTTCGGACCCCAACCGCGAGGGGTGGGTTTCTTCATTCTACGCAAACCCAAACCCAAACCCTGCGGTTCGAACCGCACCCATCCGAGGCCTATTAAAGTAGTGGGCGATTTTGATAGGGTCAGGTTCGTTAAGTTAATATAAGCGTGCACAGTGGGGCAAGTCAGCCATTCTGGCGGTCGACATGCCGTCGTCTCTTTTACTTATTAATTCTTACCTCTATTTAAAGACGGTCGAGTTCCGATACGAACTCGATAAAGTCTATATTACCCTGCTTAAATTGTCCGTAGGTATCTATCGCTCGAGTCGCTTTATAGGGATCTATATAGCGTCGGTTAAGGTACTTAAACAGGCCGCTAACGGTCGTTAGTATATTAAGAGTTCGTCCCGACGAGATGAAGTATTATACGTATTTTACTGCTTGACCCACGAGGAAAGCTTATATATAGGCTACTCGTATGCTTTCGTTATTTCTAGCCAGGTTAACCGCGAGCTTATTCTTTACCTAATCTTTAAAAGTCGGGTATTTAGATCGTTTAATACCGTCGAAGGTTACTAGCTTCGGAAGGATACTACGGCTTAGTCCTAATAATACCTAGTCCTTCGCTTACGCAGCGGCGGGTCCTTCTCGTTCCTTAATATCCTTTAGAAGGGCAGCGATATATTCATCTATCGTTTTCTCGCCTGGGTATCGCCTCCTTACTTCTCCGGCGACCTTCTTTATTTCTTCTAATACGTTGGCTTTCTCTATAATGCTCGTTGTTGACACGGTCTGGATGCGCAAGGTCTGCGATTACCAAGTTCCATTAATCTAAACTGAAGAGAGAGAGAGAGAGAAGAAATCTCCCGGCACCTTTGTGCGCGAGATAGCGACTCTCCTCTCCAATGCCCTACTGCTGTGTTACCATGTTTGTTTGCTTCTCTGATATAATCCACCAGCCACGTCTTCAGCCACAACCAAGGGAACAGGCCGCAGGCCTGGGACCATAACAAGAAATGCGTTACACGACATCTCTGTGGTGGAGGAGAGATATCTCTGATCATGTGACAACGACCGTGCGGTTGTGGGGATTGTGGAAGAGTGGTCGTGGGAGAGTGGCAATTGTGAGAGGATGTCCGTGGAGCGGCGACCGTGAGAGAGAATGGTTGTGGGAAGTGTTCGTATTAATGTGTTCGTGGGCGAGTGGTCGTGGGAGCGAGATCTTACGAGAGTAGCCGTGGGAGGAGGGCTACACGGAAGGGAGCGTGTACTCCAAAAGAGCGCACTTTTAAGAGCCAGCGTGCAATCTACGGAGCGTGCGGATGGTTCCGTGGTAGAATACTGTTTGTGGGACCAGAATCGGAACCAGGAGAGCGTGCGAAGGATGTCGTGCCAGGCCGCCCCGGAGCTTGGTATGATCGACCACGCCAAGCTCCGGGGATCCTACACACAGCCACAGCGAGATCCCCAACGGTTCTCGATGATGTCATTTTTGGATCTGGCAGCACATCTAACTTAGAAGCAACAAAAGAGAGAGATAAAATCCTTCGATCGAATTTGGCCTTAATCAATAGCCATTTTAGCTAAATTTATATTAGCCTCGTTTGAGGACAATTGAGGCTGTTGTTGTCGAGGCATCTCGAAAAAACGGTACCGATCGTCGTTATTGAGCTGAAGTGACTAACTCGGTGGTGTGGCTAGGTCGCTGGTGGATTACAGCTCTAGTTGTGAATTAATATCTTCGTCTATCAGACATCTATTACTCAAACAACCAGACGGCAAGAAGACCTCCGTTTTCGGGGGTCTATTTGGCTGTATGACTCACACGGCGCGACCTCCATCGATGCTCACTCCTCCACACGACGCCAGCTTCAGATGCTCATGCTTTAGACCCTCTCAAACGTTGTACAAACGAGCTATACCCATGGCCCATGCCTCGAGATTGGCCGCGCTCAACGAGACGTCCTGCTCAGCAGCCGCTTTAGGGCGCCGCATGATCTTCTTAAAAGGCAGCACAAATGGCGCACCAGTGATGATTGGGGGTGTCGATCTGAGGTCAATCGTCGTAGCTGCCGTGCACATCGCGATATCTCGAACTCCGAGTGGCGCGGATCGCGTTCGATTAGCGTCAGCAACGGTGACGAGCTCGTACCTTTCAAGGCGGAAGGTACGCCCTGATTTGTTGAACGAAGCTAGAACCACCATTCGAGTATTGTTTGGGGGCAATTGAGCCGATAGCCACCATTGTGCATCAATATGAAGACGCCCTAAGCACTCTGTCCAACCGGCCTCGATGATTAAGGCGGGCCATGGAGGGGGGTTAGAAGGTGTTATTGAGCTGTCCGCCTCCTTGAATGAATTGCCTGAGCGATGGCGGCACCGGCCTGATCCGGAACACGTAAACTCCAGATTAAGCTGGAGACCCATAAGCCTCAACTGCATGATTATTTCGGCATGCAAGTTGGCGTGCATGTTCTCGTGCACATGGGTCACCATCCTGACGATTAATTTATCGTCATCAAGTTGTAAACGAACTGGGTAACGGAGTCGGTCGATGTAGGTGAGCTTCGAGTGGTTAAAGGCCGAAAAAACGATCCATCGCTGTGTATTGTCTCCGCCGTCGCCGTCCAGAGCTCGCAGACGATCCGCAACAGCACGCTTGAAATTGGCAATGCTGAATGGCAGTACTTGGGCTTGTTCGAGTCCTGCAGCTGGTGGAACCTTAGGAGTCATTTCATCGAACGGTGGGGTTTCTGTAGTTCGAGAGATTGGAGAAGTTGGTGAAGTTGGAGAAGCCATAATGGTGAGCTGGGACTTCTCATATGCGGGCACTCCGTTCGTTGAAGTTGCGTTGGAGATGAGCCGCTTGATTTCAGCTAAAAGGCGTACGTTCCTTGGTATGGAGTACTCTAGTCACGGTCCTAATAAGTGGTCAGGGCGGGGCCGTCGCTTTCCATAAGTGGCCTTGCTGCCTGCTTGGAACCAAAGGAGGCCCTTTCCTTCTGGCGCGTGACAGGATGGAGCTGATCATGTTCTCCCGGTAGAGGATGTCTCGATCAATGTGATGAGATAATAGACATTTCTAAAGAGTGCTGGTGGAAAAACCTCGGATGATAGGAGTGAGCTAATGACCGGGAGGATCGAGGGCTGCGGGCTGTCACGGTTCGATGGGTGGACAGCGCCTTGGTGCCTCGGCGCCCTGGTGCCTCGTGGCCTTATCGCCGTTTCCTTTGCAAACGCCCGCTTTCGTCGTTTTTAAATAGCTGTTTGCAGTTTGCTTTCTCTTTCTTTCTTCTTCTTCTTCTTCTGTAGCTTTGATATGACGAAAGAAACCGTTTTTCTTGATATCCCTATCTTGTAGGTTTCGCGTTCGTTACAGTGGGCCACGATTGCTATAGTAGTGGGATCGGGTATACCAACAACGGAAGCCTGCCAAAACCGGCTGTTATGGTCCCAGGCCTGCGGCCTGTTCCCTTGGTTGTGGCTGAAGACGTGGCTGGTGGATTATATCAGAGAAGCAAACAAACATGGTAACACAGCAGTAGGGCATTGGAGAGGAGAGTCGCTATCTCGCGCACAAAGGTGCCGGGAGATTTCTTCTCTCTCTCTCTCTCTTCAGTTTAGATTAATGGAACTTGGTAATCGCAGACCTTGCGCATCCAGACCGTGTCACCGGCGGTCAATTTGCCGTCGTCTCTTTTACTCTTTTTTAAACGAATAAGGAGGCCGGAGGTCCATTGGTGACACTCGAGCGGACCTGTCGTCCGAGACAGTGCGCGGATGAGTGTGAGGATTGAGGACCTTGGCGAGAAGGAGCCGAGTTCGGTTCAGGAGAGTGGTTTGACTTAGTCATCGGGAACATCTTCAATATTTTGACGGCTCCAGACAGGCTGTTTACATCTCTTCAAATTGTGGCCGAAACGAACGGTTGGTTTTTGAACAGGAGTTGAGCCAGCGGCATGCGACCTGTCAGCCATATCTTCCATTCTCGCGTCCGTTCCCAACAAGACGGATGCCGTTTCAGCAACCATTCTTCTTAGTTGCTTGCACACCCGCCGTACTCTGTCCACTTCGGCCCTAGGAAAGGAATGCGGCGGTATGGCAGTAACAGCAATATAAAAGGATGTTGCTGCAGGGACGGCTGAGAAATAGCCGGCAAAACAAGTCACGAAAGCCCTGAACGAACCACGAGGTTCGCTCATCTAGCCTTGACCTTGATGCTACCAACTATCGAAGTTGCCAAACCCAGCAGATATTTTCCCCTTCTTTTTCATCGGCTGCTCGGGCTCGTCCCATTCCTCGATGATCTCGTCGTGCCCAGTTGGGGTATCATCATTCATGGCGGCTTTCAAATACTTGCCAACACCGGTAGAAGCGCCGTCGCTATTGCCTTTTGTGCCCCGGACTCGTTTCCCCGTCCAAGTCAGTTTATCATCCTCAGTCCCTCCTTGTCGCCGTACCTCTTCCTTGTGCACTTTTTCAGCCTCTTGCGCGGCCGACTCCTTCATGAATTCCTCAAATGGATCGATGAGAACCGTGACATCTTGCAAAATGGCTTCTCCGCCGTCTCCGCCTGTGGGTCGGTCCTTGTCGTCCGTTTTGACCGCCTCCAGCCGTGCCAGGACGTCGAGATTGTCGACGACTTTGCCGAAAATGGTGTGTTTCCGATCGAGGTGCGGGCATGCTCGATACGTGATGAAGAACTGCGAGGTATTGGTGTTTTTGCCTTTGTTGGCCATACTCAACATGCCACGTCCGTCATGCGCCAGAGGCCCCTCGATCTCGTCCACGAATGGCTTGCCCCATATGGACGAGCCACCTCGTCCCGACCCCGTGGGGTCGCCGCCCTGCAGCATGAAGTTTCTGATATTTCGGTGAAAGTCGATATTTCGGTAGTAGCCCTTTTGGCCAAGGCGAATGAAGTTCCACACGGCTCGAGGGGCCCACTCGGGGTATAGTTCAACCTTCAGGTCGCCAAGGTTGGTGGAAAGAATGGCGTATCCCTTATGCTTGACTCGTTTGGGCTTGAGCATATACTCTTCGTCGGACAGGATTGCGAGGCTGGCGTCGGTTTGAGGGGTAAGACCAGTGCTAGTAAATGATGCAGCAGCTTGCCCGGTGGTGTAGTGGGCGGCATTCTTCGGTGGAAGTTTTCGTACTGTACCACTGCCACTCAAGGCCGCCTTCTGTGCATTTCGCGATAGTTGGCCTTTGGCTTGCTGGCCCTCCGTAGCACGCTCAGCGCGTGCTTTAGCCACTGCCTCCTTTGCTCGGAGAATCTTCGCCGAGCTTCCCAGGGCTGACGCGTTGATTCCATTACTTTCGTCGGGATCCTGGTGTGCGGCTACAGGTTTTTCTCCCTCTTTCAAATACTGAAATGAACTGAGATTCCTTGCTTCGATGTTATGTGGATCCTGTAAGGTGATGATGTCCTTCCTGGTAAACTCTTGGTCGGTGACCAAATCCTTCCAATTCTTGGCTTTGATGTTCAGTCGCTGAACGGTATCCCAAGCAAAAACGTTTCCCGAAACCTTTAACGCTACGATATGGGTATTGTCTGTGAAGACCTTGAACGTTACCGGGTCGACATATTCTCCGTCATCGTTTTTCGCGAAGTTTAACTTGATCAAGTCGGCGCGCTTCAGCGGTGTTCCATCCACTGGATTCGTTCTATGCTTCGCAAGCCACGCTAATATATTTGACAGGTCGAATATGGTCCCGTTCTCCGTGCAGACAGGATCGCTAAACGGCTGCAAGGACACCGCACAGTAGTTATAAGGTAATCGTTTGAAGGTTGTGTCGACCGCTTGTTTGCCAGCTTTTGAGCCGGCACTCGCTCCAAAGGCATCTCCTGACGCCCACTCGGAGTGAGTGATGTATAGCTTATCCGTGCCTTCGAGATCTGTCAAAAATAGCTTCAATGGAACTAGGAAGGCGACATACCTTTGCCCATGGTGTCCTGTTGGTCTAGCAGTCGTATTCCTCAATGATGGCGATCATTTCAATCTAGATGAGTGACTTCAAAGTTTTCCGTATATCCTTGGCTGGTGGGAATGTTTCAACACACAATACGGCAGGTATCCGATCATAAGTCCATCCGCACTGGGTCACTGGCGCATATCAACGGCATCATGATTTGGCTACGGAATACTGTTTTGTACTGTACATCAGGAACTGTTCTGTTGTGATGTCAAGATTGATGCCTTGCGCCTGGACCAGGACCAGGACATTGGAAAGGCATCAATTATCGATGCCTTAAGATTGATTTAGATTCAGATTCAGATTCACTATAGAGGACGCTGTGGCTTAAATCAAAGTTAAATTGCTTTTAAACTGATGGGAAAGTTAATCTTCCCTAATAAATGGTGTTGTTCTCGAAATACTCACTCTGTCCTTCACCTCGAACACTATTTCTTTTGATGATCAATGGCATACCGACCGTTTCGGTCTTGCGAGGAACGTTAGCATAGGAAGAGCTAGGAATCCTCTGCAGTAACTAACACATGGATCGTATCACACTTGCGCAACTCCCCGAACGCGAAACTGCAACTAGGACAATTCATTACTTATGAATCCCTCACCCCAGCAAGAAGCCATTGTAGCTGCTTAGCTTTCTGAGCTGAGTCAATAACTCGAAGATGTCGTTTAGCGCCCCAGTACTGCCGCATTCGCTAGAGCAACCAATCTCAACTTCCTTGGGGAATTCACCGGGGCATTCACCAGGGCATTCGCCCGGAGCTTCATCGGGGGCTTCATCGGACTCACCACCCCTGGTCCTTGACATCGGCTCATCATCTGACTCGGAAGACTCCATAGTCTCTGCACGGCAGTCACACCAACCAACTCCAGTCAACATTGAAAATGGAATTGAGGCAATCCAACCTATAATACAAGCGGTCCAGGTCGTCGGATCAAATGCTCCCCTCCTCGGTGTCCCCGTGCTGCGGCGCGAAGGCAGGACAGGAGCGTACTTTCCGGAAGACAAGGCCAAGGCGGTCGAGTATTTTCTAAAGCACTCGAAGGAACGCGGGATTGATAAGAAGAAGGCGGCGGACGAGCTGGGTGTGAAATATATTACGCTCTATCAATGGGTTCGCGACGCCGTCGAACGTACCCGGGCGTCCCAGCCTGCTGCGAGGTTTCCTAGGTTCCATACAGCGGACGACCAAGTGGCCCATCAGCGGAATTCAGATGCTTTTTCCCCCCAATATCATGCAGATACGATCCATAGGGGCCGATATGAAACCAACTCGCCGTTCCATACATCACATGTAGGGATCGCTGACAGTGTGAAACGACGACGAACGGAGAATCCTTCGCCGACGTACGCCAGTTTCTTTGAAAACTCGAGCTCGCTGAGTGACATGCTGCTCCAACGGGGTGTAAGTCTCCACGACCAAGGACAGCGGATGGCGTTTGGCGGAGGGTACCCTCGCAGCCGAGTGGGCGATGTTCCGCTGGCAAATCTGCGTCAGCCGCACCTACGCGAACCGTGCATGTCTCTTGATAGCGATGGTCGTGACCCGGAAGATGATCGCAGACCACCGACACAACTCGTGCGGAGGACCTTCACAGGAGGACCACCAGGGCCGCGTCAACCGCCTCCTCAATCAGGAGCCCCCACACCCACGGTCGACAGAAGACATTCGGTACTGATTGAGGGGACACCGAAGGTCCGCACCTCGACCGTGGACAACGTCTCGCACCTACCACACTCCGACGTGCGGCAATCAGAGGTCAGCAACTCGCTGGCGGTAACATGCTCAATAATACGGTCGACGGTGAAATGCTCCGACCTGCAACGAACAGAAATGGAAGCAAGCCGAGTGGAAAATTCGGAGATCCTTGGCTCGACGCTAGCGGCCACGACGGTCAAGGAGTCGCAGATATGGGACGCCGAACTGACCAATTGTGAGGTGGAGAATAGCAAGGTCGATGGCGGCGTCCACGAGGGGAAGATATACCACAACGTCGTGATCAGTGGGTCGGAAGAGCAGACGCCCGTGGAAGGGAATGGGATTTGAAATGAATGGGTAGCGAGGGCGCATTTTTTATTTCGACATATATCTGAACCAACGCTTCATATGGGGGAATAATTCACAAGCTTATCCTACAAATGGCACCTCCATCCAGCTCGCGGGAGCTTTACCACAACTTGTTCTCGTCCACCTTCTTGACCTTCTTTGTACGCGCCACCGGGATACCTTCCGGCCTTGGCCGGAAGAACAGACTCGGTCCTTCTCCTTCAGCGACCTCGTGCTGCAAGTATCCTCGATGAGCAGCATCTCGATAGTACTCTTGATCCTTTCGTCGGATGGGGTCCGGCAATCGATACTTAAACTGCCGTCGAATCTCTTGCATTTGCTCCCAAAGCGGAGCTGAGGGATCGGATGACTGTGCTTCTTGCGCCTCGCCGGTAGAATTCGAAGATACAGACGAGTTTGACACAATTTCACCCTCGTTGGAGGTACGGGGCAGAGCAAGGAGCGATTGATCCCGAATCGGAAATGAAGTGCCGCTCGCAAAGGGGAGTTCGAAAGGTTGAGTGGTCGGGTGGGAGCGGAGAGAGATTGTCGGGTGCATAAGGCCGGCTAAGATCTTCTTTACAGAAAACTCGGTATAGTATCGAGTGGTGACGGTGCCTCCGGCCCTCTCAACTGCCGCGATTGCGGATGAAGATGCACGGGAGACGGTGATATGGATAGGCGAGCGAAGCGCGGTGGAGTTCTGCAATGCCATCAGAACGATCGTTCATTGGGGTTTTGTGCAGGAGACTTACGCGACCAAGCAGCTTGATGCCCTCTCCAATTCGGTTCACGCATCTCGACCGATAGAGTTCTCTGATTGTAATGGGCTTCGACGGGTCTATCCTGCCTTGATCGATCCATTCCTGTATGCGGTCGATGTTCAACGGCGCTAGATCCGATGAGAAACTAGACTAATTCAGCCATTGATCGTATATCATGTCTATTGTTGCGCATACTTCTCATTGTCCTTTCCTCGCGTCGGATTCGTCACCTCCAGCTTCGTCTGTCCACCTGTGAATCCCGCGGGCACCTTTCCATGCTGTTTCTGTCCTTTGTGACCCCGTCCGGAGGTTTTGCCCTTCCCTGACGACGGACCTCGTCCAAGTCGAATAGCTTTGCTGTAGGAAGTCGGGACGTTCTGGAGGTCGCCGAGAAGGGATGCGAATCGGGCTTGGGTGCGAAGGGGGAATGCGGGGAGAACGGCCGGGATTCGGCAGGCGCAGGTGGGCAGAAAGCTCTGCGCTTGGGTGAGAAGATAACGAGGTGGCATGGCGCCCCGAGAATGATACTAAGCTCACATTCCAATATCGCAGAAGAGAAATATTCCTGAGGTTCACGTTGGCATTGAGGTTCGGGTTTGCAGGGGTGCAAGGTAAGATTAACCGAAGTTATTCCATCCAATCACTCACGCGCCATCACTCCCCTACGAAACTTGGCAGAATCTTTCAAATCTGTATTAATATTCCGGCTTGCACGAATAAGTCACTGCACACTCGCCATTCTGTCCACTATTACTACATCAAAGTCCTCTGATTTTGCTTCTCCTCATTCCATCATCAGGACGCCCCTGAACCGGACATTTCCACTGTTCATTTGGTCAAGTGCATTCTGCACGTCGTCCATGGGGAATTTCTCAATCATGCAGTCAACGCCTTGTCTGTTCGCAAAGTCGATCGTTTCTTCTGCGTCACGCGCATGTCCACTAGGCCATCCTAATGAAAGAAGGAACGTAAGCAATAGACCTAATATGATGTAGAGGAGGACTTACCCCAAACACTTATACCCCGCAAAATCATCATCCCCGTGTTTACAGGAACATCGCCGACCGCTGTTAGACCATTGTCAGTCTAAACACCGAGCCAATAAGGGAGATTTTTAACTTACGAGCGAGAATCAGCAGCTTTCCACGCGCAGCAAGCCCGCTGAGAAGAGGCGGAACTACTTCAGGGTTCGGTGCTGTGACCACGATCAAATTGGCGCCGCCCATCGCCTGCAGTTGCTGCGCTGCATCGTCTTTGCTAGCATCGATATAGTCCGTCGCTCCCAGGTCCAAGGCAAAGTCTCTCTTCTTTTCGCTCGAGCTTAATGCTACCGTTCGGTAACCCTGATGGGGGGTGTCAATGAGAACCACGACAGATATCCGAGGAACACTCACCATTTTCCGGGCAAACTGAAGGGCAAGATGACCAAGCCCACCAAGACCTTGGATCACCACTGTTCCTCCCGGCGTGATGTCCATCTCGCGGATGCCATTGAAGACCGTGACTCCTGCGCACAGCAATGGCGCAATGGCTGGATATTCGGAAGCGGGAATCTCTTTGGGAATGTGAACAGCTGCCTCAGTTCGGAGATATGCGTATTCTGCATCTATGATACGTTAGCCATGCGGTTTGACCATGAAAGAGCACGGTCGCATAATTACATCCTCCGGATCTCGTTACGCCATTAACCTCTGCATTGTCGCACATCTGGAAGTCTCCGTGGCTGCAGGATTTGCAGACGCCGTCATGCCCGCCATGCCATGCTCCCCCCACCACCTCTCCGATCTCCCATCTCTTCTCACCAGAGCCAACACGCACGATCGTCCCAATGGTTTCGTGGCCGGGAATAGCTGGGAACTTGGCCCTGGTTTAGCTGTTAGCACCAACCCTTTGGTATTTCCGAACGGCTGCAAGCACCAATGCCCATCTAGCCCGCTATTGCTATCATAGCGAGGGATTTCACTCACATGGGACCGAATAGGCCTTTGATCAGAAGTTCGTCACTGTGGCAGACACCGCAGCAATGCACCTAGATAGGAGTCAGTCAACCGTTCCTGCCATTATCTGCATTCTGCGATGATACCTTGATGAGGATCTCGCCGGGTTTCGGCTCCTCGAGAGGAAATTCTTTGATCGCGAGCGGCTGGTTTGGACCTTCAACCACCACCGCCCGGTATGTCTTTGGCAGAGTTGGTGGAGACATATTCTGATCAAACTTTCGCGATTGCGGCGTCGTTTAAGTGGTGTAACAGCTTCTGGTAGGTTGTTGTAAGGCTAGGAGGTTGGGATTGGAATATCTACCAAAGGAGATTGCGAGGTTGATACAGGTTTTATACTCCGTAGAATCGAATACAATTATTAATGCAGACGAGGCAATTTTCTAGTTGCATGCGCTACATATCCAGCTCCGTAAGGCCTTCCCCGACTTTGATGTGAAACTGGTGGTATTTTGTGTGCACAATCATGACCTCAACTCTACCAGACTGTTCTTCAACACCGAATACACAGTTAAGACCCAAGGGTTGTTTAAGCCCGGTGCTGGGATCTTCTGTAACTAAAGAAGACTGCAATAGTTAATGCTAATTGGTGATTGCTTATGGATCTATCGTTAAATCCGATACAATAACCAATTATCTTCTCAATGAAATAGCATTCATCTCAGAGCGACCATGCGGGAACACTGTCATCATCATGGAAGGCAAATTTAAAGTGATATTCATGGACCTCTGCTCGAGATCACTCATCACTCGGATACAGCAGCCTAGGTAGGTCGGCGAACTAGATTAATAATATGACGAAGGAAATCATATTCCGAGAGGTCTCCGGCTTCTGCGACACCGGCTTTCTACTTACAGGTACCCTTCGATGGCTTGGCGCATATCCAGCCACAGCCCGCAGGTGCGTTACCCTTTTCCCAACCAAGCGATGACGGGACGACCACATAGTTCTCGAAGTCTAGATTCTGCCAACAGGCAATCCACAAGGTGTGCTCATAAATCGCTACTATGTAGGGCTCCATACCAGCCCCTGTTCGACATTGCTTGAAAGGAGCCTATCCTTACGTCCATTGCGGCATCCCATTGCGGCATCCCATCGTAGCGACATCTTTGTTATCTGAGGCATGATCCAGCTTTGAGGATAGTTTCAAAAGAAACACACTTTGCACCGTACATGGTGGCACTTCTCGCACGGCCACTCCTGTCCTCCATTGTCGTACACGCATTTGCAGCAGATCCAGCAATCGATGAGCGGGTTGGCTGGATCGGACTTTCTCAGAACTGGCTCGGCCTGAACCCCGTAGACGTTGCCTTTGCTGGGGGGTGGCGGGGTGGCCCAACGGGATTTAGGAGGCGGATGGTGCGAGAAATTAGCCATACGTAGGATGAGCTTCTCGTCTTCCGTACTATTCGTTGATATGTCAGACTTTCGTTCCGGTTCCTCAGCGTGCCGGTCCTGGGACGACGCCATCACTAACACCTCCCCTGGGTCCACGAATATATAGTCCTCCTCAGTTCCTCCACCGACTGCAGTTGTGCCGGAATGGCATTCTATTCCTCTCCCAGCATCTTTCGTATTCGCATCTGCTCCGCCGTCACTGGATTGCCGTGCCGTCATCGTGGTCCAGTAGCCGACTCCACCAGGAGCATCGAGACCAAGAGATCTATCGGTGCTATGTTTCGCGGACGGAGGAACCGAAGCTCGGTACAGCTGAGCGCTCTCGGAAGCAGACTGAGATGATTTTGGACTGGAGAAGCTCGAACTTCCATAGGAACCAGAGAACCGTGAGCCCAGTCTACCGATGGGGTTGTATGCGTGACCCGACATGTGGCTGCGAGCTCTTGTCCTGCATATACTGGTCAACTTGCTGAAGCTCGCGAGGAACCAGTGTAGGCTACATACTTGAGTAGTAAAGTACGTATATGCAGTTGCCGGTTCTGTTATGGCTGGTTTGATCGTGAAGCACGTGGCCCTGATAGTGAGTCAGTCATTGCTGTGCCTAAATTGACAAACAAGCGCATCGGAAGCGGAATTCTGGTCAAGAGAGTACATAACAAATCCGCAAAATAATGCAGAGTTACATATCCCAAATATGTCATTTGAAGTCGTCCATCGCAGGGAGTAGGTGGAGGATACCGGGATATTATACTTACGTTCACTTCTAAGCGAGTTTCAAATGCGGGAAATCCAGAGTGTCGAACCTTGTGATAGTGGGAAGATGAACATGGCCTAGGTACAAATGTAGTGAGCGACTTCACTTACTCGCCAGGGCGTCTCAAAACATCAAGATGTGATTGTATCCACTACCATAATTCACCATAGGACGACTTGCACGTGCCAGCCTTGAAAAGATCATATGCTCGTTTAGTAATTTTATCCGCCATACTGGTGCTCTAATCATTCTTCCCTCGCTTCCCACTGTAGTCCTCGAAAAGGGAAGAAGAAGAAGACGTCGGGCTGCCTTCATGGGTTTTGACGGTGTGGAAAGTGAAATCCAATTCCCCAACGAGTTCCTTGGTTGCGCTAGAAAACGCCTGTTAGCTATGTAGAAATGAATTGAGAAGTTCCGATTGACGTACCGAAGAAGCTTGTCCAGATCCGAGCTGATGCACCTCGCGGATATTTGAATCACTGCGAAAGCCGCATAACCTGGGTCCCCAATATGCCGGAGACTGAGAATGTCTTTGTCCAGTTCCTCGAGTCTGCGGGACAGTACGTACGGTTGCGGAGCCATTAGGTATGGTGGTAGCGGTTGTCCGTTCAATATGCTTGCCGAGAGTAGGGAGAGCAGAGATGTAATGGCCTGAGATGTTGGCTTCAGCTCCCCGATCACGGCTCTGAAATCGCTGAACCATTGAGTAGCTGAATCCGTGCTCAGGTCACTGTACGTCTGGCTGGCGTAGCTAATAAGAGACATGTAGTTGAAGATATGCTGGGCGTAGTCGATGATACGATCGTACTGCTTCTTGGGGAAACGTCCTCCAATGGGTATCTCCCACTTGAGGAAACTCGAATACGTGCGCAACCCATCCAGAATCAGGATCTGCTTCGAGTAGATCTTGTTCCGTACCTTTTGCATTCTCCGTCCTGGGCCATACTTGTCGTCGAGGTCTCCTTCGTCGCCACGAATCCTCGCATGCACTGTTTCATGAACAATGGAATAGTAGTTGGCAAGGAGGTAAAGACAACCACCAAGGCTCTTCCGGAGCTCGGAATGTTCGGATATAGGGTACGGGATGATGGTCCAGAGGAAAGCGACCGCAAGGCCGGCAGTAACGATGGCCAGCCGATATGGAGCGAGAAGGTAAAGGGGATAGTACAACTGCCCGTTGCTGGCAACTGCGATTTCTCCGATTTTATTCGCTTCTAGTTCATACGCGGTGATCATTGTTATGGTGACCATGGAGATCATACCTGCGATGGTAAAGGCTGGGGCCTTGATAGGAATGTAATGACCCAGAGAAACGAAAAACCATAGGAAGACTATGACGCCCGGGGTCTTCCCGTTGGGGATATAATAGATCAGGAATGCCACAACCGTGGCAATCAGGGTCCCGAGAATGCGTAGCGCGAAGCTATTGAAGCTCCGGCCTGTGGTCGGGCTCATACTGATCGCCGTCATAATCATTGCCCAGACCAACCTATGTTGATTGAAGAATCGTTGAGTCTGATTTAGATAGGCCATGATTCCGATTGACATTGTCGCACACGCAGCACGGAAGCCAAATGCTGAGGCTTGGGAACGAAAAAAACGTGGGATTTTTCGAAGCCCGTCGCCAATCTTTTCGATCCAGCCTTGAGCAGGTAGATGTTCCGGGTCTTTTCGTGCATTATAAGCTTGTCCGAGGTGCACTTGTGTGTTGGTACCTCCTAGATCCGGGAGGTCGTCGCTCTCGTGGTCCACCACGCCGTCATCTAGTTTCCCGATACTTCGGATCCATTTAGCAAAACGCCGGTGGCCGGGAACGATCAAGTGTTTCTTCAGGAACGTTCCTTCATCTTTTTTCTTATCAGAGTAACGTACGAGAGCGAGGATGGCTTTCATCTGGCAGCCGAGCAGATAGTGCATATAAAGAAGCACAAATAGCTGACGCTGATTCCTCTTTTTCAATGAGAAATCGGTATGATCCGGAACGGAGAAGCTTCCGCTTGAATGATCTCGAAAGAAATCCTCTGATAACGTAACACCTTTGTCTTCGCACCAGGCTCGGAGAATGGACTCCTTAGACAGAGCAAAGGCCTCCGCCTGACGCTCGAGATACAGGAGAAACTCTTTGTGACCGGGTTTGACCACGTCTGCCTCCGCTTCGATATCTCTTTCGCCTCCTTTAGTCGCTCCGTTTCTTTCCGCTCGTGGAGGTTTAGAAAACTGTAAGACATAGCTGATGTGCTGCAACCCTTGGTCTAGTGCAATTGAAATATCACCGAAGGGCTGCTTGACGATTGTCATTATGGACGTCCAGTCCTCCACAATGCGAGAGCGAATAATCTCCTCGGATTCTTCCTCTTCCTCTTGCAAATATATCTTTCTCCAGTCATGGTCGGCTAGGCGATCGAAGATGTCGATCACAGAGGAGATGCCAATTGTGGGAAGCAGAATCTCTCTCAAATGCTTCGAGATCTCTCCAATGGCTTGCGGCCCAAGCTTCCCGTATGCAACTTCGCGTTTGGCAAACTTAAGATCGCCGCTTAATTTGCCATGAAGTGCTGCAAGAGCAAAGAAGGTCTTTTTAACTTCCTCTGCTTCCGCGACGGCCGGTTTCTTCCCGGTCGTTGTTTTCACTCTAATCAAATTGGTAAGAGTCTCGGACCCTTCCAAGCAGGTGAAATATGCGTTATGAGCCTTTATCGAGCTTTGCAAGAGCTTGATATAGCCCTCCATCCCTTTGAAGACAGTTGTACGGCAATTCCTAGGCACAATAAAGAGGGATACGCCTGTAGCGATACCGAACCCCGTTAAGAAAGTGGTGAGCAGTCGCGTGGCGAAGGTCACGCCGGCCGTCATGTTCGGAAATTGAGGAGAAAAGGTTGCAGACACATTGGTAAAAATGGCGTACAAGATAGTTGGAAATGTAAATTGGGGATATGCGCTTTTAACAGCATTGACCAAGTAGATCTGGAAGAACAACCATATACCGGCAACTGCACTTGCAGACGAATTGTATGCCGTTGGGTCCGAGCCAGGGGAGTTTGAATGTCGTCGAGCTTCGGTGACGCAGTAAATGCACAGGAGTGAAACGGCCGTCGCGAAACATATACTAATGATGTTGAACATCATCGTCTGAATGAACTTTGCCCGTGGCATAATGGCAAATCCGAGCAAAGATACGACAGCCATAAGGTATCCAAGGAGCTGATAAACGTTTGCAACGGCTGTGGATTGATACATGGCGGCTGCAATCGCTGGAGCGATTCCACCTTTTGCCATCAGCATCAACGTCGCAGCATCGAGACCCAGCTTGGCCCATATTGTTTTTATCATATTGACCAAGCTCTTCTTCTTCGTTTCTTTTGCTTTGGCATTTGATCTGTCCATGTCACCGGCGGTCCCGGCCGTATGGGTTCTTTGGGGATCCATCTTAACGAATGCACCTGACTTGTACACAGTTTATACGGTCGTGGTATCGTCGATCATAAGCGATGGCCTTCATTGCAACACCACTCGCGAAAGAATGTATAGCGAATAATGTCGACTCAGGTTTGTCAATGGGATAAGCCAATGCACTCGGTTTGATGAACAGGAAGAGTTGACATCGACACATCGCCGACACGAGCTGACAAAGTCCAGTCCGGGACCCACAGTTCATATTCTCCCCGCAACATCCTCCGGCTTCGGTTCACTTCGACCGACAACACCCAATTCCGTACATACATAGACAATCCTCCAGGAAAATAGGCTCTATACGTCACAATTAATCCGATCGATGCAGACTGTCAATGGAACGGGGATATGTCGGTTTGGTCGGCGTTGACATTATCGTGTCCGTAGACACAATCCCCACCCATCATGATACGGACAGCTTGAGCTACTCAATGTATATGGTTCAAAATACCATCCAAGATAGCCACTCAAACGGCTGGGATAAGATACGGAAGTCTCTCATTGTCTAAATTCTCTTTAAACTAGCTATATGTATCAGGGTAGGACTAGTCCTCACCATCAGCAATGCAACTCAATAGCACATGTCGTCGAAGCTGATCAATCCTCTACCCGAGTTTCTGGTGGTTGAATATCTTTTGAACTTACATTCTGCACATCTTGAACTGGGCCAATGCTTTCTGTTTCTTGACACAATCAGGACAGATCATTGAGTATCGATCTTCTCCTTCGTTAAGTTTCGCGTCGCCACTCACTGCCATGACCCCTTTTGTCTGGTCGCATTGGACGCACTGCAACGCTTTCGTTCCGCACTCCATGCAATACTGCCTGGAGAACTTCTTTCGGAAGACGATAAGGGCATTGGACATCTCCTCCCCTTTCTGGCTGCAAAAGAAGCAGATTTCTGGCTTCTCGATGCAATTCTCGCATTTCTTGCTCCCGCAGAATCTGCACAGGCGTCCCGAAGTGTGGCTGCTCGTGTTCTTGCGTCCTCTGCAACTCTTCTTGCAGCATTGCCATTCATGCTCCTCTAACACGCTTCCTCCGCCGCCCCTTAGTTCAAGCCGGTCGTATTGCTCTTCATCCATCTCATCCGGGACCAACCCGTCTATGCTGGGTGGTCTAGAGGACTCGGCCCTTGCATGGTCCTCCAGGATACGACAATCGGATCCGAACGTGCATTCCAGGTAGTAAGTCGACCTAGCTGGTTCTGGAATCTCAGTGTGCGAATCGTGGATCCAGACTACATTGGTAGGACTCGTGGTGCTGGATCCGTACCGTCTTCTAGTAACTGCGTGCAGTCTTCTGGGACCTTGGCCGACAGCTTGATCGATCGTTTCCGACGTCGCCCACGCGTCCATGAAAACGTGGTCCTCTAGTGGACGCCTCCGAGCTTGGCTGATATACTCCATTGGAGTAGGGGTGGGCTGTCCGTGTGGACCAGAGACTGGAGTCCGATCGTGAGGGCCGTACCCATTGCAAAGGCGTCCTCTTCCGACCCATAAATCATTCAAAGCGCCTTGATCAGAATTGAGATTCCGGTTGAAATTGGCATTGACCAAAGAGGACCCTCGCCATATCGCATTGCGCTGACCGATGTTGTGAGGCTGGTAACTATTCCAGGAGCCAGGTCCCGGCCTGTGAGACTGCAAATTCACTGGCCTGGGGGCGCGATTGTTCTCATACCAAGCGTGCGCTCTTCTTGGCGACCATATGCTCTCGTCATCGGGACCTTGGTGCTGCTGGTTGTTCATCGTGTTCGGTTTCTTTAGCTGTTTCCCGTTATGATTATAGTCAGGAATTTGACGACCTTTTACAGGCCTTCCAACTAGCCTATCTTGTGGATATTTATACTCAGCCTAAGGGGTGTAGCTACTAGGACACGTCAGTGGTGATTGGGTCACAGTGTCGTTTCATTGCTCTTTTTTCAACTCCCCATGTTTGTCACAAACGATTATGGATGTTGGTAAATCTCCAATTCGTTGCCTTGAATCCAGTTACCTTGGTTTAGAATACACCATCTCCCGCACATCCGTTATCGAACAGTATTATCCTCACCTCAGAACTGTAGTGAGGAGTTTGGGCTTTCTCACTTTCTGTTGTCAGATGAGCATTAATCGTTAACGTTTCCGCTGATCAAACGAAAGTCGCTCATCCCATATTGAGTATCCCATAATACCTTCCGACTAAGGCGAGACGCAAACAAGAATCTAGCAGTACGTGAGCTTAGATCACGAGCATCAATATGCCGGTTAAAGCCGAAATTCCCCTCTGAAGGAAAGAGAGCCATACAGAAACGAAACATTCCGTAACTGACGTACGCTTAGATTCCGGGGAACCAGTACACTTCCTCAAAAGGGAGACGCATATTCAACAATGCGAGGAGGCGAGCAACACCAACAACCCGCAAACGGAATATCGACCACGTTTTCGGGCCGCCAGAGACCTCGGTCAGTCATGATCTACTGTTTTTTTTTGTTGTCTGTACCTATTCCACGGCTGCTTCTTCTCGTATCATGCTCAATTGGACGACGAACGATCCATTGTGCGTTGGTCGGCCATTCGCCTAATGTTAGTGCCCTGCGTGGCAAGATAGAGTTGATGGCCCCATATGTGGACGTCTCATGCAACGATAAAGAAATGATAGGCGATAATTAGTTCGCTCTGCCAGCAGTAGGGATGGAGCATGGCAATCGGACAGAAAGAGAAGAAATTGGTGGCTGATATATAGTTACCATAACCCAAGTTGACTAACTAGTTAGCAATAGGTAATTAAGCTAAGCTCACCAAGCTTTTCTACTAACTAGCGTAGCCAACATGCATGTGTCAATTCTTACCAATTCCTAATTCCATCAAGGTCGCAACCTGAGGAACGAGGGCCCTTTTAGCATCTATATCCCTTGCGAGATATTATTGTTACTGTCGATTGTAATCGGTATCCCCGCCATGCATTAGCAAGTTTATCGTTATGTTCCTTAATTACATAGTAACCCTTTGCATGATGCGTCTACTTCCTATCACGTCCCGCACCAGCTTCCCAATCCGTACAAGTGCTCCCGCTCCGTAGACGCCGATCATAGCGCCTTCGAGGTTGGGCAGGCTATCGCAAGTCGCCTAGGGAAATTTCGATTATTCTGATAGGCGGGAGGAATCATCACCTACTGTGTCTGTACAAGCGGAGTGAGCATCTATGGAGCAGTCTCGTATGGGGACCACATTATGCCGCGGGCGCCAATGATACACAACTGTCGCAGAAGCCAGGAATGACGGCGGGAAATTCAATTGACTGTCGGATCTGTCCGATAATCCGATTGTTGCATTGTTCTGATAAGGCGCCGCGAAAGCCGAAATTGCCTGAAGGAATCTGGGATAAGACAAGTGTAGACGGGAGAGGGTCTTCCCCAGCTTAAATAATAACCAGCCGGGCCCACGGCCGATCAATTGACTACTTGGAGGCTCAATTAGTTATCCTTGGAATCATTGGACATCATGCGGTTGCCGTCTATCGTTGCTGGGGCATCGCTCCTCTCGTCCGCCTGCGGGCTCAACATATTGGTGAACAATGACGATTCCTGGGCGGCAGCCAACATTCGAGAATTCTACAAAGCATTAAAAGCGTCGGGTCATAATGTCCTGCTCGTGGCACCCGCGGTGCAGCAGTCGGCTAAAGGCGGCACTGTAAGTGACTTAGCTGGATGGTTGACGTGAAGATGAATTGAACAGTAGCTGACACGGATTAGGTTGTCTTCGCTGACGTGCGCAACCTCACTACGCCTGGTGAGTTCGACTCGGTGCCAGCCGGCTCGCCATCTGTAAGTCCAAATAACCAGAGAGATGGATTTGCTGGAGGCGTCAACGCTAACGCTCGAACAGTTCGGTCAAGACCCCAACGACTCTCATATGTGGTACTATAACGGCACGCCTGCAGCATGCACGTTCTTCGCCCTCGACTACGTTCTCCCGAGACAGGAACCATTCGGCCCCGGCGTCCTGCCTGACCTCATGGTGTCCGGTCCCAATGTGGGATCAAACGCAGGACCCTTCGTCTTCACGCTGTCCGGATCTCTTGGTGCTGCGTATTCGGCCGTCGAGCGCGGCATCCCGAGCATTGCTTTCTCCGCAGTGAACAGCACCCACCGTGGGTACACGGACGTGGCTGACGGCGACACCGCGGACGTTGCGGTGGTGCATGCAAAGTTGAGTACGGCGATTGTCGACCGGTTGGCAGAAAACTTCGACAAAGGACACGGCCACTGGCGACGTAGGAAGGATTCAGACCGTCTGCTGCCACTCGGATATGGATTGAATGTCAACATTCCCCTGATCACAGATACCTGCACCGAACCGAACTACGTGCAGACGCGACTCACTGGCGGCGCGGTTGTGGATATTGCGGTCTATAACGAGACGACGGGGCTATTCAAATATGGTGATGATCTCAATGATGGGGTTAACGCCTGCATCAACGGCGATTGTCGTTTGCCCGGCGAGACGCTCGTGATCAAAAAGTGCGCCGTTGCAGTGAGCGTGTTCACCACAGATTTCGACGCTCCGAATTGTCGCGGCGATCCGGAGGTAAGGCAGAAGTTGGAGGGATTAGTCCATTACGCGAAAGTCAAAGCGAAGAGATGGGTGTTTTAAAAACGAGGAAGCATTAATACTGCAGAAGGGAATAGCAGAGGCTTGTGTGGAGAGGAGTAATGGATTCGTGGTTAAGAAAAAGACACTGCGGGACCCCCCCTGGATGTCAACGGAAGATGACTATGGCATGGCAAGGGTTTTTGATAAGATCCGGAGACTCATACGGAGTGCCGGTACCCAGCATAGCATATGTTTATGAAGGAACCAAAGGGAATGAATGTTGAACACTTGATTGAACTTGTGGTGTTTGGCTTGACTTTTGACCTGGACGCTCAACACTGTAGTGGATCGAGGCAGCAGCCTTAGGCCACAAGGCTATGGATCACGTGCTGGTGTCAGGGGAGCTTTCACGTGGAAAACACATCACCATCGTCCATTAGCCATCAGATTCGGGTGGAAATTAGGATTCCTCATTCATGGAGAGCAAACAGCCTGAAACGTTCAACGTGGGAGGCTGGGAATGGATGGAGGGGCAGCAGGGCAGAGAGCCAAGGAAATGACGCAGTGGCGTCCAGCGTGTCTTCCGTGTTTCAGAAACGCGATCGACCAGCGAATCGATATCTCCCCGAACCTTTGTAACCGCTTCAACTCCCTGCGTTTCCGAACGGATGCTGGCTGCAGGCGCATTTTGTCCAATTGTCCCCCTATCGGTGAGATATTAGTGCATCTCGCAACTTTCCACTCAGTACCAGTATCGGATGACAAGTTGGCGACCAGCTGGAGATGCGAAACTGGTGGTGACCTCAGACCTGGCGCTGGTGAGACGCCGAAGCTGATATGACCAGCCTTCTTGTCGCTAGCCATCTCCAATCCCTGGGATACGTGAAATGGAGGGACCGCATCTCGAGGTAAAACGCGGGCGTTATTCTTCGCAATTTGCCCTCTATGCAGTCCATCTTGTGTCGCCTGCAACCGCCTTCTTTTTCTCTTCATCATTTTTTCGACTTCGTTTCTTCATCGTCTTACGAACGAGATGGTTTCGCACACGGTCTGAGACTGGTGCTTTGCATTCAAACCTGAACGGGTCACAGATCGACCGCCAGCACGCGAACCATCTCCGGTCCCGGCCCTATCCACGGGCATCCACTACATCATTGCTGCTTCTGGACTCAGCAGTGCTGGTGCTGTCCATCGCTATTTTGAACGGTCTGCCTTCGGTTCCTCCATTGGCATGCGATCGTGAATTCGACCCCGAGGCTTTCCCCGTGATCCGCAAGTCGGTGTTCATCACCACCCTAATCCGGCATTCCATCGCAGATACCCGGCCACAATTCCAGTCGGATTGTCGCTCAAACACCCCAGCGTCGACCCTGTACTCCTTAAAGCTCTCGACCAGCCCTGGGCGGCCATTAGGGTTTTGTTTGAGTTTCTTTTCTGCCTTTCTAGACCTGTTCCTTGCCGGCCGCTGCATTGTCAGAGCTCGTTTAAATCGGACGTTTGCGCCCTGTCTGGCAACCAAACGGAAAGACGGTTTTCTTTCATTAAGTTTCAAACACCTGATCTTTTTCAGCCTCAGCTTCACTACTACCCGGGCTCTTTATTTCCATTGGGTTGGGGTCGTGAGGTGGACTAGCTCGTTTGAAGTTGATATCCCGGGCCGCCGGGTTGCTTGTTTCGGCTTCAGGAACCGAAACTTGGGTCGCATACTCGCATCGCAACGATCAATTTGAGGGATTGAATTCGTACGACCGTTGCAAAAGAATCTGGAGTTGTTCTTTTGGATTTGACTGTTGCTCATCGCGGATCCAACGACTATTTGGACGATATCTGTCGCTGTCTCAATTCTCTGCACCATTCCGAGCCAACGAAATAAAACGGACTAGACCTAGCGACTCACATTTATTAATTTACCGGACTGGCAGCTGAAGAAATAAGGTTGAACATTTATTTCGGGTTCACAGCCAAAATACTTTTGAAGAGGAATATGTTGGTCGGGTGATAGTCATCAACAAACCTCGATTTCCGCTTCCGGACCAAACAACAACCCACCAAAGTTTCCATATCAACATCATTACACGCCTCTCAAGAGCCTCAGGACCACAGGCTTTCAATTCGAAACCGGACAGGCTCGGCTCGAGACGTTTTCAAGGATCCTAAGAAAATCCAACTGCATCCTTACCGACCTTCGCAATATACCCGCCGCTGTACCAATATCGGTACCTCCCCCAACACTACCCAGAACGGTTAACAGAGGGTTTTGTTCGAGATCTAAACTGGGCTTACACCTGTTTTAATTCGCCCTTTCGGCTGTCTAATTCGGGGATACAATTTTGGTATTCCGGCAGTCTCGGATCTCTTATTCTCCGCAGAAGGACTGCCGCGGAGAGCTCGAAACGCTGCGCGTCTCAGCTTCGTCTTCCCTCGCCTGGCCATCAGTCACTCCAGACCTTTCCACATCCTCTCCTTCTGGACCATTCCTTTCTCTCCATAGCACCGGAAGGTCGCTTTCTGTTCGGACGTTTCTAATCAACATTGAAGAGCTGCCTGGCCTCATCGTTGGCCCACTTGGCCACAGCAAAATCCGCCCCTTTGCTATATTGCTGATTGATCCTTGCGCTTTTTCAACAGCTACCCCCGTAGGAATATCTAGTTCTTAATCTGGTGTGCTCTCTGGACACTGGTCGAATCCAAGACATTGCTGTACTTCGGTCAGCGGGAAGAAGAGCTATCAGACAACGCTCTGCAACAACATCTGCAGAAAACTAGACCGACGATCGATCGTACGATTCTCTATCCCCCCTCATACTCACCCGATTCGGACTCAGCATTCCCGCGAGACCTTCACAACATGACTCGACGTCCATCCCGGAGTCTATCGTCGAGAGCGATACTCCTTTCCATCCTCACCTTATTACCACTTATCACGGCCGTCTCATTATCCGATTTCCAGCCCGCAATCAACCCGAACCTTCTCCCGGCGAACTGTGCCCGCGCCTACACCGCCGTCATCCCATCATGTCAAAAAGCGGATTTCCCAGTAAGCGACGTCATCACCCACCACTATTCCCCACTAACCGTCTCCGTCAGACCAACCAAAGCCGCGGCACCGTCTGCAGCACCTCCTGCATCCAAGGCCTCGCACAAGTCGAGTCCTCCCTCCGCCTCGCCTGCAGCAACGTCGACCTCCCCGAAACCTCCCTCCTCGCCTTCTTCCTCTTCGGCAAAGGCATCGAAATCCTCTGCGGCACCCCCATCGCGCGCACCACCATCATCTCCACCTCCACTCCATCTGGCCCCGACGCGAGGCCGACGTCCCTTAACCCAGATGCCGGAGCAGGCGAGTCCGGCGGGCTGCTCATGGACACGAGGAGCGGGCCCGAACCGCCGATGCGCACGCCGCCTGTCGTCGCGACGACCACGTTGGATACGAGCGTGGGGGGCGGGGATTCGTCGTCGGAAACGTCGGGTGACGGGTCGGATCTGCCGATACAAACGGCGACGGGTGCGCCACCGGGGGATGCAGGAGTAGCTCCTGGCGGAGGCTCGACGTCGGGAGCGCCACGGAGCACGCAGGAGGCGAAACCGCAGTCTGGAGGGGGTGGCAGTCCGTTTGAACTCAGTACGGCCGGGCAGATGCGAGTGGGGAACGGCGGGTGGGTTGTCATGATTGCTGGGATTTGCGCGTCGGTATTTCTCGGGTGAAAGATGCGGGAAGCAGAGTTTGGTATCCATGTGTTTTACGAGATCGTTGCGGTTCACGACGATTTGCAAACAACAGCCGATTTAGACCTCTCGATGCTGCCATTCGATTGCCACGAGGCGGAAAATCTTTGGAGTAAGGTTTGGGTAGCGATGCTGAGTCTGGGCTTTTTTCAGAACGATGCCATTATCTGGTCGTGGTTTGGGGATCGTATGGGACCATTGTTGTGGAGTTTTTCGCATTGGCATAAAAAGCCCTCGGGCGCCGGGTACTTGTCTAATATCACTGGCAGGAGGATGTTCTGGTTTCAAGATAACCGAATGTAGTTGCATGGGTCTGAGATGACCTTGATAGCCTTCAAAGATGAAAATTCAAAATATCGAATAAGATTTGAGGGACGTTCCTCCACGTGGATTATATCTATTCTACGAATTCCAACATCACGATCAAACGCTCATCGCTAACGGATACAAATGTCATCACCACAATGACGTGTCCATCCATACTCAAAACATCACAGGAGCCTCGCCTCTCCCATTCAAGCCAAGCAAGCTTCCCAGCCCACCCCTTCATGAACCAAACGCCCTCCCCTCCACCACCACATTCGGCGACTTCGTCCCGACAACCCAGTCCTGAAAATTCTGGCACGTCCCATCCGCGATCTCCTGCAGCGCCTCCTTTGTGAAGAACGCCTGGTGCCCACAGATCAGCACGTTCGGGAAGGTCATCAGGCGGCCGAAGACGTCGTCGTCGAGGATCTCGCCAGAGTGGTCGACGTAGAAGAGAGAGGATTCCATTTCGTAGACGTCCATGGCGAGGGAGCCAAGAGTTTTCTTCTTGAGCGCGGTGATGACGGCGGCGGTATCTACGGGAACGGATGGTTAGAGTAGATGTTTCGGGAGTGTGGACAAGAAGGGCGTCAGGATACATACCGATGAGCCCGCCGCGAGAGGTGTTCACCAACATGGCCCCTGGCTTCATCATCGCCAGCGTCTCCGCGTTGATAATATGCCTCGTCCCTCTCCCCTTCTCCGTCTTCGCCTCCTCCGGGTCTGCCGACGCGTCGATCAACGGACAATGCAGGCTCACAATATCCGACACCCTCAGCACCTCCTCCAACGACGCATACTCCCCCCCAAGCTCGGTAAACCGCTCGGTCGGAAACAGATCATACCCCAACACCCGGCACCCGAACCCCTTGAAGATCCGCGCCGCGCACAGCCCGATCTTCCCCGTCCCCAGCAACCCCACCGTCGCCCCATACATCCGAAACCCCTCCAGCCCCGCCAACGCGAAGTTCCCCTCCCGCACTCGATTGAACGCGCGATGCGTCTTCCGATTCAGCGTCAGCGTCAGCGCGAGCGCGAATTCCGCCACGCTCTCCGGGCTGTACGCGCTCATGCGCGCCACGCGCACGCCCAGCGCGGTGGCGGTGGGGATGTCGACATTGTTGAAGCCGGCGCAGCGGAGGAGGATGAGGCGGACGCCGGCGGCGTGGAGGGCAGTGAGGATCGGGGCGGAGACGTCGTCGTTGACGAAGACGCAGATGGCAGGGCAGGCGGCGGCGAGGTGGGTGGTGGCGGGGCTCAGGGGGAGGGCGTGAAAGTGGGGTTCGAGGGGAGTGGGGGGGTTGGAGGTGTTGTGGGCTTCGATGGCCTGGGTGAGGTAGGTGCGGTCGTAGGGTTGGGTGGAAAAGACGGCGAGCTTCATGGTGAAGGGTTCGAGGGCGAAGACCGATAGGGGTGCTAGTGACTCAGGGGTGGACGGTAGATTGGTAGAATTGATGGAGTTGTTGGACGGTGGGTGGGCCGTATATAACTTGACTAGAATCAGTATCGTACGATGTTAAGAAAGCAAAGCCAAGTTTCTAGTTTTTCTATCCTTGAACCCTAATAAAGCCATCATTCAATGTTGAGGACCACTGCATGAGCAGCGAGCTTCTTCGTTGAGGGTTTGGTTGAGACTCTGGGGCGAGCTCACCAATAGCTCGGAGGGGCAGGTGATAGTGCTGTTCCTTGTGAATGCAACGATCCTGTATTTAGTCTGATCCAATAGCACGTAAATGAAGATCTCTATGTCTTCTCGTTCCCGGATAAGAGAGCTAGAGATGTAGGATTACATCTTTTGCTGCATCTTGCAACTACCAAGTAGGGAACGGGAGAATAGGGTCCGGATTTACCACTAGACTTGAGACACCTCGCTGCGAACTGAAGGACAGACCTGCCATAAAGTGCCATTGCGAACCAGCAGGAGCCAAGAGGAAGTTAAGACCTCATCGTTTAGCCATGAATGTGGTGCCCTAAATGTACCGTAATTTGGATGACAGAGCCTTACATGTATGTATCTGTACTCTGTAGCCAGGAGGACATTGGTGTTGAGTTAAAGCTTCAGTCTGTTCCGGACTTTGGTACCGTGAGGCTGGCGAGGTTAGGGAAAACCAACCATTCCACTGTGGTCAGTCCATCCAGTACTCGAGCAATAAGACTCTAAGCAAGGAGATAACGCTTGTGCTTGACTATTAAGCAACCCAAAGATCGAGGATCCAGATCCGACTTCATGAAAGAGAGAGAGAGAGAGAGATTCATACGCCCGTCAGGCCTCTCGGCGAGGCCCATGTGGGGAACTACCTAAGCTGACTAATTACATGCGTTGGACTTTATGAAAGGAAGGAATGTGGAACGGTGGAAGCAAACGAAATATCACAAATAATCACGTGGTTCTCCCTAGCTTGTCACGTGCATGTGTCACATGCAGCTTCATCACGGTCATGACGCGCTGGTGAACGCGGTCAGGGGTCTGAAAGGGAGATTCGCGTCAAGTCCATCTGAAATGTTCCATTGACAACCACACCACTCCACGATGCTAAACCAGTGAAAGTAATAACCATCCACCACCTGCTCGCTTCTCTTCCCTTTCTTCTGCCATCACATCCAAAATGCCGGCAACTGCCCTTCAAACTCCCCACAAGAGAGTGCTGGTTGAATCGACAAACACCAAAGCCAACATCCAACTTTCCCCACACTCTGCAAAGAAGAGGCGGCTCAACGACTCTCCAGCAGGAAAGCTCAAAGCTCCAACGAGGATCGTAAATGGCGCCCCAGCTTCCAGTCAGGGGAAGAGTCATTTTGAAGAGGAGGTGCTGGAGAAGTTGTCACAGGATATCAATGGCTTGAAGCAGAGGAACTCCGAGACTGACCAAGAGTGGGCCCGACCCCCGCTGGGCGATTTCAGCGAGGAGACGGATAATATCTGCTTCCAGCAAATTGAAGCGGATGAAGGCTCACTACATGGAGGAAGAACGACAGTGAGATTGTTTGGTGTAACGGAGGTATGCCATGTTTAGATGACTTGTTCGCGGGCATCGCTAACGTGCCGACACCAGACCGGCCACTCTGTCCTTGTCCATGTCACAGGTTTCATGCACTACCTATACGTTGCAGCGCCAGTGTCCTTTGAACCGAAAGACTGCGAACCCTTCGGCCGTTTCTTGGACGGCAAGCTCGCCCAGCATCAGCCCACGATCCACTCCGTCCAAATCGTCCTCAAAGAGAACATTTTTGGCTTCCAGGGAAATCAGAAAGCGGCATACCTCAAAATCACCGTGTCGGATCCGCGATGGATCAACCGTGTCCGGACATGCATCGAGACCGGAAATGCCAACTACAAGGGGTTGTGGAAGTCGCCCGATGGAGGCGTGCTCACGTTTGACAGCATTCAATACATTCTTCGATTCATGATCGACTGCAAGGTATGGGTGTTCTAGACCTCTCATAATGGTGAAACTAATGATCTCCAGATATCCGGCATGTCGTGGGTCGAAGCCCCGGCCGGAAAATACAGACTGCTCCCACAGAAGGAAAGACACTCCAACTGCCAAATCGAAGCCGAAGTCAACTACAAAGATCTCATTGCTCACCAAGCTGAAGGTGACTGGGCCAAGATGGCCCCTCTTCGTGTTCTCTCGTTCGACATCGAGTGTGCTGGCCGAAAAGGTATCTTCCCTGAAGCCGATCAAGACCCAGTTATCCAGATTGCCAACGTTGTGACACGATATGGCGAGGAGAAACCTTTCGTCCGAAACGTTTTCGCTATGGACACTTGCAGCCTTATCGTGAACACACAGATCTTCGAGTTCCAGAAAGAAGAAGACATGCTCATAGCGTGGCGAAATTTCCTCGAGAAAGTGGATCCGGATGTCATTATCGGTTACAACATCGCCAACTTCGACTTTCCGTACTTACTGGACCGAGCCAAGCATCTCAAGGTCACAAAATTCCCGTATTGGACCCGTTTGAGGAATGTCAGGTCGCAGCATACCAGCACCAACTTCTCCAGCAAACAAATGGGCAATCGAGACACGAAAACGACCAACACCAACGGGAGACTTCAACTTGACCTCCTTCAGCTCGTTCAGCGCGATCATCAACTCCGGAGTTACACGTTGAATTCCGTGTGTGCCCATTTCCTAAATGAACAAAAGGAAGATGTGCACCATACGATGATCACCGAACTCTACAATGGCGATGCCAACACGAGGCGCCGTCTCGCAGTGTACTGCTTGAAGGACGCCTATTTGCCGCAGCGTCTTCTAGACAAGCTCATGTGTCTCGTCAACTACACCGAGATGGCAAGAGTTACGGGAGTCCCTTTCAATTTCCTTCTCTCTCGAGGACAGCAAGTCAAGTTTTTGAGCCAGTTGTTCCGGAAGGCTCTCGAGCAGGATCTGGTCATTCCAAATCTCCGGTCCGAGGCCACGGACGAGCAGTATGAAGGAGCGACAGTCATTGAACCCGTGCGATCCTATTACCGTGTTCCCATTGCCACCCTGGACTTTGCGTCTCTGTATCCCAGTATCATCCAGGCACACAACCTCTGCTACACAACATTGCTGAACAAAACCGCGGTCGAGAAACTCCAGTTGAAAAAAGACGACGACTATATCGTCACCCCGAATGGCGACATGTTCTGTACCGCCAAAGTCCGTAAAGGCCTTCTATCTCAGATCTTGGAGGAGCTTCTGGGGGCGCGAAAAATGGCCAAACGGGAATTGGCTGTCGAGACTGACCCCTTCAAGAAAGCGGTATTGAACGGTCGTCAGCTTGCCTTGAAGATCAGCGCCAATAGTGTGTACGGTCTCACTGGTGCCACCGTCGGCAAGCTGCCCTGTCTTGCGATTGCAAGCAGTACCACGAGCTATGGGCGACAGATGATCGAGAAGACGAAGCATGAGGTCGAAGCGAAGTATACTATGGCGAATGGGTATTCTCACGACGCTCAGGTTGTGTACGGCGACACCGATTCCGTGATGGTCAAATTCGGGCCGGCCGATCTTGCGAAAGCCATGGAGCTGGGCGAAGAGGCGGCGAAATATGTCTCGTCCAAGTTCCTGAAGCCGATTAAACTGGAATTCGAGAAGGTATATTTCCCGTATCTGCTGATCAACAAGAAGCGATATGCCGGGCTTTACTGGACCAATCCCGACAAGTGGGACAAGATGGACACCAAGGGCATCGAGACCGTTCGTCGGGACAATTGTCGTTTGGTGCAAACTGTCATTGAGACATCACTGAAGATGTTGCTCATCGACCGAGATGTCGAAGGGGCGCAGGAGTAAGTCCAGCAGCATCATCATGTCGAAAACCCTACTAACGGATTGATTAGGTTTGTCAAAGAAACCATTTCCGACCTACTCCAGAATAAGGTCGATATGTCCAACCTAGTCATTACCAAGGCATTGACCAAGTCCGACTATGCCGCCAAACAGGCGCACGTCGAGCTCGCCGAGCGCATGAAAAAGCGTGACGCCGGATCTGCCCCCGCCCTCGGCGATCGTGTCGCCTACGTGATCGTCAAAGGCGCCGCCGGCTCCCGCAATTTCGAAAAGAGCGAAGACCCCCTCTACGTCCTCGAGCACAACCTCCCCATCGACACCAAATACTACCTCGAGAACCAACTCGCCAAACCCCTCGGCCGCATCTTCGAACCCATCCTAGGCGACAAGGTGGCCTCGCAGCTCCTGACCGGCGCGCACACTCGCAGCATCGCGGTCGCCGCGCCGACGATGGGGGGGCTCATGAAGTTCGCCAAGAAGACACAGACGTGCATGGGGTGCAAGAAGCCGCTCACGAGCGCGGAGGAGCGGGACGGTGCGGTGTGCTCCGACTGCCGGCCGCGGTTCGGGGAACTGTATCAGAAAACGCTGGGGCGGGTGAGCGAGCTGGAGGTGCGGTTCGCGCGGCTATGGACGCAATGTCAACGGTGCCAAGGAAGCATGCACAATAACGTGATCTGCAGTAGTCGCGACTGTCCGATCTTCTACATGCGGATGAAGGCGATGAAGGATGTGGAGGACTCGGGGAAGGAGTTGGCAAGGTTTGATCGCGATCAGGCCTTGTGGTAGACGCCGGGCGTATACCAGAGAAAACGGAACGAGTGAAGATACGATGGTTGAGCGAATTCCAAGATCATCGACCGTCAATCCTAATAGTGTGCATATATCATTCTAAACTGGAAGGCGACGCATGGTGAGATGGCATTTTTGGACCACTGTTTCTTATTGGGAATCAGGTTTCTAGACAACGGATCAGCTTTCCAGCACCAGTCCATTTGTACCGTAGGACCGGCGCAGTATCATTCACATTAGTTATGGGAGACTAGCGTAGGATATGAATTTGCTATGAATATGGTATTATGGGACAAATATAGATTTGGTACTCCATGGATAAGCATCGATGGTCAGGTGTTACGAGTTCTGACAATAACCGGTGTCTCTCGCGACTACCTATCCTACGCTCGCTGATAAAACCGAATGCGCAAAGCAAGGAACGTGGGCTGCCAACGCCAGGCAGAAGGGGAAGCTCTACAACCACAATTCAATCGTTGGGAATAGAGACATGTGTGTGGTTAATAACGGACCTTGCTTACGGTCATGCAGGTCTCCGTCCGTACACGTAGTACCTGTAACGCAATCAGTACGCTTTCAGTGGCTATCGGATCTCACTACCTACATCACCCAGTACGAATGGATCCTAGGATTTTTGACGTCTTTCCGCACATCAGTAAGGAACACCTCCACCTCATCCGGCGTCATTCCGAGCGCGCCAACAAACGGCCTCATGGAAAGACCGTGGATTCCCTCCAGCATGTTCGCCATGTTCCACAGGCCCAGCTCTTTCATCTCGGGATCCTTGGCCCACGGATTCTGAGGCCACTTTTTCACCACTTCGACGACGTCGACGAAACCTGCGTCTTCCATCCATTTCGTGAGATGTCCGCAATGGTTGAGGGGTCTCCCGATGACCTCGCCGGATCGGATGAGCATGTCGCTCCATTTCCACAGCGCCGTGTCCGGATTCAGGGTGTCGTCGTCCGATTTGAACGGCATGCCGATATCTTGGATTTCGACGTAGCCACCGGGCTCCAACCAGTCGAACGTCCGCTGGATGAACTTGGGCCAATCTGCGAAGGATCCACACATCATTCGTGCGTGGATGAAATCGAACTTGTTATCGAATACCCACTCGTCTTCCGCATCGTCCACGAGGAACGTCAAATTCAGTGGCACAAACTGAGGTTGAATCGGGGACAGGTCCGTCCCAGTGACTTGGGCAGAGGGATGTTGATCGGCGAAGTCCACGGCCCAAATCCCTGATACCATTATTGGACACCATCCGGAACGGAAAAAGAACAGAGAAACGTACCGGTTCCAGTTCCAATATCGAGGACATTATGAACTTCGCCGATCGGTGCGAGCTGGAGTTTGCCGTCTATCGTCTTGACGAACATCGCATGCTGCATATCCAGGCGGTCGTTCTCCTTCTCGTCATTGGGCATGAAGTATGCGCCCTAGCACGCTGTCAATGGACGAATATTGCCGAGGGATTGGGAACACACGCACGTCTTTGAAAGCGTGGTACGTTCTGCCTAAAATCTACTCAGCGATGCCATGGATCATCAGGGGTACATGTGGTCGGTCATATCGATATCCGAGAGTTTTCGCCATCCTCTCCCTTTTCTTCGAATCGGGATGCAATGGAACACAGGTACGAACCGTGCTCGTGGCGATAGGAGCGAATGCTGGACGCAATCGACGTGTATATCGAGTCATCGTTCCCTGTGTATGCCGAGTCCGAGGCGTACTCGTCGACTTCCAAATCCTGAGAAGCCATGGGCGACGGTTGTGAAGAGCTGCTGCCTTCAAGAGATCGAGACTGGTTCGCGGGCGTGAGGCGAGTCTGGCAAAGACGTCCTTTTGAATGGAGATTGGAATCGGTAGGTATTTCCAACCTCACATTCCACACCATCGCAACTCCCACCCCACACAGCATTGGCAGAGTTGAGCATAGTGCTAAACTTACCGCTCCCACCCGCAGCAGCTGGTCCCAAATCCCCTGTAAAGCGCATTGTCTATGGGTGGGGGGCTTGAGGGGTTTCCTGTCTAAGCTTTAAGTTCTGACCAACACTAGCGGCCGCGGGCCGGTGCCGCCGGGCAAGCGACCTGCATTCTTTTCCAAGCGAAACCAATCAAGGGCGCATTGCTAATCATTCTTGGATGCATCCCAGCTCCTCCTGTCTGTAGACCACTGAGGAAAGCATTTAGCGTGCTTCTCAGTGTGCAAATGTCCAATTGCGACATCGACGGCTCGATGACTGCGTCAGGTTGTGCATCACGGCCTTGCAACGTTCCCATCCCATCGTGTGTAATGTGAATCTCAAACTCAGCGCACGGTATGATCGGCAGCCTCCAAAGGAGGGGATGGGGAGGGCTCCCCTTTGATACCTCTGCTTAAGAAGCAGGCTTATCTCCTGAGTCCGCCCTGATGGAATCATTGCAATATTGCATCGAGTGCGTTGTGTGCCAAAGACATCGAAGATGTCGATCCAGAACTTTAAACAAGTTCTCCCAGAGAACGGTAATGTGATGGTCGTCAAAGGCCTGAGCCTGGGCGCCTGCGCGATTCTCATTTATGTTACCTGGCAAGTGAGTTTATTGCCAGTTATAATGCTACGTTATTGGGACTGATTGGCCTAGATCCTCTACGTGCGCCTCTTTTCTCCCCTCCGGAACGTTCCAGGGCCATTTCTCGCAAAATTTTCCGGTATATGGCTCCTCTACATTGAAATGGCGGGCAAGAGAGCCAAAACTGTCCATGAGTTGCATAGAAAATATGGCCCTGTCGTCCAGCTCGCACCTAGTGAAGTCAGTTTCACTACTGTCGACGCAATCGAAGCATTATACGGCGTTCAAAGCCTCTTTCCAAAGGCTCCATGGTACAAGAACATGACCCGAGGAGGTGTCTTCAACAGGATCGAACATGGCCCGCACCGCGAGAGACGGAAGCTGCTAAATCATGCCTTTTCGCCCGCAAGCGTCAATGATATGGCACCTCTGATCCGTGATCAGGTGCAGAAGCTGATGCGAGTGACTGAAACCCATCGTAGCCAGGGTCCGCAGGATTTTCGGCATTGGTTTCGAATGTTGAGCTTCGATGTCTCCGGCACCGTCTTTCTCGGCCAGCCCTTCGGTGGTCTCGACTGTGAGAAAGCACCGCAGTATATCGAAGATTTAGATTCTGCTTTCATCGTCTGGGATCTCCGGGGCCGTTTTCCCACCCTGATGCGATTAATCAGCACGCTGCCATCTAAAGCGGTGCGACATTTTTTGACCGCAGATGACCGAATTTACGCCCATGGTGTCGTGGCCTTCGATGGCTACTTGGCTCGTCATGGTCGACAATCCGGCCGGAAAGATCTCCTCACGAAGATTGTCAAGCGATCGCTGGACCAGAAAGAAGGGTTGACTGACGCACAAGTCGCCGGTGAGATTAGTAATCTGACCTTTGCTGCTACAGACACATCAAGCAATTCCCTGACTTACCTCTTCTGGGAACTGGCCAAGCAACCCGATCTTCAAGCTCAAATGCGGGAAGAACTGAAAGACATTTCAGTGAGCGCTGGAGCAGGGGTTCCAGACCACCGCGACCTTCTGAATCTGCCTCTTCTAAATGCCGTCATCAATGAGGCCTTGCGAAAACACCCTCCGGTTCCCATGGGCTTGCTTCGAGCTATTCCAACAGGAGGAAAGAAGATTTCTGGTCATTTCTTTCCCGCAAAGGTAAGGTTCTTCTAGTCATTGACGTAGACGAAGCTAAGAATAAACTTGAGACCATCGTTTCCGTGCCCTGTCACACCACCCACCGAGATCCTGAGGTGTTTCCCGATCCCGAATCCTTCAGTCCTCAGCGATGGTTGGAGCATCCGAACGGGACTGATGAGATGAGGAAACTATACATGCCGTTTTCGAAAGGCATGCGGAACTGCATCGGACAGCCTATGGCGCTGTTGACCATGCGTTTGACAGTAGCGTCCCTGATCAAACGTTACGCGGTGACGTTGAACGAAACAATGAAGCCGGAGAATATGGAGTGGACCGACCATTTCCTGGTCATTCCAAATGGGGGATGCTTCCTAGATTTTACTCCCGTCAACGAGTGATACCCGCATCTAGAAGGGGTGCAGATCTGACTTGAGAGGGTACACAGCCAGGCCCACCATTGAGAGCGGTTGGAATGATCCATTGGCCTCTGGTATGCCATTCGCAGATTTCTGCAGTCGTAGGGCATTTTCTGTCGCTATTCCTATCCTGATATACAGAGCCTATCAGCGCTCGCATGCCCTTTTGTCTCGTAACGCATTGACATGTTGACGGAGAACGCAGAGAAAAGTTACGGAAACACGAGACCACGAGCCAATGTTAAGGTAATAATTTAATATGGTATCCGTGCCCCATGACCGCCCCACAACCGGTGCTCCCACACCAAACGCTCAACCCACACCGAAATCTCAATTTTACCATTATCTTCAAGTATATACCACCAAACATGCCTAAACGCGTCAAATATCCAGAGGAGTCTATACAGAAAGCAGTCAAGAGGCTACAGACAAAAAAAAAACCAGGAAAAGCCGTCAATATTTCAGCATTGGCGCGTGAGTTCCAAATCAGCCGGTTCGTCCTTGAAGGCCGCCTTCAAGGAAAAACATCCTATACCAATCGTTCTCCGTTCGTACAAGCTACCAAACTCGATCAGCTACAAGAAAAGGCTCTCCTAGCTTGGATCCACCAGCTTTATGAGTGGGAAGCGCCTCCTACGCCTACAGAAATCGAAGCGTGCGCCAACTCTATGCTCCGAAGAAACGCGCTCGATACAACCCAGCCACCACCCCACGTTAGCAAGAACTGGAAATACAAGTTTATTAAGCGCCATACCCTTCCGCTTATCGACCAAAAACCAGTTAAGGACGACCGGCTACGTGCTGAGGATCTTGGACATATACAGCATTGGTTTCAACTCCTTCAGGAGCAGATTCAAGAGCATGGAATCGAGGCCCGGAATATATATAATTTCGACGAAAGTGGCTTCCGCCTTGGTGAAGGGAAGCGCCAAAAAGTAGTCAGTTTCCGACCGGGGGCAAAATGAGGCAGTCCTAGTACGGAGTCATGCGAATCGGTTACGGATATTGAGTGTATCGCTGCTGATGGTTTCGTTCTCCCGCCGTACTTTATCCTAAAGGGCGAGAACCATCTTGAACGATGGTACGAAAACCGGATTCCAGACGATTACCGTATCAATATCTCTAAGACTGGGTGGTCAAACGACCTCATTGCCTTCGATTGGATCCAGCGTTTCCATCGGTATATAAGTCACCGGGCTAAGAAGGGGAAACGACTCGTTTTGATGGATAACCATACTTCGCATCTTACCTATGAGTTTATTCAATTCTGCGAAAAAGTTGATATTATTTTTGTCCCATTTCCTCCGCATACGACCCATTTCCTTCAGCCGCTTGATGGGAAGTCGTTTCTTGCGTTAAAACACTACTTCCGGCAGACAAATACGAAGATTTCACGGTGGGGATTCGACGCGGCGGAAAAGGCCTCATTCCTTACAGAAATGCCCCAGATCCGCCAAAACGCCTTCAAATCGCGTACGATTCGACACGCTTTCAAAGAGAGGGGTCTTTGGCCATGGGATCTTGAGCAGATTTTACCAACCCTTCGGCAACAGGTTGACCAAGAGGCAGAGGAGCTTCAGATATTCAATGGCTCGCCCCCAACGTCAAGTATTACGGCGACACCGAGCGTATCTCCACCAAATACTATTCGTACGGTACGCCGGACACAACAGAAGATCATAAATACGCCTGAGGCCCAACTTTCTAGCCGGAAATACCAACGTCGCGTTCGCCAAGCTACGGAGTCATTGATCAAGGCGGTCGAAGAGATCGAGGCGTATAAGGGGTCCGTTTCAGCCACACACCGCCAGCAAACCAAAAAGAGTCGCCGCCAGGTTAAAACAGGACTTAGCTAGACCGGTGCTTTGTACGTTAGTGAGGCGAACGGCCATATCGAGGCGCGTGGTCAGAAGGAGCGGGAGGCGGTAATTAGGAAGGCACAGCGGGACTGGCAGCGGGAAAATCAACAGGAAAAACAGCAGAAACCATCTCCTATACTCGATCAACCTACTGGTACGGAGGATCTCGGTTTTTATATTGATTTACATCCCGAGTTCTGATATATAGATGATGGTAGTCAAATTGAGGTTTTGGTGTGGGTTGAGCGTTTGGTGTGAGAGCACCCACAACCGGAGGTTGTGGGGCGGTCATGGGGCACGGATACATCCCTGAGACGCGCTCTCGTACTCGCAGTAGCCAATGACATCCTCCGTGCGGCGCTGCCGAACTTCCACCTTCCGGAACAGTCGGATATTAATTCGTCTTTAATTCCTGCCATGTTGGAAAGTTGGCTTCACAGCCTCTTTTTGTGGCAAATGTACTCCGTACTACTACTAGTTCTCGAGTGCAACACCCTCTTGAGACAGCCCTGCACGTGTGAACCACTCCGCTTTGGCCCTGGTTATATTAATACGGCAGGGAAAAGGTAAGGCATATTTCGGTGGCGGCTCGTCGTCGTCACTAGTCATGCTCATCATGTGAAATGGAAATCTGCAATACTGTGGGATTTTAACTTTTGAAGAGCCGCATCCCGAGAAATGATGGTTACGAGACGCGATTCCAATGAAAATGCGGCTCAGCCTTCTGATCGACTCTTTCGATCGACGACACTCGACCGCGCCGCGGAAGACTTTGACGGCAATGCCCCAGTTCAAGTCGGTGCGATGCCCATCTAAATTGCCAAACGTCTGTGCCGCTAAAGAACTGGGGTAGAGATCCTGGTCTTTACATATTGAGGCAGGTTCGTATAAAGTCTTGGGGTTCCCAAATGCTTTCACCTTGTTGGATCCTGTAAAAACCCGACTTTGAAGTGTGAAGAGAACTGCTTTCACCATGTCAAGCGATCAGCAACCTGCACCGGCAACCCTACCAGTCAATGGTACGACAGATGCCGCGAGTGATGGAATCTCGCCAGCGAGTCCGCCGGCTGTCAATTCAAGTTACCCCCCTGATGCAAAGCGCACAGATGGGGGAGTAGAGATGGGGTGAGTACCAATGAGCTGCCTTGCGAAAACACAGGCTAAGAGCAAGCAGACCAATCTCCACGCCAATCGCACATCCCGATACCATACATCCACCACCTCAATACGAAGCGGCAGCACATCCAGTCCCAGCTCCTGCTCCTGTTATGGTTACGCCTCTTAGCCAACTTCAACAGACGCCGGCAGCTATAGACTGTAAGTTCTGCAAGTGCCAGGCGACGACCGAGGTCCGCACTCAGAGGGATAAAGAGCCAATTCCAGGGTAAGTACCATATATTTCGGATCTGAATGGCTGGGACACGGACTAAATACCGGTAGGGTGATGATATGCCTCATCTGCCTGGTGTTTTGGCCGGCGCTTTGCTGCCTTTCATGCATGGAAACGGAAACGATTCAGTACGTCCATACGTGTAGTAACTGCAAGAACATCGTGGCACAGAGGGCCGCGAATGGTGCTATCATTGTTAAGGAGCCAGCGGGGATGATGGTCCCATCACAGTATGGTGCGCCACAGACCCAGGCAAAGTAGACGCTTTGCATAGGTGGTGAGTCGATTGATCGTGTCGTTGTTCATCGGGGGGAGAATCCGGCAATTTTGCTTGTATAATATTGCAGGAGAAAGTAAACCCAACCATTTATTGTGTACCTTCGGAGTGCGTTATGTCCCCGGCGTATCATTTTGGGAACTCCGGAATTAACTGGAACTTATGTCATAAACTGAGTTTGGAATCACGAATCATTCTTCCATGCTATCCCACCTAAGTATTGTATCATCTCGGATCTCCAAATCAGGCTACATATACGGATGATTGGATCGCATTCTCCCAGTCCTCGGTCCTAACAACTAACATCGGCCATCAGAGGTCTCACGTTCCATTAGATTCATGAGTCGTACTGCAGCACATCGCATTCTATTAGTTGATGGCTCCGACAAAGAAGGATTGCTCCTAATGGGGCCAACTGCAGCAGTCATCGCGGGTGAGTGGACGAAACTGACGTGGGGGAATACAAACATACATATGTGATATGGACCCGAGGATTCGGCACTCCAGTAGTTGCTAATACTTGTTCCCGAATAACCAGATACTTCATGTATCTGGTACATGGACCATTCCTTACAGAGTAAGGGTCTAAGTTATATTCCATGTCGGTACAAGCGAGCAGACGGACGCACTGGACGCCTGGATAACTGACAAGCAATAACGGAGAACCTGCAGCTCTATAAGCGACAAAGGAAGTCCACCGTCCAGCTGGATTCTGGAACCGTTTTTGAAGCCGTTGAGGGGCATGGCTACATGAGCCGTGAGAGCCTCCCATCCCTAATTATCCCATCAAACTACTATATAGCCTCCATCTCCCCTAGTCTTTCATTTCCTACTACGCAGACCATCGTATATACTCAGGTACTCGCTATCAACCACGGAAGGCAGATCCATCCTGTTGTGCGACCATATATCTGCTTGCCCCCGATCCTACTAGACTGTGGTGTCGTTGAACATGTCCGACCCCTCGACCACGCCGCCTGCGCCAGGCGCCCCACCAGCGGACCAACCACAGGGTGTGGGCCATATTGAGGTGGATACGGCAGAGGTTAGCAAGAAACGGCATCCTTTCTAGCCTTCTAGACCGACCTTGTCGATCACCGTTCTGCCGTGTTACCGCGACCCCGGACCGGTGTCCAAGTCAGAGGACATTCCATGGTCGCATGGCCGATGTTTTGGTGTCCCATCGTTGCTCACTGCACAGCGTTCCGTTATGATTGAAAGACCCCGTGCTAACCATCTTCCGGGACACAGGGCTTCGGTGATCTCGATTCTGGGTTTGGCGATACGTAAGATACAACAATACTTGTACATGTCGCAAGGATCAGCATTGAGCATGTAGCAGCGCAAGCGAGACGACGTCGCTGGCTTCATCGGTTCGGAATCACCAATACGAAAATGGCCGACGATATCATTCGTACAAGGCTGGAAGTATGCACGATTTCCAGAACCTGCGCTCTTGCTGCCAGCATCGCTGATATGTTTGCGAATGATCTCAGCCTACCTCTCGCCGAACGATGAGCAGGAGGCCGACCGATTAGACATGCACCATCATATGATGCTGCTCCAACTCAATGGCGAGCTGCATCTTGCTCCCCTGGATGAGCACTTCTCCGGGCGTGTATTGGACCTTGGGGCCGGAACAGGTAGATCTCGTCTCCGTTTCCTCTCGCAGCCTCCCCGTAATCCTTCCGCTTTCTCATCAGCATGGTTGCCATAGGAATCTGGGCTATGGACATGGCGGACAAGTATTCTGCCGCAGTCGTCACGGGCATCGACCTCAGCCCAGTTCAAGCGCAATTCGTCCCCCCGAACTGCTACTTCGAAGTCGACGACATGGAAGAGCCATGGACCTACCGACATCCCTTCGAATTGATCCACGCAAGCTGGCTGGCCGGGTCCATCCGCGACTGGGACCAACTCGTCAAGCAGTGTTACGACAACCTCACCCCAGGCGGATGGGTCGAGTTCAAGGACTGGGACTACCGCCCCCGCTTGCCCGATGGCTCGCTCGATCTCCCCGACAACACTGTCAAGAAGTGGCACAAAGTGGTCATGAGCACGGCCGAGGAGAAGGCAGGGAGATCGACCACCCCGGCGGTGGGTCTTAAGGACCGGGTGACCAAGACGGGTTTCGTGAATGTGCAGGAGACGGTTTTGAAGACGCCTATTGGCATCTGGCCCAAGGATCCGGTGTTGAAAGAAATTGGGAGGTGCTACCGGTTGGCCCTGGACGAGGGGTTGGAGGCGATCAGTTTGCGGATGTTGACCCAGCTAGCGGGCTGGTCAACGTTAGAGGCTCAAGTGCTGAACGCTGATTTTAGAAAAGCGATGAAGGAATTCCCTTTCTACCACAACTAGTACGTTCTATCCCCCCATTCTGATCCCATATTATGTCGCTGGATGTGGTCTTACCATCTTGCTAGTCACGTCATCTACGGCCAGAAGCCGCCGGCGGGGACTTCATGAGTGTTCATGTTGCAAAGGTGCGACCATACCGCATTTCCGACTGTTCGAATGCCACCAGGTGGATACGTTATTGTGGGTGGCATTATTTGGACTGAGTACACTACTTCACACGACTGTTACGATTCTCCTTGTTATTCAGTAAGCTTTTAGCTGCGCCAATGATTCTATCATTCCATCAATGGGAGATATTCAACTCGAATTCTTGAAGCGTATGAAATGTATTGACATTCCTCGCCATCCTCTACCAAGATCCGAGATATACCTACCCCTAAACCCTCGACAAGAAAGCCCATGCAATTTGTGCCATATAAAAACGCATCCACAGGCAGGGAACTGATACTGGTCACTGCCTGCCAAAATCAATTAGGCCGTCAAGCGAATAGTAAAACGTACCAAGCTAGAGAATGTAAGTTTCATCTAACCGTAACCCTGATACCTTTCGTCTCAGGTTTCGGCCTCATTGCGAAAACATCATGATCAAACTCCACATCCGACCTATCTGTCTCAAACAGCTCCAACTGGTCCCCGAGACGTAATACCACTGCTGCGATGCAGATGTACAATTCTGCATATGCAAGACTTGACATCGAAGTCAGTATAATTGTATTGCGATAACGAAAGAAAAGAGCAAGGGACGTACTTGATCCCAAGGCATTGCCGGGTCCCCTTCGAGAAAGACATGAGATACCTGTCCAAATCTTTCCTCTTCATCCCCTCGGCGTCCAACCATCGCTCCGGCGCAAACTTATCCGGATCGGGGAAGAGGTCTGGATTTTTGTGGATCCATAGGGACGTCATGGACAGCGAGTATCCCTTGGGGATAACGTAGCTCACCTCCTTTACCTGAACCTTCTCGGAACCATCCCGGTTTGGGATCTTGACAGTCGAGCGCAGGTGCACAGGATCCTGGTGGACACGAATCAGCCGTTGGACTACCCCGTAAGCGTGCCGCAGTGTTTCCGCAACCGTGGCTTGGAGGTACGGGAGGTTTTCGAGGGTAGTAAGAGACGGGAGTTCCAGGGAGTCTCCAGACGCAGTCAGGAGCTCTTGGCGCAATGTGGCGAGGGTATGGGGCTGGTGTAGGAGGTAGAAGGTTGCGAGAGAGAGGTTCCAGGAGGTTGTCTCAGTGGCCGCGTTAATGAGGACTACAGCCTCCAGGAACAACCGATCGTCACGCTTCTCCTCCGGGGGGAGGTCCGCATGAAGGAGTTCGTCAATTACAGTGTAGTAGACACGGTCCGGCTTTGCGAGACGGGCGTGGGCGTCCTTGACCTGCTGATGGCAGTCCTGCTCAACGCGGATCCAAGAGGCCATGCCAGGATTCATCTTTAGCATCCGTTCCTGCGGGATCCAGCGCATTACGGTGTGAAGGAACGGGAGTTGCTTCAGGATGGGAAGAAGCTCCCCGAGCGAGTCGTTTCCGGCTTGTAGGTTGGGCAGGAAGTGAGGTCTATCGATCATGTGGTAGCTCTTCGCAAAGAGGTACTCAGTGATGACATCCGTCGTGAAACTTGAGAACGCGACGGAGATAGTGACCGTATCGGAGCCGGCGTAGGAGGCGATGCAGCTGCATAGTTTCTCAGCTGCCTCGCGGATGTACGGTTCAATCTTATTAACCGCTGCCTTCGAGAAATATCGGTTGAGTGCACCTCTCCGGATCCTGTGGGTTTCGTGATCGATAGTCAGGAACGCTGTCTGTGGTTCGACGTAAACATGGAGGCTCATACGAACGGGCAGGCCGAGACTCACATCAGGTATCCCAAACATGCGAACTTGGTAGGGATCCTTATCAACTTTCTTCCCTCCACCAGGATACACAGCGTCAATCAACGCTGGATCATTTACATGGACTTCATTTGGCGTGATTCGAACAATCGGGCCTATTCCATGGCGTCGAAATCATCAGCGTCAGGCCATCGAAGATGGAAAAGGAAGGCGACGAAAAGAACCATCGGCGGGATCAGTACCGTAGATGTCGTGTAACCTTCCGATTTCGATCACGAACTTTTTCCAGAAATATATTTCGTACAACCACGTCGCCGCCGCCAACTTCGGTCCTGGGACGTTTGCCAACGGATGCAGATACAGACGATAAAAGGCAACGCTCACAATATAGATGATCGGTACCAGAAGACCCGCAGCTAGCCAGTGCTCGCGGATCGATGTCAGGACCGCTTCAAGGATCGACATCGTGAGAATCAGCGTTGGCTACTGGATAGACCACGGTACTGATAGCAATTAAGACCTTGATCTAGTGGGAACTGGACGATGCACTTCGAGATACGAGGGGGAGGGAATAAAGAGAGCGGATTCTTGCCAGTCCCACCTCGATAAGTCAGTAATCCAGCATAGCTTAATACCTGAGAGAGTGAGAGTTCATTCATCATCTCTCCAACCTCTATCATTCGGCTCCAGCGGTCTGGCAAGTAGCAACAGCGTTGGCAAAGATTCCCTACCTGCATAGTACTGTAGAGTATATGTACCTCCAGCAGGGATTTTGAACATGGCCGTGGGTCTGGGCTTGCGCTGCTCAGACCGACTTATCATTCCGACATCGCTCTAGCCGTGGTTGGTATAGGACCGGCTGTTCCCCCACAAAGGGGAACGTGCTAACCAGGTGGATCTTCAATAAGTCCAATTCAGGTGTTGTCGTGATGGGCGTCTTGATCATTCCTAGGAATAATGCGCAATGGTACGGCTGGCTGACTTGATTGAACGCTTAAATGCTAGCTGAACAAGTTGTCGCTCGGAGCGGACATTTCTTTGTTGCAGTGTAAGACAATAGTAACTTGCCACGTTTGAAATACGGCATGCTGGATTTCGTCGAAGATAGGTAAGCGGGTTGTTGAAAACTGCCAACTTAGTTAACTAATTAAGTTAACTAGTTAACTTAGGTACAGATGGAGTATAGGCAACGCGCGGAAGGTGCATCTCGATTGTCGCAAGCCTAAGGCGAAGAAGGACGAAAGCCTTCTCACAGCCTCGATTCCAATCTAATTTATTATCATCGGAAATACCTTGAGCAATTGCTGTGCGAAGAACCTTGCTTTGTTGGAGCCGATCGTTTAGGTGCGGGAGCGGGGCGGAAGGGTGGGAGCGGGCCAGGTGGAACGCCCGCTTCAACCCCACCTTTCCGTTGCCGGAACGTGGAGGTGGAGCAGCTCAAGCTACCGACTCTCGGCTTGCATGTCGTTCATGAGACCGTGATATTGATGTATCCGAGGTGTTCCACTGCCGGCGCCTCAGCGCCAATAGCCATCCGTGAATGAAACGCCTAGAGCTAGTGCCTGATAGAGTTTGGATAGAAATAAGAGTGCCGGTTTCTTTGAAAACTAAGATGTGTGCATCGTTATTGAATCGTATTTAGTTGACCGGTTCGCCGCAGTCCACCACACGGAGTACTCTTATTCGCCCTTCAGAATAGTATAACGAACCATGGCGCCGGTACCAAGGCTAGACACAATTTCCATCGAGCGACTCAGCGAGGGCGCGGTGCTGTTCTTGTACAATCAACCTAAGATCGCCAATGCTTTTACCCTACGGCAATGGGTTGATATGCGGGTCGCGCTAGAGTGGGCCAGGGACGAACCTGAGATCAAGGTCATCGTGCAGTACGTTCTCACACGCAGTAAGGCGTGGTATACTATATATGCTGACATGTTCTTGCCCAGGGGTGGAAAAGGGAAGCACTATTCTGCAGGCACGTATATGGTCTTGCATATTATACCTTCACAGCCTTGATAACCGACCCTTGGATGGGCCAGAATACTGATACGTTTCATAAACCGTAGGCAAGGCACTCTCTGCGCCAGGCGAGGGACCGTCACCTAATGAGGAGATCGAGGCTGGCGGGAAACTCGGTCAAGTGTGAGCCATTTACCCCAAATGTCAGAAACGAGCATCTGCTGAGCGTGATCATGACCAAGGCTCATCGGTTACCCGAAAATCCTCGTCGCCGCCGTCCATGGGGCTAGTATCGGTTGGGGCTGTACGCAGCTCTTTAATTTTGACTTGGTCTATGCGCATCCTTCCGCATTCTTCCAGACCCCGTTCGTATCACTCGGAATTGTTCCCGAAGGTGCATCATCCTATTCGTTCCCGAAAGTGATGGGCCGACAGCATGCGAACCGGCTGCTAGTTGAAGGTGACCGCATACCGGCGCAAGATATGTATGTGTCAGGTCTAGTGACCAAGGTTATTGAGTCGGGAAGTGTGGAAGAATTCCACAAAGCTGTTTGTGCGAAGGCAAAGAAGATTGCCGAGAACTCGGCGGAGAGCTTGAGGTTGACAAAGAAACTTGTCAACACGGAGACGCTATTGGCAGAACAGAAGGAAGCTGGCCTAAAGGAGGGCCATGACTTGAGAGCAAGATTTGCGAGCGATGATAGCAAGGCTAGCATCAAGAAATTCACTGACAGGGCCGGGCAGTCATCAAAACTGTAAGGATATAGTGGCCTCATATAATAATTAAACAAACGGAACGAGCAAAGGACTTGGTGCGACAATAATAAGATGGAATATTTGCAGAAAAAATCGATAGGTCCCCTGTATGAAATATAATCACAATCTGCCAAATCCGATGTTCTCGATGGTTATCTTGGTAGAAGCGCAGTGAGCTGCATTCGGGTCCCACGCTTGTGCTCTAGCACTTGGCAGAGCGCGGTTCTGTTCTTTGGAAATGGAGATGAATCTGGACCCAATGGACCGCACATAAAAGGCGGCAAGCCGTGGGCTCTCAATTGGCAGGTGTTTTTTGGCATTGCACAGCCTCCTTCAAATGATTTGGCAGGTGCAAGCCGCATTTAATGTAAACTGACGGGACTATGTCTCGGTCAAATGTCATTCTTTTGTTGAGTTTGATGTAGGGGGGCCTGATCCACGTCATATCGACGGGTCATGTGCCACATTGCACCTATCAAGAGATACTCATATAAGATATACTCGGAATGATGCATTGGCAAACCATGAATGGATGGACAAGACCAAATCAACGGAACTCTTTGCCCGACAAGGCATACGGCAGATACGGGGGCAAAAATAGCCTTAGCTGGTACGTAAAATCGGTCCCAACTCCCAAGTGCCCTGTGTTCACAACAGCAACATGACAACAGTTTGAGAAAACTTGGACGGGTGAAAATCAATATCGGTATGAAGCGCTACCCAATTCTCGAGGCAGTCAATCAGGTGCCGAAGTGGTCGTAACAGGTCATACGAGGGATAGACGACGATTCTTTAAAAGCACAGAAAGCGAAAAACACACGAAAACCAACGAAAGACCAGATAAACATATAATTTGGGATTGGGATTGAATGCTTCGCCCCGTGCAGCGGCACCACTGATATAGACCGGGGAAGGGCTGCCGCCTCGCCTGCCGGCATATATGTGCAGAGTATAGAAGTATCGAAAAAGCTGCTTTCGGCAAATGTGGGCAATGCGTGGCGGATGTTTCCTATTGATCAAGCAGTACAACGATGTCTTCAAGGACGAACCAGTAGCCGAGCATAGGAAGATAAGAGAAGGAAAGGGGGGAAGGAGACGAGAACGTAGCCCACCACCCGTCAGAACTGAGGCTTCAAGGATGATCTACAACGAACTATTCCGTACCGTACGATGAGCAGAATGGAGGAAACTGGGAAAAACTTCTGATCAGGTGGGCGAGAGCTGGGTACCTGAAGGCTGGTGGTGAGGGGAACTGGGAATTGAGACAAAAGAGAGGCGAAAACATGTTGAATGTCACCAGGTTGATAAAAGAGCCGCATCACGTGTTAAATGATGTTGACCTCGCTCCACTCCACTCTCAGATATGGTAGGTAAACTTTCGCATGAGAATCGCCAAGCTGGTATTGTGAAGGCATTTTGAAGGCATTCTGAACGGTCACGGCTTTGGGGAACTCTTCTACTAGATTAGAAATGAATTAAGAATGAATCTTTAATATATTACCAAGTCTTTATAAACTGGCTATAATAAATGTATTCCTAATGCATTAAGCTATGCATAGATTTTGGAAGGTTCATCTGAGAGTGAGAAGTAGTTTGGCTCATTCAGTCACGTGATGTGCCCCGGGCCCCATGGTCTGTGGATTCAGGATTCCCAGGCGAAAGTCTCTCTGAGAGTGGGGCGACCTGCACCCTCTTGGTCAGTAATACTCTAAGTTGCGTGATGCAGTCGCCGAAACCCCCCTGAACTGCAGAGGCCGTAAGCCCGTAGCAGAGCCTCAATTTCATCTGTATCAATTTTCATCTGTTGAGGGCCTAACCTATCGTAATGCTGTGCCCCCATTCCTGATTCATCCCGCTCCGTCGTATCACCAAACACGTAGCCATATTACACCTTCCGCGTCCCTAAGGCTGCAGCAGAGATGGGGTATGGGTACTGGACGTTAATATGTGGGGTTGCCTTGTATTTGGTAATACACCAAAGATTCCGAAGGGCGGCAAGGCTACGGACTCTGTTAGAGCCTCACTGGCTACATAACTGCTGCTCCGCGTCTGTGGCGTGGATAGAGGAGGCTCTCCTTAACTCCCGTGTTCAAGCGTCCAGTCATACTGCTCATTCTGTCAATATTCCGCTACTCCTTGTACACATTCTTTCCATCTATGCTCAGGGCTCATGGGAGATCCCTCAGAATCAGATTCTATAAGTCCCTGCGTTAACCAATGTCTCCTACCATACTTTCACTGCCTTTCGATATTCTCGTAAACATCACATCTTATATTGACATTAACGACATTACCCATCTTAGTCAGGCTTCTCCAGCTCTTGCGTTCCTTGCTCAGGATCCATTCATTTGTCGATCTGCAATTGAGGTAGTACATCTGCTCTCTAGTCGTGCTTTTGCTCTGTTGTATTCAATGCTGTACCTCTTCCGTTCGGGGATGTAAATTCGCCTGTTCATGCTAACCGATTTGTAGTTCTGGGCCCCTTTCAGCCAGGAATGGCGGCAGTACAAAGCCGGACTCATAACCGCAGAAATTGGTTTCAACAACATCTACCAGCGTCGATCGGCGGTCGGAAATGGGCTACCTTTCAGTGTTACTTCGATTGGGAATTGTTTGAGCTTTGTATATCAAAATGGCTGGTTAGCTTTCATCAGTGACAAGCGAATCTTCGTGCGCAATGTGCGGAGTGGGAATTCTTCGCAGCGGATACCGAAATCCAGGCAGCAGCCATGTAATGGAGCCTTACAGAACAGCAGTGGTGAGTGGTTCTACATTGTGGCAACCACCGCTTCCCACAGGGATGTACGCATCTAGGGATTTTCTGGGCAATTCCAGGCTGCAGACTGACTTACGGCTAACTTCGAGACTTCATAGGGGACGACCATCATGCCCCTTTTAATGTGGTCAATTTTCCTAAAGAGTGGGATGACCTTAATCTCGTTGATTCAGAGTCTGAGATCGAACTCATGGGCTTTATTGATAATGTTTTAACGCTTTGCTTCCGTCCAATGCAAGAGGACGCTCAAGGCGTAAGTGCTTGGCTTCTCGCGCTCGGTATCACCACAAACGAAGGGGATGAAGGCATTGAGCTTTTTCGAGCAGCACTCCAGACGACAGAGAAGCTTTTCGTTCGTCACAACGAGAATTATATCTTCTGGGGGACACAGAGCGGCCGCGCAAGCCATGTGTACCTTGAATGGGTAATCAAAGGAACGTTGTTCCGAGACTGGGGAGATGCCAAACGGGATGGACGTGTTCCTAGCGTAGCAAGTCTACAACTTCCAGATTTCGTGGGATCTGAGATGAGCTCTACATGCGCGTTTGAGATTCATGAGGACCACTTCTACGGTGTGTCGAATCAGACTTCGTGGCACAATGAAGAGATCGACTGGACCTCTTTGTTTGACTGCATCTGCTTTCCCCTTGCGAAGCCATACAGTGCTGACCTCAAGAGAAATAAGAGGATCTATAGGAGGCAACACGACGAAGGTCCCTTAGATGACCTATGGACTGTTCTGGGTTTACAAGTCAAAGAGGATATCGGCAAGCTGACCATCGTCGAGGGTCGAAGAGAATGGACCAACGGCGGCAGTTCGGCGTATCGAACGTTCTACACGGCGGATATCACCTTCCCCGACGGTGAAGAACCGCACCAGCTGCCTGAAGATGACCCATACGTCACTATCGTGACGAGCGCGAACCGCCCGAACTACATACCGCGCCTGAAGCTCAAGACCGAAACCATTCATCCAGAGAGAGAACACCCCCGATATAGAAGTAGCCCGCCGTTCATAGCAGCACGGACGCGGTACCGATCCTACAACTTAGCATCCGCTACGTTTATAGATCTGGTGAGTGACAGCAACTGCTGCGAGGCGTCAGCAAAAAGTATGGCAGGGTGCCTTCGATTCCGCACTGGTTCCAGGCGGCTCGCCCCTTTCCCTTCGAATTGGAGCAAGCCAGATGCCGGGAAGGGCAAGCAGCGAGCGAACTCAGAGATAGGTTCGCCGAGGTTAGACTTGATATGGATGGATATGGACTTCGAGGATCTGGTGGATTCTGACGATCCGACCGCTTTCGACATTGATATTTTAGCAACGAACCTCGACGAAGAACCAAAGGAAACAGAGGCAAGCGTTCGAGGATACCGCTACTCCCCCATCACTCTCTGGCCCCCTCCGCTTCTACCGGAGTCTAATGCGCCACCCACTACTACAAGCATAACGCACGCCTGTGAAACTGAGCAGGTTTCGTCGCAAGAAGTACATAGGCTGATGAACCCTCACCACACAAACCGAGACTGCTTCGCTCCGATTGACATCGCTGCGGCCTCCGATGAGCGGACCGTCGTCTTCCTGGTTCGGAAAAAACAGAACCGTAGCTCGGCAAGCAGCTATGAGGAAGGGCATTTGGTACTGGTGAGCTTTTGTCCGTGGGTTACTGCCCTGGATGCGGAGATTTACAGTGCTGGCAACGTGGATGGAGTGGAGTTCGTGCTGTTAAGGGAGGATATCCGAGGAAGATCCAAGGAAACAACATTTTTTACTGGTCCAACTCTTATCTAGTATAGATGGCAATACTAAAGGAGAGATAGTATCTGCGCAAAATTCTAGTCTTCCAACCAAAAGTGTGCGACTAGGCTCGCAATCTACCCTCACTGGCTTCTGTATAAACTTTCGCAGACGAGATTTAATTTCTAGGTTTGGATATTCTGTGTCCCGAAACGGGCCCTGATTCCATATACAGAGAACGCAGAGGACGAAGCAGATCCATATGTTGCAAAGCGGCTTGCACAGCAACCCAGCCTTTGCCGGATCTACGTCCCATCCCTAACATCTAAAGTGGAACTAAGCCTCCTTGTCCTTGCCGAGAATGCCACGGGCCATGTGTCGCTTGCGGAGATTATACTCGACCGCCCGCTTCTGGGCAGCTGGCGACTGGGTGAACGCAGCGGAGCCACCAAAGGGTCCCGCAAGCGCGGAATTCTGAACCCGGACAATACAGACGTTGTCGGCACCGCCAGCAGAGCCTTGGCAGGTCATCCCTTGGGGCATTTGGACCTGAGATTGATTTAGAGAGTACCACCGCATGACGAGAACGGGGATTACTTACTGTGAGGGGGAAATCCTCGATAGTAGCACCCGAGAGCCCGCCAAAGCCAAGACCGGGAACGTCTTGCGCGACCTGGGCATCTTGGAACGCAGTAGCATCGGTTCCGCCAGAGGTGGGATCAATCGCTGCCGTGAGCGGGCCAGCACCGTCCTGGTTGACCTGGCGGAAGTTCATGGTGATCAGACCGTTGTCATCGGTGGTCGGGAGGCCCGAGGTGGCGCCCGACCCGGCCGCCTGAGCAACACCGCCCTCGGCGGCAGTATTGGCAGTCTGCGCGCCCTGCGCAGTCTGGGCACGGGTTCCTTTGCCCTTTCCTTTGCCCTTGCCCCGCAGTCCGCCGAGCAGCTGGCTAAGTTGGCGCTTGTTCCGATTCTGATTTCCACCGGCTTGGCCCGTCATGAACATGGAGATCGCAGCGGCGGCATCGACCGGTCCGCCGCCTTGCGTTCGGCCAAGAGCAGAGGCGCGGCCCCCGACCTCTCGGGTGCGGATGATGGCAGTATCGGCCTGAGAGCCACATCCGTTGCTAGAGCAGTCTCGGGGAGTTCCATCGATGACTACATCAGGTCAGTGTCTCTTGTATGCTGTTCTTTATTCTCCTCGCCATACCTGTAAGACCGGGCATGGTCACACCATTGGCACCCTGGATCTCAGTGACGAGACCGTGAGCGGATACATACGCCGCCGTCGCGCCGAGAATAATAGCGATTGAGTAGTGCATGGTGATTGAAGTGGAGGTAGTGTATCTTATCGTAAGGATTAATATGAATTGAATGAAATGTTGGAAGCGACCTGCGCAATCGAAAAGAATGGTCAAAGAGCTTTGAGCCTTGAATGGAACGAAGGACTGTTAATCGAGAGACGAAAAATTGGAATCAGTCCGCTGGCCAAGGCCATACTTATGAATCTCTCAGCCGCTACATCTTGGATATGATCTTAGACAGAGGAGGCATTATGGCATCGGCGGTAGAAGATAGCCCTCTTCTGCGACGACTCGCTCCATGCACAGTGGGCGGCTACTGCTGTTGCAGTGGAAGACATGGGGGAATACGATGCTGATGATACGTCACTGAAATCAGGAGATGACGAGAGCTTCTCGAAGGGATCGGTGAGTCGCGATGAACTAGCTGTAGAAACGGTAGGGCAGAACATCCGCGGCAAAGGTGACTTGAAGGAGAGGCCCAAAGCAAGGCAGAGCCACCAAAGATCATGCGAAACCAATAGTGATAGTACCAAGTGCAAGATAGCGAGGAGATAGAAGAAACACCTAAGGGGGAGAAGGTGCCGATCTGGAACGGTTTCGACACATGCCCATACCCCTGCTCGGCTTGCCCCAGATGTGCTGAGGTATTAAGACGAGGTATCGGTCAGTTGCAAAGGGGATTCTACTTTCGGTAGCAGAAATCCCCCCAACTTGTTTGCTGTCTCGACGCTCGGGTGTTGCCCTACCGACGAATTGGATCCGATGCAACCAGGTGCCATCCTCAGCCGAAACAGACTGTCGGCGGCACAGTGCACATCACAGCAACCTCAGAAAGGTTTGATGCACAGGAGCCATCGCTAGTGATGTGTACCATCGATTCTCAAAATACTTGCGACTGAACAGCTTTGGCATTTATGAAAACCGCGGTCGAACCCCCTCCAGGCTGTCGGCCATTGAGCAAGCCATTGGACCACAAATTGGAAGAATTGGGCAACCGGGAGGGTATACCACGTTTCTATTTCCGGTCTCAAGGATGCCGAAACTATGACATGATGGTAAACCCCATGTCGATGACAATAGGGATATTCGCGAGACTCTCATCCTAATAGTGGCGGCATTCATAAGAAAGACTAAGCTTCCCGAACCCCAAGCTCGTGCGATTTAGGTCCCTGCCGAACCAATTCTGGAAGACTTCATGATCATCACATCCAAAGAGGGAAGCGTGGAGCAGAGAACCGAGCACGCGCTCGTCTTGTTCCGCGGACATGCCGCTGAAGCAACAGTCCGGCTGTGTGCGACAGGTTCGGTCTGAAGTTGGCTCGATCCTAGGTCGTGATACAAAGAAAGTTGGAAGGGGGTGCAAAGATCTGGGGGTTTCAACTTCGACGCGACGCGATACGTTGGGCGTCGCGAAGTTGGACGGGGAGCCTCATCAGTCATCACATGACATACTGACTACTGTACGGTGTAGGTCGATCTTTTCCCATCAAGTTATCGTTTAGACGACATTATCGTTTAGAGTGTAGGCGCTAGATTAAGGATCTAGCGTCCACAGTGTGGATGAGGTAAGCTTCAGCTGACGAACCAGGGGCGCGGATACGATAATAATCCAATCAGGGGCCTGCCGAGGCTTGCTAACAGGTCTCTTTACGACTAGCGTATTCGGTGCTCTCGGGGTCTTCCCCACATCAACTCTTAACGTTAGGAATTAACGACGACACGACAACACCCGAACAGTAATTCTAACCGGAAGCTTGCGGATTGCCGGACTGAAGAGTCCAGCGAACCACTCACAGGCCAGCGTATGGATGTGTTACCGGGTACCTGTACGGGTGTACCTTCGGGAACCCGACGCCTGAGGCTTCCCCAGAAATTGGTTATGGGGTGCATATCATCTCAGGGTCTAGAGCTGCTGTACCATATCCAAATGGAATCTTTCCCAACCGTCCATCTCATGCGAAAGCCAATGTGAACTGGTCCATCTTACCATCTACTATCTTACTATCTAGGAGGATCCAGCGCCCGGGCACATTGGCCGCCTGGCCTCGATAGTCCAGCGTCGAGTCGAACGCATGGTCCTAGAGTGGAGATATGCATACCATTCGTGCTTGGCCTAGTTAGTCGGGATGACTGACTCTGGCTCCCCTCGGGTACAAAGATCGTCCCCGCAATCCACATGGCAGTCAAATCCTGGGCTCAAGGCCGGATATGTAGATAAACCCAATAATTACAATACAATTGCACATTTTCAGAGCTTCGTATCTTCATCCCCATTCTCTGCTCACTACTACCTTGACGTCGTGTTGTTCTCAATTGCAGTTTCCCCTGCGCGTTGCTCCTCGACCAGATCAACCTCCTAACCCCTTCAAGATGCCCGTTAAATCAAAATGGTCAATTGACATTCCCCAGGTCTCCCTCCCAACCTACCTCTTCGGTTCCCCCGATGGCCCTCTGCCCACCACCCCCACGCTCATCTCCACCGTCAAGCCCGACACCGTCTACCTTTCCCTCCACACATACCGACAATGGTCGAAGCGCCTCGCCGCCGGCCTGCAAGCCGCCGGCTTCCAGCCGGGTGACCGCCTGCTGCTGTTCTCGGGGAACACGTTGTTCTTCCCCGTTGTGATTCAAGGGGCCATCATGGCCGGGGGAATCTTCACCGGCGCGAACCCCACGTACGTGGCGCGCGAGCTGGCATATCAGCTACGGGACTCGGGAGCCAAGTTCCTGATCTCGGCCGAGGGGAGTCTGGATACTGCGCTGGAGGCCGCCAAGGAGGTGGGCTTGGACCAGTCGCATATTTTCGCGTTCGACGATGGGTTCGCTACGTTCGAGGGACGGGGAAAAGGTGTCGGCAACATCAAGAACTGGACCTCGCTGCTCGCGTCGGAAGCCGAGGGGGAGCGATTCAAATGGGAGGAGGCGACCACGAAAGAGCAGTTGGATCGCACCATTGCGCTGAACTACAGTTCCGGAACCACGGGGGTGCCGAAGGGCGTCATGATCACACACACGAATTACATTGCGAACACGGCGCAGATGGCGCACTTGGGCCGGTTGACGGCTGATTCGGAGGAGAAGGAGAAGCGGACGCGGCTGCTGTGCTTCCTTCCCATGTACCACGCCATGGCGCAGACCATCTTCGGCGTGGGTGCGGCCAAGCGGGGGATCCCCGTCTATCTGATGCCCAAGTTCGATTTCCTGGACATGTTGGCGTGCGTGCAGAAGTTCCGAATCACGGATCTGACGCTGGTGCCGCCGGTTGTAGTGGCGATGTCGAAGCATCCGGCCACGAAGCAGTTTGACCTGAGCAGTGTGGAGCGGGTCGGATCTGGTGCGGCGCCTTTGGGCCGGGACGTGTGCTCCGAACTGGAGAAGCTGTGGCCCGCGGGGAAAATCAATGTCAAGCAAGGTTGGGGCATGACTGAGTGAGTGGGAGCCATTGGGAAAGCCAGCGGGAATCGTTGGATCTAACACGGATCTAGGGCAACTTGCTCCATCTTGGGGTGGCACCCGGATGAGATCTCCGAGTCGTTCTCCGTCGGCGAACCGAACGCGAACTGCGCGGTCAAAATCGTCGACGAGAATGGGAAGGAGGTCGCCCAGGGCGAACGAGGCGAGCTCTGGTGCACCGCGCCGAATATCATGAAGGGATACTGGAACAAGCCGGAGGCGACTAAGGAAACCTTGACTCCAGACGGGTGGTTGAAGACCGGTGATATTGCCTATATGGATAAGGACGGGAAGTTCTTCATCGTCGATCGAATGAAGGTCCGACATGGTGCAATTCCGGCAATGTGAACCTTGCTAACATTGTCCAGGAACTCATTAAAGTCAAAGGCCTCCAAGTCGCCCCGGCAGAACTTGAAGCCTTGCTCTTAGAGCATCCTGATGTTGCAGATGCGGCGGTCATTGGTGTCACAGTGTAAGCATGCCGGATTGTCCTCGTGTTATAAATGCTCACGAACATGGAATAGGAACGGAGAAGAGTACCCCAGGGCTTACATCATCCCGCAAGTTGGCTCGAAGCCCACGGAACAGGATATCCACAAGTTCATGGAGCCGAGGGTCTCAAGAGCCAAGAGGTTGGTTGGCGGTGTGAGGTTTGTCGACGAAATCCCGAAGAATCCGGTAAGACACAACGCGCTCATTGCTCGCCTCGTCATAAGCTAACGTTGTATTTAGTCGGGAAAGATCCTCCGGAAATTGTTGCGGGAGCAGGCGAAAGCGGAGGGAGAAGCCCCAGCGGCAAAGCTGTAAATTTTGGTCCATATCTTAGCATCTCTTCGTATGTCTGCATGTCGACTGGGAGCCACAGGTTGATTTGGTCCGTCAATTAGATCCGGTTGGGAGAAATTCATACGGCCGTTTCAATAAAACATAATTCGCTTTGCCATGCCGGTAAATTCTAGGGATTACCAATAGCCATGTCAATTGATCATGGTTGGGAGTATCTTTTTGAGGCCAAGCTGACCCAGTACCGTATATCCATCCCTCCACGGCGGCGAACAGAAATCGTAACGGCCCAATATTGTACAGTAATTGCGTTAGTTACTTCTCGCGCCCCCTTTCTCCTTCCTGAGCTCGTCCATCTTCGCAACCCGCTTCTTGAACTCTTCATACTGGCATTTCTCGTATCCGTGTCGTTCGTCCTGGCGGTCCCTGTCAGTTCGAGTCGTTGGCAACCATTGGGCCAAGATATACCTCGCATCGCCACGGAAGGTAGTAATTGTCGTATCGGCATTTGTTTAGCGGAATTAGGAGATGTGCACAGCTGTCCCGATACGCCAATGGTAATCGGGCTTCCGACATCTGCTCTCTGGTTGCGGCTACGGAAGGTTAGTTGATGATGGATCTCTCGCGGGTCGCGCATGGAACTTACGTGCTGTGGGAGTAGAGTCATGGCTGATGCCAACGGCGTCTTTTATCTTCTCTGTGATGGTCATGATTGCTGTCTGAAGGATTGATTGGATGCAACAGCAGCTGTGCGAAGCTCAATAGCCGGAGATGAAGGGCGCAAGCCGCAAAGCTGCCATTCACGGTTCACAGTGAGCAAAACGATGGGTTGGTGCCTTATAAATATCAGTTGCCTGAGGCAGCAGAGACTGAATGATTCAGGTCACGTGCATTTACATCACGTGCACCCCTCATCCCCGCGAAACCTCCGCCGCTCTTTCCTCATTTGCACGAAATTGGCTGGGCTCCTGACGCGAACGCGTCTCGCTCAATCTCGTGTTCCATCGCTCGGCGAAAAGTGTCATCCCCTCCTTCATACACCTGAACTCCTCACCACCTATCTCATCGCCGTACTCTATTCTATGGCATGCGGACCAATCGCCCCAAAATGCCCGTTGATGCAAACACGAAGATCTATTCGGCCACATACAGCAATGTAAGTGCTTCCATCTGCGCGTTCCCTTGCCTCACGCTCCGGCTGAACAGCACTGCAGGTGCCCGTCTACGAATTCAACGCCGATGGCAATTTGGTCATGCGCCGCCGCGTCGACGATTGGATCAATGCGACCCATATCCTGAAGGTGGCCGACTTTGATAAGCCTGCCCGAACCCGGATTCTGGAGCGCGAGGTGCAGAAGGGAGTTCATGAAAAGGTTCAGGGCGGCTATGGCAAATACCAGGGTTGGTGATTCCTATGCCTGCGATATGGATCTTTCTAACAAATATTCAAAGGAACTTGGGTACCGCTTCCAGATGGGCGGGGCCTTGCAGAGCGCAATGGAGTCCTCCACAAACTACAGCCCATCCTCGACTATGTCCCGGGCGAACATAGCCCTCCTCCAGCTCCCAAACATGCGACCGCTTCATCGGCCAAGCCAAAAGCTCCTCGTCAGAAAGCAGCTCCCAAGGTCGAAGGTTTGTCGCTAGTCTTTATGACGATATCCATGGGCCAGTTCACCCCGCTAACTTCTGAAAGTACTCAGTCAAATCAGCGAGGATCGATACGAGATGACCAGCGCTCAGTTCGATGATGTTAGTGACGATGCTCGTACCGTCGTCACAAACTCAGTAATTGAAGATGATGGGATGCGCCCACCTTTCACCGGAAGCGCTAGAAAACGAAAGCGCGGAGCCGACCACATGTCGGTACAAGACCAGCAGCACCAGATTTGGGCGGATCAACTACTCGACTATTTCATGCTTCTAGAGTCCGACGACCGGTTTCCCGCCCCACCGGAACCTCCACCAGGAGTCAACCTGGACCGGCCCATCGACGAGAAAGGACACTCTGCCATGCATTGGGCTGCAGCAATGGGCGATTTTGATGTGGTTCAAGATCTTATGAATCGCGCAGCGCGTATCGATTGTCTTTCCAACAATTTCGAGACGCCTTTGATGAGAGCTGTCATGTTCACCAATAACTTCGACAAGAACACGATGCCTCGGATGGTTCGGACGTTCGCCAGTACCGTCGCTAAAACGGATTGGTTCGGCTCAAGCGTATTCCATCACATCGCAGCCACTACCAGCAGCAAGAACAAATACGTCTCAGCAAGGTACTACCTCGATTGCATTATCAACGTTCTCAGCGAAACATGGTCCCCCGACGACATAACTCGTCTCCTGAACCTCCAAGACCAGAACGGCGATACGGCCATCATCATCGCTGCGCGAAACGGAGCAAGGAAACTTGTCCGCGCGCTACTGGGCCGGAATGCCTCGGTGGACATTCGTAACCAACTCGGGGAAACTGCAGATGATCTCATCCGTGACCTCAATATCCGCCGCCAGAACCGTAACGGCATGCGCCAGGCATCTTCATCCCCCTTTGCCCCTGACTCTCAACCCAATGGCAACGCCGGAGCACTTCTCCCCACTTCCTCATCCGCCTTCAATACTATCCAATCCACACCACATTACCGCTCGCAGACTGCCAACACGCTCATGCAAAAGATTGCCCCGAACGTCTTTGACCGTTTCTCACAACTTGCCACCGCCTACGATGGCGAGCTGGAAGAGAAGGATGTTGAGCTGGTCGAGGCACAACGAGTACTCAGAAAGCGGCAGGCAGAGCTCGACGTCATTCGGAAGCGATTGTCCGAGTTGGAGCCGCTAGACGAAGGTGATGAAATCGACAAACGACAAGAAGAGGAACTAGCATCCCTGATGATGGAGGCGGAGGCTATCCTGGAGATGGAGCAGAAGGCCGAATTGAAGGCGCTCTTGGAGAAGGAGAAAGCGGCATCATCAAACGCTAAGAACAATCACGAGTCGAACAAAGAGAACCCAGGAGCCATCGCCGACGGCGCTGCGACGAGCGGTGTAAGAGGAGGTAACGGAAAGGATGATGATGGCAATGTGATCGACCGCGTCACCCTTGCCCTGATGCTCCAAAAAGCACAGGAAACCCGCCGGAAGCTGATCAAGGAGATCGTGCAGAAACTGAGCGTGGCCGGCATGAGTGAGCGGCAAAGTGACTACAAACGGCTCATCACGGGGGCTCTCGGCGTGAAGGAAGAGGATGTGGAAGGAATGCTGAACGAGATCCTCGCGGAGTTGGAAGATGCGAAGGAGCGGGACACGATGGAGGTCAGTCCTGTAGCATAATGCTGGGTTTTGGTTTGGGCTGTAATGCGTTCACTGTAATACTGCACGTGGGGAAAGGGGGGAAGAGCCGGGCTTTTGGACAAGGAAGTCTGGGTTTCTGCGGCCTCGATCTAAAGGCAGCGTCGCTAGGTGCGGAATATACCTAGATACATGTTCATCATATACAAATTAATCACTAAGTGGATGACCCGTTTGGTTATGGGCATGACTGATCCACAGTGACACTCAATGGTAACTTAAGTGGTGGTTCTGAGCCGTTCTACAGTTCCACGCGTTACCTTTCCTCCATCGGTCGATATCAATCGCCTGGAATTTTTGCAATCCCCTTGCCTTGTCTTCCAGTTTTCCACGTCGCTCTGTCGAACCGTATGGCAGATTACTCATAGGATCAACCAGCAACGGTCAATATATTTCAGATTGATAAGACGCTATAAATGTCTCATATGCATTGTCGTAACGAATTCTAAATCATCGTCCCATATGGCTGGCTAGCCCGTCCCTTCAGAAAGGTAGATCAAGGCTCGACGGCGTGTCAGACTTGAGCGACAGCGCTCTGACAACCTCGACATCAGAGACATCTGGCATCTCCGACTCATCCCGCACCTCCACCTTCCTCTCCACAATCCCCAACTCCATCCCCCTCGGCTCCCCTCCTTCGGCGGAACATACGACCACGCCCGATACCCCTCCTCCGCCTCCTGCACGCTCGTCCGCGACCGGATCAACGCCCTGATTTCCTCCCGCCCTCCCAAGCGCTTCGCCCACTCCAGTCGCGTCTTGAGACGGAAAGTCCGATGGAAGCGTGTGGTAGGATGTGGGATTCGTAGACCTGGGGCGCGGTTAGGTGTGTCGTGGACGGAATCAGAAGCAGGAAAACGTACTCGGAGCTCGAACTTCTCGGTTTCGTTTGTCGTCACGTCGGAATTCACGAGGCAGCAGTAGAAACTGAAGCCGCTAGCGTCTTGGTAGATGTGATGATTGTCTGGGGCAGCACGCCATCCGTCAGCTTTCGATCTCTTCCTGGGCGAGGGCTTCCCCTCTACTAACGCCCTCATTTGACGGGCCCGGGCGAGGGATTCGACGGCCGATGTGGGCGACGACGAGAGAGACTCCGACGTACTTGACACCAAGTCTCTCTTGGCATCCTTAATGCCATCGTTGAACCGCTTTTCTAGGGGAATCGGTCTGTTACTGTGTGGTGCTAAATCACACCTACGTAAAATGAAAAGCGAGTGGGTACCTTCTGCCTTCAGTGACTTCGCTTCCTTCGCTCGTCTCTGTCCCTTCAATCCTGTTATTCGTGCGCTGGTACGTGCCCTCTCTCTGCTTGCTGTGACGCAGCAATGAATCCTCAAGCCAGTCGTAGGAGACGATCTTCTTCTTCCATTTCAAGGCGGAAGCAACTGACGGGCATAAGTCAGTGTTGCATTATTCACGGCCGCATAGTGTAACCCACCTAAAACGGTCTTTCTTTTAAAGTGGTACTTGGAGCAAATCAGATGGGTCAGGCCATCCGTCACATGGTCTCCCTCGGCCTCCATTATCTGTGGCCCACCGCTTCAGATTCTCATGGCTGTGACTGTCGCCGAAGTCCCCCCGTCGCAGCGATAACGCAGTTCGTCAAGGCGCCGTACTTTTTTCCTACGGTGACCCAGAAATGTACCACAGCTGCGTATTCTAGACTGATTGCTCAGATTAGTGACCAGACATGTCATCGGCTGAGGGATGATGCTCGATAGATCAAGTGCGTGTTCAAGGCACGATGACCACTGGCTGCACTGGATACAGTAACGGGATGAAGGTAATGAAAGGAAAAAGAGTTGGTAGCCATCATTCATAAATCAGAGTGAATAGAAATCGGCAAAAAAGGTGATATATCGTCGACTAATTGACTAGGTACTGAGTTGGGGCTGGTATTGTAAAATTCGCAGAGAAGTAGAAGACACATATGGAATCCTGCAGTGCATATGGGAGCGAACTGATTTAGAGGTCAAGATCTGAACGCAGAATGAGTCAGATCACCCATAGAGTCCTGTTGTTGAAGTGACATGATATTAGGAAGGATATTAGGAGTCGAATCAGTTGAATAAGAGGCTCCAGTGGTCAATCAGTGTACAAGCGAGGCTTGACAATTACGCAGGACAACACTGACCAGCGTGAATTCGTTACGATGAGAATGAGGCAACCATTCAGTGTATCAGTGATGACAGGAGACGCAGGTATGTCTTCACTGTTGCATGTGCCATTATGGATGGCCCCAAGGATAAATATCAGCAGCATGCCGCCTGCCATTGGGTGTACTGTATAAGATTCTAGAGAAAGGTCTAATCACTTTTAGCTGCCTTCACAAAAGCCTGGATCTTTTCTATGCTCTGAACCCCATCTTCTTCGACACCGCTACTAACATCAACCCCAACAACCTGGCTCCGAACGCTGGAAAGTTGCCGAAGAACATCTTGTACCGATGCCGGATTCAGTCCACCCGCCAAGAGGACCTTCAAGTTCGGGTCGGCCTTGAGTCTGCTGACAACCGATGACAGGTCCACTGATTTGCCCGAGCCGCCGGCCCCGGCGTCAAACAAGGCAATGGAGTGATATCCTCGCACGCCAGCTTCGATCTCCTCCGGCTTAAAGCTGCGGATGACGGGAACGGGGATCAATCGCGCCCACTCGACCGGCTCGGCGCCATGAAGCTGGACAATATCCAGGCCAAGTTCTGTTTGTTGTTGCAGGATGTACTCGAGCGGTTGGTTCTGGAAGACTCCGACAAGAAGGCTGCGTGTGGTGGACGACAGGTGGTATGAGGAAGTGAGCTCGAAGAAATCAGATGGACCTGCCAATGAACTGGATTTCCTTGTCGGTCCATTTCTTTTTGGTGTTGAATGCACCACTTTTGAGATCGCCAACGCAGTGTCTCGAGAGACGCACCGACTTCTTCCTGAGACAAGGATCATTCCAATCAAGTCGGCCCCTGCTTCAATAGCGGCTTTTGCAGCCTCCGGAGTCCGTGTGCCGCATATCTTCACAAGTGGCGCATTCTTGACTGGTGTCTTGCTCACGCTCTGTCCACCCCCGAGAAGGGTGGAAACAAATTTCGGGAGGTCCGTCGCCCGCATCAAGGCTTCGCCCACAAGTACCGCGCCGACACCGCTCTTTTGATAGGGCTCGACATCTTGGGGACCAGAAATGCCGCTCAGGGCACACACAATAGTCTCTTTGGGGACCATATCCATGAGTCTACTGGTGGTTTCTAGATCGACCTCAAAGTTGGTAAGGTTCCGGTTGTTGACGCCAATAACCTGGGCGCCCAAATCCACAGCGATGCGGGTCTCATCCACATTCTGGACTTCCACCAATGGCTCCATGCCTAGAGACTGCGAATATCGATACAATCGCGTCAACGTCTCTTCGTCGAGCATTTTTACGATGAGGAGGACAGTGTCCGCACCAGCGAGCCTCGCCTCCAAAATCTGATACTCCTCGAAGATAAACTCTTTGCGTAGGATGGCCGGCCGGTCCGCCATACCGTCCACAGCTTGCCGGACAGCTTTGAGATCGTCGATCGTGCCCTTAAACCAGTCAGGCTCGGTGAGGACGGAGATGACGCTTGCTCCGGACTGTGCATATTGCCTGGCTTGCGCAGGAGCGCACGCAGCTGCGGCGATGATGCCTTTCGAAGGCGATGCGCGCTTGATCTCGGCCATCAATGACAACTGGAACGGCGTGCGGCTGAGTCGTTCCCGGAACGGCATCAGGGGAGGAGCCAGTCCAAGTTCATACGCCGCCTGTAAGTTCTCCGGGCTTAGCGTAGGGACTAGCTTCTGCGCCGCGACCAGCTCTTTTCGACGGGCGTAGATTTTTTCGAGGATCGAAGTGGTTTTATCACGCGAGATCTCATTCGCCTTGACTGGCGTGGTGGTCTTGATGAACGCTTCATTCTCCGCCCAAGTTCCTCCTTGCATTTTCAGAAAGTTCTTCAGCATCGTTCGACCTTCGGCGGTCAGAATACTTTCGGGATGAAACTGGACTCCTTCGACAACATATTCTTTGTGTCGAATGCCCATGATGACATGCTTGTTGCCATCTGGAAGAGCCGTCCACGAGGTGACCTCCAAACAGGATGGAAGAGTCGGATGAGTTCCAGCAAGCGAATGGTATCGGGTTACAGGGATATCCTGAGGGACATTGGCGTATACTCCTTTGCCATCGTGAAATAGTTGAGATGTTTTGCCGTGCAATATCTCCCCTGTTACGTCCACCGTCCCACCAAAAGCCGAGTACATGCATTGTCTACCTAGCATTAACACCACAGATAGCCGTACAGTTTAAAGTTGACTTACTCTCCCATACAGACGCCCAGGACGGGGATTTTGCCGCTGAAATGTAATATCGCCTCTTTGCTGATTCCGGCATCGTGATCCGGGTGGCCAGGACCTGGACTGATGACGAGTTGCGTCGGCTTCTTCTCTATCAACTGCTGCAACGTGATTTGATCATTTCTGAACACCGTAACCGTGGCACCTTCGAGGATAAGGTATTGGTACACGTTCCAGGTGAATGAATCGTAGTTGTCAATAAGCACGAGGTTGCTCGCAGTCGGCAGTGGGGAGACAGCATCTGGTTGATGAGGAGAGAAGTCCACGAGTTTAGCCTCAGCCATATTGACGAGTATCTGTACAATGCCAAAATTCAATCAAATAAAAGGGGTCAAATTGGAGAAGTTTCTTAATTGAAGGAAGTTAAAGCGAACTCTTCCATCCGGAATCATCAAAGGACGATGATCAGTCATGCTGACTGAGCGGCAATATTTCCCAGCGCGCCGCAGCGGCCAAAGATGAAACAGCGATTCTGGCTCGCGTCGTCGGCCGGACCGCAGTCGCGAAGTGAAAGCAGCGATCAATCTGGAGTCGCGTCAAGCTTGAATGATAGTTGATACAGAACAAGCAACTATATTGCCATAAAGCCCTCCCAGATTATTCTCCCAGATTATTCATTCCACGAACAAAATTCATGGAACGGTAATCACAATCCTCAAGCGCCTTTCCTTGCGCTATGGAACCTGAAAATGTGGAGGTGTATTTCCCTCCGCTGAACAAATGTCTTACTGGAGGAGCTCAACTTTTGTAAGTGCTCTGGGAGGGTCGCAGAACATTGTTAACGAGTTCAGGTCATGGAAATCCGTCTACTGGGCGTTGACTTGCTCGGGCAACCCCCTTGAGGATACTCCGGTACAGAGCTTCCTCAATGATCCCGTCACATATGGTCTCCTCCGTCATGCCTTCGAACCGACGATGCGCATGGAGAGAGGACCTTTCGACACCAAAACCTCCGCGGTTAACGTCACCCCGGGAGATAACGCTCTCTACAACATTGAAGAGATCAAAGAGGATGCCATCTGGCTATCGGAAGAACTCAAGATAGACGAACTCGCTGCTCTGCGCCTAGTTATCCTGGAATGGCAGGGTCGTCCACAATCAAAACTTCTCTGCGGATTCACCGAAGAGGAGGTGCTGGGAATACAGAATGCGATCGGCGCGATCAATTCGGCTTCCTCGTTGATTTCTCAAGAAGAGCAGAACAACGAGTCCATATCCAAGGAGCGGCGGAAAGTCAACCTTCTACGGCTGTATATGACCGAGCGAGCCCATCTGACCAAGGTGACGGAGTTCCTCCTCCACTATGGAGTCTCAACGATTCCATTACAACGGGACTTTTTCGGTTACAGAGACCCAAAATCCGCGACTGGCACCGACGAGTGGATTGCCACCCTGGGCCAACGACTTTTGGGAAATTTACACGAAGAAGGATTCACGCATGTCAGGATGTCGCGGTTCACTGCTACTTGCAAGACATGGCTCGAAGTTCGACACCATAATTTGGATGCTGGGCAAGGGTGGTTGAAACGTTGGGTTGAGAACGGCGCGGTCGAACTTGCGGAAACCTGGGCCTGGCTTCAACTTTCCGAGATGGTTGCCATTATGCAAATCCTCTTAGTCCATCTTATTGCCTGGCGGGACATTTGCTCCATCACCATGGTGGAGACGTGGTTTGATTTCCTCGGATCGGCATCTTTCTTCGATGGCGCACATTTCCGCGGTCCTTTCGAGTCGACAGCCAGCCTTGTCTATCAACTTCAATTGCTGGTGTCAAGTACATCGGTGCTAATGATTTGGGGGGAGGGCATCCGACCATATTTGGTGGAGCATGCGAGAGATCGGTCCTCGGAAATCATCAATAAGGACCAGACACGCTTCATTGCCAGCGCGACATGCATGGAGAGCGTCCATCGAGTCATTGTAAACGCTTCGAATGCGGGTTTGCAGCCTGCGATACCGGCAATCTATGCCTGGAGCCTCATTGGGCTCTTAGTCAAGGACGCCGCCGCCGAAGCACAAGAGCAAGGACTACAGCAGAGTCCCAGTCAGCCGTTAGATACCGCCGACCCAGGCCAAGGATTCTACGAGACCGTCGCCGAACTGCTCTCCACAGTGCAAAACCCGAGGGACGATGCGGAAGAGGATGATCAAATTGCGCTCTTGCTCGTCGCCTCCATCGACCAGTTCCAAATACTGAATGTCATTTCCGGTATCGCGGATGGCTTAGATGTCATGGTCCCCCAGAGTAGCGGTACGGCAACCCGACTTGCCCTTCGCAGGAGTCTTCTATCTCTCGTGAGAGATAGCCTTACCTACGTACAGTACTCGGCCGATTTACTGGGAGCAACTTTATCGATCCTTTCCTCTGATAAGCCAGTCCACAGTTTGGTCAGCTTACTCACTAGAGAGATTCCGCTCGACGCCCGTGAAGCCAATCGGGTCAAGGACGCCTCGGATTTCAAGATCATCACCGAGTTCTTAGAAGATCAACGAGGCTTCATGCGTGCGATTTTCGACCAAGCCGTCCTGCGATTTCCCCTGGAAGTTTCTCCGCTTCTGAAGCTCTGCCAAGCTCTGGCTGTAACTCCGTGTCCGGACAACGATCCACCAGGCGCACTCTGGGTTCGGGGGATCCTCTCACAGCTCCATTCTTTCACCTGCCGATTGCCAGCCAACTTTGCTGGATACGAAATCATCCCATTACGAGACGGAGTGAACGGCATGAGACTTCTCTACGACCTACCTCTTTTCACGGAAGTCAGACGCACTCTTCTACATTCGAACCAAAACGGGGCAAGTGGCACGCCTTTCATCATGAATGCTGGAACCGTTGGCGCGCTTCTCACGAGCAAGCCGCCTCATATCACGAGCTGGGAGTACTCATGCTCGGCTTTCGAGTTGCTCACCAGCTACCTCAGCACGTTGCTCGGAAACTGCAACGAACGACCGACATTTGCCGACCACGAATTACAGCTCGACACCGCTGCCGACATAATATCGACAATCACTATCCTCTTGGACGCCTGTTTCCGTATGCCGCATATCCACAACCAAGAAGACGTGGATCCGAAAACGGAGGCGCTTCTCATTCTTGGCGAGTGCCGCTCACTCCTCTCCGACCAGCGGGACTTGATTTCTGTCGTTTTCGCCATCTTCGAGCAACAACTTCAACGCGAGTGCGAGCAACCTGGCCTCGACGGGTCCCTCGACCTTCTGATCAGCTGTCTGCGGTTCATCACGATCGTGACGGCGGTTTCTCCGGAACGGGTGTGGGGTCCGCTTTCGCGCAGCCGCTTCGTCCGGTCGGATGGCAGCGGCGGGGCCATCATCGCCATCGTCACCTCCACGGAACTGGTCACGGGACAGTTTGGCTTCCTCCTTGCGTGCATTCGGTTGTTTGAGGAGCTCGTGGAGGATGCGGTGATCCGATCCGTCAGTCGAAACGCGGCGTCGAAGGCGGTGGTCCGGTTCGGTACACCCAACGTGACGACGTCCATGAGCACGCAAAAGATGATCTCAGACTTGATCGCCCTGGCTGTGAAGTTGCTGGCTGGCGTTTATTCGGCCTTTGGGAGCTGGAACTTTCAAGATGTGAATGAGAGGTTGGAGATCGGCTCTCGGCTGACTTCCCTGTTCGAGCGCATCGTGGTCTATGTCTATGACTGCGATGAGGCAACCGCCCCGAAAGAACGGTTAGCGGGAACATTAGCGGGGAGTGCCGAGTATCTACTTGAAATCTTCCTAGCCCCTTCCGACAGCAGTGGATTCACGAGACCGTTGTTGGAATCACTGACATACGGCTGCATGGTCCCGTCGCAAACCCCCGATGTCACGGCCTTGAAGCCATGGACGAAACAAACGGAATCGGCGATCAAGTTTTCCACCATTTTGCTACGAGCTGGAATCCTGCTGAACATGCCGACCAGCCTCCTGGAACAGCAGCTCTTCAAAGTGGCGCCCGTTCTGGCGCGTCTCTTTGCCGGCGGCGACGCCCACAAGTACTCCACCGCGTGTCTTCTGGAAGCCATGATCCGCAGCAGTGACAAGTCGAGCGAGGAACCGGCGTCCCTCTTAGGCCAAATGGGCTCGGAAACCGCAACGTCGTTCTTGGCGGCCCTGCTCCAGCTCAACCGACCACTTGAGGACCCTGCGATCGAAGAGGCCATATGGCAACTCCTCTCGGCCGTCGTCAGCTCCCGGCAACAGTGGTTCGCGATCGCGATCCTGACGGGCAAGTCACCGCGCGATATGCGCGCGAACGCGTCTCGCGGAGGGCAGCAGGCCTCGCTAGGGAACAACGTCCTCCGCCACGCCGCGGAGGCGTTGAAAGCCGACGAGATGCCGATTCACCGGGGTTTTCCTATGCTTACGTTTCTCCGCGATGCGTTCTCCCACTACGCGTGGACCATGGACACCTTCACAGCCCACCGAGACTGCGTCAACGCGCTGATTCGTCATCTCCAGCCCATGCCGCGACCCTCGTCGCTAAACACCCCCGAAGTCGTGGTCACCACCGCGCAACAGTGGAGTTTCATCTCGGTGGCGGTGGAGATCCTGGCGTTGCATCTGCACAGCGAACCGCGGCAAAAACGCGCCGATTTGGTCGCCCGCCTGACGCAGCCCTCCGCGGATCGTCCCAGCGTTGTCGAGTACTTAACTGGACCGGTCCCCGGCATGTCCGAGGTTGTCCGCGCGCAGGTGGGCGCCGGCGCGTCGCCGATCGCGTATAATCGATCGCTGCACGCCAATCTGAACCGCAACTTCAACATGGTCTTCCGACCCGCTAGCCTGCAGAATTTCAAACGCACCTTGCTGTACCGGGCGGAGCTGGGATGGAACTATTTCTACGACATCCCGTTCGCGGCGAAATTGCTCCGGTACGAGAAGGCGTGGGAGGGCCGCAATGGGAATGGGTTGAAAGCGGAGGTGTTGCGCGCCAACGCGAATTTGTCGTTGGTGGAGTCCCAGGTCCAGCTCCTTCGCGCGTGGAAGCTGCTGGCAATCGAGCTGAGTCGCAGCATTACCCCGAACGAGCGTGCCGCTAGGCAACTGACGACGGCGGTGGTGTCGAGCTTGGAGGCGAACAAATCCGACAATTCACCCCCTGAGCTCGCCGGTCGGGTCATTCAAAGTCGTTTGGAGCTGTCCTTCATCGTGGTTCAACGATTAGTCGCCGCGGGGTTGTCGGACCAGGAAACGCAAGAGCTGTTCGATGCGGCATGGAACGCGTTCCGAGATACCTGCAACGACTTCGATAACGCTTTCTCCGGTTCCAACGTCGACGAAGTCCGGATGACGTTGAAGATCCTGTTCCTTGCCATCCAAGCCAACTTCCGGCTACTTACCCAGCCACGGCCTGACGGGATGTCGGATGGTGACTGGAATCAAGTAGTCCAGAGGCGGACAGCGCAGATCCCGACGGCCCTTGAGATCATGGACAAGGTGGTCCTCCGAGGGGTGAAGTCGTTCGTCAAACAAGTCCACAACGACGCGCAATCATGCGACCCGAGCGACCTCGTGCTCCTCACCGCCATCTTCCAATTCTCGCTCCGCGTGCCGGGGATGGGCCGATCGCATTCGCAGATCTCCCTCCTCGTGAGCACGGCGAGCGCGATCCGGTGCGCCACGACGCTCTTCTCCTGGTCTGACAAGCTGGTCATCAACGGCGACCCGATCTACGGAGAGCTCAGCGTGCTCTTCCTCCTGGAGCTCTCCAGCGTGCCGCTGGTCGCCGAGTCCATGGCCGTGGAAGGCGTGCTCGCCAATATCAGCAACTCTAACCTGGCCAAGTACTTCCGCCTAGAGCACGGCATGGGCCCCTTCGACGAACCAGTCCGCCTCCACTCGATCTGGACCCGCGGCATCCTCCCGCTGTGTCTCAACCTGCTGGACTCCGTCGGCCCCCCCATCGCCGCCGAGCTCGCCACCTTCCTCAACCAGTTCCGCGGGCAACTCGCCCGCAACGTCACCACCATCGACAGCAAGCAATCCCGCATCCTCAAGACGCGACCCGGGACCATGACCCTCAACCTAGCCTCGGAAACGCACTCGCTCGCACTCCTCGCCGCGCTCCTCGACCGCTGCCGCTCCGCCGGCCTCGTGCAGGGCGTCGTGGCGGCGGACATCCCTGCGCTGGACTGGGACCGGGCGACGGTGCGCGACGACGTGGAGTCGTGGCTGGCGAGCCGGGCGTATTTGCGGCAGCGAATCGTGCCGGCGAGCGAGGGGGACGTGGGGCTGGCGAAGATGGCGGCAATAAAGGGGGAGAATGGGAGTGAGAATCGGTTGGAGGAGCGGGTAGTGCAGGAGCTGCAGCAGGCGATGGTGTTGTTGGCGGAGAGTGCGAACGGGGGAGGATGAACGGGGGGCATTGGCGTTTGGTCCCAAAAAGGGTTAGGAATATCACGGATGCGGGATGAAGCGGTATTTTATGCGAAAGGAGCCTTTGATCCTTGCCACTCCGTCGGCTTCTTTGCTTACTGACTACTGTGCATGCTCGGTTGGTGAGGTGAGCGTTGGATCATGCATGCTAATGGGTGTGGTACGTAGGATCGATTGGGCCAAAAAAATGAACACAGACACGGGAACTAGCGGATGATACAAAAGCAGGTGTTCATAGACAGATACCAATCCACGCATGAAGACTCAATACCTTTGTGATATGCACGTAATAGTTACCTATAATTAGGTACACGCGTAGGTATACGTACGTGTTGTTGGATGGCGAAGCTCAAGCGATGGGGTCGAGGCCCAAGTGCGATTATTGCCTCATTGCCTTGCAGAATTAATTCCGAGATTACGCCACACTGGTGCTATGTTTTTCTGTGGCTGATGCGTGTTTAGCTGTGGAGCTGTGGCTGACACTCCAATCTCTCGTCAACCCCCAAGTCACCACTTAAACTCTTACTGCTGCTGGAGCTGACTGACGGTTAAGATTACATCCCATCGCCATCATCCCATAACACCCGCACCATTCCAACCACACCATATTTACGCGAACATCATCCAACAAGCAGGCAATAGGAGAAAGGAATTGACACCATTACACCTGGTTGCAGAGCATCGTTCCCACCCCCGTCTCCCCATCCCTTTTCCGTCGCTGACCGTCCGCGCCCCCGTCCCGAGTCGTCCTTGCGTCAACCTCGACACTTTCCACGAACTTCCCACCGCATTCTTCCGCGGCCATGTCTTACGGAGGGCAGCAGCAGTCGTACGGTCAGTACGGCGGGAACCCGTACGGCTCAGAAAATGAAGGCTATGGCGGTGGCTACGGCGGGTCAAATCCATATGGCGATTCGGTGGGTGACATGGACACGGGATTAGAAACACCACGCAATCAACATGCTAATCGATTGCAGCCAAACCCAAGCGGTAACAACCAAGCTGCCGCTCCCGGACGCCAGCCAGATCTCGCCGCCTACGACGTCAACCCCGGGCAGACGGGCTCCACGCGCCCCAACATCCTTAGCGACGCCGACTTCCTCGAGCGCATACAAGCCACGAAAGGCGACATCAACACGCTGTCCACACAGATCTCCAACATTGCCACCATGCACCAGCGCGCGCTCTCCTCCACCGACAGCACCATGAGCCAGCAGATCGACACCGTCGTCGAGAACACGCAGGTCCTCAACAGCCAGATCAAGGACCAGATCAAGTTCTTGGAGACCGACGCCGTGCGGTCCGGGGACAACAAGACGAAGCACTCGCAGGTGCGCAACCTGAAGCAGCAGTTCAAGCAGCAGCTGGAGGAGTTTCAGCGCGAGGAGAGCACGTATCGGCAGCGGTACAAGGATGCCATCGCGCGGCAGTATCGGATCGTTAACCCTACCGCGACGGAAGACGAGGTGCAGGAGGCCGCCGATGCGGATTGGGGGAATGAGGGCGTGTTCCAGACCGCGGTAAGCCCCTCTGCAATATATTCACTTTCCTCACGCTCATACTAACATCCCTTAGCTCCGCTCCAACCGCCAAGCACACGCCTCCTCCGTCCTGGGCGCCGTCCGCGCCCGCCACAACGACATCCAACGCATCGAGCGCACACTCGGCGAGCTCGCCCAACTCTTCCAAGACCTGGCAGAGGCGGTGGTGGTGCAGGACCAGGCGGTGGCGCAGGTGGAGGAGCAGACGGACAAGGTGCGCACGGACGTGGAGGGCGGCAACAAGCAGCTAGACTCCGGAATCAGGTCGGCGCGGCGGGCGCGGAAGATGAAGTGGTGGTGCTTGGGCATCTGCGTGCTGATTGTGGTTATCTTGGCGTTGGTGCTGGGGTTGTATTTTGGGGTGGGGAAGGGGTCGTCGAAAAATAATAACCAATAGAGCGATGGGGAAGACGTCGGTCGACGGGGGCGGTCAAAGTCGCGAGATGGGGAGAGCTGGGTGGTGACGATGCCCGCCTCGTCCGCACTGTATTGATTTTGGATGAGACGAGGTTTTTGCGATCATTGTTCACGTCGGGACAGGAGACCGACGATTTCTTTTGTTGGACGGGAGAGACAGCGGTCGAACGGGGCTTTCTAGGAGATGATTCATTTGTATATCGGCCAGCATCACACTACTACTAATACGTGCTCCTGTGCAGCTAGAGGAGCATAGGAGTTATATAGGATAATCCTCATCGTTTGATCCAGTGTGACCGTTCACAAGTCTAGTCACTAATGGTAGTACATAGGTCAGAGATCATGTCCTTAGATTGAGCAGCACCAAAGGTTGATATTCGCCTTACTGCCTCAGGCCACATAGCTGTATTATTCGTCGAGTCGTCAAGGTTCCTCGGTATAATCAAGCCCGGCTAATGCTGTATCGATCATCACCACCCTCCGCAACCAGGCGCTACACAAGATATAAACACCGCCATGATGGTTCCTGCTCCTTCCAACCGCGAGCCTCAAACGCCGCCATGTCTCCCCAACCGCCCCCCGTGAAATGCATCCTCTTCGACGTCGGCGGAGTTCTGGTATGACCTCCTCCTCCTTCCCCTCTCCCCCAGCATTCCCCAAACCCATGAGACTTGCAACTGACGATCCGCAGGTCGTCTCCCCAATGCAAGCTATCCTCGACTACGAACTCGCCAACAGTATCCCCCCCGGCTTCGTCAACTTCGCCATCTCCCGCTCCGGCCCCACCGGCGCCTGGTCGCTTATCGAAACCGGCCAAATCCCCCTCGACGACGCCTTCTTCGCGACCTTCAAAACCGACCTCACCAACCCCGCGCTATGGGCCGAATACTGGATCCGGCACACGACAAAGGAGAAGAGCGCTGCCCCATCGCGCTCCAACGTCCCTCCCGTCCCTGACATCGACGCGAAGCGTCTCTTCTGGACCATGATGAAGATGAGCCGCGCCCCGGACCGCGATATGTATCCGGCGCTGCTGAAGCTGCGGGCGTCCGGGCGGTTCACGCTGGCGGCGCTGAGCAACACGGTGGCGTATCCGCCGGGGGTGGTGGACGCGGACGGGGTGCCGTTCAGCGCGGAGCTGGCGCATCCGGCGGGGTCGCCGGAGGAGAAAGTCCGAGAGATGAAGCAGAACTTCGAGGTGTTCGTGTCGAGCGCGCATGTTGGGATGCGGAAACCGGATCCGCGGATTTATGAGTATGCGGTGGGGGAGATGAATCGGGTGCGGAGGGGGGAGGGGAAGGGGGAGGTGAGGATGGAGGAGGTGGTATTTATTGATGACATAGGGCAGAACCTGAAGGGGGCGAGAGAGCTGGGGATGCAGACGGTGAAGGTAACGTTGGGGAAGAATCGGGAGGCGGTGAAGGAACTGGAGAAGTTGACGGGATTGAGTTTGTTGGATGATGGGAGGTCGAAGTTGTAGACTTGTCGTTGGATGATTAGGATGACTTCATGGATATATAGACCTGATCCTCGCATATCATAGACACAGGCTTCTATCCGAGCATGCTCTTCTTCCGCCCTCGCATCCGCACCTGATCTAACTTTCGTAGCACGGTCTGCCCGGCCTTGTAGTTCTCTCCATACGCATTCAACACTTCCTGGAAGAGATGTTCGGCCTGGGGATGGGTGCTCCCAAACGCCCTCTCCAGCACGTACAGGTCGACGGCCTTGTCTTCGTCTTGGACGGTTTGGTTGGCAAGGCCGAAGTCGATGAGCACCACGTCGCCGTCTAGCTCTTGCTCTGGTTCTGGTTCTTGCGCTTGGGCATCTCGGAGGGCCTCCATCGCGATATCTGCTTCGGCTGCTTCTGCCGCTTCGGCTGCATCATGACCTGGGTGTGTCGTCCTCTTCTTCTTCCGTGGCCGCAGCATCAAATTGCTGGTAGTAAGATCCCCATGACACACTCCCACCGAATGCAATTTCCCCACGGCGACGCCAACCTTCCTCATTAGCCCCAACAGCTGCTTTTCTATCCCCTCAATCCCTTCCTTCCCTTCCTTCTCTTCCGCACTCTGCGCATCCCGATGCTCCCGCACATGATACACCCCATCCAACACCTCCCTCACCGTTCTCCCCTCCACCCACTCCAACGCGATCCACCCCGTCTCCCAATCCGCCCCCAGAACACCCGGTACCGTCACCCCGTCGCGGCGACACCGCACCAGCACCCGCGCTTCCGCGAGTAGGCGCGCTTTCGTGAGCCGGCGGTCGAGGGTCGCGTGGCGGTAGGCTTTGGGGGGGCGGTATTTGAGGGCGCAGGGGAGGGAGGGGGTGAGGAGGGTGGTTTTGTAGAGGAGGGATTCAGCGCCTTGGACGCGGAGGTCGAGGGGAGGAGAGGTGGGGGAGGTGAAGGGGGGAGGGAGGGTGTGTGCGGTGGTGACGGCGGCCGTGGTTAAGGTCATGATTGCTGGTAGTTCTTCAATTCGACATGGATATGGTCGTTGATTTGATTTGATGTTAAAGTGACTTAAGGGAGATTCTAATCTGTCTCTGCTGAGTGTTGTCTGAACCGAGTGACTCTGACCTGAACCATTCACCGTGGGGGTGAAAATGCAAATCCGGGGATGAACAGGGGTCTGATGAACTTTATGATGCGACATCAACACAGTTCATCCAACTCCCCGTAACACCCCTTTTCCAATTCTATAGCCTCTTAACCACCCCATCAACACTACAACAACATCCCCATCCTCAATCATGCGAACCTCCCGCCTCTCCCGCGAAGCCGCCCAGCTCAACGCCGCCCTAACCCCCCGCACCACCCGTCGAACCACGCGTTCCACACCTCTCACCCCCGACACCACCACCTCTTCTCCATACCTCAAACGCAAACGCTCCTCCTCCCCCCTCCCCAAAGCAGAACCTATCCCCCGCCCCACCAAGGCGCCCAAAGCTCAACCAAAACCGACACCCCGCCCTACCAAAGCGCTCAAAACCGAGCCACATGCCGCTCCAGCGCGCTGGGAAGAGGTATACGCCGTGACGCAAGCGATGCGGGCGGACATAGTCGCGCCAGTCGACACGATGGGATGTGCGACGCTGGCGGATCCGACGGCCTCGGCGCGCGACCAGCGGTTCCAGACGCTGGTGGCGCTGATGCTGTCGTCGCAGACGAAGGACGTGGTGACGGCGGCGGCGATGGGGCGGTTGCGGGAGGAGGTGCCAGGGGTATGTGAAGAAGATAGGGTGGATAGTGTGTGGAGCTGACGGTGGTGGAATAGGGCTTCAACCTTGAATCGATCCTCGCCCTCCCCGCACCGCGGCTAAACGAGCTCATCGCAAAAGTCGGCTTCCACAACGTCAAAACGGCGTACATCCTCCGCACCGCCGCCATCCTCCGCGACGAGCACGATTCCGACATTCCCGCTACCATTGTCGGCCTCACGTCCCTCCCCGGAGTCGGCCCCAAGATGGCCTACCTCTGCCTGTCGGCGGCGTGGGGTCGCGACGAGGGGATTGGCGTCGACGTGCACGTGCATCGGATCACGAATCGGTGGGGGTGGAATAGGACGAAGGGGCCGGAGGAGACGCGGAAGGCGTTGGAGGGGTGGTTGCCGAGGGATAAGTGGAATGAGATCAATCATTTGTTGGTGGGGTTTGGGCAGACCATCTGCGCGCCGGTGCGGCCGCGGTGCGGAGAGTGTGGGTTGGCGGAGAAGGGGCTTTGCCCGAGTGCGAAGGTGGTGAAGGGGAAGAGCAGCGTGGTAAAGAAGGAGACGATCACGACGAACGGAGACGCGGGTCAGGCGATCAAGAAGGAAATTAAGGAGGAGACCAAACTGGTAGATATGGAGGATATCGGACTACCGAGCTCCCGATCGTCGAGAAGAATACCATAGCATTAATAACGCAAGCTACGTAGGCATCGACGCACAGAAATATACAGACCCAAACTGCGGCACCAGCGAACCATGGATGAACGAGGCAATTTGACCTTCTCCGATGCCGCCTTTCTCGCCCGCGAAACCTATGCCACCGGACGCCGATCCCGTGAACCCCGAACCGTCATTAATCGGATACTCATCAACCCCCATCCGTCCCATCCTAAGAATCAAGTTCCATTGTCTCCATAATGGACTCGCTCATCGCACGAACGCCGCTCCGGTTCTTGCGCCGTGACGAGGTCTCGCTCACCGTCGCCGACCCTCGCCTCCGACCCCGCATCGACTGTAGCGACGAGCTGGAAGAATCGCTGACTAGTGCATGTTCGTGATCTAGGAGGTCTAGGTCGTTGTCGACTTCGTCGTCGCCCGGGTTATCGATGACCATGTCATCGTCATCGTCGTCGGCGTAGTCGATCCCCGCGCGCTCGCCCAGCCAGAACACCGCGCGCTTCCTCGCGCCGTCGTCATAGACAGAGCTACGTCGCTTCTTCTTCGGCGTGGGCGCGATAGGCGCGCGCAAGGGGGTGTGTCCAATGATGCTCATGCCGCGAAGGTGGATATAGCAGACTCGCTTCTTCTGCTTGTTGAAGAAGAAATGATGGATGCTCCAGATCGCGCCTTCCTCGCCCTGGAAGGGGTCTTCTTCCGGCAGATACGTGTACACGTCGCAGGAGCGAAGGTCCATCTCATTGTCGATGAGCCGCCACATCCGCGGTCCCCATGCGCTGCTACCAGTGGTGCTTTGCGATGCACCCTGCAGCACCGTCACCGGCCGCGGTCGCAGATTGTAGATAGTCGAGTCGATCCGGTTGGTGACGGCGGTAAAGTACCGCTCCCGTCGGAAGTCCGACGGTCGAAGGATGTTCGAAAAGTCATAGTCGGGATGGCTGGAATTCAGCGTCGCGATCAAGTATGCGAAGGTGCGACGGCTTGACACCTGGCTCAGCGGACCGAACGCGCTGGAGCGGGAGAGATTCAACGATGCGCCGAGGGACTCGGCCTGCGGTGGGGAGAGGGAAACGGAGAGTTTGAGGAGGGTCTCATGTTGGGATTCCAGGGAATCTTCGATCTCCTTGTAGAGCTTCTTGTCACTGCCAGCAGCCTTGGTCGTATACAGGTCGCAGCCTCCGATCACGTGGCAGTCCGCTGTATCGAAGTTCAAGGCGGTGGTGACGTCTTCCAGCTCGCGAATCGGCAGATACTAGTCTCGGTCAGCCCAGGTTTAACAGTGGCGATAACGCCGACAATTCGCGATTTCAAGTAGAACGGGTTCACCACAACCAACGCAACCCCGAACTCGGCGGCCGCGATGTGTTGTGATAATGAATTCCCGATATGGTCGGGTATGCATCAGCAGGAGTCAGCGCATACCTTCATTGTTAGAAGTCAACCAAGCCCAGTGCAGGCGTTGCGCCTACACGAGCTGAGCAGAAGTGACCAAAGCCATAGGGCGTGATTCGAATGAAGGTGTTGTATTGTCGGATCTGAATGATGGGAATTGACTGAGAAGAGTGACTGTATGCCGAAGCGGAGATGTCATGACGGGAGATACGGCCACGGATGGACGGCGCATCACGTGATCCAGCCACGCATCCAGCCAACGAAATCGATGATTCATTGGCAGCGAATTAGACAGGTATCATGCAGCCAATCAGGCAGCGACCATGCCGCACCTGCCTCACTTCAGGCACTCCATTCATGTGGACTAGCAACATAAGCAAGTGTAACAAGCAAATGCGTTGATGAGACACTGAGGTGCAGCAGCAGGTACTTTGACAGTAGGTACTTGGAGTCTTGGGGTCTTGGACAAAGGGAAGGCATATCTCCATTCTCTTGTTCATCCACCATTCTCAGGTATCAGTCCGTCATGCAGCTCTCCAAGTTCCATTCACCTTGCCGCACCGGTACGCTGCCGGATCCAGCCATGACCACCAACCCAACACGTGGTGAACAGTGAGTCTTTCTTCGTATATTGGGTATCATAAAGGAAACCGTGATCGGAGTATGATAATTCATGTCGCAGAGTCTGCGGGATTAGTACCACATCGATCGATCGTAGTGTTCCACTCCGGTGGAACTTGAGGTTGCGCAGTTTACGACCGCAGCAAAGTCGATGGTTGGGTTCGGAGGGTCCATAAAGGACTCCTGATAGAAATGGCAGCATCTCAGAGGAACCCAAGGTCCTTTAGCTGCTGCTCAAATGCGAGTTCCTCCTAAAGTCCAATGTATCAGTAAATGTCGGGGGAAATGGTCGTGCAAGATCAGGTCGTACTTCGTTCTCTTGGGGCACCTCAATTACATGATCTTGGTGACGATGTCCTCTTCGGCCTACAGTGAAGTAATGCAATCTTAGTACCCGGTGGGTTTGTCGGAGGTGAATACAAATGCGGCCCAGTTTCCAAGCCAGGGAAAGAGACGGTCATGGGCTCACCTCCATGTCTTCAAGGCTGTCTTGCTGGCCGATGCACCGCAGGACGTTCTTCTTGCTGGTTTCCTGCAGCTCACCGGCAAGCAGCAGCTCATCCAGGATGAAATAGGCCTTTTGGAAGTTGAAGATGATGTCCAGCTCACAGACGTTGCCGTAGTATTTGTCCATTTGTTCGACGTAGCGATGGATGATCTCAAGGGTGATAAGCTCGTTGTCGGTAGAGTCGCACCCGGCGATGAAGAAGAGGGACGCATAGCGGCGATAGACGATCTTGGTGTCTGATGACGGTCAGACTGGGATGCATGAAACACGTCGTATCCCGTACCTTTATACTCGAGGAAATTGCACATTCGAGTTCGGCGTGCAAGAACAATTTGAGAGACATCCTTCACGATCTTCGCCTTGTCTTTGGGGGAAAGGGTTGTGAACCATTTAGCTAATCGCTAATGCCGGTCAGCTGTCGTCTGCTGCAAGAAATCAACCTGGAGAGCATACCACTTTGCCCTGTCTCGAAAGGAGAATGAGATATCTAAATCATTGATCAGCCATTGGGTGCAGTCTCGATAAACCGGCTCAGTTACTTGATTGCCATCTCGTCGAGGCCTGGTAGAATCCAACACGTATATCGATCGCTCCAAATTTCGAGGCTAGAAGGTCAACGACGGTCCCGGTGGTGGAGCAGTTTAATAGGAGGTCGAGTGTGAGGCGCGAGCAGAATGGTAATGGGGTGTTAATTGTTAAATGGTAGCAGCGAATATTTGGTGATGGTGGATGAACTAACAGCGTTGAGCTTGAGAGATTCTGCGTGTGGGAGTCTGTGCTGTCACTGTTGTGCTGGTGGACAATAGAGGGGAAGGAATAATGTCGGCTTTCTGTGTCAGCATGTCCGATATGCCCGCCATCGGCATCGTGCATGTTTACGCCTACGCTTTATATACTGCACTCGGCTTCTCCATTCAAACTTTGTGAATAGCGAATACTCCAGTTACTGTCTACGGTAGACCGTAATTACATGTCCTGGGTTCATGACCTGCCTTAGTTGAGCGGTCAATTTCGGTTGCGTAGAGGATACCTCCTGTAAACTGCCATCATGAAACTCATTGTGTCCACATCGTGAGCCACCACACCTGCTTTCCGCTCGAGAGAGACTTCTAACATGATCTAGGAATATTATGAGTGGCGGCCCCCCTCTCATCCGCCAATCCCATGCCGAAAAGTCCAACCTGGAACTCATCAGCTCCCTCCGCTCTAACATCCAAGCCGCCAAGGACGCCGCCGTCGACCCCGACCAGAACGGCGACACCAAGCCTGACGACGTCTCCAACCTCCCCCTCAGCGCATGGACGACGACCGACGGTGATCAGATATCGGTCCCGTCGCTCGAATCCCCCTGTTCCGGCCTAAGCGAAGACCCAGAGCAATACGACATCACCGTCAAGCTATTCTACCTCCCGGGCGTAGGCACGGAACTACGATGCGCGCACACGCGCGAGGCGATCGCCTTGGTCCTCAAGAAGCTGCGCGTCTCCACCATTGACTTGCTGATCGTGTCGTTTCCGGGGATCACCTTCGACGCGGACGACGAGGACGAGGAGGAGCCGCTACAGAACGGGGTGGCCGACGACGATGCCACCCGGGCTGAAGTGGACATGGTCAGCCAGACGTGGCGGATTTTGGAACAGCTGTATGAGGACGGCTCGATCAAGAGCTTGGGACTGTCCGAGTTTGGGACGAACCGTCTGCAACGCCTGCTCCCGAACGTGCGGGTCAAGCCCGCCGTCGACCAGATCAATGTGCGAGATTGCTGCGTCGTTCCCAAACAGCTCATCATGTTCGGGAAAAAGGAGTCGATCGAGCTGCTCACGCATAACGACTGCACCGACGTCCTGCCGCGAGGGACGTTGACCGAACTGCTGGGTCCGACGGATGCCGGGGTGGATCTACTGTCCCAACTGAGCCAGGTGAATCCCGCCTTGACTGGCAATGTCGAACCGCAGTTTGTGGTGAAATACACTGCGGTGGTCAAGGATCGGGGGGTCGTCGAAAGCAAAGGGTACTTCGCCGTCGCCAACGTCAGCTGAGGGTGGAGATGGAGTCCCGCCATTTCCACCACGATCCGACACATGCCGAGATTGAAGATTCTGTTTTATACACAGAGCCATTTGGTATCGACAGCAGTGGTGAATGCGAATCGTTCCCCTGGGTGGCGTCGCTTCAAGCGGATTGTCAACGACCCCACCCAGGATCACACACATCACATTACTAGAAGATGGTTAGCACGGAAAATGACTGTGATAGCCACTGTCCATTTACGACAGTCCCCAGTCGCGGAATATTGGTAGGGGCATACAAGACATGATTAAGATTTGATCAATATTAAGAGGATGAACAATAGCAGAATCTTAGCATTGTCCCTGAAACCTTCATCTTAGCTGCTCTATGCATCCGGTTCGCGATACGCCTCCTGAGTTGGATTCAGTCACAGAGGCATCCGCCTGGCTTAGCATTGTCCATATGCTCTGCTATATATTGTCCCCCATAGTATTGTCAACGCCATATTGGCTTTACTACAACGATATAATATCCGCCTTTCCTTCAACCGTCAATCTTTCTTAAGTCACTTCATTCCTCCTTTCTTCTGCTTCTTCTTCTTCTTCTTGCAAATACAATCTTCTACATCACCATCCAAGCGGTCTTGATTTCTGGCAAACAAGACCCCCAAAAAGCAGACTACCAACAACATGACATCCAACACCACCACCCCCATCGACTCCTTCAACCAATCTTTTTCCTTCCTCTCGGGCAACACTACCCTCATCATCCCCCTCGCCGACCTCCGCGACTTCCTCAACACGGCGGCAGGTCCTGCATCGACTACGGCACGTAAATCGGCGCCACCTTCATCATGCTCATCGTCTGCCAATACATCGGGACCGCACCGCAGCTCGCCGCGCTGATCTACACCGCCGTGGCCATCTCCCTGCCGTTCTCCGCCCTCTGGGCCGCACAGGCGGTCGAGAACCATTCGCGGAGCGCCGCGAGCGACCACCATCCCCGGCGGCCGATATTGTGGAACGTGTTCCGGAACGGCAGCGTGGGGAGTTCGAAGGGCAAGAACTCGTATGCGGACGACGAGACGACGCGGAAGGCGACCGTCATGGCGGTGAATGGTCAGGGAGAGCTTCCTGATGTGGCGGGGTGATGATTGAACGGAAAGGGGGGCTATAATGGACGGGGGGAGAGGAGTGGTTTGGACTGAGTCTTTCGCGAGCGGGTTAACTAGGGTGGTTGTATTTTGACCCTCTAGGCGCTTCTAGTCGTGGTACGGAGAGTACCATCTACTCTAACACATCAGGTACAAAAGCAATACCACACTTTTACCCTTCACCAGATATCAGTGCTTGAATCATCCGTCCTAACCCTTCACCAGATATCAGTGCTTGAATCATCCGGCCTAACCCTTCATGATGTCGAGTCAGGCACCGATCATAAACCCTCCCTAACTCCCAACCGATTTTCCAAACGCCAGTTGCACATCAATACAGTAGAACCCTAGGCCATACCACGCATCATCGATCCCATCGTCCGGTCTTTAACCAGGTCCAATTCTCGGCCTAACTCCATTAGCACGCATCACAAACCACAAGCCCTCCACGACTACTCACATATCATGATGCTCACTCAACCCCGACAAATACCGATTCAACTCCTGCACCTTCTCTTTATGCGTCTTCGCTCCCTCGCGCCGCATCCGCTCCGCCATCTACAACCGTCAGCACGCCATCTCCTCGTTCAAACCACCAAACCGAGATGTAAAAGCCACGGGGGATAGTTAGGGAAAACATACCCGCTCCCGTCTCCGCTCCTCATACCGCCTCTCCGCCTCCGTCCGCCCGCTCATCCCCGCCCGCGTCGCCTCCACAATCTCCCGCTCCAACCTTTCCACCTCCTTCTTCTCCCGCTCCCCCTTCCCTCCCTCCTCACCCTTCATTACCTCGCCTGTCTCCGTCGCTGGGAGTTCATTCATGGTTGCCGCATGGTTCGAGTGAGTTGCGGGGGTGGTCGCGTCGTTGGGCTTCGGGCGTTTCTTCTTCTTCTTCTTGTCGACGCCGCGGCCTTTGAGGCGGAGGGCGCCGGGGACGGCGTTGCTGGTCGAGGACATGGTGGGAATCAATATCAATTGTCCATGGGCGCCGGGGTTGACCGCCGCGTCGGTGGATTGACGGAGGGAGTGACGTGCTCGAGGCCGCGGTTTGCTTGGGAGTGGACGTCGAAGGTTTGGATGGATGTAAAGACGCGCGAATGGACGGTTCAGTGCATGTTAGTCGGGGGTGGAACTTAGAAATGATAATTAGAACCAGTTGATCGAGGTGGATGGGTGAGGTGGATAGGTGATGATGCTTAGTCATCCTACCGCATCGTCACTTTCCTTCAACTTCAACTTCCCCTTCACGAGCACCCGAACGGGGCAGCAGTCTACCATCACTTGGTTACATGTACTTCTTCCCAATCCACACCGAAGCAAAGTCACTCCATCACCATCACCAAAGCATCCAACCATAGTTCAACGTCCACGTTTCAATTCCTATCGTTGTCGATTGCATCAACCGCACTTTCAGTTATAACGGCCGTGACCCCACCAACGGGACACCGCAACTAAATAATAATAATAACCCCTTCCTTTCACTTTCCTTCCCGTGTCCATGCGTCCGGCAAATATCCGTTCGTGTCCCACGTAACAGGAAAGAGGAGGACACTCGTTCCACCACCACGATTCGAAGCCTCCGTCCCTCTAGCTTCCCAACCTATCTTCCGTCCCAACCGACGCAAGTAAAAACCACTCCATCCATTCTCCACGTCGAGGAAACGCACCAGAAAATCCCAGGACCACGTTCGAGTGACCGAGGTCGCGATTAAAAAAAGGAGATGGATGCGCTGGACAGAGAAACTACCGCCGCCCGTACGTGTATCGACGCCGGCGAACGACCGTGCATCAAACCAGTTGATGCACGTCCGAGTTGGCCGAGCGACGGGTAAGCGAGTGATCCGTCCGAGGAAGCATGCAAGCGGAGAATCGAAAAAATGCCACGGTACGGAAGCAAGACGCGGGTCCCATCCATGTCCGGGGAAATGGGGAAACGAATAATTCGGAACGACGATCGAAGCCGATGCACACGCCAACCAACCACCAAGAAACGAGAAATGAAGAAAGTCGTAAGAACCATGATCGTAAGCCGGCAACCCGTCATGCTATTGCTATCCCCCGCCGTCGGAGGACTGATTAGCCGCAGTAGCTCTTCCGCTTCTCCACGCGCTCCAACAACATGAACGGCATCTGCCTCCGGTCCCCCGGCGGCGTCTTCAACTCCAACTTCTCCAAACCCGCAACTATCGCCTCTGCCTCCCCGCTCATCCGCTCCTTCCGCTCCGCTCCGATCGCCGCGGCGCGCAGGCTCCCATGGCTCGATTTATCGGATGTGCGCCCGGTCCCGGCGTCGGAGTACCCATCGTCACCATACCCGTCCCCGTCGGCGAACGGGTGCTCGAGCTCCGCGTCGGACGACGGGAGGGAGAACGTCATCTCCGTCTCGCTGACGGGCGTCGAGCTACCGACGCTACCGGAGCTGGCGCCGCCGATGCTGCCGTGCACGCTGCCGGCGCCGCCGCGGCGCTCGAGGCCTTTGCGGACCAGGCTGCTGACCGCCTTGCGGCGCTGGCGGGTGGCGAAATTCTTGCTGCCTTCGTGCTTGGTGGTCGGGGCAGCGAGGAGCTCTTCCATGGGGGGCGGGCCGCGGGGCTGGCGGGTCGGGTGCTCGCCGGCGCGGTTTTGGCCAGGGCCGAAGGTACCGGTGAGGGGGGTGGGCGGGAACGCGGGACGTGCAGACCGGGGCGCAGCGTCGGAGATCGGGGAGGCGGTGGAGAAGTTCAGCGAGGAGATCTTCTTGTGGTTGCGACGCAGAGCGGAGTTGTTGGAGTTTCCAGGAGGCGGGGCCATGCCCTGCTGGGTGGGCGACGGCGTGTGCTTCGGAGGAGTAGGTCCGCGAGGGCTGAATGGGCTGGTGCAGGACGCATCGATCGGGGATGCTCCACGGCGAAGGCGCTCCGTGGCAGCACCGTACAAGTGATGGCTCGGGGTCTGCGGAACAGGGGAAGCCACGGATTGCTGCGGATGCATGCTCGGATCCACCGCGTACGTGTACTGCCCCGTCATCGGATTAAAAACACGGTAGACACCCGGATACCCAGGCAGTTCCTGAGGGATTGGAGACACGCCATTCTGCAGTTGTTGGGCATAGAAACCCATCTGGGGGGTGGGGGGAGTTTGCGGGCTCCCCGCATAGTTGCCACGAGCGCCCCCGTTGAAATTCATCCCTCCGAACTGCTGGCCGGTCAGGTTGAGGAGCTGCTGCTGAAGCTGCTGTTGGCGTTGGTTCAGATACGCCTCGGTGGCGAGGAGCTGCGCCACGAGGTTCGGATCTGTCTCCTGGTCCTCCGGAGAAAAGGCCATCGACGGAGGTGCAAGCACATGGTTCGCAGGCTGGTACGACTGCTGCATGTTCTGCGCTCCATAGTGCTGCGAAGACTGCGGAAAGTGTGTGGCAGCGGCAGTGTGAGGCATCTGCGGAAGCTGGTGACGTGGGTACTCCCCAGACGGAGAGTCCGACCGCATATTGAACCCGTTGTGCGGCTGTTGGTTCAGAGGCGCCGAGGCGGGAGTGCCCGGTTTCGGGGCGGTCCTAAGTCCCGCGAGCAAGTGAGATCGGCTAGTGCGTGGGGTCTGACACGCCTCGCCAGGATTCTCACTGATGGCTGCGAGGTTGAGACGCTTCAGGCCCGTTCCCTTTCCGCGAGAGGCGAATCCCGCGGACGGGGCACCAATCTCACCGCCTGGGCTCATCGGACCGTAATTCATCTGAGCAAGAGCGCCAGCGTCCATGCTCATCCCGTTGTCTGAACCGTAGGTTGAGGGCGGCGACGACGGCATGATATCGGTCGAAGGACACGTTGCGTCGGGAAACTGATTAAGGAATCTCGATTAAGGAACGGCGAGGTTCGCTGCTGGTAATGAGCGAAAGGTTTATTATTGCTTGATGCTGTCAAGTCAAGTGTGGTGATAATCAACACCGCGGGGTCGAGGCGATCGCTTCTAGTGCGACGGCGTTCGAGAAGTGGATATAGGGAATCGGGACGATCGAACAAGTCGATGAAGCAGTCGAATGCAACGACAAGGTCGAGATTAAGAGATTACGGGCGGGTAGCGCCGACAAACAATGGTTGTATCTAAACGTCGATGATGCGAAAACGCGGCCGACTGGTTCCAGGAGATTCGGACCTGTCAATAATGGTCCAACGGATAATCGAGTGGTATGGTGATTTCGACGATCGGGTTGGAGACAGTGGTGGTTCCTCGCTTGGTGAGGACGTACGGTCGTCGGTAGGCCGGTCGAATCAGCGGTGAAGTGAAGTTCGAGTCGAAAATATTGACTGGTCGGATGGAAAAAAGCGAATTTTCAGAAGTGAATATTCCCGATGTAATGCAATCAAGAACGGGCACCGGACCAACTTGTGGGATGGAGGATCGCAAAGTGGACGATGATGGATGATGGATGTTGGAGCGTGCTGGTTGCTCTGCAAAGCACAAGAGAGCGACGAGGCGGGATGCGGGCGCAAATATGGATTGGGATTCGGGCAGAAGAAAGCGCGAAAGATGACGAACGAAGAAGGAGGGCGTTTGGTTGAAGGGAAGAAAAGAAGGCGAGAGGGGGAAGAGGACGTGTGATGGAGTGGAGGAGATGGAGTGGAGGAGATGGAGATGGGAGATGGGAGTGAAAGGCAGTTGATGAGATCTGAAGAAGAAGAAAGTGAAAGGGAAAGAAAGAAGACGAACACACGAAGTTGACAAGGTGAGTGAGACTGGGTGAGGAGTGGCACTCCAAGGACAAAGGTGACAGGCGTGACAAGACTTAAGGGCCAAGCCTAACCTGTAATTAACAACGGATTGGTGGGAATGGGATCAATCAAGGGATTCAACCAGGTTTGATTGGCGAACGAAATCCAAAAAGAGGGAGACCCCAACGAAATGGTCCAAAAGGCGCTGGAAGGGAGAACGGGCTGACAAGGGACGGCACCGGGGGTTGCTGGACTGCTTGTTCTGTTGTTCACGGGCAAGTCCGGGGGCAAGGACCAATGAGAGCCCATTATTGCCTACTTAGAGCACGGTCGGGGTCCTGTCAGGGCCGAATGACTGCCAATGACTGCCTAAGAGCGCCTAACAGCGCCTGTCAGACTGTGATGGCCGGCCTTGGTGTGCCCCTCTTGGAGCCCCTCTTAGAAACCCCACCAGTCTGCAATATTAATCTATTGGCGGCCCTTTCTGCAAACACCAAACACCAGGCTTAAAACTATCAGATGCGCTACAGGCATACAGCCTACTTCCTAGTCCCTACCGCCTACTGCCTAGTGACCTCCAGATACTTTCGACGATCCAGCAAGACAACAAAGACCGAACCACTACAAAGAGATCAAGGAGAACAATCAGTGCATGGAGGAATATTTAGTGGAGATATATTTAGTCATGCTCCACTGCCTCAGGTAATTACGAACTCGTGCTTCGTTTCATTTGTACTAGAGCCTGCGAAAACTGCAAAATGAATGGTCAATTGGTCATTGATCAACGAGGGTACAAAGGGAGATGCAGCATGCCGATCCGCATAGGAATCGAGGGATGGTCACGTGACTGGTGTGTACTACCCATCGTTTTTCGTTCCCCATCAGCCCCTGAATCGTTCCAACGGTCAGGGGTGGTGCCCCGCCGACAACGTGGCCCTTGGATTAGTGTAGTTCACAAATCAAGACAAATATTGACCATCGGACGAAGTGAGGACGAAGGAGAAATCGACTTGCTGCCTGGCATCAGGCATGAGGTGCACGAGGGAACGGGACAGATAGACCCGACCGATGTCCTACCGCCACCATGAGGTTCGAACTCCATTCCGTTGCTCCCGCCCCTGCTCTCTATCCGCAACCGAGACCCCAAGTCCCAAACACTGGGTATGCCACGTTCCGAAACGTGGTTTATCAGAACCTTAGATCCGGTCGGCGGAGAGATGGTTCGGAACACACATTGGCGAACGTCTTCATGCTCTGCGAATGCATCTCCTCATCTCCTGTATTCATACGAGGTGAGACAATCAATTATAATATACGGGATATTGCTTGAGACCGGACGCAGGACACCCTCCGGACATCGGGCTGCTAATTCCTCAAGCTCAAGCACGAGTATCAACCGGAACCATATCTGAGTTCCGAACGGTCCGGTGCCTACTCCGCATCTATCCTCATCAACCGGAGACGACCATGGCCACTGGCCACTTGACACTTGGGTTCCCTAACCGTGTTAGGTTTGGTCTCACTCGTCGAACAATCGTCAGGTCCGTGTGCGAACTGAAATATTAATATATTTCGGACTCCATAATAGTTCATACACAGGTCCGGCACGTTTGGCACCTCGATGCGAATAACCGTGCTCTGCCTATCCGTGACCAGCGTCCATGCAGCCTGCCACTCCGGAGAAGTCTTCATTTGAAAAGATAAATCGATCATCCATTATCCGATTCACATCTTCTCCTTTTCCACAGACGGTAAAACCGAACGAGACTTGACCGTCCAGCGGCGGACGTTTCAGTTGGCGTTCGAAACCCTCGTCTCGTCGGTCCCCGCCATGCCGATCGTCGACAACGTACCGTAGGGCTGACGGAGGAGACAAATCGACGGCCGTGCGACCAGTCGATACTGACGATAATATGCCGTCTTAATGTCTCACATACTCGAGTCCAGTAGGACAGAGCCAGGGAATAATGTAGAGTCCCAAGAGGGAACTTCACTCGTCGATGTGGACCATCGACCAGGATGGCTCCCAACCCCGAGACCTCAATATCACAACTTTGATGTCGTCCAGTCGAAACCATCCACGCAGGTCATAATCGAGATCTCTTCAGTAATAGTAGTAGTCCCGTTACCTCCACGGCACACCGGTCGCTGATAGATTGGAATTTCGCCGATCTATGGGTATACACAAATTCCGTCTGTCTGTATTATGTACAAGTATTGAGTGAAAAGATCCGGTTGACCGCCGACCCCCAAAACGGTCCCCGTATGTCCCTGCTGCGATTAAAAAAACGTCTCTGTGATAGTTCAGTCTCTCTCGTCCAGTTCGGAAATGTCGTGACCTGATCCTCGGATGTCCCTCAGGAAAACCCATCATATCATATTCTCCGACCATCCGGCTCGTGCGTGGCACGAAAGAAAAACGCTGGGACGAAAGCCTGCCTCCTGATGGTTGCCGCTGAATTGCAGAAACCCGCACGATTCGCTTTCCCGCCGCATGCATAAAACAAATAAACAAAGTAGTCAACTCGTTGGCTTCATGGCCCTACCTCATTCACAGCGCCTCCACGCCCGGCACCTCCCCCTCCTCCAGACTCGCATACCCCGCATCAATCTCCTCCTCCACTCCCTCCTTCTCCTCCTCCACCCCCACCAACACCCGACTCACCGCAATACACCTCTCCACTACCCTCTCCCTCCCTCCCTCCCCCAGCCCGATCCGTGCCCCGCTCGGCCCCCCAACCCACACCCTTAGCGCCCCAGCCCACCGCTCCAGCCCCGCCCTACACCGACCTAACATCCCCGCGTCCTCTACGAACGCGTTCAGCACCGTATACGCCGCCACGAACGACAGCAGCGTGAACTCGTCCGGGCGCGCCACCAGCGGCGAGTTGACCACCGCAGCGGCGCGCGCGCGCGCGTCGTCGGCGGCGGCGGAGTGATGGATTGGTGAGTGGGGGGTTTCAGCGAGGCAAAGGCACTTGGCGAGGGTGAGGGCGACGCGGACGTCGAGGGCAACGGGGCGGGGGGAGATAGCGTTGATGACGAGGGTTGAAAGGGGGAAGGGGGATGGGGAGGGCGGAAGGGCGGAGAGGGCGGCGGAGATAGAGGCGCGGGGATCGTGGTTGTCGAGGATGGTGCGGGCGACGAGGGCGCGGATGTGTGCGGTGGAACCCGGGGGGGCGGTGCGGATGGCGAGGTCGAGGTGGTGGATGATGGAGGAGGACGAGGATGTGGAGCTTGGTGAGGTGGAGGAGGTGGGGGAGGTGGATAAGGTCGGGGTGGGAGAAGGGTCGAGGAAAATGCAGAGGGCCTTGTTGAGCGCGAGGCTTGACCACCATGCTGCTAGGGCGTCGAGGGGGGATGAGATGGAGAAATCTTCGATCACGCTGTCCATTAGGTCGTCGACACACCGACTCGAGACATCACGAGGTTTATTCCACGCGAGGTTATATGCCCGCTGGACAATCGGCTGGACCAAGACATCGTCGCAGGGTTGCTCGAGAAGCGCGATAAGGTGATCCGGCAACGCCGCATCACCCTCGCGACCATCTTTCCCCAACCCGTTCGAAACGGAGATGTCGGCAAGCGCGGCCTTCCAATAGCCTCGAGCCAGCTTCGCACTAAGCTCTTCGAACATATACCACGCACCGTAGCCGGCGTTGGCAACCTCCCACAGCAGCACGCGAATGTGCAGGGCCTTGAGCATCAGGCGCTCTGGCGTGCTAGGCAACGTCGCCGACGCCACGAGCGTGAGCACCAGGCGGCTCATGCTAATCTCCGCGTCCCCCCCGGTGAGTTGAGAGTCCAATGCGATTTCCCATGCCTTGACGCGAGCGAGCTCCTGCTCTTTTGTGATGCCGGTGAGTAAAGCATAGCCATGCCAGCCGATCAGCTTGCGTGTGCTGAGCTTCAGCGTCTTGAGACCTAAAGCCGCTACTTCCAGGAAGAAACTATGCTGTGGGACCCAGACCGTTTGGATGGCCGTCAGCCAGGCCATTTGTCGGACCTCGACGGGCGAAGCCGACGATGGAGCGGGTGCCAGTCGGATGGGGGCGATGGTTTTCCGTTTGGGTTTCGGTTTGAAATCGAACAACGGCAACAAGAGGTAAACGACGGCACAGAAGACCAACATGCTCTTCGCAAGCTTGAAGTACACCGCCGACGGGCCGCCAAAGGACGCGGGAATACCGGGCATGTTCAGAAGCTGCATCGGCAGCGCCATCAATCCTCGTGCTTCTGTACCCTCGCTCTCGGACTCGCTCTCAGAGAATCCTTCGAGGATCATGATACCAGCAAGCGATCCTACAATCAGTTTATTCCCGAACGAGTATCCACGGCCAGCCGGCATTCCAGGTTGCGGCGGAGCATTCGAATGGTCGGGTGCAGCACTATATTGCGGATATCCTGCTTGTTGTTGGGCATAATGAGCCTGGCTCATCGCGGCTCGATGCAGGTTGATCATGCTTTCTGGCAGAGGAATCATGCCCTGAGGAGGCCGCTGGGGAGCTTGTGTCGACAGCGCGCTCGACTTTGGCGAGAAAGCATCTTCGGGAAATTGGTGGGATCCCGGTGTGCCCGTAACTGAGGGGTTGAAGGTCAACGGTGCGGTCGTCGCAAGCCGATCATACGTATCTAGCCGTGCTCGAAGGGTCGCCATCTCATCGGAAAGGCGCTTATTGCTCTTTTCAAGATGGCGAATATACTCGGTAGCTTTGGACAAGACGGTCGCTTTATTCAGCTTGTGAGCCGGAGTCAACCCTTCTAAATCTTCCGTCTCATCCTCGTCTTTGCTGTCATTAGTTCGGCTCATGACGCGAAGACTTGGTACACTATCTCGAAGGGCCGCGATCTTGTCATTGAGGTTATTTCGGTATCGCTTCTCGATCATGTTATGGGCGGTTTTCTTGACCGGCTGGTTCTTGTCGGTTCTATTGTCCGAGGAGTCCTGGTCGCCTGATATTTTCCGCTTCCGGGTCTTTGACTGCGACACAGGCTCCGATGTCGAGTTTTGCGATGATGCCTCGGAATGGGATGAGCTGGGGCGGTCCTGAGGGCTGTGTTGAAGGCTGGGCGTTGATAATGACCGTGACGGAGGAGAGACGTGAGGATATTGAGGGGCCGATAGAGTTTCGGGTTCGAGGAACTTCGTAATTAAGGATGGCGATACGGAGCCGTTGAGACGCTCATCGGAGGGCCAGGTTGGATCCCTTGGAAGTGAAGCCCCTATAGTCGCTCCAGCGGAGACGTTCGGAGCCGACGATGACGCCTGGAATTCAAACTGGTGAGGACTGCGCAGAGGCTGTCCAAAGTAAGTGATCGATCCTGACGTAGTAGTTGGGAGCATATTCGGCGTGTCCCCCGAAAAGCCTTGCGACGATTGAGGTTGCGTTGTCGGCTCCAGCGGAGCGCTATACGAAGCTTGAGGGTTGAAGGTCTTCATAGGCACTGATGGATCCGACCCATCCCATTGCATCCAGCTGTCCCAAGCCGTCGAGGTCATATCCTCGGAGATCCATGGGGCCTGGGTCGATCCATATTGATCGGCGCTGGTCACCACAGGCTCGTCCATCCCCTTCCCTGTATTCTTCGGGCGGCCTTGATATGGATCTGTCGATTCTGTCGGGGCTACGTGAGGATGGTGGAACGTATCAATGACACAGTACGGGCCGACCTATAAATGGAGCAAGCAGGTCAGCACATGTGGTCGGAAATATATATAACTCCATCCTCCAGAACACCGTGATGCATCTACCACATACAGCGATATTCTCAATTTCAAAAGCATCCTCCCCAAGAGCATTCTGCTCCGATGAGGAGGTAGCGGTCCACCACTTATCAGCCGCATCCATGAGAATGAGCACGAGCGCAATGGTAACTGCGATGAGGAAATCGTCCATCAAAGACTGGTCAAGGAAAAGGCGGAGGGCGACATACCAGCAGAAGGACAGCGATGTCAGGTGTAACACAACCCACGGCCCAAATTAGGACCAAGCCTCAGATGAGCTCTGGTCTACTGGGTATGCACGCACACGAGGCGGCGAGGTGGGCAATGGGATTTCGGAACAAACGTGGTCATGTCAGACCGCAAAGGGAGGGGGCGTGGGCCGATTCGCCGTTGGCGATAGTTTCTCGTGGGCTGGGATGAGGATGCGGTCCAGGCCCTCGTCTCGTAATTGGATCCGCGCAAACACAGTTTGACTTCAAAAGATGGATTGGGATTTGGGTGGGCTTTGGGGAGCTGGGCGAAAGAGAGATCTCCTGATATTCTGCTGATTCTTGCAGGAGGATGGCTCGGGGCTTCGGGAGCGATGGGCGATTGGGGGTCCTGGACCGGTCTTAATTACCGTGGAGTGCGGCGGGGCGTAGGATGGATACTGGATACAGAATAATACACAGCAATACTCCGTCAGGCTAGTATTGTACCAACTTAATGAAGTACTGGGTAGTACTAGGCTGCTGGGCTGCTTCAACAGGTTTCTAGGTAATTGGAGAGCATTCAGAGAAGGGGACGTGTGGTCGAATTTCGAAGGGAACTAGGGAAGACTCTACCCGTCCGCCGTCACATCATCACTTGTCAGAAGTGGCAAAAATCAGACGAGTGGGAAGCGGGGGACGCTAGGCTAGACCAATGCGCCAGGGCCGTGTCGGGTGCTAGTATCGAGAATTCGAAATAAATCCACTGGACGCCATCCCGACGACGATGTGTTTTGCGACAGCGGCTTGCGTCACGGAGACGGTCGACCGGCCGGGTCGTTGGACTACACAGCCAGACTAATTCCTAGTCAAGTCCTCCGCAATGCCCTATGGATACAGTAATAATCAATTCTTGCCTTGGACAATGGGTACTCTGTAGTCTTTGTTTGGGGGGCATTTGGACGCCATAGCTATTATACAACACCTTGTAGGGAGTATAAGAATTTAGATCAGATCAGGTTCGGTCCGTCGTGATGATGGTGTCCGGGAATTGGGAATAAGCGATCAAGATTCCCAGTCGCCTCCACCCAAACCATGAACTCCACGTCGTGCTGGACTTCATGTTGGTAATCTAGTGCGATTTACTGTTTATGCTGCCCAACGGACCGTATATAATCATCAGGAGCCGAGCCCAGGCAAGATACCCCGTCGAGTTGCCTTCCTCCCAATAGCGGGACTGTTCTATACCTTTCGTGTTCTGACAAGATCTTGGTTGAAAGCAAGAACTATGAGAAGAAGAAGTAATTGTACGATTGCGCATAAAACGCCATTGGTGGTTCTTCCCGCTTCGAATCGGTGATAATTTACTAAAAGGTGAACCTTTCCCGTCACCGGGCAGTCATCCGTACTACTGCACCACGGCGATCTGGACTTCGAAGGCAGGTGATCTATGTGGAACAGCTAATACCACCAAGGAGAAATTAACGGTCAAGGAAAGTTTACAAGCGTGACTTTTCTTGTCTGGCAATTGGATAGGATTTAGTGTTTGGTTGACGCCTGTGATGCTGAGTAAAGGCACTAGCCGGTATCTGATGTGGATCATCTGTAGCAGTCGGGAAAGGGTACTGGAGTTGGACTTTCTATGCGTATATCGGATATGGGGAGAGCGGTTCAGTGCATACAAAGAACAAACTTCCAGGAACCGGAGGAAAAGATCGGGAGACATACGATAGAGATATAACAATCGCCTCAACGAGCCCATCATTTGCCCAGCTCTATTGGAGACAGTTGGGCTCGCACATCTATCCTCCGTCCGACTTATCAATGGCAAGAACAAAATATATGGAAAGATGAATAGTCTCCAGTCGGTATCCATCCGTCCGCAACCCACATGGGCATCAGTACCGTCAACACAGCATCCGATTCCGTGCCACAGCGTGAACAGCTGGACTTCGAACCGGTCATGAACGAGTAACACAGGCGTCCCAGGCGCCTCCTATCCCATTTCAGGTGGTGGCACCGCGATCGAGAGGAACGAATCTCATTCCGCGTTCCGTCAGTGCGTAGGACATAGAGAAATTCGCAGCATGCGCTCCGGGAATGTGGTACAACCACATGTGCTGTCCGTATCACGGGTTCGTGGCCTCTGGGTGGACGGCTGACGGCGGAACCGATCTGATCAGGACCGTCATCGCACGACCGTCACACAAAGATCCGTACCATGGGAAACGCGGTGGCCTTGGAGACTGCAATCCGATTGTGCTTCCCCAGATCCCAGCTCTTTGACCATATGTGATCGCTTGAGTAAAATATCGGACACAAAATTCCGCTACGGAAGAGAAACTTGAGCCCGCGCGAGGTAAACGGAAGTCCGAGAGGAATCGTCCATGGCCGTCTGTACCACTTTCCTCTTAGATTTACCTCACGTTGCAGTATACCGATTTGAACTATCATATCGCCCAACAGGCGAATAAGCTAGTGCCTCTTTTTGCTTGATCGGAGATGTCTGGAGCGTAGCGAGCCCGCAATTGATCTCTTGATCTCTTCACGGCGAAACCACCATGATTCAACCTGACCCAATCATTCCTGACTGCTTTGGGGGATGCACAGCATGAAATAGGCGGGAAGCCAATGATAGTTAGCTTGTACTCTGGTGGCTCATCCTTCCGAGGCGATGACTTCATAGCTTGCTCCGTCAAGGGAACAGCTTGAATGGATTTAGCAGGTTGATAGGCAGCTGAGCACTGTGGACTAGAAGTGTGTGCACCATGCAGAGAGTGCCACAAGAGAAAACACGTGGTAGATGGCTTGAAAGGGCTCTTTCAGCCGGAGAACCGCACGCAGCGGAAGAATAAACAAAAGCCCAGATATTGAAGGCTTGAGGCCACATCTTGAGGCCACATGTGCTGACAGGTCATCCTGCGAATAAGAGACGGATTGCATATCGGGAAGACTCCTCATCCTCCAGACAAAATTGGGAATTGACCATGATTCTAGACAGATGATTCTGATGGCGTGATAGTGCTTTGGGGCTTTCTTGAGTGCTTGCATTGAGAAGTGGTCGTGTTGGAAGATGCTCATCCAGTGAAGAAGTTGAGCATGGCATTGACTTTGATAGACTTTGACATCCCGTTTCATAGAGTAGGTAATTAGTACTTACAGATACCGAGTAGTAAGAGTAGATGTACTGTATCATAAGGACACTAGTCCTCACCTATTAGTGTAGATGATCACCGATAGGCATCGCAGGTGTAATTTGAGGAAGCATCATCGTCTTGTACCTCCACAGGGAAAAATGAAGAGATAAGTTCTGTTTCGTCACCCAAGGATTTCCCAAGTGCACCATGAATTCAGTCACCCACTCAACAAGGGACGAATAGTTGAAGCTCCAAGATACGGGTATTTAGGCCAATTTCACATTGAACCAGGCTCCACACCATCTTGTACAACATCGACCAGGGCGAACGCGGCGACATCGTACGACTTGAGTCAACTTCGCATTTTCGCTGCACACCGGCAACTGGCAAGCCAGGCTGTGAGGGTTCCGGCCTTGTCAAATGCAAGCGCCACCATTATTGAATAAGTGATGTATCTTTCAGCCGCCGCACTGCGGCAGCTGGGGTGTACAATCGCATACTGCAGTTGGGAGATCCCACACCACCTCCGGATTGGGTCCTCGACTCCTCGTCTCCTCGCCCTCAAGCAAGAAATCGGCAAGCGAAAGAGCTAGGATAACGTCGCCTTCTGAGACCTGACGTGCACTGAGCTGCGAACATATTAATTTTGACAATAGTGACCGCCGGAGAAGTGCCTACATCAACCAGGTTCCGGCCCGTCATCGTGGTTCCCACTTCCCACTACCGTTTCTTGTCAAAATCTGAGATCGCATCGGGAATGAGACCACTGTTCAGTGCTCCATTCCTTCATAATATCCACTTAACTATCCAGGGATAGGGCCCTTTTGGACGGTTCAACTTGCCCCTTGAAATTGGAACAGTGTTCGACTCTGAATCTCTGAGAAGGCGGTGATTCGTTCAACTCGGACAGGTCACACAACCAGGGTGTTCTGGGTGACACAAGTCTGACTCGAAGCCGATACGGCATGCTGAGAAGTTAAGTGAACCTCAGAGTCATGTTATGATGATCTGTCCCAAGGGACCAAATCTCCGGGTTGGTTATCACAATTGGGCGCATTCAGGATTTCAGCCTTCAGGCGTAAGGGTAGCTGTGAGCGTCGAGCAATTTCATGGATAGGTGCGTGTCTCCTCGTATGAGTTGTACTCCACTGATTTCCCATTGAGACTCCAACATGCTGGGTGCTGGGCTTGTATGGAGCTTATCTTCTGCAAAGTCCGCTACTTTACTATTATTTTTAAGTCTTAGTTACAGCTTACATGTGGTTAGATTCACAAAGTACTTCAAGTCCTCACCCTTCTTGCTTTGGTCAAGCAAACCTTGGTGCTATCGGTGACGTCCGCAGAGGGGCGTCCACTGTTGTCAGTGGATGGTAGTCAACCCTGACCGGACAAGGTGAATACGCCGTAGACGCATCTGATTTCATCATGCAACTTGCAAGGACCTCCCTGCAGAATTTACACTTTTGCCTGCAGATTTGCATCTCGATCGGAAGCTCAGAGATTTTTAGGGCACATAGATTTACCATCGTTGCGGACTGCGGCAAACCTAGCCCCCTCCTCGCGTCTTTCTTGCCCCTTGGTTGGAAAGGGGACACCATTCGATATTGCGGGGCAAGGAGAACGGCGTCCATTCTCCGATCCTCGAGTCAAAGCATGCCGAAAAGCAGCGAATTAATTCCGCGGGGGCATCAGGAACCGATACCGGGTGTATTAAACTGCAGCTGGATTCCTTCGCTTCGGATCGGCGTCAAGCAACACTCAAACAAGCGATGATTATCGAGTTTCTTGCACAGTTTGGTCGCGACTCAGCATGGACCCACAAGTCACAGTTGTCCGCCTCCAGCGGCGCGGCTCGCGGCTGGGTCTAACGGCTGTCCTTTGTGGCTACACACCAGCCAAGTCCAGTAAGTTTATCACTTGTCACATCTGTGATCTGAACACGCGCGAGCCTAATTTCAGCTTCGGCGTGTTTTTCCGTCTTCGATGGTTCGGCACTGCCGAAGTGGTGATGGGCAACTAATCGTGTACTTGCTTTTGTTATCACGAGATGTTGAAGCAATCAGATGGTACATAGTAGATCTCTTGTATCCTGAAGGGTCGCCAAAGTTGGATTAGATATATGGGCCAACTTCATTTCTGGTATGGAGACTTTTGATGGTCGTAGGTCGTAGGATGGGCTATTTTCTTAAGTTCATGAGTGCAGAGGTTGAAGCTCGGTGACACTTCCTATTCAGGATACCGTTGGAGGTATCCTGGGTAGTGAAAGCGATGCTATGCTCCTTTCTGTCCTCACCAGCAGCAAGAGGAATGGTCTGGCCCTCTGGAGCGAATTTTAGGGACGATGAATTGTCGATCAATACCTCCACGGAGCAAAGCACACATCACGACCCTTGGACTCCTGGAGAGCTACTGTGGACTCTCGGAGACCAATTATCTGGATTCATACCGGATATGGAGGATCGTCGTTGGGAGATCGTCTTGTCATCTTGTCATCTTGCAGCCCATCCTTTAACCGAGATGGATGCGACATGGGTCGCATTGAATATCTCAAGCGGCAGTGCGGCACTGGACCCAAGGAATTGCATGACGAACGGGTGCGCACCGCGCTGGACATGCTTACTATTCTTAGAGGAACAGAGCAAGGTACAATCAATCTCCAAAAGCCAATAATTGCAGTCGCACATCCACTGGACACGACATGGCCAAGGGAGATTGGGAGATGATCAGATGAAGCACTTCATGTGCTGGATTGCGAAGTCAGGGGAAACCATGGATGATGCTCGAGTAACTCGATGGATCCATGAAACGCCAAATCGATCTCCTATCGCAATCACTTGTCTTTTATTCGTTTGGATCTGGAATGGCGCGGGTAAGCCCTGAGCCTGATACCAGATGCCGGTGCTAATTGTTACCGCCTACGGAGTACCGGAACCATTATCTTACAAAGTTATCGGAATGGAGTACTACCATACCGGGTACCTTGCACATGGCCATTCATCGGTACCGGTACGGTACATAGTATCACAACCTAGAAACGCCTTGCCAACATGCCATACAAATTTAAGAACCGGTCTGAAACCTAGCATGACTTCAACTTTCTTACCCTTTCACAATCGGCGCATTCTTGCACAACAGCGCGGGCAATAATGAATCACCAGTCGGCACTGCATGTGCCTGGTGCCAGTCTCTCGGTCAAGTCCCTCCGCTCCGTCTTAGGCTCCTAGGCCAACCGCCAAACACCCTTCGGAAATGTGATCGGCGATACTGGAGGCGTCTGTGGAGCTCCCGCGCATCCTGATTTCTTCGATGGTTTCTGATTGGTGGGAAACCGCTCCTGACCATGGTGGTCTTGAACGGTTGAAGGTTGAACAGATTTCACCTGCAGATTCTATTGATGCGCACTGATTTATTAGTGAACCGGGCACCGTTGGGATTTGGGAATGGGGATGCACCGAATCGAATCTGCGAATTACCGAAGCAACTGCGGTAGTATCAGGGGGTGATCCCAGCCTCTGCCCAAGTGGACTGGAGAAAACTGTAAACAGAATTTAACAGAGCGCCAGTGGAAAGAAAGCGCCTCCACTCCTCCAGGGTTTCAAGAATGGCACCTGGTGGACCATGGATCGCGTGTGGAATACGGGGGTGTTCTGGGTTCACGGTAATTAGTAATTACGGAGGCCTGGGAGCATCTGTGTAATGATAAGTCCGATACCCCGTATGCCCTTCAGCCTGCGCCCTGCACACTCGGCACGCACGCGCTAAATCGATCGCATCTTGTTTCTTCTGGCCACACTCGGGATCATCCTGGAAAGGAAGTGAGCATCCCAGTTGCCCCCTACGTCCGTGCAGCATCGGCAGATTGGTCAGGGCCGGGGACAGAATCAAGGGCTCAATTCACGCTCAAGCGACAGGGAGCAAGGTTGAATTGAGAACCGAATGCTGGACAAAGTCTCCGATCTTGCCTCTGCAGAGGCAGATTATCTGCAACCTGATTGATGGCCTGACCTAGTTAGTGGATAAGGTCATAGGTAAGTCTGTAAATCACCGAAAGCGACAGGAGATGCGCCAGACAGGCATGCCGGTCATCCAGCGTCACTGCGTAATACAATGTGCGATAGGCACTCGATAGACCATCACGGTGATCACTGAGGCATCTTTGCAAGGTTAAGTTCCGGCAGTTAGGGAGTTCCTGTTTGGTCGGTCCGGTAAAGTGACAGTTGGTGGCCCAGCTGAGATCGCATCTGTTCCATTGATGATTCACGTGGAAGATAGATGATGGATCGTGGAAGACAGGATGATGGTTGATGGACTACTACTACTGGATCCGGCCCTGAGCCCTGAACCCATCTTTCCATCCAAGATCCAAACATCTCCACAGTATCGGTGATGTGTAGTGGAGGATACGAAGCCGACTTGTTCTGCACTCACCTCAAGCACTGGGAGCATCCCCAAGTATGCTCACAGTATACCGAAACATCTACTGTGTATCGTGGATGTTGTGAATTCCTGCCCTGCCCAACCCATCGTATATTTACTTCCATTATCATCATCATCATCGGCCTCTTCGTCATCGTTGTTAACCTCCATCGGCACGCTTATTTCCGATCTGGCCCAACAAAGTTCTTAGTCCCATCGACAGGCCACGATAGATCGTAAATCGGGCGTCCCTCCCGCCCCCTCCATGCCCTGCTGTTACTTACAAGGAGCCTATTTCCGTACTAGCTTGCGAGTGAGCCCTTGACTTACTGGTGGAGTGGGATTCCTTGTCCCTGTTGCCCAACTTGCCTAACGGATGCACCAACCCTTTTCTCCTCACTCAACGCCCTCAGATTCAGAAAGACCCTGGACTCTGGAGTCCTAGACCTCTTAGTCCTCCTCCTTGACAAGCACGAGTCCTGGAGTGGCCTGGACGGCGGCTGGTAAGCCCGCTGGTTAGTCCTAGACGCATCCCAGGCCAAGCCGATCCATCGGACCATCGACCGTTACCCTGGCATGACTGGGTCTAATTACAACCTGTATTACGGAGTGTTCTTTGCCATCTTCCACTCTTCCTCCATCTCGCAGCCCTCGCAGTCCTCGCAGTTCAGTTGGATTCTTTCCCCGATTCAACAGGAGGACAGAATTCATCGCACGTCCTGCAGCATCGTCCTTTTCTTCTTCCGGACTAGGAGATATACTCAGGACCCGACTGCGATAGAACTCCTTCTTACGCCTTAATCCTGCCCTATCTGTATCGCGGTTTCGGTTCCGCTCAGCCGCTCATCGAGTCCACGAACGTCCTCCTTGCTTGCACCTCGCTGCTGCTATCCGCACCGCATATTCCAGCACGGGGCCAACGAGAACCGACCCTAAATCTCTGCCTTTGGACTCGCTCTTCCCCCTTCGTCGTCGACCCGATTACCGGTTGCAGATTTTATCTGTGTTAGCCATTCGCCCTACGGGTTAGTTGCGTACATCATCCGGCCGTCCAACCAACTCTTGAATCCCGGATAAGGTTCATTGAGCACTTTCCGAATATACGATCCGGCCATCCGATTGCAAACACTCATAGACCTGCAAGCCAGTCGATGCCTATTGGCGGAGGGGACATATTCGAGAGGGGCGGAAGCTCGCAGTGCGGTCTAAAGACCGACTGAGTGACCTCGAGGACTTTGTGGAGACATCTGCACATCAGCAAACAGGTCTACAGACCTGCCCTGTCCAGGGAACGGCAGCAAGCAGGTCGGTTGGCATCAGTTCCCGATCGAGGGACCTCGTCCAGCACGCCCTCAACGCTTAATCTCGCTTTCGGTGTCGGACTCGGCCAACCGCATCTGCGGCCTTCCGTTGTTACGAATTCTGATCCGTTCATGTAGCTCGATCGACTGACAAACCAATTGTCTTACCGTCACCGTTTCTAGGAACTCATGACAGGAGAACGATGGACGCTGCCAGTGTGGATATGAGGCCAAGGTCAGTAGTTTAATCTCCCTTTGACTCCCCACCTCTTGAATATGCACGGCTAGCACGTAATGCTCTTGTCTTTCTTCAATCATTCTGCACCCATAAATGTCTGGAAAGACGCATTGGGCTGTATCCGAACTGCCAATCTCTCGACATCAAGCTAACCGACGTTAAGTGCCCCTCCATTACCATCGATCAACTTTCTCAACTCCGAGAACAAAAGGGACGATATCTCTGAGCATTCGCACCGAACGGCACACTCATCAACCGCCATGGTTAGCCCGACGTTTCCTTTTCTCGGTGCTGCTCGCATGGGGAGTATTGGCGGACCCAGCGGGACCGTTCCCGTTGGACACCATGCCATGGCCGGTACTCCGTCATCACAATCGCCGTTTGCTTCTTCCACGCCCACTGCTGCGGCCACGACGTTTTCATTCACCTATCCCAACGATCCCTCTATGACAGGGCATAACGGATTGATATCACCCCCTGGGTCACGCCGAACGTCTGGGGACGATAAGGATCAACGAAAAGCTCCAGCGACTGCACCTCAGCGACAATCACTCCCGTCCATCCACGAGGCCCTTCGTTCCGATCCGGTTTCTCCTTTTGCGGTTCAACCACCATCAAACGCATCCCCTCGCGGTCACAATGCCTACCCACAACCCGTTCCTCCGCAGTCTGTTACCGCATCCGGCCCAACAGATCCGTTCAAGAAGTCATACCCTTCAGAGTCCATGCCTGGGTCCTCATCAACCCCGCATCTTCAACATCCGCAGACCTCATCGTCATCCACGTCATTCTTGAGCAAACCTCCGCAGCCAATACATGCTCCTCAACCGCCTCCAAATCCTCCTGACCAGATTCCGTCGTTTTCCAATATCCCCTCAAGCTCACATAACTCAAAATTCTCTCTCCATCCTCCCAACACTACAAGTACCGTGTCGTCTCCGAACGCTACCCGACCGATGCCCTTCCCGCCGTACCCAGCTACCCATTCCCACTCTCAGCTTCCATCTCCCGGGTTTGATCACTCTCCGCACCCGCCACAGTCCGCCTCCACTGTGCCTCCTCCCCCTCCACAGCCTTCCACACCGTTTGCATATCATTCACAGTTTCCACCCCCATATCCGTACTCGCAGCAACCACATCAAACCCAGCAACCAGGTTCTTCCCAACCAGGACAGCAACCGGGCGGAGCAACAGCTTCGGGGTTCCCCCCTGCACCTCCGATGCCATTTGCGGGGCCGCCAAGGTATGTGAACGACAATCACTATAGTGACTATTGCTAATGATGAGGTCCAGACCCGGAACCGAGACATACGGTGCGAACATCAAGCGTCACTTAGAAAGTTTCGACTTCGAGTCATCCTTGAACGAGGTGAGTCCACATTTCCTCCAACCTTTCTCCCCCGCTAACTCTTTGGTCATCAGATCGCCGAAGGTTCCGGGCAGATACTCGATTTCGCCAAGCACTTCGGCCAGCGGCCGCCACCTCCCGCACCGCATGGGATGCCACCCCACCACCGCTCCAGCATCGCGCTACCGTCCCCGACGGATGTGGACACGCTTCTGCAAAAAGGGCAGCGGGTCCAAGAGGCCTTGATGCGCATCCGAGAGTTCGCGCTGAACCAGCAGGCCATCGCGGAGCAGGAGCACGAGGCGCGGTTCAAAGGCAACGGGATGTTTGCGGGGGGTGCGGTCGGTGGAGCGATGGATCGGTATGAGTATGATGTGGATACGAAGGGTGGTGGGGCAGGCGGGTATCCACCCGATGCGAAGAAGAGGCGAGGGGTAAGTTCTCAGAACGGGACTTCGGGATTGAAGTATGATACTAATATACGTGTAGAGAGCGGCACCCCCTGGTCGATGCCACAGTTGTAATCGAGCGGAAACACCGGAGTGGAGGAGGGGTCCGGATGGAGCAAGGACTTTGTGTAATGCTTGCGGACTACGTACGTGTTTCTCTTCTTTTCGCACATTGAGCATTGATATGCTTTTGCCTCATTTTATGGCGCAATTGTTTCAACACTGGTTGAATTGGAGGCTTACCGATTCATACAGACTACGCGAAGCTCACCAGGAAGATGGGCGCTAATAATAAGACCGCAATTGGATCATCGAATCTAAGACCTAAGAGCATCGGTCCCAGTTCACCTCCGCAGCCCGGATCCCATGATACGGCATCTCCCGATCTACATCCTGCGCGGATCTAATTCATCCCCTACCCCTATTCAACTTCATATACCCACCTGTTTGTGCATTTTTCATTTGTGGACGTGGCAAGGCGTTTGCATACCTGGGTGTTTTTCGGGGATAATGTCGTACTTCTACTTCGGGGTTTAGCAACGAGGGACATGCAACAGATACACCATTTGATCGACTTTATGTATGGACGGGACGGTGGTTTCCGGGCGGATTTGCAAAAGACCATGATGCGTTAGAAGGGACATCGTAAAGAGGTGTCCACAGGGGCAGGTGGCTCCGTCCAGTGTGGCATGTTCTATGGTGCTCTTCCAGCCTCCTTTGTTAAGTGTACTACGGTATTGACTTTCGGCGCTGGTCAGATCATAGACATCAATGTGTACTACAAGGAATAGTTCTCTATTTAGCGGAGACGAAACCTGAAGTTCCCCTTCACGTGGAATACAATAGAATATATTGTAGTCCGCGCAAGTTCTCATAAAAATAGTCTAGCTCCTCGCTCTCATCACCAATGATACTTTCGTTTTAGAGATCAAGTCATTCCTCGTACCCCCAACTTTTCGGCCTCTCCCTCCCCTCCCAAACTGTCCTTTCAACCAACACCACCTATCGTTGGCCCATCTCAATTGCTACATGTCATCATCGGGAACATCCCTGACGACCCCACAATCCTCGTCCCGCCGTGGCTGCTAATGCGTTGTCAGGTTCAGAAATCAATGCAAGTAAACTCGCCGTCCAAGCGACCGCGGGAGTGCCAACGCGGGATGCATCTTGCCGCGTATACATAACAGCTGAAGACCCTCTGCAGGCGTGGTGGAGATGGCTCTGCATCCCGTACATGCGCGTTCGCGGGGTCGAGGGAGCGCCGACGTGCAGTTACTCGCATACGCGAGTTGCGTCGGAAACGGGTTGGGCGCCGGGGAGAGCGGAGCTGAGGACACCTCCCTCGCTTTCACCCTGGGGGTTGTTTACACTATTCTGTACAGGTGCAGCAGGGAGATAACATTGAGTGACCACCGACAAAATCAGACCGTTTCGTCAAAAACCTCGTACCGGTATACATTCGGGACGATACAAAACCGCGTGAGCCAGTGGACAGCGGCATTTAATCCCTCTAATCGTATCCCTTTGTCCAAATTTCCGGATGCCGTCTTGCGTAAGGCAGCCATGTATCACGCCGGGAAAATGGTGATTGACAATGGGATACCGAGAGCCATGACGGTTTCGAAAGTTTGCCACTTTGAGCTCGGCCATGTAGACCGGATCAACCTCAGAATCCAGAATTATACGGCACGGCAATTTCATCGGTGTCCTCCTTTTTCAACAACGATGGATGTCCCACCGAGATGCAGACTACCAGTAGCGGCTAGTGCTTCTTTGACTCAAGACGACAGGCTGCCCATCCTCCATAACAGAAGCCCACGGCATCTACTCTTGCGTGTTTCCGCGCCGTCGTAGATTTTAGGTTCACGAATCTCCCAGGTAACGGTCCGTCGACCTCACTACACCTGTCGTTCAGTATCGGGTCAAGTAGTACTCTCCCCGATCGAAGCAGTCGGAAATATAAATCCGCGGGCGGAGCGGACCGCTAGAAGCCGAGGGTTCGTGATAGACCAGCTTGCGAGATCGTGAACGAGGTGCTCACCTGCATTGGCGTTGTTGGAAAGCTTGCCGATACGCGCAACTGGAGTGCCGCCCCATTCGAACCCTTGAAGGCAACAAGAGGATACCTGTATCAACATCGATGGTTGCTTGAAAGCGTTGGGATGTTCAGCGAAGCACGCTACCTAACACCAATAGTCCGACTCGACTAGTTAGGCGCTGTTGAGATAGATGACGGATTGACAATGTGCCTATCCTTTCGATTGTCAATTTGTCGTACGTGGCCGCTGCCTAGTGAGTGGTGGGAACATCGCACATTAGGGTTTGGGAAGTGGAAATCGGGATAATGTTGGGAACTTTAGAACCGCCCGAGTAGCTGGGGTAATTCCCAAATATCTCCCTCAGGCACACTCCCTTGGATCATGCAGGCTAGGAAACAAAATATGCCGATGTGACATGTCATTTGTGATTTATCAGACGCCCTAAGTTCAGATCATCTGTGTAGCCTTACTAAAGAAGGCCTCGGACGTCGCTTCGAAAAGGACTTGGGTTCTGTTTGACACCAACTTACTTGACGATATGATTTTGATACTTGAGCCAAACACCAGGGACTGCTTACCTCTTACCTCCGGTCTCCTTTTACCGCAATAAGCTTGTTGTACCGAAGCCGGCGAGTTTCATGCATTTCGTATTTCCGTTCAATAATCTGAAAAGCACAACGAAGCAGCTGACGGCGTGGGCCGTGGGGGTATCCATTTGCCGGGGAATCATACGCGTTGACCCGGATCGTCCTGAGTCCGCGAGAACAATTCGGTTCCTGTAGACAACTAGACATGGAGGTTCACATTGGCGTGGGACATCTGAATCTCCGCTATGGATTGCTAATCATAACTCCTAAGTCCTAACTCATTCCGGGGGTTGTCCATCGACCAGAGTCCACGCTTGTACGTCGTATTAGCCAAGAATTTGGTCCTGGGAACGGAAGTGGGACGGTTCCCGCCGAATCAGAGGCGCCCTTTAGAGGTTGACAAGTTCACGAGACTCCAGGCCTTCGACCGTCATAGGCAATCTTTACCCTCTTTCTCATTCATATCTCTTTCTCGATAGGATCGGGTCTACGCCTTCAGATTAGCAATTACGTCTAGCCGTCTCGGTTGCCTTGGTTACTCGTTGATGCGTCATCATCATCCTAGAAATATTCGGGCATGTAAGGCGGCACGCGGGTATCAGATTAGCTTCAATCCCAAAGTGGCAACCCTATCAATCTTTGCACCCGCTATGAATGCCTCCTAGATTCCTCGATTATCGCACATCTCTATCTATCCATTTCTCTTCCCCTAAGTTTTAGACTATATGTGGTGCGGCCCGTTGCCGATTATTCTATTCGAAGGTTAAATTATGGGATTGCTGTAAGATGGTCTACCGAATCCCGCCTCCGACAACGTTCTGATATCTCATGCGATAGAGCCCTTGGGACGCCGCTCGAGTGGCCCGAAGCGAAGAAGAAAGCCGCGCAAGTACGAGAATGGGGAATTGAGGTATGCATATTTAGAATCGTCCAGAGAGACAATCTTTGCTTACACGGGTACTGCAGCAACTACTCGCAACATGGAACCGGGCCAAAGGGAAAGAACGGGATGCACTATTGTGGGGTGACGAGGTAGGCACAAGCACTTCCACTGCAGTGAGCTACATTGACTCTCCTTAGGTTGAGTACCTCGTCGTCTGCTTTGATGACGAACACCGTAAAGTTCGCTTATCGCTCCGGCAATCGGACATCCTGGAGGCTCTCGCGTCGAATGAGAAACTCGTCAAGGAAGGCGGAGGTGTCCATGATGTTAAACGAGGGGTGCCGACGTAAGTGCTCCTCGAATTCTGCAAAAATATTCGCTAATCTAGTTAGGAATGGCTATTGTGCCCCCGTATTCCATGCAGAGTTTGGTCGATTCATGCTGGAAGCCACCCCGGGGAAACCATGGGGGATCGGGTTTAAAGATTTGTTAGACGTTGAACTGAACATGAAATTGAGGTAGGTTTCGACACGGTTCTGTTGCGACAAAGATGCTAAGGAACGGGCAGGCGAGAAATTGCCAAAGAGCACATGAGCGACACTGAATTCCCCATGACGGTGACTACATTCCCTCGCCTCGGGCTGGGAGATTACATCACGCCGTATTATCCGCCGTCCGGCGAGAAACTCCGGTCTCAATACGTTCCTGACGAGATAGCAAATCCCCACGTCCGTTTTCCAACGCTCGCGGCCAACATTCGGTCGCGGAGGGGTCGCAAGGTTGAAGTAAACGTGCCCGTATTCCGTGACGAAAAAACATCCTGGCCGTGGATGGATCCAACCGTCAACTACGACCTCTACAAATGGCCGGAAGATGACGATGTCCGAAAAGGGGCGGTCAAGGAGAACTACATCTACATGGATGCGATGGCCTTCGGGATGGGCAGCTGTTGTTTGCAAATGACATTCCAAGCCAAGAACATCGACGAAGGACGGAAGATGTACGACCAGCTCTTGCCCATTGGCCCTATCATGATGGCCCTGACGGCTGCGACGCCGATATACAAGGGCTTCTTGGCAGACACGGACGTGAGGTGGAATCAGATCGGTCGCGCGGTGGATGATCGCACGAGAGAGGAACTTGGAGAAGAGGTTCGCTCCGCACTGGGATAAATTGCGTTGCCAAGTACTGACGCGAGATTAGCCCCTCAAGAACGACCGTTGGAGAATACCGAAGTCCCGATATGCCTCCAATTCGACCTACATCTCGAAAGACCCGCGATTAAGGAAGGAGTATCTCGACCCGGATCTCGTCGTGGACGAGGAGCTCAAGAAGAAGCTCATCGATGGCGGCATGGACGACATCCTCGCCACCCACTTCGCGCATCTCTTCATCCGCGACCCCATTGTCATCTTTGCCGAAGACCTCGAGACCCTCGACCTCTCCAAAGTCGACCACTTCGAGAACCTCCAATCCACCAACTGGCAGCACATGCGCTTCAAGCCCCCGCCCCCCGGCGACGGCACCGGCTGGCGCGTCGAGTTCCGCTCTATGGAGATCCAGATGACCGACTTCGAGAACGCCGCCTTCTCGGTGTTCATCGTCCTCATCACCCGCGCCATCCTCAGCTTCGACCTGAACTTCTACCTCCCCATGCCGTGCGTCACCGAGAACATGGAGCGCGCCCACGCCCGCGACGCTGTCAACGGGCAGAAGTTCTATTTCCGGAAGAACCCGTTCCATAATCGCGCACCCGGGCGTGCGCCGGGGACAAATGGAGCGAGCAGGACCGCTAGTCCGACGCCGAGTCGTCCTGCTACGCCGCTGGGTCCCGTGGAGGACGAGTATGAGCTGATGTCGATCGACGAGGTGATCAACGGTCAGTACGGAGGGGACGGGACGGCCTCGTCGTGCCGATTCCCAGGGCTGATTCCGCTGGTGGAAAGCTATCTCGATAGCGTGAACATCGACATCGAGACGCGGTGCAACCTGGAGCGGTACCTGGGGCTGATTCAGAAGCGGGCGGATGGGCGGCTGTGGAACAACGCGAAGTGGATGCGGGAGTTCGTGAGGACGCATCCGGAGTATCAGATGGATAGTGTGGTGGGAGAGGGGATTCAGTATGATTTGCTGAAGGCGGCAGAGCAGGTTGCGGAGGGCGGAGGAGGGAACGGCCTTGGAAAGGAGATGTTTCACGTCTAGAGTCTCCTGGACGGCCCTGTGAACTATTTCCTCTGAAGCATCACCTCCACTGCTGCGTGTCTAGCATAAAGATGGGGACCGACACGAAGCAACCCAGAGCCAACATGGTCATTTCTTGTTTATATTGCTCCTTATGACTATAGCCTCCAGCAATCTTGGTTCAATACAGAATGCTTATCGTGAGTGCGTCCAATGTGACCCGTAGGCGGTAAGGCATCCTACCTGAACACCATCCCTTATCTAATTCGCATTCAAACGCTGAAAAATGCTGCTCTCGTACACAATGTAAAACCAAGCCAACCCAAAACACCAGGTCCGAGTCTTGAGGTACCGCCATCGTGTCATGACTTGAGTTGCACATAATTACCTGCACGGTTGTCAGCTCGGAGCAATTCGAGGAATCGAAACAGCCATGGAACGAACCTGGAAACTTCCCCTGCTTCCCATTGAGCTTCCCCGTCCACCACTCATTCGAATTCTCACTGCGCTGGATGATCTCAATGACATCGCCCGTCAAAAAACTCAGATCGCCTTCCGCCTGCGCTTCGTAATCGTACAACGCCGTCACGGTCTCCGGCGGTGGCGCGCCGCTCAGTCGCCTTGGCTTGGGTTTCGGCGGCGGCGGTTTGGCTTTCCCGGCGGCGGCGGTTGACAATGGTGTGGAGCCGGTGGCTGCGCCGGGGGGTGCGAGGTGGCCAGACGGAGAGGAGAGCGAGGAATGCGTGACGGGACTGTATGGTGGTGGAGGGTTGTCGATGCCGTCCTCTGGATTGGCGGTGGAGGCGGAGGACGACGTGGGGTTCTTGGCGTATTTGCTCACGTATTTCGATATGCCGGGTTTCGGTTTGCCGGCCGCGGCCTTGGGGCGGACGATGGAGAGCTTCTCGGCTTGCTCCTGGACGTCCCCTCGTTTCTTGGCGAATGCGCCTTCGATGTCGAGGGCGAGGTCGAAGTATCCGATGTCGATGGACTGCATCTTCTCGTGCAGTGTGTAGAAAACGTTCAGTTGCATGTAGTAAAAGGATTGAAAGAGGGGGCTGATGAAGTCGCGCTCGAATCGGAAAAGTTGCGGCAGCTCGGTTTTGAGGAGGTCGTTGAAGTAATTGAAGTCCTGCGTCGCCTGCTCCACATCATTCTCGGCTTTGTAGAGCGCTTTCTCGTCCTTAAGGGTCTTGTCCTTCTTCTCCTGTAATTTCTTCAGCGTAGCGCGGCGGCGGTCGTAATCGAGCTGCTTATGATCCCGTTTGTTCGCCGTTTTCTGCACCAGCTTGATAATCTCCAGGAGCTCGTCGGCCGGTTTGATGACGCGCGCCTCGATCATCTCCAACTCCGGCTTCAGCGTCTCCTGCAGATCCCGGACGATCGATTCGTATTCCTCGCATGCTCGAATCCCTTCTGGATTGCCTTCCTGGACAAACGAGTCGGGATCCGACATGCGTCCGGAAATCGGCTTATAGAGTTCCGCACAGGCTTTCGAGAATTCTATTTGATGGTTGAGCATCGCTGCAAGCGGTCAGCAGGCGAAGGGGATCGGGCATTGTAGGCTACCAACAGTTGATCGCACCCGTATACCTGGCAGACACCAATTAGTTAACTTTCTCCCCAGTTCCGGTCGAAGACCTCCTTACCTCTCCGAATTATCTTTTAGCCTTTTCGTCTCCTGTTCCAATTCTTCGAAACGGCGCTCGGCATCGACATAGATCGGGTCTTTGGTGAGTTCGCCCTGTACGTCGGGCTTCGTTAGCCTTCCTGGCGTGCGCAGGCATGGATTCTCCGAGACATACGATATTGAACTTCTGCTTGAACGTTTGAGGTGCCTAGATGTTGGTTAGACTTCGCTATGTTTCATGCCGGGCGAGCCGGAAGAGGCGCATACCCGTGTGACACCTTTCTGGAAGCCTTTCCAACTCATGGTTTCTGTAGGTTTCGGCGGATTGCTCGGAATTGGTGGGAAACAAAGTATCTTCGTGGTGAAAGGGTAGATGATAGTGAAGAAGGTAATTGAGACAGAAGCGCGTCAGCAGCGCCGGAAGATTCGGTGAGGCCCTGGTGGGATACGAATATCTTTTACCGTTTTGGTGCCACTCAGCCTGGCAGGGAGCAGCAGGGCGCTACGGGACCAAAGAATTATGATGACGGTTGATGTGGCTGAGCCATTGTCATCACCACTGCTTCGGTCCGATTGAGAAAGGGAAGTGGACTTGATGTGTGCAGCTCGTCTTATTAGAATTAATATTAGATGTCCGATCGCACTCCATGCAGCGGTAGTTGGTGTAGTACCTGTACATAAGCACTGGATTTACTTCTTTCGTTGGCAGAGCAAATCGGACGAGATGACGATGAGGCGTGGAACGTCATATTAACGTCGATTACTAAGCTGAATGCACGTGATATCCCGTCCTCGAGAGCTCGATGTTACTAATACTACATTTTCGACTACCCATAGCTTCGGTCTTAAGTTTTGCATAACTCGATACCTTCTTGTAGATACCATCACTTCTTGCAGTGCAAAATCATCGTCATGGCGAGCACTGTACCGACCGTCGCCAGACAGGCCTCAAGGGCTTGTAGCCGCCGAGCCGGCTCGAGACCAGCAGCGTGCCTGTCGCCGCTATGCATAAATAACCATGGTTCCTTTGCCCGACGGTCCTACGTGTCGGCGTCGAAGCCGGTGCAGGCGACCGTCAGTGTCGAGACGGCCATCAAATCGGACCAGAAGAAGTTCATGCAACAGACAGGGAAACGGCCCGAAGATGTGACTGTTGGGACCGGGTTGCCGGGAGATGCGATGCTCAGTCCGAGTGCTGGTATGTCTCTTCGAGCTGGTTTGGGTTATCTGCTAAAATTCCCCAGGTATCCTCAAACAGGCGACCGTCATGGATGAAGGATCGCGGCCGATCTACCTCGATATGCAGGCCACGACGCCCACCGACCCGCGCGTGCTGGACGCTATGCTTCCGTTCATGACAGGACTATACGGCAACCCCCATTCGCGAACGCACGCGTACGGCTGGGAGACGGAGAAGGCGATCGAGAAGGCGCGCGAGCACATCGCCGCGCTGATCGGTGCGGACCCGAAGGAGATCATCTTCACGTCCGGCGCCACGGAGAGCAATAACATGAGCATAAAAGGGGTGGCCCGGTTCTTCAAAAAGGGCGGCAAGAAAAACCATATCATCACCTGCCAGACTGAGCATAAATGCGTCCTGGACAGCTGCCGACATCTGCAGGATGAAGGGTTCAGCGTGACGTACCTCTCCGTCGACAGCAACGGCCTGATCGACCTCAAAGAGCTGGAAGCTGCCATGCGGCCCGAAACCTGTCTGGTCAGCATCATGACGGTCAACAACGAGATCGGCGTCGTCCAGCCGATGGCGGAGATCGGCCGCCTCTGCCGCAGCAAAAAGATCTTCTTCCATACCGATGGCGCACAGGCCGTCGGGAAAATCCCCCTCAATGTGAACGAGATGAACGTGGATCTGATGTCGATATCGGGCCACAAGATCTATGGTCCGAAGGGTGTCGGTGCGTGCTACGTCCGCCGGCGACCGCGGGTCCGATTGGACCCCATCATTACCGGAGGTGGGCAGGAGCGAGGACTCAGAAGCGGGACCTTGGCTCCGGCTCTCTCGATTGGGTTTGGTGAAGCGGCTCGTATTGCCAAAGTGGAAATGGAGGTATGTTAACCCGACCGTGTCCTAGCGGTATTTCCAATGATTATTTGCTTTTTCGTGCATGGCTCTCTGAGTGCCTTGCGAGTAACGTCTTTATTTGTTTTGTATAGCGTACCGTGTTGAAGTATTGCAGGGTTTATGAGTTTTTGTTTCTGCTTCCAATATGCTTTGTGTCATTTACATCATACTTAGCATCTGCTAACCTGCTGGCAGTATGATACCAAGCGCATCAAGTACTTATCCGACCGCCTACTCAGTGGCCTGCTTTCATTAGAGCATACGTCACTTAACGGAGACCCCAATCAGCATTATCCGGGCTGCGTGAACGTCTCCTTCGCCTACGTCGAGGGGGAATCCCTCCTGATGGCGCTGAAAGACATCGCCCTCTCCTCTGGCAGTGCGTGCACCTCCGCCTCCCTCGAGCCGAGCTACGTGTTGCGGGCGCTGGGCAACAGTGACGAGAGCGCGCACAGCAGCATCCGGTTCGGCATCGGCCGGTTCACCACGGAGGAGGAGATCGATTACGTGCTGAAAGCGGTGCAGGAGCGGGTGAGTTTCTTGCGGGAGTTGAGCCCGTTGTGGGAGCTGGTGCAGGAGGGGGTGGATTTGAATACCATTGAGTGGAGTCAGCATTAGGTCGACGGAAAGACGTGTCGCGTGCTTCGTTCGATGGGAGGGTGTGTTTGTGATTCTGCGGAACTCGCGTTGGAGCGGAAGGACGGCGGCTCAATTTGGTTCAATTGCCCATGATAGGCCTCAGGACCCTCATGCCCGCTACTGTACCATCTAATGTACAAATCTCGTGCTTAATTACTAGGCACAATGGACTATCTAATCTCCTTCAGCTCTGTCCGAGAATATCATGATGTTAGAATTCCCTTTGATATCACACGAAGACCTTGTTCACACAAATTTGAGGCCTTGATCCGAACCAGCAGCATCTCCCAGAGGTTGACGCCATAGACCCATTCTATATTCATCTCTCATCAGACCAGCGTGGACCTCCGGAAAAATACCGTAATAATTATGAATAAGATTCATCGTAACACATCGCATAGGTACATGCATCCGAGGCAGTGGTTGTGTTGAATTAGACGCAACCATCCGACCTTCTAGTACGCCATGAATTCCACCCTAATCCCCCTCGTTATCATCAAAACTCTATACCCGAGTTCTGTATGGAAACACACATACAAGAACGCCATCCCATGCCGCCTTAGCCAATTCTCATGCAACGGAAGCGAAAGAATCCGCATTTCCACCGTCCTCCCAGGCCCGGATATCATGATGCAAACGCCTGAAGCCAATCCCCGCTTCCCACGCGACCGGACGAGCGCAAAGCCAAAAAGTCCGTCAAAATTAGATGGACACCATCCGCACTTTCGGACCCTGGAAGGTTGCGGTGGGCGTCGTCGCCGTGCGCATCCGGGCCGGTGCGCGATCTTCGTGGTCGGGAGGTTTTTCGGGCGAGAGTTTGGAATGGGTTATTGACATGTGGTTCTCGTGATCGTCCGCCTCGCTTGTAGTCGATTCGGGTTCGATGGGGTTGGCACTCGGTTCCTCCGGAGGGATTGCTGGAATGGATTCCACTCGATGCACCTCAGCTGTTGGCTCCACATCCGGTTCTTGGTGTGATGGAATTGGCAAGGAAAGGGTTGAATCGGCCTCCGTAAGAGGTGGAGTGATGTGCACATCTTCCGCGGTGGAATGGTCCTGCTGCTGATCTGGGCTTACCGAGATCCCGTCGACGGGAACCTGCTCGTAAAAAAGCATGAAGACGCCTCCTTGTGACAGAACGTTGTCCTCCGACACTTCGACGACATCCTCATCGCTCAACTGCCACCAGGAATCCTTCGATGCCTCGGCATTCTCTTGCGTTGGGGTATCTCCATCGGAGTCGGACCCAAGTCCGCCGGAATGTTTCCTAAAGCATATATAGTGGCCATTCTCATGCCTTCCGTAGTGAGTGATGACCGCGCGTAGCCGGTACCGCCAGTGGGGCTCGGATGACGATTGGTCTCCTCCATTCGGGAGCATCGTGACATTCGGATTCATGATCCACGCTTCTTCGCCTGGGATGATGTTCGGCGTTTCGGACGGGGGCTCTTGCATCGGTTTCGAGACCACCTTCGAGCCTAGGCCCCATTCATCTAGATCTAAGAACAGTGGAAACTGAACAGCCGCATAATTTTTCCACTGGGTGCCCGTCATTTCGTCGAAAACACTTCGGTTGACGTGAAAGGCTAAGCACTGCGGAGGTCGCGCGATGACGGCTTGTCGGGTCTTCGTGCTGGACACCCATTGTCGCTTCGGGATCTTGCACTTCTTTGTTAGGGTATCGTCCGAGAAATCTTCGTCGTTGAGTGCGGCCCGCAGCGTGTTCACCCTGGTTTGGACGGCCTGATGAAACGTATCGAGAGATGAGCCATCTTTCTTCTCGGTGGCCATTCTCATACAGCCTTCCAAATGGTGCTGGACCGAGCACTTGGCGCACTGGACGCCTTCGATGGGTTCGAGTTTGGTATATTCATCAAGGCAATCACGGATGTCGTATAAGTGGCTTCGGCCAAGAGCTACCGTCAAGCAATTGAACGGGATCAAGCTCAGACCTTCGGAATAGCCACAGTTGATACATCCAACTCTTTGAGCAAGCATGCCCTCAAGAGGGTTGTGAAGTCTGAGCGACTGGAGATGCGATGCAGTCTCTGCATCTGGCAAGGTCTCATTGGAATCCGGTATATCTTTCAACCCCAATAACAGAGAATTGATAGTGGTTGCTTTCCGAGCCTCCTGGTCCATTTGCTCCATAATCTTCGAGAAGTATTCTTGAGCATCTTGCTGTTGCCAGCTACTCATTGATTTCAGTTTTCCTGGGAGCCATAGTTGACGTCCACCGTTTGCAGGATCGGTCAGTTTCAATAATGTCTCCTGTAGGGAATGTATTGTTGAGTTTTCTTCGAGGCGATGGAAGTTCATGGATGGTGCGGAGAGGAAATCCTTGAGGGAGTGCAAGGAGGCAAGGCCCTGATGTCGGTGTCAGTGTCATGAAAGCGTTGGAACATACACCCATTCTCACCTGAATTATACAGTTCTGGTAACAGGAATTATCCCAGTTGCCGAGCCCAGGAGGGCTGCGCCCCCAGCTGGCAAATCTAGAGCGGTCGCCCTGTACCAGCGACCTCACCAATGGCGCTCCTTCGAAGCCCAGTAATTTTCTTATCGACTCCGTCCGATGATGTAGCATTGCGTGTTCTGAATCTCCTATGAGCCAGCGGGGAAGGGCGGAATGAAGCCTGGTCGACACGCTACGTATTGTTTGGTGGATAGTGTTCGCCAGATTATATTGACAAAGGAAGTGCCATGCGAGAGAGAGCAGAAGAACAACTCCCAGTAGAACACCGGTGAATTCGGGTTGTCCGCCTTCGTAGTGGTATGGATTCTTGACAGCGTCTCGTTCGGGGGCTCCCATGCGGTTCATGGTGCAGAGCTAGCTCGGATGGTATGCTGAGGCACTGGATCTTGTATGAAGTCGTGGATTCGACATTGAGCGACTTTAATGATCCGGGTGCACTCTGTTCTATGATAGGGTTGCGGCGGTTGAGGATGAACTGTGCCTAGAAGATAGGAGTGCGTGCCGTGATTGAAGGTTCAGCCATTGCCAGTGGTGATATTATCATGTATTTATCGGGTAGAGGTCTGTTGAAACTGTGGAAGGAGTAAGAGTAAGAACAAATTCCGATGCAGTGAAGGAGCGGAAGTCTCGATGATGTATGTACGGACTGTATATAAGGACTTCCTCGCCGGGATGCTTTTAGTCAAACTCACTACAGCTTCAACCAAGCATCATAAGGTGTGAATATTGAGGGTATTTGGCGGCAATGGGCATGGATGTAGTGCAAGATGTTGAATTCCGGAAGCATATCGTTAATAATCGTAGATCTGATGGAACGGATCTAAATCAGTATGTGTTCAGCCACTTCAGCGATTAACGCCACAGATATGCGACAGGGATTTTAGCGGGGACATGACCGAAAATGGCAACTGAAAAACAGACCTGACTTATTATTACTAAGGTACGGAGCTGGTAGTGTGGTGATATACGAGGGAGGAGTATTAGACTTTGGTGTAGTATTACTAGATTCGTAGTATAAAACTAAGAAATTATAGTTAGTCGACTTCTTGTAACTGCCAATCATCGTCGCGTAGGATCCGAAGCAATTGCCTAGCTTTTACAAGTGGAGTGCTTTTCATTGTGTGCTGTTTGTTGATACACCTACCTGTATCATCTATCAACACTTTGTCTCCAACCTTTGTCTCCAACCGACTTGAACATTTCCCACTCCTCAATTTCATCCTCCCAATCGCATCCATAATACCAACCATCATGGATTCCAGTTCGGTCAAAGGGCTGGTTGATCCGGCCATATTCGATCAACTACAGCGGAAGATCGATGAAGACGCGGTGGTCCAGGAGGTAGGAGGTGCTTCTACCCAGAATACACACATGGCTGATTTGTTCAAGGGGCTTCGTGAAATCGTGGATCGTCTAGAAAAACAAAGTAAGCAAGTGGACGAAATCATCAGAAGCCACTGGAGTAGCAGCTGATAAACAGTTTGAAGGCAAATCTACCAAAGCTGCATTGTCTAAAACGCATGCCATTCCTTCCAAGTCCTGTACGTCACCATGGGTCGAACGAGCTTCATTACATGCCGAATACGCTGACATCCAATATAGTGGCCTCAGTAATTCAAGCATCAGAAGCATCAATACGCCAGCAGCTGCCAGCTCTATCGAAATTGGTGCAGGTTGCCTCGCAGCATCCGTATTATCGATGGAACGGGATCTGGTCACGACAGATTCAGGACCTGGTAAGCACCGCCAGATATTCTCCACGCTTCATTATGCTAAGCCAATCAGGTTTTCGACATTGTCTACTGCGGATGGTTAGGAGGGTTCGCCAACCAACCAGGCCAATCTGAAGGAAGAAAGGAAATTGGGAAGCTCCTGACCATCGACGAAGTTGCGGACATCATGCAAGGCAAGAGTTGCGGAATTGGAATATCAGAAATGCGCTGACCATTCTGATGCATCCAGTGCCGGCGAACCTGAAAGATCGAGACGAATTCCATCTGACCATCGAGGAGTATTTACATGCCCTGCTCTCTCTTATTGAGGAACTTGTGGGTCCCAATTCTGTTTCGCAAAGCAGTATTTGACACTAATCGTGAGCAGTCGCGCCTCGCTCGGAATTCCGTCACGCTCGGGGATTACGAGCGGCCGCAGCAAATCAGCCGGTTTATCAAAGATCTCCACAGCGCATTCCTCCTCTTGAACCTCAAGAACGATGCGCTGCGGAAGCGAAGTGACGGTATCAAGTACAAGGTCGGTCTCGCTTCCATCATTCTTCAAACTTCGATGTTGACTAAACGATATGCTCAGATGAAGGAGGTTGAAGATGTGGTGTACGACCTCACGCTGCGCAACTTGCTGCCCAAGTCTCCGTGATCTCTCAGCATTTGAGGGCATTAGTTTGTAGCCTAAACTCCCCCAGTGGGCCTAGCAGACACGTCCGTTATTTTAGCCATCTGCTCAAAAATGACCTTGCTAGACTTGGTTGGTCGTGGTTGGCCCCTGTCTCTCGTTTCCATTTCTTCATAGCCCGATTGGCCCTTCTGGCATCAACGGAGGCAGTCCAGAGGTAGGCAAACAGGAAGCAGGCGCCCAACGCAAAAGAATAGCCGATGCTTTCCATCGCAAACCACCACATAAACCCCACCCCAGAGGCCTCTTTCTCCGAATCATAGTCCTGGAGGTCCAAGAGCTGTGCCCATACCTGCATCGCAGACAATGCAACGCTAAAGGTAGCGAACAGGAACAACACCGGGCCGTAGTATTTGTTGATGAGCACATGGTTTCGGAAGGGGTAAAGGTTGAAGTAATTATGCCACCGCCATACCAGCGACGCCGAGTTCAGATGGCTCAGGTCCAGCTCGCCGAACGTCCATCGGGGCGCCTTTTCCAGCAACACATCATTCGCCAGGTCCGAAAACGCCGCGATGAAATGCGCGAACGGTTCGAATGCGATATCCGCCGGGAGTAGACCCAACTTCTGCGCCAGCCGGAAATCGGACGGATAACGGATGAGGTAGTAGTAGGTCCGGAGAAAGCCAAATGTGTTGTGCACAATGCGCATTCGATCATCCGGACTTAATGATTCGTTCTCCTCGTCTAGGAGGAACTCCCAAAATGCAAAGGACGTCAGATAGGAGGGGAGCGGTCGGATAAACATGCGATCGTCCGTCCGTATTAGGTGCAGGCGGATCCGTTCCGTCAAGATCACTCGGAGGCCGAGAACCCCTTGCTCATGCAAGCACGAGATGCCATCGTAGGGGGCATGTTGCCGCACCCTTATAAGATGGGTGTCGAAAAAGTCAATGATAGAATGTTCCCTTTATAGACCATTAGCCCACCACGTTCTCTATATTTCCGGGAGGGCCATCGCTGTTTGCTTGCCGGCGACTTACAGCAGGTATTCCGGCAACTGGACGGAGTTTAACCGCACGCGAGGCTGGCCGGGGAGGGTTTGATAGTCGGAATCCCGCCGGAGCAACACGCGACGCTTCTCATCCACGCCGGTGGGAAGGTATTCCAGGTCATGGGCGAGCTGAAGCTCGCACTCAAAGGGTACGCCAGTCGCGGCCGAAACGTTTGTGGAGCTGGTATTCGTGATTGGCCTGGAGACCAGAGTTGGACTTGAGGTCATAGTTTCGCTTCTCTGCGTAGCCATGGTTGCGGCCGCGTTCGCATAGAAAGGAACAGCTGGTGATGGGACATCGACACATCGTGAATCAAGTCGCAGTGTGTCCGACAGCTGAACAGCAGAGGTAGTGTTTGATAGTCCGTCCTACCTCGTATTCCTGCATAGGAAAATGGGTAAATAGCGCTCCCAATCCGGGATAGCTTACTCGAACCCGGAACGGCGAAACCCCGCAAGATCAAGTCCACACTCCACAACTGGCAAGTGGGGAGTGGCAATATTTCCTCTCAGCTCGGACGCCCCTATGAAAAGAACGAGAAACCCGAAATATAGAAAGACATGTCGATCAAATATAATCGAGCTGTTGCGCCCCTCAATAAGAGGATGTAAGCTGACGATAGGGTCTTTGCGGTTCTGATGACTGATTTCGAGCAGCGTAGCGGGGTTTGCGTCAATTGATAATGGTTGGAATGGAGTCTCAATCCAAGCTGCTCGCTCAAGCGTGTCAACAACTCTCGCGAATAAACACGTCAGTGGTAGAAATCTGTGAGAGAACGAAAGCGCAGTTTCACACCGCAGTAGCTTGAGACAATGAAACACGGTGCAATCGATTTTTGATATTTGCGGTTGAAAAGAGCGTCATCGGCCAGATAATACTATAAATAAGGCGTGTTGAAATGCCTTACCAAGGTGGTTTTTTCCATGACTGTTGAAGTCAGGTACACAGAGAATCAAATGCAGCTACCATTCCCAGAATCAATTTATCCCCCGAATTCCCACATTCCCTTAGTAATCGTCTCCTCGGGAGATCACTTCCTTGCAATTGGGCCGGAGCAGAACGGTCTGTTGAGAAGATGGCGTCAGCATATTCTGCGTCTTCAGCTGTGGACCATACTCACATGCTCAAACTGTGCGACGTACGAGCCAGGAACGTCGACTAACGGCCCATAGGACTCGACAATGCCGTTCGAGACGAGCGTTTTCATGCCGAGGTGGTAATGCTTCACTCCCATGCGCTCAAGGTAATTTCGGGAGAAGACAAGAGTTCCGAAGTTCTGATCGATCGTTTTCAGCAGCGACTTCGCAGAGGCATGATGGAGCCCAGCAGCGCTGACATGCTCATTGCGCCCGTAGCCGTAGACACCTACGTCATCCCTGAGATGACCTTTGCCGGTGGTACCGAAGGTTTCGATGGCGAACACATCACCTTCTTCCATGCGTTGGTTGGTTTTGGTCTTGACAAAGGGGACTTGCTTGTCCCCATGGATCTTGTAGCGCAAGATGTTATGGCCAGTGATGGTCCGAACCGCTTTGACAGGGATGATCTTTCCGTTGATCTCGACTTCGTAGCTCTCCATCACTTCTTGGATTTCTCCACTGATGTGATCGATCCGGGCATCGATGCCAGCTTCCTGCGCGATTATTCAACGTTGCAGACGCCATGCAGAGCAGATTCGCTTACCTTGAGCCCCGTATTGGTGGCTGCCTTGACGGCCGCGAGCAGATTGTCGTAGACAGGATTGAAAGCCAAGGTAAAGGCGCTATCAACAATCCTGCCGCTGACATGTACCCCGAAATCCACTTTCAGGACATCGTCGTACTGGAGGATAACCTCCTTGGCACCAGGATTGGGCGTCCAGTGCGCCGCTACGTTGTTCAAGCAGAGCCCAGTCGGAAATCCCATGCCGGCTTTGAGAGCGTCTCCGGTATCAAGACCTTGGTGATTGGTCAGTGCCCGAACGCCGTCCTCGATCTCTTGGGCGAGCTGGCTCATGGGAACGCCGGGCTTTGCGATCGTCTGCGCATATTGGCGGACCTGACGATGGACTTCGGCCGCTTTGCGATAGTCATTCAGGAACTCATCATCCATGTTGTTCACGACGGATAGGTGACGAAGTTCTTCGGCCGTGGTGCGTAGGAGATTATCATTGTCGGTGGCATATTCGACAATCTCGCCCTCCGGATATCGCTGATCGTGAAAGAGGTTGACGAGTGCAACCCTGGGAGGAATGGACTGATGTCTATCCAGTGCTTTTGTCTTCTTCTTCTTGGTCCTCTTCCTTTTCTTCTTCTTGTCTTCGAGGGTTAGCTTCAAGCGTGTATTAACGTCAGGTTGGCATACTATCGTTGGACTGGCCGCCGGACTTCAGCTCGGCTCCAATCTTGGCGTCGTCCTCGTCCCCGTCTTCGTCTTCCCCTTCGAGTGCACCCTGAAGGAGTCCACTGGCTGCTGCTGACTTGGGAGGGTTGACGGCAGCAATTGCAGCGTGTGCCGATGACTCTGCTTAAGATATCAGAATAGCTCAATGCATACCCAATATCTCTGCCCATACCATTTGGACCTCGACGGTGGCCATCTGGTGTCTTGGATCCCATGATCGGCTTCGACTCGTAGTCATAAGTAAGTACTGTAGGGTTACTGAGGTCGTTGTTGATACCATAAACCGGAAGCCTAAAGGTTGGCGTCCGAAGAGATGGCAAGAAGGAAGTCACTGGAGGTGATCCCCCGCATGTCTTGGCACACGCTTTACCATTTTAGGTGATATGATATGTTCCCCCCAGTGCATTACTCGTCTGACCGGGGCTTGGGCTAGTATTCGCGTAGTGACCATCCCCTCCGAGGACTAAGCTCTCTGACCGAATAGGGTTTAGATCGAGTACTGCAGGTTTACCAGCAAAAGGGTATGGTATAATATACTCCGTTGTCATGGGCCCAAACCACGAAGGATTTGGTAAGCTGGTAACGCTGTTGAATTGCTAAAGAGAGAAGGAGAAGATCTCTCTCACTGCGATCTGCTATTTACATCTGTGGGCAAACGGTCTACCTATCCCTTCTGCCTTAGGCCACAACACACAGACTGGGCGAAGCCCAAGACTGTCACATCCGTATGCCGCAAAGTCTGACAGTATTTGAGAATCGGGACCCTTGGCCAAGACTTGCGGGACAGGAGGATTCGGACAAATTGAATATAAGATTACAGACTAAACTTACGTCCCTGGTACCGTATATTCCGTATTCTATACGAAAAGTGAGTAATCTGATGATTAGTCTATGATCTTATATTCACTTGGTCGAAATCCTCCTGTGCAGTGGTCTTGACCAAGGGTCCCGGTTTTCAAATACCATACTCCGTACGTAGTACCGAGTACGTATATATGCCTGGGTCGTCATCAACCAAACATCAACCTCCCACCTTCCGTATGCTGTTCGAAATTAATCCTTGACTTGAAAGACTCGCTCGCCATCGGCTGCAATCCACCCGAAAAACAATCAAAATGGACGGAAACTCGCAACAAAAGACCATCCCGACGGTGTACAACATGTCCTCCTCCAAAGCCCGAGAAGTTCTCTGGGCGCTAGAGGAGATTGCTGACGCCGGCATCAAGTACAATATCGTGAATCTTCCTCGGAGAGGCGCGGACACCACCAAAGTACTCAAATCACACTTTCCGCTCGGAAAGTCGCCCACAGTTACGCTGGAACACGTCGACGGGGAAGCGGAAGTCACATATCAGATCATACCGAACGTCCTGACCGAAACGCGACTCATCCTCCAGTTCATCTCGGACCACTACACCGACGGCATCTGGATCCCGGAGTCAGAGGAAGACAAAGCGCGAGACACCTTCTTCCAGGAGTTCGCGAATGGCTCTCTACTGGCCAAAGTCAACTTCATCGTCACGTTCGAAGTCATTCCAGCCATGCTATTCTTCCCATTACGACAGCTTACCCTGCTAATGGTGCTGCCTATCCGCCTTCACTTCATGAACGATCTGACTATCTCCTACCAAATCCTAGATGATGCACTGTCCGAGGAGCGACCGTGGTTCTCAGGCAAGAAACTCGGCTTGGCTGACCTCAACATGATCTTTCCCATGGACCAGGCGGTTGGCGGAGGCTACATCAAATTGGAGAAATATCCCAAATTAGCCAAATGGCACGACACAGTGATAAATCGGCCGGCATACAAACGGGCGTTGGAAAAAGGAGGACCGTACGATCTTGCAACGTACGCCTAGATCCCGCTTCGGAAATTTGTGAGGGTGCTTTCCTGCTTTCCTGCTGTATCTTCTGTTGGATCGAATGGGCAAAAGAATCCGAAAAAAAGCATTTATAAAACGCATGGATTCTTTGACCCCGGCCTCCCAAAATTTGTCAACCTAACTACTGTTCCAAGATGACTTGGGAGAATCGATCAGAAATGGCGGCGAGAGAGACCCGGCCACGGGTTTGTTCAGCCTTTTGAGCAATCTGAAGTAATAGTAACCTATCTTCTTCTTCTTCTTCTTCTTCTTCTGCGTGCCCACGTATAGCTCTACACTCGCAATTCCCAGGTATCTGAACACCTGTCCGGCGACTCAAATAGTTCTGGTAGCAACCACTCATCAGCGGTGCCCCCAACGCCCCCAACGCCCCCAACGCCCCCAACCTCGATGACAAGAGCATTCCATTCCTTGCTAATTAGCACATTCTTTGGTTTTAGATCCATATGCGTCACCCCCAACTGATGCACGGATGCCAAAGCCGTTGAGATGTCCCATGCCCATTGTAGCCACCAGGACTGGCGATGATCCAAGGTTCCGGGGATTGCAATATATCATGAAGCGTACCGTTTGAATGATATTCGAGAAGGATACCACGAAGAATAGGTGCGGCGCCGGATTCCCTGGTGTGGTATGAACTGCTAGATACCGCCGCTGCAAATAGCTGCTCGATCCGCTTGCTGCCATGAAACACCACCAAATTTCGCAGCTCTTGCTCGAGAACCTCGGTGTCATGTAGAAAGTACATCGGTCTATTCATGCCTTTGTACACGCATTGATATTCGTTATCCAAGATGCGCGCTTTGTTGACATGACCACAGAGATCGATATCTTCCTCCTACTTGATGTTTTTGAGGGATATTGTGCGTCCAGGACCTAGGTAAGGGGGATAGCGTGTATACTCGTGATATTCCTGCACGTGAAACCTTAGGTATGCCTTTCGGAAAGCTGCGGAGCTGGAGAGCTGGAGAGCTGGAGGAGACCATTGAGGGCAACAGCTGATTTGGCGAGGGAGATATCAGGCAAAGTAGCCCGCGTTTGACGCATTTTTCAGGATACAACTGACAACGGTGGATCAATTAGCAATAAAAAATAGAGGAATAGACTCGCTTTGGTGGTGTTAGTTGATGGCGAAGTAGGAGTTAAGGCAGCGGCGTGTGATTGAGTGATTGAATGGTGAGAACTGAGAGGGTTTGTTGGCGTTCGTGTTTGAAACAATGCGAGAATGCAAGTAGAGAATATGAATAATCAAAGATGGGGGGCCGAGGTAGGAAACAGCGTTTTGGTTACTATAGTTCCTATCTCAACGACTGTCCAAGGTCTGTAGAGCTTGCGCAATGAATGAGAAAACAAGATGAGACAAATCACCAGTCACCATTTCCTCCATCTGCCGGATGCCATCCCTTGCTTCATATTAGTTCATAAATCATATCTCTACAGCATAAGCATGCCGGCTCCCATCGCTCCAGCAATCACGACTAGCAGAAAGAGAGAATCCCTCGAAAGATATGCTCCAGCTGTCGCCCCGCCGCCTGTCGCAGGAGAGCCGTTCGGTGCCCTTGTCGTAACTACGGATTGCGTCGCTGAAGGTATTCTACTGGTTGTAGAAATTCCAACTTTTGTAGGCGTAGGTAGCTGCGCGGATATACTACTTATATTAGCATCATCCAACGCGACGGCGCACGGGTTGGCGGAGCCACCCGCCTCGCTCAGATGAGGGCAGCCCGCCGTCAAGTTGGCCTCGATTCCAATGACGCCCGCCGCGGTCGGGCACTCGCCACCCCCTTGGATGGACGGCAGGTTGCCCGAGTCCGAGGTATTGAAGGTAAAGGTGCCCTCTGCAGCGACGTAGCCTGCGCCAATCCACAACAGACCGTCCTTTTCCGTGCAGTTGGTGTTGAGTTTCAGCTCCCAGCTCAGCGTCCACGTGGTCGTTTTCTGCAGAGACGAAGGCGCCCAGTAGTCCTGCCAGTTTCCGATGATCGTGGTGGAGTTGACGATGAAGAACGGGTCCGAGGGCGGCTGGCGGTTCTCCGCCAGAGACGATGCCCCCCGTCCGTCCGTCGTCGTATAGGGCCGTCTTGCCAAACAACTCCCAGCGAAATATGAACCCGAAGTCCCAGGCTACTTTTGCATTTTGAATCGCGAATATGAGCGGGAACGGCGACTGGACGAGGTATGATGTGTTCGGTCGCGGAACAACGAGGTCAACTTCGATATCTGTAGGGAAAGTGACTATGTTTTGCGCTACTGCCACGGGCAATAGCAGTATCGCGGGAAAGAAAAATGACTTCATGTTGATGAGGGCGTAATTCCACGGATCACGACCAAACTCACCGATGACCGAAGGGACATTTCATTATTTACTGAATAGGCAAGCCGAGGATGGCGCATCTGTTGGCTTTAGAATTATTGATCAAGGTGGTATGCAGTAGCAGCCTCTGTCGCCTCTTTACTATACAGAAAGTTCAGATAATAATTGCCAAGGCTGTAAGGACGCCAGTCCCTGTCAGCCAAGCTCCAATATACTGGGAACCCTAAAAGTCCCTAGCTAATAATTAGATATGTTGCGTTTCTGGATAGCTTTAGATGCTAATAACTTTCTATCTGTTGACATGGCCATTCGCAACAATACGGAGTAGAATTGTCCCTTCATCCACCATTGCTCATCCCCATCATCCCCATCAATCCCATAGAACCCCCCGATTTCGTGATCCCACCATGGAGCGCAACCCAATATCGCAGCCGGCACCCAAGCCCTCCCCCAAGCCTCGACCTATCCCCCTACTGGAAACCTCTGCGGCGCGCGTCTTCACCCACCTCCATCCCGCAATCCTGCTCAGCAGCTACCTTCTCCAATTCCCAAGCATCGTGGCCGACCCGATCTCCGCGCTGGCCATGTCGCTGCTCCCGCTGGCGCTGCTGCAAGTCACGTACACGACGATCTGCCTCCCGCCCACGGGGACGTCGTCGTATATGCCGGCGCCAAAAGCGACGAAAGCGGGCTTGAAGAAAAAAGGGGGGGCGAAGCAGACGGGAGGATATGCGACGAATCTTGCTGTAAGGATGGCTCACACGGTGGTGATATGCCGCTGACGTGGGGTAGACTTCCCTTCTCGCCCTTACGCTCGCCATGGTCTTAGGCCCCGTTCTCCTCACCATCGTCCTCATCCTGTTCGGCGCTCCGATCACCACGCATCTGCCGCATACCTTTCTCTGCGCCTGCCATATGTCGCTGCTGGCAATTCAGCCTTTGGTATACACGCATGGAGTTAATGCCGCCAAATGGCGCGAACTCTCAGGGCTCCTCGTGCCCGTTGATGAGGTGGTGGGAGGCTCCCTGGGGGTCTTCATCGGGGCATGGCTTGGGGCAATCCCGATACCTTTGGACTGGTATGTTAAGCCTACGATGCACGAAGTGTCCGGACCGGTTTCTAACTTCCCGATGATAGGGATCGAGAGTGGCAGAAATGGCCGGTGACGATCGTTACCGGTGCATATATTGGGTATGCTCTATGCAAATTCCTGGGCGGCTCGGTCGCGATGGGTAGGCATATCAATTTTGGATAGAATTGATGGGTCGACCTTCGAGATTGAGTCATTCACCCGGGCACACGTCAGGCGCGGTACGTATTCGCGGTCGTATGCCGGGGCGTCTCCTTCTACTCTCCCAGCCGGGCCTTTCTCATCCAATTTCTCGAACCTGGATGACTATATATTATAAGTTCTTTCTTTGGTCGCCTGTTTGGTGCCTATGAGGGACTAGATATGTGCATTGTTTCGTCACAGCTCAGTGTTCATCTTGATAAGGAAGGTATGTGCTATCTATCCCCCTGGTTAGTCACAGGGCGAATAATCTCCCAGGCATCCGAAAAATTGGAGACCGAAGGGCATACTGCTTGCCTACTCAGGGGGCCGATGGAATATCCGCGTACGAATTGTACACGCCGACCGGAGCCCCGACGGTATGTATGGAGCCCTGGTGTTGAGGCTTCGTGACGGCACCAGTTCAAGTCTAGAGGGGTCGGAAGCATCCTCATCTTTTCTGGCGGCTAAGGGGAAGATAATACCTTGTGTCGCAGCATGCCTATCGGTGATGGGGGTTGATGATTCGTTGCCCATGGTGGATGCTACAACGCTGTCTGCCAGACATGGGCTGGAGAGATCTAGGAGCGAAAGGTGGCCATGTGGGTGGTGTACCTAAGCCTCACTGTACTTGAAAATTATAAGGTGGATGTTATGATATGCTTTGCTTGACTGAGCGCTACTTAGTGCTACATGTTATTCAGGACATGGAGACACAAGATTGACTGCGCGCGAGCTCCACTCCAAAACGTGGAATATCATGGTAGCCAAACCGCTAATGAGCCGGCGATGCTATCAATCATTCCTATCCAACTTCCCCCGTCCCCCACTCACCCGTCTCCACTCATCATACAAGCTGTGCCAGATCGCCCGCCCCGTCGAATCCATCTCATCGTTCATGGCTTTCAGTGTGCTGGCGGGGACGATATCGATCGCCGCGAAAATCCCAGGGATCAACGCGTCCCGCACGGCCGGGCCGAGGCGCGCGTCCAGCGCGTCCCGGCAGAACTGCATGACAATGTGATGCACATACTGCCCGGCGTAGTCTTTGGCGCGTTTGGTCTCGTCGACTAGATGGGCCTCGTGGTCGTCGCGGGTCTTCCGGTGGTGGCGTTGGACAGAGGAGACGGTAGGGGAGCAGAAGGTGGTAAGGAGGCGGGAATAGGCGGCGGCGTCGGCGGGGGTGAGATGGAGGGGGCCGTTTGGGACCCAGGAGGGGCGGTCGAGGAAGGGGCCGGTGCGGTGGTCGACGATGAAGAGCCAGGAGAGGAGTGACTGGAGGAAGGGGAGGAGGAGATGGAGTCGGCCGCGCTGGCGCTGGCGGTGGAAGGCGACAAGGGCTAATCCTAACGCGCATAGGCGACGGAAGATGGTGCTGCTGTCTTCGGGGGAAAAGGTGCTTCGACCGGTGGCAACATTCGCAAGGGAAGACAATAGGCATTCGCTGCTCCATTGCGACATCATGGCCGGCCTATCCTTCAACGAAACAACGATGAACGATGACAGTCGACCGAACATCCGGACATCGTCAGTGTTGCCTAGTTGGATGCAGGCATCGAGGAGCAGCCTTTTGAGGACGTCATCCTCGCTCTTCCGTTCCGTGATACTCTCTGCAACGATGTCTAGCACCTGTATTGCTTCAGAAGCAAATCGTGCTTTTTTCGAAATTGCGGAGAGCTGAGAAGCCAAGCCGGACAGAGTCGCCACATCCAGTTCGGCGAGCTGCTTTCGAGCGGATTGAAGGGTGTCGTGCTGGGCTCGCACATCTCCCTGAGAAAGCATCTCACAAAGATATGCAGCGGACGTGACAGTCGAAGAGTCGATGTTCTGAGACTGGCGCTTCGGCTGTCCATGCGCGTGATAGGCCTTGCTCAGGCTGGCCACGAAAGAGTCCTGAACCTTTTCTTTCAAGTACGAGCTTTGGGCCGTGGCCAGTTGAAAAAGCTCGTTGACGAGCGATGATATAAGAGGATCTTCTAACAGCCCGCGCGTTTTCAATCCAGCCATGATCGAATCCCAAGCGCGTAGGTCTGTCAGCAGCTTCGAAGTAGGGTTTGGCACGGCCATCAATCGAACTAGGACGCCAAGAATCCTGCCGATCGATCGATTGTCCATCTTCTTGTCCTGTAACTTGTTCACGAGACAATCTATCACAGCTTCTCGGTGTCGGCGCGGAATGGTTCGCGGGAACAGGTGAAGATATGTAGATATGGGAACATTGGAAACACTGTGGCCGCGACCTCCTTTATGTTTTGTTTTCCGTTCGAGATCCCTTAGAACCTCCCCTAGAAGCTCGTCTCTGGCGGTACTCGGGCCGGCTTCACACAGATACTTCGCCAAGGAAGAAAGGGTCGGTTGGAAACTGGCGATATTTCCATGCGGAGCGTCATGGTCTTGGTGGACTTCTGCAGCTGAGGCTGCGTGTATCAACTTTTTGAATAGCGTCGTTCTTGTGTTTGATGGGATGATCGAGAATCCCTCGGGATAGAGCAGCAGGGTCGAGAGCGGAGCTTGAGTCGCTTTCGTTTTTCGATCTTCGCCTGTGGTATTGTCCAGGCTATGCTTGTCAAAGACTTTGCAGATTGCAGTAGCAGCGCTATCGATCGCCTTGACGGAACAATCCTCAAACTCAGGGATCGCGTCGGATGCTGAGGAGAATTGTGCGAGCAGGCAAACGATTTCCGGAAGGCACGACTCCACCAGACGATACCGAGCTTCGAAATTCGTGGGCTTGAGCCCCGACTGGATGCATTTCAGCAAGCTGGAATTCCAGAACGGTTCGAGTCTCTGACGACTTTCAGACGCGTCTAAGGAGGAAACCGCAATGTCTTGAACGCAACTTAGCAACCGAAAGGCCGGACGCAGGAGACCGACGGTTTGCTCGGAGATATCGCTTTTAATTCGAAGGAGCATCAGGTGGATCTCGTCGAATTGCGATTTTAGGGCGTCGGCAACATCGTCCGACTGTACTCCGCGAAGGAGGCCGTGAAGAACCACCAGCCCAGCAAAAGCTCTACCGCCTTGAGAGACGTCGGATTGCCAGTCCTTGAAGTCCTGACGCAGCGTGGCGACATAGGTTTCGAGGAGAGACACCACTTCCCCCATTGTAAGCGAGCCGACAACAGTGAGACCAACGGCATTACCCATAGCCTTCAATTGCCACGTGTTCTGGCCGTCAATACCGCCGCTCTTCGATGGCCAACTTTCGTGTAGTTGCTGGAACCACTCTGAGATGAATTCGGCAGGTTGTCTAGCAGACACGTATGCAGAAACCAGAGGAATGACAATTTCGTCGACAAAATTGACTGAAGCGGAGCCCGGTGACGGAATATCAATCCTACTATTGATAGACTCGTCATCTAATTCAAGAGAGGCAAGCCTCTTGAATATTGACATTCGCAACGTTTGGGGCAACCCGTCAGCGAGACTGGGAATGTTGGCTGCGTGAAACAGGAAAGCAGGATTGATTTGGAGAACCGCCGCCACAAGACTCCAGCGTACTTCCTTGGAGTCGTCAAGCAAATTCGAAAAGGATGCGGCAGCGCTCATCAGATCTTCGGGGAGCAGAGTCAGGGATTCCTGTTTCGCGGCCCTCAGGAGCTGCTCTAACGCCTCAGCGGATACTGTCGTCGATTTTGGAGATGGAGACTGGTATAGATTGGCACCACAGCAATCAGCTAGCTCAGAGAACACGGCCCGAAGCCATGGAGCATGCTTTAGCCTTTGCTGAGGAGTGATCAAGGGTGTGGCTCGGATGGCAATGTAAAAAATGGAGGTCGCCAGCTCGTACGCTTGGCCATCGCTTCCCAAACTTTCTCTATTTGAGGACACTGATCCAAGATAGTCTTTGAGCGGTCCAAGCAGGGAGCGAAGATAAGGGGCTTCGCGTCGTTCTGCGCTTTTGCCGTCAACACGGCCCGGGTCAGCCTCGAAAGCTCGAAACGTCGGGAAGACGACGTGTTTTATGAGCAGTCCTTCCATTTGATGCTCGATATTGGAGAGGTTTGTTCGAGAAGGAGAGTCACTGCGGACGGCCTGCATGGCCTTCGCACAGGACAGCAAAGCGGAAGCAGGGACGAGGCAGCGGGACGAAAATTCCAACTCCGTTTGGTCTCCTTTGCCACTAGCGATGACTCTAGATTTCCAGATCCGCAAAACAGGGCCCAGCGAGACCTTCACGTCCGATGCTCGTAGGATCTGCGCCGTAAGCGAGAGCCACAAGCCGAGCAACTGCGCGGCGTGAACGACGTCGGTCTGGAAGACGGAGCTAAGGTACTCCGCTGATACGGGAATGTTGGCTCTTTCCGCTTCTGCAGCGCCGATGATGGTTTGAAGCAGGGACGTCAACGCTTGGTGAAGTTGGGAGGGATCAGGGAGACCGGTATTGCGCGCCCGCTTTGAAGGACGGCCTGGCGATTCCGCATTCTTGCGCTTCTTCCCAACAGCCACACCCTTGGAGTGCTTTGACTCGGTCGTATCAGAGACAGTCTCAGCGCCACCTGACGTATTTGAGTATTGAACGACCCGGCCGCCGGCAGCATTCGCCTCTTCCAAAGTTTTCTCGACAATGAAGAGGATCTTTCTGGATTTCAGCACCCGGGCGGACACGGCGATCGGCAGTCCGTGTATGAGCTGCGCTACCAGATTGAACGACTCCGGTTTTGCGCGCGCCTCGGCGCTTTGGGAACCATCGGAGCCTAATCGTTCTAGGAGCCATCGCAGCACCCACTCGGCTCTTGCGACTTGGATTGCATGGGAAGTTGACTTCGAGTTTGGGCCTTTGCTGGCAACCCCGGCGATGACTGAGGCCGCGTTCAATCGGTCTTCGAAGGTGTCGTATGTGGAATCGAGAGACAGCAATTTCGGGAGCGAGGGTTCCCTCTGGGACTGAAATCATGATATTAGCCTTGGTTTGGTATGAAGATTAATATCATTACCTCTTTTACGGCGGCCATTGGGATGCCCAGCTGCACCTACGAGCTTCCACGGCCCGTCTAACCAGTACAATGGCCACAGATATGTATACGGTATTCTACCGGTAGTTACAGTGCAAGTATCTGATTCACAATAACTGGACATCTGGAATTTGGAGTCTTGAATATTGGAAAATTTAGGGAGCTCGGACCACCTTCACATCCATGTTCACAGTTCTGGTATGCGACGAAGTGACTTCGACGTCGTAATATCAACATCCGATCCAAAGTGTCAAGTTTGTTCTGCAAAGCTACTCATCATTACGGAGTACATGTGCGCCTTTTGACATCTCGGACCGAAGGCTACCTGGCTCATCAACCTTCGCGTTCCCTCAAGTTTGCATCGATCCATCAACAACCGACGTACTATCCACGACTACCGCCATGGCCGACAAACCTTCGACCACTCCTTCCTCCCCACCAACGACGGTTTCCCGTCCGTTGAGTGAAGCATTGCTAAATGATAAGGTGCGATCTCTAATCCACCGATTCCTCAATGGTTAAGTGCAGTCGCTAATTCTCGGCAGTGGGACCGCTGCCTTTCCTCGCTGCTCATCCGGTCGAGCATCGGTGCTGGCTTCGGCATTGTCTTCTCATTCCTCCTGTTTCGACGCCGGTCATGGCCCGTTTGGACGGGGCTGGGGTTCGGTGCCGGGCGAGCGTACGAAGAATGTGACAATGTATGACTCTATTATAAGGGCTAGAAGGGACACCGCTGATATGATATCTAGTCGTTTAAACGTGCCGCGACTCCGACGAAAGATGGTCTGAGGGTCATCAGACCTTGAGATGCAAACCGAAACGCCTGATACTTTCTCTCCAGTTGTACAGATCATGCGGTTATTCGTCCTGCAGCGCCGTGTACAATATCATAAAATAGACCTTCTGCAGTCTATCCGCATAAATATACCAACACTTGTTCCAACTTGTCCTGTTCTCGACGCCGTCTGGGTTGCCCAAACCTATACTCCCAAATATCGAGGGTGACTATCTAAGCAGCGGCATTGTTCTCACGCCACACGAATGTCTTGAGGTTCCGCCATTGCACGATCCGGCTGTCCATTTTGCTCGCTCACGATATCCTTATCGGCGATTGTCTGCCCTTTCGTTTGGGCGAACTGATGTGACCTCGCATGTGATGGGTTCTGATTGTAGAATTCGTCAATGATCGGATGGATCATCACAGTCTGTTTGTGTATGGTCAGGGTCGAATTGGTTGGAACCGTGACCCAATTGTCTGCCGTCATTTAGCATTGATGCCCCCAAAACACCAGTCTTGGATGTTCGTACCTCTTTCGAAAGTGAGAGGCTCACTTGCAACAAGCACGATATCGCCGCCTTTATCTCTTCGCTCCATTTTGTAATCGCCCTTTTCTCCATCAGGAAACTCTTGGCTTTGTTGGCGCTTCCAACTCGTGCCGGATGAGAAGAATAAGCTTGCGGCCTCGTCAGTCCCACTGCTCACATAGCGAGAGCAGACCACGCTATGCCCATCGGTAATAGCAAAGTTCAGCAGGCTCCGAGTGTCATCGCCCTCGACTTGGGCTGTCATCTCGTTGATCCGCTGAATCGTTCGCAAGACCGCCTTTCGGAGCACGGTGTGACCGTACCCCTCCGGACCCGGCTCCACATTGGGGCTGTATCCCATCCTATCCATGCTGTCGAGCAGCACGGCAAACGCCCACTCGCTGTCCGTCGAGCCCTGCACGCAATTGTACCAGTCGTCTCCCACGGATTCGGCGAGCTTCCGTTTGATATGCCGCCAGCCCCCAATGCCGCCATTATGCATGAACATCAGCGAGCCGTACCGGAAGGGATGGCAGTTTTGGTCGGATAGGTTGCCCTCCGTCGTGGCGCGAACATGCGCAAAGATCAACGATGACGTCGTCTTGGAGGCCAGACGCTCGAGATTCAGACAATTCCATGCGGGTATTGTCGAGGTGAAAATGCATGGTTCAGAACCTAGGGCTGGTTGAGTGTAGTATCCCACCCCAAAGCCGTCGCCATTGTGAGGCCTCCGGTGATCCTAAGTATAGGTCAGTAGCATTCCAGGTGAGTAGTGACATGGAACTCCGGCTTACAAGCCTCAGTCGGCAATCAAAAGACTGGGTGAGGATCGAATGGGCCGGATCAAGAATTAATTTTGACAGAAGTATCTCATCCCGCCCTGTGTAGACCTAATCCACGAATTAGCCCTGAACAAAGGGTAATTTAATAGATTCTTCCTACCAGAAATCTGCACATGGCTTCAGCAGGTATATCTGGAAATCGTTGGTTTATGGAAACCGTAAACAATATTAAATGCTTTATTGGAAGGGGTCTGGGTATTTAAACTCTGATAAAGGATGAGGTACGTATGATGTTTATCGATGAGAATTATAATCAACGGAGTCAGAGAATAACATTGCTAGATGACAGTAAGAAGGTCTGACTCAAGCAGTTCTCATAATGCAGCCAGTACCAGTATCACCAACGTCTCCTGTATTTTTGTTGTCGTCTGATAGCAGCAGGTGCCACGAAATATTGACCCAAAGCCACCTGTGCAGCCCTCACAATCGCAATTATCCAAGGACTTGACGTGATCCACGTTTAGGGGTTATTAAGCCGAAATAAAAAAAGGACCGGAGGCAAAAAGGGCAAAAAAGATGCTCACTACCAGGGTCGAACTGGCGACCTTCGCATTGCATATTGTAGAAATATTAGTACGACGCTCTAACCAACTGAGCTAAGCGAGCTGGTTATATGTTAATGATTGAGCTACTAAAACTATAAGGAACTAATCAGTGTGGTTCTGGGCGGCTTTGGGTATCGATGGCTTGGCAGCGATCATAACCCGACATGAATGACCTTAATACGTGAGACCCTCGGAGCTTGTCCTGGTTGCATCATGCCATGAGTGATGAAACTACTTTGGCGATTTGATCAACTCTTCCCTTACCACTACAATCTTTCCGAGATGATCCACTTCCAGACCCCATCCAATTCATTGCACACATAAGCGATCATGAGCGCGAGGCTGCTCTCCGCACGCCTTGCGCCTCTCGCTCGTGGCGTCGCATGGTCGCAGCAACGAGCCGTATCCAAGAGTATCAATACCGTCGCCGGAGGTTTACTTCGCCCGGGCTCCCGATTGCGCGAACTCCGAACGCTGGATCGACATATTGGCTCGTCCTTTCTTCATAATGTACCGGTGGCCCGATCAATATCGTTCGCCCGCTTCATACCGAAGTTGGTGTCCAAGTTCGCCACTCTTGGGGCAGTAACTGGAGGTGCTGCGGTTGCAGGATTCACCTATGTCCAATATCAAGCTGCGCGTAAGTACGCGTACTTTCATGCAATGGCCATGCTAATATATATCAGAGGCTGGCAACTATATGGTCGACGTGTTCCATAAGACGACCGACCGCGCCGGATCCTTGGCCAACGAGCTCTACACTGGAGCAGCGGGAGTTCTAAACCAAACGAAGGAAGGATGGGACCAAACAACGGATAGGATAGAGCTACCAGAATGGCTTCAAAGTCTCCTAAATGCGTCCGAATCGGGACAGAGAGGAGACGGGCCCGGCCAAGGCCCCGAAGGCGATCCGAAACACAGCAATACCGGTGCAGCGGCCGCCGGTGGTGCGACCGCAGCGTTCGCATACGACTCGAAATCGGACGATGAAGGCACCCAGGAGGAACAAATCGCTCGCGATGATCAAATGATGCTGTTGACGCGGAAGATGATCGAAATCAGGGGCCTTTTACAGACCGTAGGGCAGTCGGACACCTTGACTCTGCCGTCCATTGTCGTCATCGGATCACAATCCTCGGGGAAGAGCTCAGTTTTGGAATCCATCGTTGGACATGAGTTTCTTCCTAAGGGGTCCAACATGGTTACACGCAGGCCAATTGAGCTGACACTGGTCAACACCCCTGACTCTCGAGCGGAATATGGAGAGTTCCCGTCCTTGGGAATTGGGAAGATCACCGACTTCTCCCACATCCAAAAGACCCTTACCGATCTCAATCTCGCCGTCCCTGCCGAACAATGCGTCTCCGACGAGCCGATCCAACTACGCATCTATTCTCCAAACGTCCCGGATCTCTCCCTGATCGACCTCCCCGGATATATTCAGGTTTCCGGACGCGATCAACCTCCGGAGCTGAAAGAGAAGATTGCTGAGCTGTGCGAGAGATACATCAAGGCCCCCAATGTCATATTAGCCATCTCCGCGGCGGACGTCGACTTGGCCAATTCGACCGCGCTCCGGGCCAGTCGGAAAATCGATCCCCGGGGCGAACGGACGATAGGAGTCATCACGAAGATGGATCTGGTCGATCCGGAGCGAGGAGCGAGCATGTTGGGTGATAGGAAATACGCTCTACGCTTGGGCTATGTCGGCGTCGTGTCACGTCTCCCGCAATCCCCTACGTCGAGCTTATTCCACCGGGGCAGTGGCAACATCAGCACTGCGATTCAGAAGAATGAGCAGTCGTTTTTCTCGTCGCACAGTGAGTTCGGCGCCGATTCTCAGTTAGACGTGGGAACCAAAACGCTCCGCAAGAAGCTGATGCGCGTCATGGAACAGACCATGGCGGCAAGCTTGAAGTCCACCAGCGAAGCGATTCAGCAGGAGCTGGCGGAAGCGACGTATGAGTTTAAGGTGCAATATAACGAAATGCCGCTCAGCGCGGAAACCTACCTCGCCGAAAGCCTGGACGCGTTCAAGCACTCGTTCCGGCGCTTCGCCGAAGACTTCGGTCGGCCGCAAGTTCGCGCGCTCATCAAGCATGAGCTGGACCAACAGGTGCTTAACCTGCTGGCGCAACGGTACTGGAACAAACCCCTCGAAGACTTAAGCCCGCCGATACCGGAGGCGGACTCGTTGAAAGATCTGCCCAAGGCGGATCCTGAGAATGCGTTGTGGCGTCTTAAGTTGGATGCGTCCACCGGCTCCTTGACCAAGCTTGGGATCGGGCGACTAGCGACCACCGTGGTCGCGAACGCATTGCAGATGCACGTCGAACAACTCATCACTTCATCCTCTTTCTCCGCGCATCCTTTCGCACGCAAAGCCATTACCAACGCCTCGGCATCGATCCTCAGCGACTTGTCGTACGATATCAGCGACGAACTTGAGATTTGCATCAAACCATACAAATACCGGATTGACCTGGAAGACGCTGAATGGAAACGCGGTCGCGACACCGTTTCCGACGTGTTGAAAGAGGAGCTCGAGGTCTGCCGAGCCGCGATGAAGAATGTAGAGACTGAAATGGGGGGAAAGAGGAAGCTGAGGGATGTGTTGACATTTATTGACCGCGTTCGAAGCAGCCAAATCGTCCTTGAAGGCACCGGGGCAGGAGGAGCCGGAGGATTCAGTGCCTCCCTTCTCAGAAAAGGTTTGTCCACATCCCTTCTATTAGAAGAGACCCAGAGGACTGATTTCGGAACAGGTCAAGAGGCCGTCTTCCTGCGCGATCGCGCCGACGTCCTACAGATGAGGCTACTTGCCGTGAAGTCCAAGCAATGCGCTTCCAAAAAGAACAAATACCACTGCCCGGAAGTCTTCTTAGACGCTGTAGCCGATAAACTTACGACCACCGCGGACCTTTTCTTGGATGCCGAACTACTCTCCAAGTTCTACTATAATGTACGTCGACCCAATTCCCTTGGATATCGTCACCGGAGTCTAACACGTCTTAGTTTCCACGGGAGCTCGACAACAGATTAGGACGCGACCTGTCGAAATCGGAGATTGAGCGCTTCGCCAGCGAAGACCCTAAGGTCAAGCGCCATCTGGATGTGGTGCGGCGCAAGGACCTCCTGGAGCACGTCCTGAAAGAGATGCAAGCGTTGCGACAACTGGAAGCCCGAGAAAAGCGGTCCTTGCGAACCGACGGCAAGCGATCGAAGGGCTGGACCTTGTTCTAGGTGGTTTGGGGCATGCTTATGTTCCCCTGGAGTGGCGCATAGACCGGATGATACCATAAGTTCGAGCGGAGAAGATGGAGGGTTCGCATCAACGGCTGCGAGCCGTTTTGTTCTTAGCTTCACTCAGCTCATTTATGTTGGCAGCGATATTCTTGAAGGTAACGAGATCCTTGTATGGAATTGGGTGATACCATTAAACAATAAAATGGTTCCAAGTCGACTTTGGGGTGCTTAACTGCTGAACTCTTCCGAGTTGATATCCTTAAAGTTCGTATGTGATATGGCTTAAGTACTAATGATAATCCGTTTCCACGTTGCAGTGGCGAAACCGTCGACACGAGACTTCTCCTATTTAGGGATATATTGATTAAAGATATTGATATTAATTTTTATCTAACATTGAAGAATTCCCATTGCCAAAGCCTCGAACTTTCCCTATCATTTGAAATCTGAAGTCACAATGAATGGTAGTTGAAGCAGCACGTTAACGCCGAGCGTAACTCCGACCTCACTCCGACCTCACACATCGCATATCCATGGCATCTCGGATACCAGTATCTTCACGACCAAAGTATTCACACCCCCCCTTTTACCCTCCACGGCTCAATTCCCACGCAAGTCGTGCATTATCCCATGCGTAGTTCCTTCAAGGCGTGAATTTGGAGCGGTTCTTCGATGCCCAGACAACCCCCATCCACGGCCGGCGAACTCGACAGCTCACATTTCCCGGATAAAAAGCGGAAGTCCACCGCCGCCACGCAACCCACGCTCTCCAGCATCTTCGCCCCGCAGCCCAAGGCCCCCGCCACGCATTCCGACGGCTCGCAACCCAGCCCGAGCCGCAAACGACCGCGACCGAACCCCTCGACGGGCGCGCGCGACGATCACGCCCCATTGCCGCCTGAGAAGATGTATGCATTCAAGAGCAAGAGGAACGGCGGGCAGGACGAGGTGGTCGACCTCACGGGACCCAATAGGCCGGCGAAAGGTGCGGTTCGCAACGGCAAGTTGCCGTTTGATCCCCAGATCGGCGCGAAGCGGCTCGTTGTGAAGAACCGACGGACCAGCACGCGGTTGGATCCGAAGCAGTATCTGGAAACGGCGTGGAGCCGGCTGGACACGGCGATCGATGTCATTCTCGCGGACCGGCCGATTGACTTTTCGTTGGAGGAGCTTTACAAGGGGGTGGAGAATGTGTGCCGGCAGAATATGGCGCAGGAGTTGACGGAGCTATTGAAATCCAAGCTCGGAGCGTATGCGTCGGGGTCGATGAGGGCGCAGCTGCGCTCGAGGTTAGGCGGGACAAATGTGGATTTTCTCCAGGGGACGGTGTCGATCTGGGGAAAATGGCTTCAACATATGGTGGGTGGAGTTGGTATAGTTCCTCGTGTCTTGATCTCACACAGTTTAGGTCATGATAAGATCCATCTTCTCCTTCTTGGACCAAACCTACCTCCTGGCCGAATCTCTACCCACGATCAAAGAGATAGCGATCGGGTTCTTCCGCGATGAGATTCTTGGAGATGTCGAATTGAAAGGGAAGGTTCTCAACGGCGTCTGCGACCTCGTCGAGGCGGATCGGACAGGCCGGACACCGGATTTGAGCCTATTCCGCGAATCGATTCGAATGTTCCGCGAAATATCCTCCTACACGACGGTATTGGAGCCAAAGATGCATCATGCGTCCCAAATTTATGTGCGGGAGTGGGCGAACGAGGCAGACGCCAAGTCGCTCTCAGACTATGTAAAGAGTGCGTCCGAACTGATCCAGCGCGAGGTAGATCGGTGCGATCTATTCAGCTTGGATGTCTCCACGCGGCGCGACTTGGTGACGTTGCTAGAGGAGCACTTGATTGTCAGTAGGAAAGACCGTCTAGGTAAGTATTCCTTTCATGCACGCTCTTGAGTCATGATGCTTACTTTCCTAGTGGGTTCGGGCGAATTCCAAGAGCTCATGGACAAAGCCGCAACCGATGACCTGCGACGTCTGTACTCCTTGCTTCAAAGGCGACGGTTGGGATCGAAGCTCCAGCCCCCCTTCGAGCAATGGATCGACCAAACTGGGACCTCCATCATCTTCGACGAGAAAGAGCAGGACCATATGGTGGTCCGTCTGCTATCCTTAAAGAAGCAACTGGATCGGACATGGAAAATCGCCTTCGAACGAGATGACGATCTCGGCCACGCCATGAAGACGTCGTTCGAATTCTTCATCAACAAGACTCGGAAGACATCCGCTACGTGGAACACGGACAATTCCAAGCCCGCCGAAATGATCGCGAAGTACTTGGATCTACTGTTGCAGGGCGGTTCCAAGGCGATCCCTTCGGCAATGGCCTTCAAATGGGCCAGCACCGCGAAGCCCGACGAGGAAGGCGATGCGGACCAGTACGCCGGGGACGAAGACGCCGAAGTGAACAATCAGCTCGATCAAGCGCTGGACCTATTCCGATTCGTGCACGGCAAGCAAGTCTTCGAGGCATTCTACAAGAAGGACCTTGCTCGGCGGCTGCTGATGGGGAGGAGCGCTAGTGCCGACGCGGAAATGAGTATGATCACACGGTTAAAAACAGGTGAGTTAGAGCGATTGTTTCCTCGGCGTCAGTGTTGCTGACATAGATCCAGAATGCGGCGCGGAGTTCACCAAGAACCTGGAGCGGATGTTCTCCGACATCAGCCTCAGCCGCGAAGAAATGGCCTCCTACAAGGCCATCGCGGCAGAGCGGGAGGAGTACTCTCCGATCGACCTCAACGTCACGGTCCTGTCGTCGTCGGCTTGGCCGTCGTACAAAGACCTCCCCTTCATCCTCCCGCCCGACGTCAAAGTGCTGATCGACAAGTTCGAGGAGTCGTACCGGAGCAAGCACAGCAACCACAAGTTGGATTGGAAGCACGGCTTGGTCACCTGCCATGTGCGGGCGGACTTCCCGAAAGGGAAAAAAGAACTCGTGCTTTCAGGAAGCCAGACAATTGTGATTCTGGTGTTTAATCAGTTTTTGGACGCGGACGATAAGGTTCCCTATAGCGTCATTAAAGCGGAAACCGGACTCGGTAAGTGCAGCTCTAAGTCAAGGGGTGATCTTCTCTAATTCCACGCAGACGATGCCGAGCTCAAACGAACTCTACAATCGTTGGCGTGTGCGCGAATCCGACCCTTAAAGAAACATCCCAAAGGAAGAGAAGTCGACGAGACTGATTCGTTCAGCTGGAACGCAGATTTCCGGCACGAGAAGCAGCGATTGAAGGTAAACCAAGTCCAGCTGAAGGAGACGCGTGAGGAGAACAAGGCGACTCATGAGCGCGTGCACGCGGACCGACAGTTCGAGACGCAGGCGGCCATCGTGCGGATCCTGAAGAGTCGGCAGAGCATCAATCATAACCACCTGATTACCGAGGTGATTGAGGCGACGAAGAAGCGAGGGGCGCTGGATGTCGGGGATATCAAGCGGAACATCGACAAGTGAGTGCGTGCGGTGCGAAGGGGTGGATGAATGCTGACTGATTGATAGATTGATTGACAAGGACTACATGGTTCGGGATGGAGAGACTGGCATGTACAACTACATTGCTTAACGTCGGGCGACTGTCTTCGTCGATTTGATATTTGCCCGCTTCCCTCCCATTTCGGTAGATCGTTAGGAACCGGGAGTCCCGGTGGGGTGGATGCAAGCATATAGCATTAGCCAGCGACTGTAGCGACCGATCAAGGCACCTGGTAGAATGGCAGTTCCATATGCAAGCTTGAATTCTTCATGTTATACACAGTGTGCTGATCACAGCGTTGAGAACCCATCTATGAAGCCCGTCCGCCCCTCATGTAATTTCGTCGCTATACCTACTCCTCCTCTCCCGTCGCTGCCCTGCCCTCCTTCGAGTTCAACCATTCGTTCCTAGATCCACTCGTCAGCTCCCCCATATCTGGTTATGGGTGGGTAGTCGGGGGCCGTACTTCTTGGTAGCCCAGTCCATGGCATAGTACCCGACGATGAACGGCGGCAGCACGTAGAGGATCTGGTTCCGGCTGCGTCGGAAGGTGTTGAAGAACGCGGCGTGCAGCGTGCCGGCCAAGGGCCGCATGCGATTGGGGGCGACCGTGTAGGTGGTGACGCCTTTCTGGGACATGCTTCCTGAACACGGGGAGTCGTCAGCCAAGCCGTTCCCGTCGTTTCCATCGGGAGAACCGAATTCGGTTGCGGGTTATGTCTGCGTACCTAGGCTACCCCACCAGCCCAACCATCTGTCGAGAGAGTCAGTAACAGGGCGAAGAAAGGTCGCAGGATCCGGCACAACCGCCATGGACGCATGGGTGACGGGGACTTACTTCGCTTCCATACCACCGTGAATTCCGCCCATTTTGAAGATTCGGAGCAAAAGATTGGGGCTCAATGATAGACCGCTGGGTTGGGAGAGGGAGACGTGATGGACAATGCCACTGAGCGGTTCGGAAGAAGTCGAGGATGAGGTTCTGGTGGTTCCGAAATCTCCAAATCACGTGCTACGTCTAAGAACTTCATGATGGTCCGAGCTCCCGATGAACTCCAGACTTCAAGTCCAAACCGTCAAATGTATTGAGGAGCATCGTTTTCTTGAGTTTCTTCCCAGCGAGCCCGTCCAATAACCTCTACACTCGGGAAACTCCCCTTAATCAGCCAACTCCTCCCCCGACCATCCCACCATGGCCAACATCCTCGGCGCCGTCTCCCGCTGGGCCGTTCCCGGCGCCATCGCCCTCTCCGTCGCCAACGCCTCGATCTACGATGTCAAGGGCGGCACGCGGGCGGTCATCTTTGACCGATTCCAGGGTGTCAAGGAGCAGGTGATCAATGAGGGGACGCACTTCCTGGTACCTTGGGTGCAGCGGAGCATCATCTACGACGTGCGGACGAAGCCGCGCAACATTTCGACGACGACCGGCAGCAAGGATTTGCAGATGGTCAGCTTGACGCTGCGGGTGCTGCATCGACCGGAGGTGAAGATGCTGCCGAAGATCTATCAGGTGCGTCGACCGTGACCCCATTCCACTTTCAAGTTTCAAAGTAATCTGACCATGTCCCAGACCCTTGGCCAAGACTACGACGAGCGCGTGCTCCCCTCAATCGGCAACGAAGTCCTCAAAGCCATCGTCGCCCAATTCGACGCCGCCGAGCTGATCACCCAGCGTGAAGCCGTCAGCAACCGGATCCGCACCGATCTGCTCAAACGGGCGCAGGAGTTCAACATCCAGCTGGAGGACGTCTCCATCACGCACATGACGTTCGGGCGGGAGTTCACTAAGGCGGTCGAGGAGAAGCAGATCGCCCAGCAGGAGGCCGAGCGTGCGCGGTTCATCGTCGAGAAGGCGGAGCAGGAGCGCCAGGCGAACGTAATCCGCGCCGAGGGGGAGGCGGAGGCGGCGGATACGATTAGCAGGGCGGTGGCGAAGTCAGGGGATGGGTTGATTCAGATTCGAAGGATTGAGACGCAGAAGGAGATTGCGCAGATGTTAGCGAACAACCCGAATGTGACGTACTTGCCGAGTGGAAGTCAAAGCGAGGGAGGAAAAGGGGGGAATTTCCTGCTCGGGCTGAGGCCGTGATTGCGGATACATGCGAATCTTCTGTTGCTGGGAGGCATGGCGCATACTGGTGATGGAACCGTCCCGGGAAATCGACCCCGATGGATGGGACGCTGTACTACTACTGCTACCAAAAAATAACTGAATATATCCCCCGTCTCACTCTTGCACTCCGCATGGAAATGGTCAATCAAAAATGGTCAATCAACAATCGTCAATCAGCAATAGACGTGGTATCATTTTCTCATTTTTTAATTTAGCTCTATCAACATGTCGCGGGAAACCAGAGTGACCGGGGATTCGGTGTTCACATAACGCGGCGCCGGGAGTACAATGCTATGGGTTCGGGTCGAACCGGGGGAATACATGACGGTGCATCTTTCAGGTGCTTCTTTCGAAATCGTGGTAAGGGAAGGGGGGATGTTCTTGCTATGATTATGGATGGAGATGCGGTGAGTGCCACGTCCCGTTCATATCAAGCGAAAGCAGGTGGGTGAGGAGGGTGGGGGAAACGATGAGAATGGAGAGCAAACGAACAGAAGGAGTCTGCAGCCGCAACGTTGCTGGGAATTTCAAATTTGGATTCATCGTGGGCGCAGTCGAGATGAATCCGGTCTGCCGGCCGTGCGCCCGTCGTGATGCCTGCGCCAGTCTTGAGCCCGACTCCATTAATAGGTACGAGTCCTGTGGCATCAGACTGGTCAAAAGGGTCTCCGTGGGCCTTTGACGAGCCAGCTCTTCCAACTGTGGTCACAGCTCTTTTCACCCAGGCATATCCGGGCTATGAACTTGGAAATCAATTACGACGGAATTTACATGTCCATCGAGTCGCCTCCGTTCGCAAAGCTGAAACCCTGCTGCGGAGCTTGCGATTGCGCACCGAATCCGAAGGTCCCATCTTGGCCTTGTTGCGGCGCGAGATCGCCCATCTCGTTCGCGACCTCCTCGTCATCGGAGAAGTACTTCTCGATGATGTTGTAGGCCTTCATGTAAATCTCCTCGTTGGCGTTGTTTTGGCAGTCGTGGACCTTCTCCATGCCTCCGACCTCTTCGATGAATAGAGCGTAGCGGTTGATCGGCTCACCGGTTTCGGCGGCGGCTTCCTTGTCGTGTTCGCCGACCTTGAGGATGTTCTCGAGTCCGTCGAGGGCGACCTGGATGATCTTGTTGTCCGGGCACGACAGAAGATCGCAGAGCGGTTTGATGCAGCCGCATTGCACCAGATATCGGATCTGGTCGGGTTTCTGTAGCCCACCGGACGTGGCGTTCGAGATGGCCCAGCAAGCTTCCTTCCGGGTTTTGAAGTCACCGTTCTGAAGCAGGTGGATGAGCGGACCGACGATGTTCGCGTCGATCACGGACTGGATCTGCTGGGAATTGCCCGCCGTGACGTTGGAAATCGTCCAGCACGCCTCCTTTCGGATCCCATCTTTGCTCGAGCTGAGCAGCGACAATAGCGCGGGAAGCGCCCCGGAGTTGATGATGACTTGGGTTTGCACGTCATCTCCGGTGACGATGTTGCCCACGGATCGAAGGGCAGGCGTTTGCACGGAGGTGGACGCATGCATCAGGAGCTCCACAAGGCGCCTGGGGATACCAGCATCGATGACGGCCTGGATCTTATCGTTGGATCCGTCGGACAGGTACGAGATGGCCCAGCATGCATCGATGAGGACCTCATCGTCGAGCGAATATATGAGCTTGGCAAGGACCGGAAGAGCCGGAGCAATCTGTTTCGGAAATAAGTAATTGCCGTTTAGCAAGAGGATCAATACATACCGTTTGCCAATCCGGCTGGGGAGTTTTGCCACGGCAGAAGTTGCTCAAAGTCCACGTAGCGTTACGAAGCATGCTCAGCTTCCGGCTGTCACCGAGGAGGGCCAACAGCGGGCGTAACGCGCCCTGCTGAAGCACAAAGTCTCGGCAATGCGGGCTGTCTCCAGCAATGTTGCCCAAGGCCCACACGGCCTGTTCTCGGACATCAGGCTCATGGCTGCTGAGCAACTCGACGAAGATGGGGACGGCACCAGCGCCGATGACCACTTGCGTCTGTTGAGCCGAACCGGATGCAATATTGGTAAGCGCCCAGGCGGCCTCGAACTGCACGAGGGTATGGGGCGAGCGAAGGAACTCGACGAAGCGGCTGACGACGCCAGTCTCGATCACTCGTTCGATGGGAGGATTTCTCTCTTTGGACAAGAGCTTGCGGAATTTGGTGGTGGCGGCAATCTGTTCGTCGATCTGGTCGGAAAAGACGCCCTTCACCATGATAGGGAGTTCCTCATCGAGCTGGAAACAATAAGTAAATGCTCCTCTTCAGAAACGAGGAAGTGGGTTGAGGCTGCCTATACTATAAGGCACCCAGCGTAAAACATCGTATGCATATGACATCGTTCGACGGGATCCATCAAATTCTGTGTAGATAAAATCCGACGTACCTGAGTCTCGATATTCCCATCGTCATCGCTGTCAGGTGCAGCACCTAGAGCGGCACCCGGAGCGCTGCCCGGGACGGATATGCCTCTTCTCTTCGCGAGGGACTCTTCCTTCTTGCTTCGACGAATCTCGACCTGCTGGTCCTCACGGCGTCGGCGCAGCTCATCCTGCTTGAAGGTTCCCCTCGCCTTGAAAGCGTTACGCCGATGCTCGGGGATATAGCGTTCAGACATGGCGTACGGGATGGGCGGTGGCGACAAGAGGTGTGCACAGTCAGTGGGATGAGAATTGAAGGACGAAGTGAATGGAGAGGGTGGGATTTATCGAGAGGGATTTATTGAGAGATGGAGGAGGGTTTGTAGAGCTGAATGGGGAATTAAATTGTTATAGTGCGTTGCGAGAGGTAGCAAGTAGTGAAGGTAACAATGAAAGAAACTAGATGAATCCCCCTCTCTGATGGTCCTTGCTCCCTCCCTCTCTCCTCCCTCACTCTCTGCCCTCTGGCCACTGCGTTCAACTCTCAACTGACATGGACTGACAGGCTAAAAATGTGCTAAGGCGATAAGGCGACACATAAGATTATGTAAGTCATAAGGTGACAAGGCGACAAGGCGACAAGGCTACAAGGCGACAAGGCCATAAATTCTCAGTGCTCGGTCACCTGACTACGCGTCTTTTGGTACGCCATCCATTTCCAAGTCGCGACTCTCATCCTCCAGTCTCCACATGATACACCAGAAGCAGAGAAGCAATGGTGGAAACATCCAGTGAGGAGGCTAGACAGAGGATGGCCGATATTTGTGCAGCATCCCATTACAAGTTCTGACAATGGTTCGCTTTATTCCACCATAGAGCCGCCTCTGTCATTGCACTGCACTCCCAGATCCTGAATCCTGATGTCCCTAGTGTACTTGTATCGTCCCTTTCAGTGGTATGATCGTTGCTTACCACACGTCCACACTGCACCGTATTTGCACGCAGCGAGTGCATCAGTGAATGCACTCACTTTACCAGTGTTGAGAACACAAATCCGCAGCATTATCCTGTTCCTATAACTCTAAATCATAGCCCGTGCCCCTTTGTCATCACAGTTCCAACGCATTTCAATATTCGGCACGTTTGGAAATCCAACTAGTGACGATGGAGCCTCAGCTACCGCCGCATTTCTTGGACCTGAGCAATGCCCTGTCCAGAGCTGGCAGCACTGTATCAGTGGCAGGAGTGTGTATCTATTCAACCAAAGAGCCCAAGCAATCCAAAGGAGGTGGTATGGACTGCCCGAACATCTTATAATTGATCTGAGGACTAACTCGGACAGACTGGTTCGTCACCATTACTATCAATGACCCTTGGTTACAAGCAAATGCGTTTGCGGATGTTCGTGTTTTTGGAAATTTTGGAGAACTACCCAGAGTTACAGCTGGGGATATTTGCCTGTGCCGCCTTGTCATGGTATGATTTCTTCGAATATCAATGCTAGGATCTGTGCTAATATCGACGTTTGCAGGTGACACGTTACGGCAACAAAGCATTGTTTTCTGCAAACCGGCAAGCCCATGTCTATCTCTTCCCTTGCAGCTCGATACCGAGCCGAACCAACAGACTCGCCTTTGCGAGACAAGGAAGTGTATTGGATTATACCCGCCACCCCCCCTTGTTATCGGACCCAACACAGGAAGAGAAAAAATTTGTCCTTGGACTGCACGATTGGAACACCAGCATCAATATCCGGTCCATCGAAGGGTTCGAACCCAATGGGCAACAGACGGGATCTGTTGGCCAGCCTAAGCGTGAAAAGTTCGCCTTGATCAAAGACATGGTGCCCGGCACCTTCTACGACATGGTCGGCGAGGTCACGAAAATCTTCTCCATGATGGACGGACCCAGCTTGGAGCTAGTGGATTATTCCGGAACCACGCTCCCCGGGAATGCCAACTCCAACGGGGTTCGGGAAGGGGATGAATACGGCTACACGAGCCACGGCAGACAGCCAGCGTGGAGCGGAGCCGGCGGACAGCGGACCATCAAGGTGAAGCTCTTCGACCACCACGGCCGCTGGGCCTCGGAGAATGTTCGAGTGGGTGACCACATCCTGCTGCAGAATATTCGGACCCGCGAGGGGACGTGGGGAATGGAAGCCCGTCTGCACGGGGATCAGCAGTACAGAAGCGGGCTTAACGTGCACAAGATCAAGCCGGGCACCTCGCATTACCCGCATCTGGAAGCCTTAACCAAGCGTAAAGAGGAGTATTTGGGTTACAGGGCCGAGTCTCCACCTCCTGAAAGGTCGAACAACCAAAGACCGCCGCAAAATCAGACAAACGTTCAGACGAATCCTCAGTCGAACGCTCAGACGAACGGCGTCAGTAAGAAGGCGAAGAACAGGAGACGAAGGAGACAACTCGCAAAAGAAGCAGCCAATAGTCGAACTGATTCAGATTCCGGCAAAGCTCCCACCAGCAACCCACCTCCAATAGCTATGCACAATCAACTAAGTAACCTCACCCCTTACCGGCAATCCCCTCAGCGATTAACCGATAACAGTCCGATGTGGCCACCCCGACGCCCCCATCTTATCCGTATCGGATATCACGGACCATTCCCATCGAACGGGCGGCTCCGCCACCGACGCGCTCCCCATGCTCAACTTCAACTGCCGCGTCAGAGTCCGCGTCATCGACTTCGACCCGCCCAACCTGGAGGACTTCTCTCGGTCACTAGACGACGAGGCGTACAACGACGCGGCGCCCGAAACCGACTTCGACTCCGATGGCGACTCGGTGCTGTGCTCGCCCAAATGCTGGGAGTGGGCGTTTCGGTTCCTGGTGGAAGATGCGCTTCCGGTGCACGCGGGCGCGAAGGCCGCACAGATGGAACTGATCGTGGCGGGACAGGATGCGGAACATCTCTTGCAGCTGGACGCGACGGAGTAAGTCACCCCCTCCGAATGTGTGAGACCGACATGTTGAGTTATATAGCCTTCGGAACAACAGTACCGCGCTCGCGCAGCTCCGGGAGAAGCTTTTCCATCTGTGGGGGGACCTCGAGGAGGTGAAGCAGAAGGCGAGGCAGGAGACGTCGGGCGGTGGAGCGGTGGAGCGGGACGTGGCGGCGACCTCCCGGCCGTTTGAATGCTGTGTTAAGGAATATGGAGTGGACGTCAGTCCGGACGGGTCGGGGGAATGGGTGCGCTGCCATCGGATATTCAAGACGACGATTAGCTGAATACATCGAGGGTTCGTACGTCGTAGCGGGCGGGGAGAGAGTGGCTGCTGGAACGAGGTCGAGGGAGTCGTTTCTACGAGCAAGGCCCCAGACATGGGTGTGGATTCCGTGATGCGTTACCGTTGATCTCATATGAAGATTGAAGCGTTTCTAACCCCTTACCCCACAAACTACCTACCAAAGCCGACGACGCGTCGATCTCCCAATTAACTCCAGTCTCCACTCCACAAAAAAAAGCCAACGTAGCACGAGCGGTTTTCTCGAGCCGAGACTCAAGAGGAGAGCACGAGCATCGCATGGTGGTCAGGATGTTGTGGACTTGGGGGGTTAATTGGCGCTAGCACCGTTGCGGAATGCGGGATTGAATATTAGCCGGGCGCTTTTCTTGTCGGTTTCGTGGAGACTGGCGAGAAGCGGATGGCTGGTTAGGGGCATGCGATATGCATGAACATGTCTCGAATAGCCCTCTCAAATCACATTCTCAGTATTACAGTTATCCCCCCCGGTCGCTCCTCGCTCGGTTGCAATCCTGTCAGCGCCGCGTCGTCCCTCGTCACGGTTTGAAAATGTCTCGGAATCTCCGCAACGTCTGAGTTCCGGGGCACCGATGGACAGAGGATGGATGGGCAACGAGAGGGTTTCCTTCCTTCCGAGGCCTCAGGAGGCAATTTGGGGAACGGCCGTCGGAGCGCGTGCATCGTGCAATATCCAGGAGGCGGTGTCTGATAGGCGCGTTCGGCCATATGGGGATTGATATTGACGCGATGAGATTAGTATCATGTACTTTGGTGGTGGGATCCCGAGTGTGGTAGCTCTAGTACCTGGTTGTACCTATCATGTATGACTGTATTGCAACGCAGCATGTACCGACCGAGGGGCCGCTTGGTACAGGGCTGCCCCAGGTTCCGTGAGAGGGGGCATGGGTTCTCGAGGTTCCAGAGGTTCCAGAGGTTCCAGAAAACGCGAGGATTTGGAAGAGGCTGGTCGGGTGTTGTTTCTGGGTGATTGTGGAGAGGAGGGATCAGGGGAGGAGGAATCATGGGGAGTCGGGGAAACGTAAGGACTAACGAGTCCCTGAGGAGTGAGGAGTGAGTACTGGCGATATGGAATAATTACCACCGTCGATCCGGAGCACCGAGCACATCATCAAGCTGCGGCGTATGGCTGGTATGGGTGGTGCAGCCAAGTGAACTGGTGGAGGAGGAGGAGTTGTGACCATCAACGGGGGATTATCAGTGGACAGTGAGGGATCAATGGCTCGTGGAAGGGAGCTTCCTCGGTGTTCCTTTCTCTGTTTTCCTCCTGTTCTTTTTTCCATCTATAACAATACCTTAAGATTCCCTCGGGAGTTTTCATGATTGATGTAGCCCGATTCTATCATCCCTCTCGGTGGGCTGGAGATCTAACCCTATACATCCTCTTTTGGTCGGATTGCCCAATCACTACAGTACATAACGTTCCCTATTGAGTCGGCAGGAAGAAAGGAAGAAAGGGTCCACTGTCCTGAGTCCAGAAGCAAAGCTGTAACGACGGGAAGCTTGTCCCGCACTCCCGCTTCTCTGATCTCTCTCCTCCAGAGTCCAGAGTCCAGTCTTCGGCCGCCCAAACCCCCAATCACCGCCCACCACCTGAGCAACCCCCGCCTCCACCACACACCACACACCACACAGGCACACACCAGCACCACACACCACTCCAATTGTTTGCAACCCACCATTCTCACCCTCTCTCTCATCTCACTCACTCTTGACAGAATCTCACTTCCTGTGCCACCATCGCTGCTGGATTCTTCTATCCCTCCTCCTCGGATTACACATTTTAGCACATTACCGACACCTGCTACCCCCGTGACGACCTCCAATTCACTGGTCCCGTGAACCTAGCCCAACCACAAGCTTCCGCTCTTCCACCCCTTCCAATCCGCTCCTCCGACGAGACCTGTTCCGTTCTCCGCTTCAGTTGTCCCGTCCATGCCACCCCGACCTGACGCCATGTTCCATCGCGCAATCGGAATCTGAGGACCTCGAAGCTTCCGACAACCCCGATCTCACCATCGGACGGACGGTTGTACACCCGTTCGGATACCATCCCCTCGTCTAGTGTCTGGGTACCGGTACCCAATACTCTACGAGCTACCGATCCAGCGGTCGAGCCCCCGCCCGGCGGTTAACCCTCCCTCAAAACAAAGGACCAGTCCGGTTCCAAGAAACACATATTGTGCACCATTTTTTTTTCCGTTGTTGCTGTGCAGCTCGGTTCTATTAGGGGCACCGAACGTCGGGTTGAACGCGCGGAGACGCAATCATGAATGGATATGCCGGCGCCGCGGCCCCCCCTGGGACCATGTACGTGAGGGCCCTCTATGACTACGATGCCGACGATCGGACGAGCTTGAGCTTCCGACAAGGCGATATCATCCAGGTCATTACACAGCTGGAGAGTGGGTGGTGGGATGGCGTCGTCAATGAGGTGCGAGGATGGTTTCCCAGCAACTACTGCGCCGTCGTCAGCCGACTTCCCATGGATTTCGTCGATGAACACGGCCACGCGGATGGCGGCGACGATGGCGACATCGATGAGGAGACCAGGGAGGAGTTCAGCGAGGATGGGTACGACGACGCCGAATCCGATGGCAATCTGAAAGATCGCGATACGACGCTCCCCATCGAAGGTGGGGACGATAAGGACCAGGAAGAGGCGGCGTTCTGGATCCCCCAGGCAACCCCGGATGGTCGACTGTTCTATTACAATACCCTCACGGGCGTCAGCACCATGGAGCTCCCGCTGGAGAATCCGACATCCTCCTCCGAAACCGGGCCGCGTGACCGTCACCATGTCCAAATCCCCGATCAAACTCGTCCACCCCCCGAGCTCATGGCGGGAGGGTATGAGAGGGCAGAGGACGATGCGGATTACGAGAACTCCGCGTCTGAAGCGGAAGAAATGGCGCATCATGTTAGTACCGCGATAATCATACTGAAGCCCAATACAGGACTAATGTCGCATGCAGGGCCGGAAGGGCAGCTCGTTTGCTACGGAGGAATTGTCCCCCTCCGCATCTACGGATTCGCTCCGACACCCGGCCATGGCCAATCGGACACGCAACGATTTCAACTTACCGCACAACAGCAGTTTCTCGGTCGTGCAGTCCGCCATGCCCCCGATCGGGACCTCGAATTCGTTCATCAACAGCCCCGCGGCCCCGGAAACGCTCCCCGCCATCCCGCGGAAGCTCTTCGACGACTCCTACGCCATCCCCTTGACCTGGAACAAGATGCTGGAAGACATGCGACGGGCGATCGAGCGGTATCGGCAGGCGATCAACAACAGCGATCGGGCCGAGTTCGTGAAGCGGGCGGAAGACATCTCGGACCACTTGCGGCTCCTGCTGGTCGCGGGCTCGGGCACGACGGACAATCACTCCGGGAATCCGTCCATTATCAGCACGAACAAGGCTCTCTATCCGCATTTCCGGGTCACGATGTCTCGGTTCTCGAAGCTGGTGCTCTCATCACATATCGCCGCTGCGGACTGGCCGCCTCCCGATTCGTATGCCAAATGCTTGAAAGAAGCGGAAGGCGTGCTGAACGGCGTCTACGGTTTTGTGGAAGTGGCAAGACAGCAGCGAGGAGAAGATATCCCCCGTCTCATCCCCGGCTTCGTGAGCAACAGCCACATCGGTGGCAATTGGCAGCAGCATGGCCTGTCCCCGCGGGACAGCTCGGTGACCACGCTCTTCGGCGATTCCGAGGAATATGACCCGTCCGTCGAGCCATCCACACGGCTAGATGGGAAGCTGCTGGAACGACTGGAAGATTTGCGAAAGATCTTCGTCTCCAACCTGCGGAGGCTCGACGAAGCGTTGAGTGTGCGCGAGATGACCGTTTCTCCCACCAGACACCAGGTCATTGGGGATAACGTCTGTCGGGCCGGCTTGAAGGTGCTTGAGTCATGCCGGCCTTGGCTTTCCACCGTGGAGTCCATCAACCTGTCGCCGCTCCATCAGGAACGACGGCAGCATGAGTTCATGGAGCTCAACGTTGCCAAACAGCGCGTCTACGACAGCACATCGGAGCTCCTGATGGCGTGTCAGGCTGTCGCCTCGCCGCTCGGCGATGAATGGTCGGAATCCAGGGGCGACTCGTTGGAAAACCGGTTGCTCTACGTGCGATCGAGCTCGAAGGATTTGGAGATGAGCATGTCCCATTTGACATTACAATTGCAACGACTCTCGGAGCTGATTCCGATGGCGGATCAACCCAATCGGGATATTCGAGTAGGAGAACCCTCCGGGTTCGACAATGCGGCGCAATCCCAATCCAGAATGGGTCAGCGGCCTTCGATTGCGGAGCTTGGTCCCTCCATGACCTACGGAGATGCGATGGACTACGTCGACACGATGAGGAACGGCAACAAGGACAAGCTCGAGCGGATCCTTGGGGAGAAGCCTCCACCAAACGTTGGGGGCCCTCCGCCGGAAGATGTGCCGGACTTTTTACGCCTTGATTACGAGCGCGACATTGTCTACGATACCAAGGTCACGCCGCCGCAATTGCGCGGAGGGACATTGCAAGGGTTGGTCGAACAACTCACGCGGCACGACCGTCTCGACTCACCGTTCAACGCAACTTTCCTCCTGACCTATCGATCGTTCACGACCGCGACGGAACTGTTCGAGATGCTGATGAAGCGGTGGACCATCCAACCGCCGTTCGGCATCTCCAACGAAGACCAACAGACCTGGATCGACAAGAAGCAGCGACCGATCCGGTTCCGCGTGGTGAACATCCTCAAGAGCTGGTTCGACACCTACTGGATGGAGAGTAACGACGACGAAGCCCGGGCGCTCACGCAGCGAGCGTATCAGTTCGCCAGCGAAGAAGTGGTGAAGACAAACACCCCCGGCGCCGGCCCACTGATGGCGTCGATCGACCAGCGCATGCGCGGCCAGGAGATCCCGAACAAGAAGATGGTACTGACGCTGAACGCGCAGACGCCGCAGCCGATCATCCCTAAGAACATGAAGAAGCTCAAGTTCCTCGACATCGACCCCACCGAGTTCGCGCGCCAGCTGACCATCATCGAGTCGCGGCTGTACGGGAAGATCAAGCCGACGGAGTGCTTGAGCAAGACGTTGCATAAGAAGATCGAAGCCGGCGAGAACGACCCGGCTCCGAACGTGAAAGCGCTGATCCTGCACTCGAATCAACTGACGAACTGGGTGGCGCAGATGATCTTGAACCAGCAAGACGTGCGTCGACGGGTTATCGTGATCAAGCACTTTGTGAACATCGCCGATGTGAGTCCCGCGCACGAACGCGCCATCCCAAAAACTAACCGCCCCAGAAATGCCGATCGCTCAATAACTTCTCGATGCTCACGTCCATCATCTCCGCCCTTGGCACCGCGCCCATCCATCGCTTGCAACGGACGTGGCAGAGTGTCAGCGCCAAAACGATGCAGACGCTCGAGTCCATGCGCAAAACCATGGGCAGCACCAAGAACTTCGCGGAGTACCGCGAAACGCTGCACCGCGCGAACCCGCCGTGCATCCCCTTCTTCGGTTTGGAATCCCGTCCTACAAACTACTATTGCTCCGCTAACCCTGTTGCACAGGCGTCTACCTCACGGACCTGACCTTTATAGAAGACGGCATCCCCTCCACGATCAAGAAGACGAACCTCATCAACTTCGCGAAACGGGCGAAGACGGCGGAGGTGATCCGCGACATCCAGGACTACCAGAACGTGCCGTACGCGCTGCAGCCGGTGCCGGAGCTGCAGGAGTACATCCTGAACAACATGGAGACGGCTGGGGACGTGCACGAGATGTACGAGCGGAGCTTGGTGGTGGAGCCGCGCGAGCGGGAGGATGAGAAGATCGCCCGGTATGTAGGATCGTCTATGCCTGCTTTTGCCATTTGAGTTGGGGGTTGGGGGTGTCGAAACATGTATAAGAGATGCCACCACCATCCATCCACCCCATCCATTCACCCAAAGAGCCGAGAAACCCTAAAGCAGCAGTCTTCCTTATACACTGTGAGAATAAACCGATGACCACTTCCGTTTTTGCCCGTCAAAGTCGGTTTGGCCCCGTTTCTTACACCTGCCGTCTTGCTGTTGGCTTTGTTGTCGATTGCGTTGTGTGCACATGTGGCGGTGGTGGCGGGGTCTGGATGTCGTCGCGAAAGAGGGAGGGAGTTGCGAATGCACCACGAATTGTTGACAGCGCTTCGGTAGATCCACGCTAACTGATCGTCTCTCCATAGGCTATTGACGGAGTCGGGCTTCCTTTAAAAGGTGCCCACGTCGAGGCGTTGGCGATTGGCATGATTACGATGTCCGCGGACCGGGTCCAATTCCATTTCACTCGGATGATGGCGACGCTTGTGTTCGGTTGGGATGAACGGAATCGTTACGACACCACGTCGCCACCATTGCGTGTTTACCACGAATGTTCTTTTCTTTATAGAGCGGCGGCCACCGGCGTCCGGGAATCACGAGTCCTTTGCAATGTGCGAGTACGGAGAAGGTCTTTTACGGTCAAATCTAACGTCATGGCAACTTTATTATGGTTCGACGATCTGTGTTCAAGGAGGAGGGGCTGGCGTCTGATTCTCCGAGCGAGGCACATATCTAGCAAACTGCAAATGTGAAGTTGGCGAAATCGCTTGAACTTGCCAATGACCCATCACATGTTATGATGTTAGTGCACTAAACTAAGTCCTGAGGAGTGATGGTCCGTGAAGTGTGGAGCAGAATCTGCTACTGTCGTACAGCAGAGCAGAGCCGACCTAATCGCATGATCTTCCACCCAAACCCCTTGCGGTCTTCCCAATCCCCACGACTATTGGAGAAGTGGTGAAGTACAGAACTCAGAAGCGCGACGCGTTGCCAAATCCAGCGCTCCCTAACTCCTATGAGCTAAGGATCTTCAACGCTTACATACTATGTAGTAGTAGCGTGCCAGAGTTGGCAATTGCTAAATACTAAATAGGACTAAATTTCCAAATTCCAAGAGCTCGTCGGACGTCGTCAACCGCCGAGCCATGCCTTTCGTTTGTTTAACAATAGCAACCAGAACTGAGGTCCGAAGCGGACAAGCGCCTCTCCCACATCCTCAAGCCTCCGCATATTTCCCAATTCTCACGAGCCAAAAGCCAATCTGGCTTTTCCAGCAACACCGTTCCATGACTTCTATAGATAATTGATATCACCGATCGGCGATCGCATGCTGTTCGCTATGAATGGAAGGTGGAAAAATCGCCATTGGCCCCAGGATGAGAATCATAATGCATAGTTAGGGAGTCCTGGCCATCCAGGTTGACATCTCGGTACGGCGTCCCTGTGTTGTATGTACCTGGTAACGATGGTATGCATCAGCGCGCGCGATTGGCCGGCACGCACAGGCCGTCCCCTGGATCATCTCATTCCAATTTCTTCCAACGGTCGAATGGTCGATTCGGGTTTCATGTCCTGGATTGTCTTGGATGAGGGTGTTCATAATTTCATGGCGTTGCATCGGGGCGTGTAGCCCCTTAAGGTACCTCGGTCGAGGTAGGTCGATGACGAGAGGCGAGAGGTTGGGATGGATGATGGGATCGGTAAGGAAGACGGGCACTGGCAAGCCCACCAGGAGGTTGTCAACGCGAAGAAACTACAATTGATGTGGTGATGTTCAGAATGGTCGAATGGAATCGTGATATGTGAACCGTCCCGTCTGAAACTCTTCAGTCTTGACTCCAGATCAGACGGGTGCAAATCGGGCGGGCGGCAGCAACAGCCGTTCCTTGCATGATGCATGAGAGTTAATCAGTTAAAAGACGCCATATTTCATCCGCCTCTTTGACAACTGACAAGCATGCTAAAATTGCATGTCTGTCATCCCCTTGTGAATATGTGCTGTATTAACGGTAAAACGCTTCCGTTAAAGTCCTCCTTACTTAACACTCTGTGACCCGGTACTAGCAATCTAGTACGACAATAATATGACTCCTAAGGGCTAGCCATCAGACATCAGGATCGCATGATCGACTATCCCATTCTTTCCTGTACGGATGAAGCGGCTCATCCACCAATCCTCCATTGGGCCGTCCTTCGTCTCTGCATCCTCCCGTTGGCCGTTGGTCTTCGAACCTTTCTTCGCGAATTGGACCGTGCTCGGCTGTGGCTTGCGCCTGGATGTCGCCGCGATCCATGCCTGCCAACGTCGATTGTCCCCTGGAAGGCCGGATATTGCGCTTCTCCCGTATTTCTAAACTAAACTTCATGCTGATTCCTGGGGTAGGAGGATCCCGCTCCGAGGAGGGGGTCGAGTCAGGTCGAGTCGTCGAGGAGATCGGCCATCCGAAGACGATGTCCAATTGTCCATCCACCTCAGGGCCAAGTGAAATGGTGAACATCACCGTAAGACCAGTCCAGATCGTCGACGACTGACAGAATTAGTAACTAAGTCGTAGCGGTAGTTACGCAGGCTTCCAAAAATGGGTGACGATACAAAGGATTCTAAAAGAGGTTGACTGGCTTGCCACAATTTTCTTTGCTAGCATGTCCAATTCCAGCACCTCGTGGACCGAGAACAGTTGGCATTACATACATAGTACATGGTACAGTAGCAATTAGTATACATGGCAGCCGATCTTAGTACCGATGTTACCGGTGTTCAAGCCCGTCAAGGGGATCGGTCTAAGTTAGCGGCTTAAACTGCTCAAATCTTCACCTAACTAGCGGCTTAATGCAACCTGCAACTCCCGCATCTCCCGCAATCCGTGAATAATCCCCCATTCGCTCGTTTCTCCAATTCGATCATCCTGTCCGTTCTTGCGGGTCATTAGCGATCTTCATCTATTTCCTTGTGTTTCCCCTCCCCTTGTACCCAGTATTGTACTCCTGTTCGCTGTTGTTGTTGTTGTACGGAACATTTCCCCAGAAGACCAGAGTTGATTCTTTGGGTACTGCTCCAAAGTCCAAGGTCCTCCCGACTCCAGCTTCTCCAGTCCCTCGTTCGGAAATCCGTCCTTCTCCCAAGATTCCCTTCTCAGCTTGTCGCTGGTGCCACACGACAGGACTCAGGAGCATACGACCAGTCGATTACGTCCATTACCGTACCGTCATACCGTTCTCGCTGGGAACGCGGTCGAAAAATCCCGAGTCCACCATTTGCGCCGCTCGGTTCCATTCACTTCGCTCGTTTCATCCGACTATACATTTATCTTCCCTGTCAATCGTTTTTCGTCTCATCTCCTCATTTTTTTTCTCCGAATGACCTCATGAGGCAATCACTTCAATGTGGAAGAGGCCTCGTCCTCGCGGCATGTCTCGCAACTTTGGGTACGCTCCTCTCCCCGCATCGGATCGCCCTCTATTCCCCGACCCGTCGCTAACGCGTGTCACAGCATCTGCCGCATGCGAATGCGGTTACTACTATAACTCCACCTCCACCGCCGGCATCACAAGCAGGCAGGTGTGGACCGACGCCTTCGAAACCGACTTCCTCCATGCCCCAAAAATCAACGGCGACATGGGCTGGCGACCCCAGGTCTACACTGTCCCGTCGGAGAAAGCCCGCGGCACCTTTGGGAAGGACGCAGCGCTGGAGAACGTCATCGCCAATCCGCTCAAGGACAACAAGACCTGGACCGGCGAGGGCGCGAACGGGGGCGACGCCGGCGCGCAGCTCCTGGTGCGCAGCCAGTTGAAGGGTGATGCCATTCCCATGGCGGAAATCGTAGGCATCCGGGATGATATGCTCTACGGTTCGTTCCGAGTATCGATGAAGATTAATGACATCCCTGGGTCGTGCGCGGCATTTTTCTTTGTAAGTGACTCAATGGATGCGACGGCGGCCGTCGTTCGACACAACTAACCAGTCGCACCCAGTACCATAATGATACCCAGGAGATCGACATTGAATTCCTCACGAGAGAATTCAACGAGACCTCGAACCTCATCAACCTCATCAGCCAATCTCCCGCCTCCGCTGACGCCGGCTTCGACGCAAGTGGAACTCCCGGATTCAAGACCTACAACCTTCCGTTCAAGCCCTACGAAGGCTTCCACGAGTACCGCTTCGACTGGAGCCCCGGCCTGATCACCTACTACGCCGACAACCAGAAACTCTACGAGCTGACCGTCGACGTCCCCGACAGCCCCGGCCACCTCGTCCTCAACCACTGGTCCAACGGCGACCCGAAATGGTCCGGCGGCCCCCCTACCGCCGACTCGACCATGACCGTCAGCTACGTGAAGGCGTACTTCAACTCCTCGAACCCCGACGCCGGAAGCCAGTTCGACAAGCGGTGTCCGGATCCGGGCGACGTGTCGAAGATCTGCGGCATCCCCGATCAGAACACCCCGCCGCCGGATGCCTCCCAGGGCGGTGACACCGGCGCGCAGACGACGTTTTTGACGTCGGCCGCAGGACGGAGGTCGCCGGTCGGTTGGAGCTTGTGGAGCGTCGCGATCTTCTCCGCGGTGGTGTTTTCCACTTGTTGATTTTCGTTTGATGGATTTGTTGTGCTGTTTACGGGCCATCGTTCGGAGTTCAACTAGTGCGTGCCTGCATTCTAGTGGCGTTGGAGGTGCATGCATGATTCTCATGTTCGGATCGGCTATGATATTTGTGAGTCTCACCAAGTGCTTCATGCGCAGGAGGGAGGGATTCCTGGCCGCTGTATGGCCTTTATTATTCTTGTTGATATTAGATTCTTTGCCGTTTTTCGGCGCGACGATTAAGGTTAATACCGACGAGGGGTAATGGACCATGTTCGTATTACCGTCTGCTTCGTGGTGAAGGCGGCCATGCCGTCGATGTTCGAGTGATATTGGAAGAAGCCATTTCTAAGTCAAGGGCTTTGATTAGGCCACGGCCTTTTGGACCATTCACCCTATCATATCGTTGCGACAAGTTGGCTATTCTGAGAGAGACCGTTACTGTTCCCGCACATGGTATTAACTTCACCCCAGACCACATAGCCCCCAAGCAATCGGTGTAAGAATCTGTACGGATGTGTTGGCATTGCGAATTTCCCCCAGTGCTCGACAGACCCATCTGTTGCTCCTAGACCTCGAAGGTGTTGCGACACGTGATTTAACTAACGTGTTCAAAGGGAGACGATTAGATGCACCACTATATCTCATCTCCTTGATGATATGGTATATACCATGAGATACACTGAATCTCGACCAGGGAGCACGGCGATGAGACTTGGATTCAATATCGACCTCCACATCCCACGCGGCTAGAGACCTGGCGCAGCAAAAGGGCGCCCCATTTGTTTTGTTATCGGGATTCTTATTTTTGTTGTCGATCACGAGATTGATTCCCTGCTGGTGGAAAGCTAGCGGAATTTCGCATCGCACGGAATCGGACTGCAAAATTGAGCAAGTTCAACCCACTCCCGACCGACCGACAGACTCACAGCAATCCGTATCCTTACTTCAATTGCTTCCACCTTCATTCCACAGTCCTTCGTTTGGTGGTGCAAGATGCGAGATGGCAGCAGAATCTGTGGAAACCCACATCGTCTTCTTCAGTTCTGTTTGTTGCCAACGGCGTTGCAGCAAATCCACGTCTCAGTGGCCTTCTTCTGCTAGCGTACCAAGTGAAGCTGTTCCTGTATTGTGAGAGTATTGTATGATGCGCTAGAATTGATTCATCTCGTTTCCTCAATGTCATTCATTCAGTTTCATGTAGGCATTCCGCGTCCGCTCTCGTCCGGTCGCTCCTGGCGTCCCCTTTCAAATCTGTTTTGTTGGTATTTGCAAACTCCCTTTCCTTGAGAACTCCCGAATATCCACCAGCAATTTTAAATTCCATCTTGCGAGCCTAGTCCTTAGTAATCGAAAGGGTTCTCTCCAATCCACGCCCTCCATATCCTATAATTTCCCAGATGATAACCACTTTTCGGGACCTATGCGAACCATCGCGTCTTGGTTAGACGGGTGGGTATCTAGCCTCTAGAATCCACATCCAATGGCTCCAACGGCTCCAACCGCCACGGTGAAACTCATCGAGGGTCTATGCGATCATTCCGAAGAATTTCCGCCTGGTCTGGTCTTAAATCTCTGCGATATCCTTGAACAGTTGAACGTCCGTTACTCGACCTGGTTGGCCCTAAAAACGAGCTCGAAAATCATGTGGCGCGGATACATTCTTCTCCTTCTCTCGCTCGGGAGCGCGAATGCGTTCCAATGGTTCGGGTCCGACGGTGCAATATCATCGGAGTTGGCGGACCTGCCCCTTCCTGAGCCAACCGTTCTGGAACTAGGAGTTGGCAGCCTCGAGTACGTCCTGCATCCTGGGATCTCCGAACGAGCATCATCAATTCCCAACGGCTAACCTCCCTCCAGTCGCCGGTCCCCCGACCCCGAGCCCAACCCCAACCCCGACCCCGCCGTCGTCGACGCTCCCGTCACCGCCCTGCCGACGGCCTCCCAGTATCCGACGGAGACGACCGACTGGCTGGAGACCACCCTGGTGAACGGCCAGAAGACGTGGGTGCCCGTCGTGTTCACACAGACGTTTGCCGCCGTGCCCGACCAGTGGCCGGGACCCGCGGAAGGGGGGTCGATTGGGATGGGCACATTGACGGGCCAGATCGGGGTGGTGAGGACAAGCTTGCCGCAGCAATCGGATGGGGATTCTATTGATAAGCAGGGGTGGCTAGTGGGGGAAGCGGGAGCCGTGGGGATGATGCTTGGGGGACTATTGTTTGCTTGAGGCCTTGGGAGCGGGAGGGACGTTTGTCCACCGCACTGAGGTCATAGCGTTGATGATCATGATCAGCCCGGATTTTGGCAGGAGTCGAACCCAGCAAGGTGTTTAAGGATCGGTTGTCCTATCGCGTTGGCATGCGCGCATGCTTGTTGTTTATCAAGTAAGGCGTTGTGGACCACATCCAGGGATGGCTTATCGAGTTGACAGGTATTTATCTGTCATATATTCAGCATCCATTGTCAGACAGTAAATCAGGAACCGGGGGTTTATTTCCATACCTGTCCTTGAAGCAGAAGCTCGTGATGAAGACGAGTTATCAACCGACGTAGAAACCGGCCGCATAGCAACCTTGATCCGATTGCAATTCAGTCTTCCTCTACGTCGCTGCCCTCCGGATACTCCTCAACCTCCGCATCCACGTCCGCCCTGATCGCGTCCTCCAACCACTCCGCATACTTGCCCCACCCATCCCCCCCGAACGTCATCAGCACCTTCGCCCGCCGCACGCCCCGCACCCCCTCGAACAACCGCAGCGCCCCCCTCGGCTCCACCGGGTCGAACATCGGCTGATACGGTTCGATCACCAGGCTTTTGACTCCAGTGAACGCGCGCGAGACGGCGTCGCGGGAATACGGTGGGTCGATGTCCAGCCGGACGCCGATGTACCAGCGTTGGATCAAGCGGGTGACGCGCGGGGAGCGGATGGGACGCTCGGGGGCGAGGAGGCACGGGAGGGAGGTGAGCAGCTCGGGGTGGGCGGTGAAGGTGTTGCGGGTGTAGAGGATCGGGGTGGCTTCGGAGTGGATGAGGCGGCATGTTTGGAGGAGTGAGACGGGGAAAGAGTAGGGGCTCGCGTCGAGGAGATAGGTGGAGAGGTGACCGCGGGAGAAGAGGCGGCGGAGCTTATGGGAGATGGTGAAGACGAGGACATGGTTATATATGAGCTCGCGCAGTTCCGCGGGGAGGCGGAGGAAAGGTGAATCGGACATTTCCTCCTCGTAGATGTAATACTCGGGTAAGTACTGTGCGTCCAGATACCTCTAGGCATAATCTCCAGTTCCGTGTCGATTCTACCAGTCAATGGTGCATGCAATTGACCGAGTGGAACTGAGGGGAAGTGTATCGGGGAAGCTGGTTGAATCTCCAACATCCCTGATCCCTCCCCGTCACACTGCTCCCCCAGGTGGTTGGGCTCAGGCTCTCTGGAATTGCGGACTAATTATCATTCAAATGTTTGAGTATCTGTTAACATTAGAGGGCGTGATCGAGGAGCATGCCTCCCTCATAAACATCAGATGTACGATCCCTACTTAACCTCTCTTGAAGCCTTATCCAAACAAGTCACCCCTCTGCTGCCATTCCTATCATCCTTCTCTTAGTACTGCAGAGTGTTGTTTGTAAGTACGTCATGCCTTATATGCGTTAAGTACCGAACTACTTGCTATCTGTACCATAATATCGTCCTTGTTTCGCTGCAGTTTCAAAGCGTCTGAGCCGTCCATCATACCCATCTATGTCCGACGCTATTCTTGACTGTCCTCTTTGAAAGCGTTTCGCCAGGACTTGAACCTGGCGTTGTTCGTCATGTATTTGAACAGAGACTACCTATGGAATTATTGTTCAATAACATTACCTTACTAAATCTCAGGTTGCTAACTACCACCCGTGTCACCAGTCACAATATATTAAAGCCGAGAGTTCCCTCGATCTCGAACGGTTCCTATCAGTTCATACCCCCTGATACGGACATACCACGATATACCCGATTTTGAACCCATCATATATCATATTCCGCCCAAATCAGAGCCATGGCACTCCGCCCAGAACTGCGAGTTAACATGAAGAATCTCCCCGTTGAGTCCGAATCCGACGCAGCCTCGACGCAGTCCCCAGCACGCGGCAAGCAGATGCGCACGAACCTGCTCCAAAAGCTTCGAGCGCCTCCTCTCGTCCATGGGTGGGAATTCTGGCACGATCGCCAGGGGCGAAAGAAACCCGAGGACACGGCGGCAACGGTCGAGGGTTCATACGAAGACCGCCTGGTCAAGCTGCATACCATCGCGGACGTGCGGGAATTCTGGGAGGTGTTCAATAACTTCGACATCTCCACGCTGCCGCTGCGAGACAGCATCCATCTTTTCCATAAGGGCGTCAAACCCCTTTGGGAGGATCCTAGGAACGTGAAGGGTGGAGCATGGACATTCCGCGTTCCGAAGGACAAAGCGAAGGCCTTTTGGCAGGAGATTAGTCTCATGGCGATCGGAGAGGTGCTACAAGAGGCGGTGGCAAGCAAGAGGACGAGTATGCGATATGCTCTCAGAACCGAGCTTTCTCCTGGCTAATACTTAACAGCGTTTATCGATGATATATGCGGCATTTCATTGTCCGTTCGATTTACTAGCATGCTCGTGTCGATCTGGAATCGCGATGCAGATCACAAAGAAGGAGTGGACGGGATCCTAAAAACGGTGCTCGACCAACTCCCTGAGGATCTAGTCGTCAAGGAGAGCTCATACTTCTACAAAAGACATTCGGATCATTCGGGGTTCGCTCCTAAAGGTGTTGAACAGTAAGCGCCTGCCACATCCGAAACTCGCTCGTGAGAGGTCTGCTATGTCCACCACGAAGCTATCGGGGGCCCTTGGATTCTTCATTTAGCGAGCATACTTGGTGTTTTAGTTGGGTCTCATGTTAGGTTTACATTGTTGGGCTGGATGGTGGGAAGGATAAGGTCGGCTGGAAGGATTGGAAACGGATTTGGCAATACGTCGTCCACGGAAGGAATCGGGGCGCATAACAATGAAATCGCACACACCTTCTTACCGATGATACCGATTATGTTGTTGGTCATGCACTGCTCCGACATTCGGCGATAGTTTTGATGACATAGGTGCCTTACTGTACGAAGGAATTTTTGTTTTGGCTAGACCTCCCACGTCGCCATTCGCGGGGCTCTCACCAGATCTCACTGCTGTCTCTCCCCACCAACACCCCACCACTGCTCCGAGTCTGTCTGTTGTCATTTCTCACTACTACTACTCACTACTACTACTACAACAAAGTTTTCCAGAATAAATTCCTCTATAACGACCTCTATCATTTCAATCCTACCAGTTACATTGTGATCCACCCCCAATTGCAACCATGGCACGCAAATTCTTCGTTGGAGGCAACTTTAAGATGTGAGCTTCGTCTATTCGGCGATCAGTCTCGCTTGCAGTCACTAATCGATATGATAGGAATGGCACCAGCCAGTCCATCAAAGAGATTGTCAACAACCTAAACCAAGCCAAGCTCGACCCCAATGTCGGTATGCACGCCAACCAGCTCGATGGAATATCTTCCAAGGATGCACACTGACGGTTTGCTCGACAGATGTGGTCATTTCCCCACCCTCGCTCTACCTCCTTTTGACCCGCGAGCTCCTTCGTTCTGGACTCGAGGTCGCCGCGCAGAACGTCTACGACAAGCCCAATGGCGCCTTCACCGGAGAGATCAGCATCTCGCAGCTCAAGGACTCCAGCATCACATGGGCCATCCTGGGACACAGTGAGCGTAGGACAGTCCTCGGGGAGTCGGATGAGGTGGGATCATGTTCGGACGCTCGTAGGACAACAGCAGCTAATTGACTGGATAGTTCGTTGCAAATAAGACCAAGGCGGCCATCGACGCTGGGGTTGGTGTGATCCTTTGCTGCGGCGAATCGCTAGAGGTAAGTCGTGGAAGAGTAGCCGGTGCTATTTCCCACTGCTAAGCTCCGGATCCAGCAACGGGAAGCCGGCAAGACCATCGATGTCGTCACCACGCAGTTGAAAGCGGTTGCCGACAAAGTCAAAGATTGGTCGAAGATTGTCGTTGCCTACGAACCCATCTGGTAAGACATCCACGAATTGGGCGTGGACACGCACTCTAACCGTACGGCAGGGCAATTGGCACCGGCAAAGTCGCCACAACGGAACAAGCACAAGAGGTCCATGCTGCTCTCCGAGAGTGGTTGAAGAAGGATGTCTCCTCCGAAGCGGCCGAGAGCACCCGAATCCTGTACGGAGGTAGCGTCAACGAGAAGAACTGCGGCGAGTTGGCGAAGCAGCCCGACATCGATGGATTCCTTGTCGGTGGTGCCAGCCTGAAGCCCGCTTGTAAGTGCTAAATTACTATCTATCAGAATCTTGTGACGCTAACTGGCTAACAGTCGTGGATATCATCAACGCAAAGCTGAGCTAAATGGGTGGGTTTTAGACCCAAGGTCACCTAGGGATCTAAACAGAGCACTCTTCCACAGTATCCTTTGCAAGTAAGGCGGTTACATTGTGATCTACTGTCCAGAGTCTTGACTCCTAGGCAAACCCGCTCGCGGGAAAGTATGTATATCAGTGACGAGCAGTCTAGGTAAATCCAATACACGTCTCCGATATCCTGTCAGCAGCATGTTTTCTGTAAATCCGGCAGATGTTCAATCCACGAATTATGCTCTCCCGATCATATCGGCTAGGAAGTTCGCTGTTCCACCAGTGCAGTTCCTCCCAAGGCCCTTTATAGCCGGCAATGGACTCCCCGATCTAGGTTTCCGAGGAAGCTTGCACTGCCCAGTTCCTAGTAGGATTGGTGTCCCCCAAGCTTTCCTAAACGGAGCCTCGCTCTGGATGTGGAGTAGTGATCAGCGGACGGCGAGACAAGGCTACCGGCAATTCGGAATGGACTGCTGGCGGTGCGGACCCGTCTGAGACTCCCAATAAGTGCCATATCCGGCGCCTTACTCGTCTTCTCCGCCTTCGTTCCCTGTCTTGCAATGAGCGATTGAAAGACGCACAGGGCCTCTGTTCGGATATCTGATTATCCCCGGGGCTTCACTCGCTATCAATTTCTGCACCGAAGGTAGTACGTATGTTGTCTCAGAAGCATTCCTTATGACATGGTCACAATTGCTCAATTGGGATGGATTGATGAAGTGTCAGAACGCCGTGGCCGAATACTAGCTCCTCTTCGTCCAAATCTTGCCCCAACACTTTGACCTGGTTTATTTGCCTAATGGTGATTTGACCTCCAATCTTTTAATAGTGAATCCAAGGAAAGTCGATTGGGTCGAATACGTCGAATCACACCGAAGCTCACCACCCATGTACCTGGTCAGGGATCCGATCGAGGACGACGACAGCTGCACCTCCAGCAGCTGAGGAAAATCGCATTTTTAACTCGTCCGCCTCACTTTTCGAGTTATCGGCGGCCTCATCCCTAATGGATACTCGAGCCGCGCGGACGCAGAACCATCAGGCTGCACCAATGCCGTGTACTCTATTCCTGCATCTGCAAGGCTGGCAGTTCCAACCATCGCGACGAGCTCCCGCGAACTCCCCAGGCTGCAGAGAACGATGCGAGGACGATGCAGAGAGCGGCTCACCATGTGGAGAACCCGCAGTTCGACCAAAGAGCGAGCATACTTACAGGTAGTTTCGGGATCAAGGGAAATCTTATTTTGACTACAGGACGGTCAAAGTCGAGGGCAATTTCCAAGACCAACGGATGTGTTCGGGACCTTTATCGGGACGTACGTAACAGCGTATGCCCCGTTGCATGTCGGTCAGCAAGTTGCCTCGAATTCAGGGACTGAAAGCTGCATCCTTCTTTTCTCCGGAAGTTTGAGACAGTAAGTTGGGATGTGTTCACAACGCAGGGCAGCAGGAACGGCGCACGAGAACCGAGTGCATTACCCGGTTTTTTGGGTGCCACCCCAGATGCTCTCTCAACTTTCTCAAGGCACACAGCCATTCAAATGCTTCGTCTGGGTGAATCAATGGATCGAGTCCTTCCGAGAAGGGTCCCGTCTCGACCACCATCCACAAGGTTCTCCATGGAAGGTGTACCGACGCTTCTAGAGCGGAAGGATAGGACAAAACCCGCAAGTATATCCGAGTCATTCCATTTAAGGCGTTTAACTTCCCATCCTTACCCATGTCGACCACACCGGTCAGCATCGAGGCGATCAATCGACCGACGCCTCTTTTTCCCCTTCACTTCATACTTGAGCTCCAAGGCTATGACCCCCTTCCACCCCAATGACAAGACGCTGACCGGACATAGTGCATTATTTCGAGCTTGCGACACCCAGCACGGGTAGCTCGTATATCATTCAAGTTTGAGGGTGATGGCTGGATTGTTCCCCTGCAGAAATGGTCAAATGTCATCAAAAAGTTCCATCAGCTGTTCAATGCCGCCTCATTCTGCCTCTTGGTGTAACCAAGATATCAAGCAGTATCCAATTACCACCTAGTAATCCGGTCCATGCTGTTCTAGTCCATTGAGGTCTGCTGTAGGGTTGGATTGGTAAGGATGGTTGAGCCCGTGTCTGGCGATGCTCGATTTTCATATAATCCACCCATATCCCCATTATACCGCATCTCCTTCGTTCTACCCCATCCAGCATCGTATGAAGTCGTTCAATTTTTACGAGACACGCAGTTATTTCGGCTATAGTGTACTCGCTTACATTTTTCAAATCCTCTGAGCCACCTCTATCAATCAGTCACCTCCTCTGCATATCTGTCAAGATGATGCAACACGGGCAGGTTCCTCTACCGCCTCCTAGTGGAATGCCTCCGCAGCACGCGGGAGCACCTCCATGGCCCCCTTCTGGCCCCCCGTCGGGACCTCCGTCGGGACCTCCTCGCCAAGGAAATGTCGCTCCTGGCACCACTGGTATCCGACATGGTCAATCACCAGGCAATCAAAAGATTACCGTGCCCACGTACTCCATGTGGAAGCTGCGCAAATTATTAAATCCTAACTTACCGCCAAATAAACGTCAGGGCTGGGATGCAATTGATCCTTCTCCGTTGCATGCCCCTGAGACCGAAATGGCACAACTGGTGAAGAAACGAAAAGTGGACAGCCGGAAGACACCTCAAGAGCAACTCAACAAGCTCAGCAGCAAGACAAGCAAGGGTGGGATGCAGGTTGAGAAGTTCATCAACCATATGAACAGTATGCATCAAGAGCATGACCCTCATGGTGAATGGGTGCTGGTGTATTGTGACTGGCATGAAAAGAAAACTCAAGGCCTACCGGAAATCCCTGAAATCTCGGTGATCTTGAAACGTCAACAGAAGACCGACTCGGCGAATTCTCGTGCGTTGGCCTCATCCTTGGGATATATGACGTCGGGATATCCTACACAATTTCCGAATCCAGCATATCCGCATATGCCTCCGCAGAATGGGCTCTCTCAAGGATACCCGCCTCCTAGTGCCCCACACCATCTACCAAATCTAGGATCGAACCCTGCTGTCAAGCCAAGTCACCCCCAGCAGATGGCTCCGCCACCACCGCCAACGGGAGGGGCACCAATTCTGCCTCCCCCCCTGGGCATGCCGACGCAGAAAGCCCCCAAAGGAATAACCGTCGTCCAAGGGAAGAATGATAGCAAAGTGGCCAAGAAGGGGAGCAAAAAGGCTCTGAAGCATGACTTTTCCTCCGACAGTGAGGAAGAGAAGAAGATCCAGGTGGAGCACGTCACCACATCCACGTCGACCATGAAGCTCCCGAAAGACGAGCCGTTTTCCGAGCGGTTGACTAAGACGTTCGAGCGAGGCCACGAGGATGCGGCGAAGCTTGGCCACAAGCATTCCAGGAAGAATTTACGGCAGTCCGACCCCATCGTGATCCCGAATCGCCCTGGGAGGAGAGAGCAGAGCTACTACACGAAAGGTCGGCGGATCCCTCACCGGGAGAGCTCCTCCGAGACGCTGTACATGGACGATGGCTCCTCTTGCTATTCAGGCGGTGGTCTCACGGATGACACGCCGCCGAGCAGTCCAGGCAGCTGCTATGTCGAGCCCCGGCTGACAAAACCTTATCACAAAGGGGGAAAGCCCCAGGGCCGACACCATCAACAGCCTCGCTATCAACAGCCTCGCCAGCATCGCATCGAAAGGCCGCTCCAAAGGCCACCCCCCCCCGTATCTCCCTTGACAACATCTTTCGAACAGCCTCGCTCGCGTCGTGTCGAGAGACCGCTCCCACGGCCACACACTCCTATTTCTCCCATGTCACCACCACCATTCAGCTACATGAATTCCCACCGTCCCTATTATCAAGACGAATCCCCCCCTCGCCGAAGCCCTCCCGTCCTCGCGCCCGAGCCCCCACCCACCTTTGAATATCGACACGGAATCGGCGCTCTCCCGCAACTGTATCCACCGGGCCTAGGCCCCGCCGCCCCTCCATTTTCAGGCCGTCCGGGTGGACAAGCGAACATCGACATTCCGCCAGGCTACGGCGACTACTTTAAAGACGACGGGTACGAGCGGGAGACCGACGCGCTGAACTATATCGAGGACAAACGACATTCACTTTTGCGTCAAGCCAGGCTCTTGAAGATACAGTTGGAGGAAGAGGCGGCGTTCAATAGGCATATGGGCATGCGGGACCTGGAGGATGAAGTACGTGCCCTTAGGTCCCAGGTTCGGGGCTCTAGTTCTCCCTTCTCTTATTCGCCTGGATATTGAAAGTCCCTTTTAGTTAGCGTGATGAATATTGGTTTGGCATCACCCTGGTATTTGATTGGTACGCTTGCTTCACTCCGTTGGATGAGACATATTTCTCGCTGTGTATAGATATGTTGCGCGATTGTCACGGTCACAGATGTGTTAATATTTGCTCTGCAATTGTATAGTGAGGCTATATTCGATAACGGCTTCTGGGACGGCTGGAATACTATTTAGTCGTAGTTACAGAATGATATCAATCAGTTTATTCTAGCGTCGGCATGAGTACATCGGCAACATCTGGCTTACGATGCGTTCTTCATCTCTCGCAATCTCGCCATCACTTCCGTCCTGGTGTTTTTACCAGTCGCCTTCACGATCTCAGGATCCTCCAAACGCATAAAGACATTATGCTTCTTCTCGTCACCGATGGTAAACTTCCCCTGCGTCTCCTTATTCTCGTCCGCAAACTTCTTGAGGCCCAACACGGCGTCGCTCTGGCTAACTAAGACAGCAAACTTGACGTTGCCCTTCGTATACTCGTGCCCAGGGTACACGGCGGTATCATCAGGCAGCGCCGCCAGCATCTCGTTCAGCGCTTTGTCCATCTCCGCGGCGTTACCCTCGAAGAACCGGCCGCACCCGCCGATGAACAGTGTATCCCCCGTGAACACGGCCCGCTGGTTCGTCGAGGAGTCTTCCAAGTAGTAGCAGATGCTGTCCTGCGTATGGCACGGGGTGTGTAGGGCACGCACGCTAATGGACGAGCCGATGGGAAATGTGCTGTTATGGGAGGGAGTGGTGGTCACCTGGTCGCACTTTGCGCCACCGATGATGGGAACAGGGTAATGTTGTAGCTGCACTGGATATCAGTTTCCATGACCGGATTCATGCTGCGCGGGTTCGGCCTTACCATCTCGACGTTTCCGCCAGCGTGGTCATGATGACTGTGGAAAAACATCAGCGGATGATCATCGTATCGATCTGGAAACGTACTGGTGCGTGTTCACGATGTTAGTGAGCTTGATATCTCCCCGGGATACCAGCTCCTTCAGGACTGGCAGGACTCTGCACTTCGGTTAGCGAATTTGATATTTGACAAGCAGAGCATGGACTTGGACTTACTCTCGTGGATGTGCCGGGTCGATAACGACGCTATCCTTGGTCTTGTCATCCGTGACGACGTAGGCATAATTGTTGCCCGACCCCTCCCCTATGGCGTTGTTATTCTGGCTGTCATCACCCTTCATAGGAGCGAAGCAGAAACATACACATCGGAATTGACCTGATATGCATGGCTCGAGACTGCTTCGGAGGTTAGCGAAGTCGAAGTGATTATGTGACGTTGACATCCGTCGACGGCTTACTTGGCGCTGTGAGAGATTCCGAGGAAGATTAGATCTTAGAGTTGGTCTTACTAGAGCTCGAAAATATGACATTTATGGTAGAGCAGGATTAAGTATGATCTGATAATTATATATAGGACGTAGGTACTCTTAACTCTGTAGAATGCATATTTCCTGTTTATGATGACATATCGTAGCCACCACAGCAATAGAATACCGAATATTACGGCCGAACAGTACACACAGTAGCCAGATGTGGACAGCCCCGCACCACCAGATTGATTTCTTCGGACTAACTACGGAGTAGTAGTTAGTACAGATGCTGGTAAAGTGTTGTCGCACTAGGATGTGCTAATTGCTAAAATGGTTGGGAGTCAGGTGATTTGGTGACAGCAGCAAACTCACTGCAAAGTTTGTTGTATGTTCTAGCTGAATGCCCAGTTCCCTGGCCCTGCATCTAACGTATCGATCTTGGAGCAGATGCTACAGAAAGCTGATGGTTGAACCTCAAGTTTGTGAGGGTTTGGCTCTGGACAACGGAAATATTTTGATCCGTACAGGTTCAGTAGCACTTAGTAACACTTCACTTAATATCTCCCAAGGGAAACAAACATATTTAATCAACAAGATTTTTTAGCATTCTATTAATTGTAACTAGTTAGATAAAGTAGCTGAAGCTTGAGATTGTGTGATAGTCTTGGGCTTCGCCCAGTCTGTGTTGTAGCCTTGCGGCCTGAGGAAAGAGCCGCCCACAGCAAAAGATGTAATTTAGCGTGCCGAATAGGGAAAATTTACGCTCCTCGTTTTGAAAGTAGAAATCTATCATTACATCGCTTTCCACCTGAATCTGACAATGCTGCCTTCGCGTCGCCTTGCCTGTTCTTCGTATTAAGATGACTACGCATCCTTGCTTTGAAACTGCACGAGTATCGCTTATGCCGGCCTCACTGAGAAGGGGTAGCATAGCTTACTGGTGATTTGCTTGCCAGCTTGGCGAGCAGTGGTGGAGTCGAGGGGTAGTGAGAACACTGAGCGAATTGTAGGTGAGCATTGGGTGAGCACTGGGTGAGTAGGGAGTGCGGCGGTGAGAGCGCTGAGTGAGGCAGTGAGCAAGGTGAGCTGACCGATCACCAGACAAGGATCTTAATCCGTCTTCATAGAGCCCCAAACGGCCCTAGGTTCTGCGTCCCATATAGCTACCCGCGATCCTTCTTTTTTCTGATTGAGTCACGAAGGAATTTAGACAATTCGAATTTCGACCGTCAAGCCCGCTTGGGCTTCCAACTCGAAATAGCCTCTAGAGCCCATTTTGGACACAGATTCGAAATAAAACTAGTCCCATCTCTTAACCACACTCCTAAGAACCTTGAAGACAAAAGGATACGCTCTACTCATGGCTATCCTCTTGCTCAAGGAAGGGCCGCATGTAATGCCCCAACAGGGCCAATGACGGAATCGTGGATGGGATGTTCAATTACCCGATCGGAGAAAGGAGTATGGTCTTCTAGAGCGCATATATCGGAATGTTCAACACCAAACTCTCTTCGTCTTTGAGATCCTTGGACTTGCAATTTTAGACGTCTTTCCATTTAGGGAAATGACACCTATCCAATAGAGCGAAGGCTTTTAATCAGTAATGTTAGTTGCGTGTATTTCATGAGCTGTTTTGATTGTTAGGCTGTATCTAAAAATCAGCAAGTGAGCTCTTTTCACCAACTCCCTCACCCCGTCAAAGAGAGCACTCTATTGTCCTTCGCTTCTCCGGTGAAACCTTCTCCTTGGGTCTTCGTTCGTTATCGGATTGTGCTCCATCATCTCCCGGTAGTGCTGATCAGTGTCGAGCCTCTTCAAGTTTGGAGTATTCCTCGTTCTCCAAATGGAGATCGTATAGGGACCCTAGCGCAGCCTCACGTAGCACGATATGACAGTCCTGAATGGGAAGCGCACCTGGTTTTGTTGAACTCGAAAAAAGAGTTCTGCTAGAGGACAAGCGGATGAGAGAGCATACCCTATCGCACAGCTGTGGGCTTCTGCAATTTCGAGGGGGTTATCGGCATGCAGCGATGGTCGAGCTCGAGGTCGCATGGTGGAACTGGCGCCGGGCTCTGTAAGCGTTTGCGGCCGCGTTGGTACGGAACCGACTCGTCAGTGTCGTAGAGTTGGTGCTCTTTGTCCTCCTTTAAGTCGTTTTTTGTTTCGTCAGCGTCCTCGTCACCGGCCTCATCACCCCAACTCAGCTCCACGTCGACGATAACGCCGCCATCCTCTTCAAGCGCCTGCAACCGCGGCCGCTTCGTTGGGCTCGGGTTCTTCGATCGCGAGCGCGAAAACTGCTTGAACACTTCAGGCGCCATCTCCTTCAGCTCACCATCTTTCATCCGCACCAACAGGTTGTCGCTCGCTAGTCACCGGATGGCGAGAAACTTGTGATGCAGTGACAGTACCGCCCACGCGACACATGCGAACAGGCAACGCCGGTCGACACCCACCAGCTTTTGCATCTCGATGTTATGCCACAGCGCGGCGAACTGGTTCGACACGTCGGCTGTTCGCACCACGTATACAACTAGCCGGCCCCCCTCCCTTACCATCGGTACCCATGTGCCGGCGTCAAACGACCGGTGGAGGTCGGCTCGCAATAGTATTCCGTTCAGCGCCGATTGAATCTCCAGGTCGCTGCTCTCGCCCATATTGGAGTCCCACCACTCCCTCTCCCCCGCCTGAACCAAGTGCGCTTGTTCACAGAAGTCAATGATGCCCGATACCTGGCACAACTGGTCGCGGCCCTTGAGATCCTCCATGTATCCGCTGTTGCGGAGTGAGGGCGGTGAGGGATCAATCGCGAGGGTGGAGAAAGCGGAGGGGAGGTCGGCGTCGGTACTAGGGAGACGCCAGTGATCCCACGAAACATATACGGGATATTTGTCTGCAGAAAGCGATTGTTAGAGGCGCCTGGCCATGGCAAATGAATCATCGCTGTGACTTGCAGTTTCGATCGCTGACAAAGTAGAAGACGTCACCATCGGAGGCAACTAACGGCACACCTGGCGTGCACATCTTGCTGCCATCGGCTGAGCGAGCGAACCAGCCGGTGCTCCAGCTATTGTCGGAGGTGATGCCGCAGATAATGAGGGCTACATCGTAGTCGACTATATCGCCGTCATCTAGGGCGGGTAGCTTAACGAGCGTGTTGCAGTCCGGGTAGTGGGGATGGCGCACGATAAGCGTTGGAACGCGGCCTCCGTGGCCAAGCGGCGGAGTGGGGCGAGGTTTGATAGCGGGCATAAGAGAGGTTGCGACGGTTTTCGACAGAAACTTGAATGACGATAGGATGCTCTTAGGTTTTCGGCGGGGAAATGACGCCACAAGAGGTCGAATGTGCCAGAGGGTTGTTGCTAACGTTGGGACTTCGACGCTGGAATGCAATACTCCACGATTTAAATGCTGGAGAAACGTGGACTGGAGAGTTGCTGCTGGAATGCTCTATTGCTGCGGTGCGTGGGAATGTTTGGGGAGAACGACCGTGGAGCCTAATACTGCTAGACATGTATGTAGACTAGGCAATCTGAGACGGTCTTTCCTATTCGATAGACCAGGATAACCAGAGGTCGGCAAGAGATGATATCATTGGAGAGGTTTTGCAACCTCCGATCCACAGTACGTTAGCTCAATTCAAGCGATGTCATCCTTGTCATGTGGCCGCGTCGGCGCAGGGTTAGGCGGTACATCGATCAGCGCAGTCGATCTCGTCAGGAGAACATCAGAGGCGGTGGCGGTGGAATTGTATTCTCCGAAGATGAAACTCATCGGGAAGCCGATATCAAAGGGCACTGACCCATCAATAGCCTTGATGTCTTCGTCAGACAGTGACACGCTCAATGCATCGATGTTGGACTTCAGATGCTTGACGCTTCGCTGACCGACAATCGGGTGGACGTAGGGCGCCTTGTGCATCACGTATGCAAGGGCCTGCGAGACTGGATTAGTATAAGTACTGAAGAAATTGAAGGGCATTGGCTTACGATTGCGTGAAGGCTGGTATTCTTCTTCTTCCCCATCGACTCCAGAGCATCCGAGATCTTGGTGTCGTTCTCCGATAATTCGGAACCACGGGTACTGCCCTTCTCACCTGACTTCCGGGCCTCCGCAGACTTGAACTTGCCCGCCCCAAGTGGTGCCCATGGGCAAATGGCCATACCTTGGTCACGGCACATTGGCATGATCTCCCTCTCCATATCCCTGAACCCAGCGTTCCACTTGCCTTGATACACCGAGAAGGGTCGCAAGCCGTTGGCTTTAGCGTAGTCGTTCGCCTTCACGACGATCCAGGCCGGGGTATCAGAGACACCGAGATAGAGGACCTTACCGGAGGTGATGAGGTTATTAAGGCCGTGCATGACCTCTTCAACGGAGGCGGTGAAGTCCCACCAGTGGAGATAGAGGAGGTCGATGTAGTCGGTTTGAAGCTTCTTGAGGCTGTGCTCGACTGAAGTTCGCATGCTCTTCATTGAGTTACCGACGTAGTTAGACTGCAGTGGCTCCCTATCGCGATGTGCGTTGCGGAAACCTGTCGTGTACTTTGTAGCAAGTCTGCAATGTAAGTCAGCTAGTAGATTCCATGATCATCCCAATTGCGACGTACACTAGCTGCTCTCGATTGCCTCGAGCCTTCATCCACTCGCCTATCCAGATCTCTGACTCCTCATCCTGGTAGTTATTTGCCCTGGTCTGGTTGTCAGCCAGTCTAATCCACTTGCGCTTTTAAGCCACACACACGTATCAAGGAAGTTGCCTCCCAGCTCGTAAAATGCATCAAGCACCTCGAACGATCGCTCTTTGCTGCACTCGCCCATGAACTCCTTCCACGCGTCGCCGAAATTCATCGTTCCCAAGCATAGCGGCGAGATTTTGGCGCCGGCCGATGGTGCCAGCACGCGATGGTAGCCGAGAAGGCACTTTGGCTTCGGTGCAGGTGCGAAAAGTGACATTATTGCTCTCGTTGAATGTAGATTGCGACTTGAAAGGCAATTGTATGGGGCCCGGCTCACTGATGATTTGAAGCAATTGAGAATGCGGGCACGCGCTCATGGAGCTCATTATTTATGTTGGTCGTCGGCGCAGGCGGAACTGCGTGAAGTCATTTTCGGTAACTAACGCTAGTTCTTGAGGCCTGTCTAAGTCAGTAGAGAGCTTGCAGTTTAAACCTAGTTAGCTAATTACGGACCGTACCGATACTCGCATGGTGTTTACGTCACAAGGAGCTAATGCACCTGGCTGACGTTGATAGGCTCTCTAGACAATTCAAATCCATGCACTCCTGTTATTGGACGACCACTGCAGCCTCTGTGACTGTAATATGAGAGCATAGCACAACAGACCCTTTCATTTCAGATCAAGTAGTCATACTTGGCTCACTGTAGCAGCCCGAATCATAATTAGCTAGTCAACTTGAACAACGGCCTCCTTCCGCGCTGTGCACGCCAGAAATTTGTAGACCGAAAGAGGTCTTCGCAACCCCGAATCACCCAGCTCCAATCTCAAGCAAATGACTCGACACTTCCCATCCGCTCGAATCCCACGGGTCCCGCCAGACCATGGTACCCGTAATCATGCTCCCGTGACCTTTCATATCTAGACACAACCGTTCTTCGTCATACGTCTCTTCCGCACGGATCAGATTGTCCTGCATGCTCGGTATGGGTAGCACTCCCGTAGGAGAGCGAAGGGCAATTTGACAAAGGCAGCTAGATAATAGAGATCGGTCTAGAACAGCCAAATAGCAAGGGCCCAAGCAAAGAAGAGAACAGAAAGGGGCACGACGAAACGATCCATCGAGCGACGGGCCTCGACATTGGTTATTATGTGCGAAGGCAAAAGGAGGCTCTGCAGCGGAGCCATAGCGTTTGACACCATCATGCTTCCGAAATTAGCTAGAGCTCGGCACGGATACACGGATACCGCGGATCATCCGCGAATATCGCCTAACCGGATAGCAAACTTGGCCCACTTAGGTCACACCTAACAACCAACCTTATTGAGGTGTTCTTTTGATCGATGTGACGATTAAGCAAACCATGAACTTTTTTAAGCACTCCAAATCTCCATTCAGGAACCTGAAGTACCGGACGGATTAGACCCAGTTATAGGTGTATCGATCTCACTCGCATGTGGCGGGGACGACCTCCGAGGTGGAGAGGATGATCGGATAGAAAGTTGAACACGTCGTAGAGGCGGTGGCATGAAACCGACCGCGAATTGCTGAGGATCCTGTATAGACACATTGGCCATGCTGCGCGAGGAGTAGACGGTATATAGTTTGTACGGAGGACGCGATATGATGCAATGCGCGGCGAGCGACATCATCGTTCCTGGCTCGAGTTGTAGCAGTTACTTGCATGCGCAATCGCGGTAGATCAAACGATTCTTCAAATAACACCCCTTTCAGCGAGCGACTTAACACGCGAGACAGCTACATAAGTTAATCCCGGCGCAAAGTCCCGCTTATCAGCGATGTTCAAAACTGCCTTTTCAAGTGTCACTCCCTGGCTCTTGTGGATGGTGATAGCATACGCCAGGACCAATGGAAACTGGGTACACAGGCAGGCGACAGAACCGCGAACGAAGTCTCGGCGGGACCGGAATATAGGCACGAGCTTTTCGCCGTTAACCTCGCGATGCGGGATCGCTTCGATGAATCTCCAATCGACAGTATAGACTAGGATGCTAGACCGATAGTAGTTAATTGATAGAGAGTCGACAAAGGTGTTAGGAAAGCGATAAGGTAGAGAAGGGAGAAATAAGGAAGAGATGAAAAAAGAGATAGATTTTAAGCAGAGGAGCTGAGTAGAATCTATGTGATCGGCCCTACTTTATTCACTCTTCTACCTTCGATTATATGTATATCTGTTTCTACCCTCTTTCGCCCGCATGACTTCCTCTGGTTGATTTTGAGGGACGGAATCGCCTAAGACGACACTATATCGCACACGCTGAAGGCAATGAGTGTTCGTATAGATGGTTTCAGGACTATAGGCCGTATAAGAACATAGATAATGCCCGGAGATGTCTCGAGGATCTTGCTTTCCTTATCTTTACTTTCTTCTATTAATATTGTCCGTAAGACTCGGCTGCTCTGCAGTGTCGAATTATCTATACTTTGCGATATTATATCTCACTTCCCCGAACAGCCCCCTAGAATGTAGAAGTCTACATACATGCTAATCTACTGTTGTCCCATTGAAATCGGATATAGGACGTGTCTGATGCCGTGATGCTGGTGAAAGGGTGCTCTATGTCGAGCTTTGAGCTTCTAGTTAACGAGAGCGCAGGCCCTGGGGACAGCGACGACGACGAAGTCCACAGAGTTAACAGAGATGGAAGAACAGGTGGCATATAATTACAGTAGATAATGATAATTAGCAACTTCCATGTTGGTACAGCCTAGTGGTTGTTCATAATAAGTTATGCGATTCCGAATTTGATACGTTTTATCGGAGAGAGTGAGAGAGAGAGATTCATACAGATACGCCAGTCAGGCCTCTCTGCGAGGCCCATGTGGGGAACTACCTAGGCTGACTAATTACATGCGTTCAGCGTTCATGCCTTGTGACCTTGTGCCCGTGTGCCCCCAAGTTCGCTGCGTTCTCTACATTTCTTCAGTTCAAGTTGTTTCCAATCCAGCTGCGGCTGCGCCAGGCCTTAGCAATAAGGCATGAATGATATTAGCCACGTAATCAATCAATTCGGTCAGTTTAGTAATCAATCTGAGCGAGTACTGAACGGCGAATGGGTTATGGGCCTAAGGGAATAATGCAGAGACCAGAGCTGAGAGGATACAGAGCCTCAACAACCCAAACTTCACCATTCCAGCATTCCATTCCCCCACCCATTGAACATTTACATATATATACATCCATCTCCCCCACCGAAAACTTAGTATTACATACTGCACGTGTACCCTTGGCTCCTCATTGCGCCTGCATTCGCGATTTGTCAGCTCGCATCGGAACAAGGTGCTCGTCTGACAAAAAAGCTTCAGTCCCTAGACTGATACTCCACCGTGGAGTTTCTATGTACAGTATGGAGTCTTTATTTATACCAGCGACCTCCTGGGAGACCGAACCCATATACATAGTATTACATGGTCAAATTTCAAACTTATAATCACGCTCAACTCCTCGAACTCCCACTCCGTCTATGCCCCTACCACTTTTCCTCATCGGCTTCGAATAAGCCAGGACCCACCATGAGCGTCTCCTCATGCTGGCGAGGTCCCAAACGACCGTGATGTTCGCCGATACAGGTCGATGCCGGCATGGCGGCCCTGGCACGTTGAAATACTGCCGCGGTCAAGGCCGGGAGAGCTGTGTTGCTCTGTTCGCGAAAAAATACGCCGTCGACGGGCTGAAGCACAGCCTCTCGGGGTCATCAAGCGAGCGGAGGCCATCATACTCAAACGTCCAAGACGACGTCGACGAAGACATGCATGTAGCTGTTGCGAAGAGATGGACAGAAGCACTTCGGCTTGTAGAAATACGATGCGAGCAAAGCTCCATCAAATGACCGCCGGACCGCCGAGCAGTCGTCCCAACGGCTGCGGTTCACTTGCCCATCTCGGCAAGCAGCAACGCCTCCATCTCTTCCTCATTCGTCCCTTGCCCAGGATGCAGAGGCTCCACCTTTTGAACAGCATGTCCGGCGCTCGGAAACTGCAGCGTCGTGCCATCAACGCCAGCGTTGCCTCCCGCGGCCATTTCCGCCCCCTGCGCATCCACGGACGCAATCGGTCGAGAACCCAGCATCATGGCCGGCCGCGCCGGTGCGGCAGGGGCTGCTCCCGCGCGTGTTCTCAAACCCGGGCCGGAATCCCTATCGTCCATCCCCAGTCCCGCGACGCTGAGTTGCTTGTCCAGCATTTTCTTTAGGTACGTCCGTATCTCTTCGCAGGCGCACTCTTGGTGTTCCAAGCATTGCTGTTTCAGTTGGAGGCGCTCCGCTCGCAACAGCATCACCGTCTCGCTCAGCGCCACCTTTTGCGCCGATAGATCGCGGTATTGTTGTTCCAGGCGCGCCACCCAGTCTTTCTTTCGCTGCCGGCATTTAGAGGCCGCGAGTCGGTTTCGAGCTAGATGATGGTCGCGTTTCGAGACCGGGGTTTGCGAACCCAGCCGAGCTTCTGAATTGCCGTCGGGCGATTGGGATATGCCGATCGGGAGCGTGTCGGTGGTCTGGTACGACGAAGTTCGAGAGGCAGAGCTTCCAGTCTGTGGCGTGAGGGAGGAGGAGGAGGCGGCCGACGGTGTGGTCAATGGATTCGAATTCAGTGCCGGGATGGGAGAGGGTTTCGTCGCTCGTTGACTTTTCCGTGTAGGAGATACGGTTTGTGACGACTGCGTGTCGAGCTGTGTGCTGCCAGAAGACTTTGTCCGAGAAGGGTTCGAACCGGGGGCCGAGGTGGTGAAGTTCGAAATCCCCGAGTCGAATGCGACGGCGCTGACGCTTTTTCGTTTCAACTCGGGGTTTGGGAACACGCTTTCTTGCCCGCCGTCTGAAGGGTTGTTGGGTAAGGACTGGTGTCCTTGGAATCCCTTTGCCCGACCGCGTGTCGACTGCGAGGGCGGAGTAGAATTCATTCCAACGTCTGGCCGGGCTCCAACAGCTCGTTGCTGAGGGAGGTAGGATTGTAAACCAAATTGAGGGTTGACCGCGCCAGAAGGTAAGAAAGGAATACTGAAATCGTCCTGGCTCATCGCCGTCGAACTGGTTCCTTGGCCAAGGGGTAGCGATTGTGCTGGAGACGAGGACGCAAAGGCCCATGACGGATCATATCCAGACAAGGTTGTCGCCGGCGCGGCGTTTGCACTGTCACCAGGGGCACTGAATTGACTCCAGTCGGGTACACCAGAGTCTTCTGCAGTCGAGTTGGCTGCGCCAGAATCGTCATCAAATAGACCGTCTAATCGTTCAGAATCCGAATTGTTGTCGGTATTCGAGGGGCATGGTTCCATTCCGGAGAATCCGATATTTGATCCATCTAGTACGGTTTCAATGGTATTATAAACAGGGCGATTGGCAGCTGGCGTCGCTCGATTGAGGAGGTTCGGGCGTCTTTTGTTGATTCTGGCTGACACCATGGCCATGGAGCTGAAATGGAGCTGAAAGTGAGCTGAATATATATTAACTGGGCCGGGTTGCTGATATCGAGAAGACCCAGCGTAAGTGACGATCGAGTGACCAGTTGAATGGACAAACTGGGCAATGCGATTGATCGGTTCGCTAGCGTGCTAGGTTACCAATGTGATGATTTCGTTGATTCACCAGCGTCGTTGTTTGTTGCTCGTACGTGATCGCCGAGGAGCGAAGACCTCAGAGAGCGGTTTGTTGGAACCCTAGTATCTGCTGAGTCAGTAGTCCCGCCAAATTTGGACAACTGGTCGCGTGTCAATTGGGGGTGGAGGTTGTAACGAATTTAAGCAGGGCAGAACGATGGGAGAGGCTCATGAGAGTAGCAGTATACGTCATGGCTCAGTGGATCCCTAGTGGGGTGTTTGCGATGTAGAGGGGAATGGACACAATGGCAGCTAGGACAGGGAGGCTAGGGAGTATGGATCGAGAATCTTGACGAGTAGTTTATAAACGTTGAAGATGCAGCATGAGGCCACGGATTGATATCTGGGAGACAGCAGTAGATACCTCACAACAGTATTCTGATGCACGAAGCATGAAGAATTGGATGAGGAAAGTGGTGCCCGGTGGTGGCTGGTGGCGCACTGGGAACTGGGAAGATCGTCTACTTAGTGGGCGGTTGGGGGGAAATGGCATTTCTCACTTTGGCATGCGGCAACTCATGGGGAATTGTACCCCGCCAAGAGCGGGCCCCCTGCCCAGGAAGCCGCCACCAATATGAGCCATGAATACATTTAAGTTTTGGCAATCGTTATTGTTTCCCGCTGTTGAATTGAGAGCTATCAGCTAAGGAAGAGAGGCAACTTAGGCTCCTCTCTTCTTCCTGTGTCAGGTACTAGGAATAATAACTAACTAAACTATAACTAACTAAGTTAGTACATGTCTGTAGTTACCTCTGATACGGAGTTTACATCGACTGGCGTCAATAGAAGAGCTAAAGATAACTACTGCACTACAGTGATAATCAGTCGGATCCCTGACTCTCAATCCAGTCTTTGCCGTGCTTTGACCTCAGTACTCTGAGCTCTTAGTATTCTCCTGCACCTCTTGGATGATGCATGTTGATATTATAGAATCCATTGAACAGTTCGGATCCCTGTCTTCGATCCAAACCGTCCAGCTTCGGGCCTTTGGTATGGACCTATGGCTGGCATGACATAGAGTCAAGTTCATTATTATTGAGAAGAAAGATGGTCCCCTTAAAATCGGGTAAGCCGCTCGGTATACAGATCTGAGCTCTGGTAAGGGAAGCGACTCTTCTAATGAGAGGATTTCAAGGACCAACAGGACGCCAGATGTCTTGCCGGGGATCTTGTATCAACCGTATGTGATGATGAACTAGACATAACTATATCAACAAGCTTCTAAACGACGATATATGACGTTACTCCGGTAGAGAAGTGTCTTGTAGGATCTCCATCAAGGCCGTGACAGATATCTCTACAAGCTATAACCAATCTTACCCAGTGATAGTACTTGCTAATAATTATGGTGCTAAATGAGGATAGAGCGGTAAACACTACGTATGTCGGTAGGGTTAGCTCACAAGGTCCGAAAATTTCCTCACCGCCGCATCTACTGGATACTCCCTTACAATCTCACGCAACGACCATTCGGCCTAGACCCTCCACTCGTCGCTAAAAATTTCGTATACCGTCGAAACCAGTCGCTCGGGGTATCCGTCCCGATACCAGCACGGCCCGGTTGCTTCACTACCACGCACTCGTGCGCTAGAAGGATCAGAGCTTCCGGCCGCCCTCGCCCTATAGACGAGCCCAGACACGGGCTCACATTGCCTGGCGACCGTCAGGGTTGTTGCTGGTGTTGAGTCAAGACGACCTTGACGATGGCGACACCTCGCGATCGTGCCACGGAAGACGGGAACCGATGGACAGTCGGATAGAACGGAAATTGGAATGGCATCAGAAGGCGTACCTTGACCCGTCGTTCCCTGCAAGGGTACGGGCGGTTTCGACGATAGCTTCAGCGCCAAAAGAAGAAGTCGACGGAACGGACATCGACAACGAACAACAGAGATCGAAGAATCGAAGAACGAAGAACGGAGCGGGAATCCAGCCTACTAAGTACCCGAACCCGGCTGCTGTCGAACCAGCTACCATGGGCCAGTGGGTCGGGACTCGGGAGGGCTGGTGCGGTGCCGCCAAAGGATCGCTGCAGCCTGCAGGTAGGTTCGGCTAAGGCGCCAGGCGCCGTGCAGCTAGCGCCTAGAAAGAACGTGGAAACGTCTCCAGAACGTCCAAGCAGCTCCGACGTTACAAAACATTACGATATTCATCGAAGCCCAAACAGAATTCATTAATTATCTGGCTGTACTCGTAGCCACTATCCGATGCCACGCCCTAATACCCAATGAGTTCTCCAATCAAGCCCCCCCAGCAGCAGCAAGCGCCTCTTGCCGACTGGTGCTCTGAGGATCGAAGTAGGGCTTCTCCCCCAAGCTCACGGAGCGCGAGCCCGAGCGCTCTCCCAGGCCCTTATTGATGTAATCCGGGGTGGCAGCGTGGAAGACGCTACGGTTGTCCCAGATGGCGACATCGTTGGGATTTTGCCAGCGCAGACGGACCTGCAAGTCGTGGTTCTCGACGATCAGCTGGACGAACCAGTCGAGGAAGTACTTCGACTCCGCGTCGCTGAGCCCATTAAGCCTCTGGACGTGGTTGCCGACGGCGAAGACGCTCCGCCACCCGGTGACGGGGTTGGTGCGGATGGCGGGGTGGATGGCCTCGAGGGCCTCGCCAAAGTTCTCGGGGGCGCCGCGCTCGGCGCTGTAAAGGGGGAAATTGTTGCGGGCGGCGGCGTTGTTAAAGTCCGGCTGGGCGGAGTAGAAGGTGAGCTCGTCGAGGAAGCCCTGGAGCGGCTTGGAGATGCGGTCGTAGAGCTCGTACCCCGAGGCCCAGAGGGTGTCGCCGCCAGTTTTGGGGAGCTCCGTGAGTCTCAGGAGGGCGTAGTCGCTGGGGACAGGCTCGAAGGTGATGTCGCTGTGCCAATTGCGCTTCTGGCTCTGCGATAGCTTCTTGAACCGGTCGGCGTACAGCGACTTGAACCCCACGGAGGAAATGGTGCTAATCTCGTGGTCGTCGCCTCCTGTCGGCCGTGAGGCATTGGTGATGGGGTGAATGTGTAGCCCTGACGTCGCGGGCTTTCCGGTGAGTTGGCCGAGTCGCTGAACGAGTTCTTTTTGCAGGTCGTTGGTGATGTTGTCCTGCTTGCGGAAGAAGACGACGCCGCGCTGGGAGACTGATGTTGTGTTATGCAAGGGAATATTCAAGACTTTTATTTTTGGCACTCTTACCCGTGATGGCCAAGTCGCGGAGCAGTTCGTCAGAGTTAGGTGCACGCAACCACTCAGCCAGATCGACGTTGGCAAACTCCTTGCCAATCACGGGGGTGACATCGAACTGCTCGAACTGGTCGAGGGCGCCGCTGAGTTTCAATGGCTCCTTGTGTCCCGTCAGGACCTTTAGGAGTCCATCTGTAGCACTATCAGTCTTTGTTGCTGACCCAGCTGACAGAGTCGGCATCATAAGTACCTTCTTCAGGCTGGACAGCTGGGGCTTGCTCCTTGGGAGGCACAGGGAGAACTTTCTCGGCGATGGGCACTACGACAGGGACGGTATCTACAGTTGCTGAAGGAGACATAATGCTATAGTTTGAAGACACCAATTTGAGACTTGTAGTTCGTGGACTGAAATGGACTGAAGGGCTTCTCTTGAACTGGCGAATGCTTATCGGTGGCCTTCTCATGCAATGACTATATACGTTCATGAGACCCGGTATGAAACTATTCATCAACACGTAAATTCTAAAACGGGTTCTAGTCAGAATTACGCAATCCTCGTCATGCGTTGCACCATGGAGTTCGCTCGTGGTGTCTGTGTTGGGAGAGCGTAGTGCATTACCGAGAACCAGTGCAGTAGAAACACGACCTTGTTCAGGCATCGCATCTGCTTCACGCCAAGCGACCCTAGACTGCCGTTGCAGGCGTGTGGGGTCCGACCATTGACCAATACCTTATTCTATAATCATCTTTTCAGTTGCTGCGGACCTGGGACAAGCATGGAGAAATGCACGCACATCACGCCACTCCCCCACGCCGTCTGCCCCGCGCGACCCTTGCAAACCATGCAGCCATCAAGCGCCGACTGTGGAGTAGACACGCGTTCAGCACCAGCCCTGTCGACACCTTAAATCTGATGATGCCATAATAGTATCTTATACGTTATCCCGCTTAGGCATGATCGACGGGGGTAGCTACAACTACCGCCGCCCGCGACGTGCTGAGCAGGTGAGAAACCATTGATACCCTGATAGCAACCAATTCTAGCTCAGAGGATTGGTCTGGGTTGGTGTTGTGATATACTGGGCCATTGTCTGTGCCCAGCTGTTCCAGCAGCAGGACGTGCCGAGTTATCCAGTTGGGTGGGGAACTGCGGTATAGAGAAACATTGAGTTACGAAACCTAGACATTAATACTATCCGCAAAAGGTGATAACGTGGCGGGCGCTCTAGCGGCGCGACTGTCTTCTATCGATACGATATAGATGTTTCGATTACCGGGGTGAAAAGTTGGATTCCTCGATCCGATTTTCGGAAACGTGTCCATCGAAAGTTCGAAACTGACGTCTGAAATCAGTAGTGTTCCTTCGTCGTCGTCGAGTAAGTGAACCATCATCCTCCACGCCCGATTGGCAGCATAGGTAATTACCTTGTAAACTTGATAATCAATGCACTGACGTGCTAGTAGGTATAAATGACACCGTTATGGGATATCCGTGCCCCATGACCGCCCCACAACCCAGGCCAAAAGTACAATTTTACTACCATCATCTATATATCAGAACTCAGGATGTAAATCGATATAAAAACCGAGATCCTCCGTAC